TGTACAGATATATGTATACAAATATTGTAGATATTTTTTTATATACATGATAACGGTCACCATCTTCCCTTTTTAAATTTTTTCCTCCATTGGACTAGGAGCCAGTTTGGTGTAGTGATTAAAGAAATCAGGCTAGAAACTGGGAGTCTGTGACTTCTAATTCCACTTTAGGCACAAAACCAGCTGGATGAGTTTGGGCCAGTTATTTTCAGTCTTAAGAAAGAAACCAGGACAAACCAATTGTGAATTCTTACCAAGAAAAGTGCAGGGATTAGTCCAGGCAGTTGCCAGGAGCCAAAAACAAAAAACAAAAAAAACCTGAATCAAAGGCACAATAACTCCATGGACTACCCTACTGAGCACCATGTATTCTGTTCCTTAGAGCAGCTTTCTGCAGCCTGTTGTTGGCTGGATCTGATGCGAGTTCTAGTTGACATTTATGATGATCTGTATCTTCTTTGCCTTTTTTACTGATTCACTGAGAGTTTTTACAAGAATAGTACCAAACAGCTCACTGGGATCAGATGAATTAAATGTATCACTTTTTTATGAGTAGAATTATTTATTTGGCAAAGCCAAGAAAAAAAGTCAATTGGTTCTATAATTATTTGCTTTTGAAGTAAACAAATAAAAGAAAGGTCACTCAAGGTTTTCCTTTCTTGCCTTTGCCTTTCAACAGATTTACTGTTAGATCTTGGAGAGGCATGACTCATTCAGGGCGTTGCTTCTGTGCATCTGTGGAGATTTAGATAACATGAAGTGGTCTTTAAAAGCAGCCATGCCAAGACTCTGCAGTCTTGAACAGCCTTACCAAACAAGCTTTTGACAAAATGCACTTTTCTTAAATGTATATTCCCTTGACATATTGTCTAATCTGAAATGTTCTCCTTTGTTATAAAATAATTGAGCAATAGTTAGAACAGAGGAATTTAAATTTAAAATCATGTTAAGTATTTGAATTATTAATGAAGAGATTGTTAACATCATTCATGTGTGTTGAAGGATAACAGAAGCCATCCGTTAGTGCATAGGTGTCAAACTCACGTCATGTGACGTGTCACAACATATCGCGATGTTTTTTGCATTGCTGGAGCTGGGGTGGGCGCGGTCTCTGTATGATACAACTGGCCCACGGGCCAGCATTTTGACACTCCTGCTTTAGTGTATTGTAACATATGACTCAAGAGCAAAAGAACTATATTTGTGATTTATCCAAGGATGTTGGATCCTTATAATTTTTTTCCCAATTAAAATTCTATGTGGGTTGGTCCATGTTGTCTAATAACTATAAATTCAAAAAGCCCTGGACGTGAACTAATTGAGCATTTCATTTGTTTCTAATCCTGAAGAATTTATTAATCCTGGACTTTAATCTCCTTGAGCCATATGTCAAGCATATGTTTGATTCAGATTTCTTGTCTCTGAAGCAGAAGCTCCATTTGATCCAGTGGAGAGGTCTAGTGAAAGGATGAAGGGAAAGACATTTTTACAATTTTGTATTAATCAGAAAGTATTTTCCAATTTGTTGCAAGCAACTGTAGGTAACTCTATGCCCACAAAAGACTATATTGTCCTCTCACTGCCCATAAGGAGTGATGAGTCTGGAATCCCTTTATATGATTGTTTTGCATTGAAACTGCATTTATTCAGACACACTGATATTTTCCCCTTTACTCTCACTTCTTTGTTTCTGTTTGCTTACTTGATGATTGATTCATATATTTTCCATATTATCTCATGAGTTCAAAAAGTCATATTCCCAAGTCCAGGCTCTGCCCATTAAGCCATCATTTCTAGAGTGAAAAAGGTTGATAAGGCTAAATGTGGTATTCTCTTAGGCAGGAAGGAAGAATTGTAAACACTCCCACACTTATACTTGGAAGTGATAATTAGAAACTGTTTGGTGTGACAAGAGGGGAGGGATGGTGGATTGCAAGCTTGTCTTACTCATTTTCTTTCTTTTGCGCACAAACACAGTGTTATTCATGGCTAAACTCCCCTAATTTTACACAAAGATTTCCATTCCTTGAACTGGATACCCAATAATTACAGAGACATGCTCAGACAGTTTTCTTGTTTAAGCTATGGCTTAGAGCGCTTTTTAAATAGTAAATAGTCCTGAAAATCCCAAATGGTTCCTCAAACCAAATATTGACCAGATTTTGCCTTAACTTCTGCCATGATTTTCTTATAACCCTAACTGCATTTTTTTTTCTTTTGCTGATTATTTTGTCTGGCACCTATTCCCCGTTGCCCATCTTCTATACATATTATTGTTAAGTGTAGGTCAGAAAGTCTTCATATTCAGTTTCCCATGATCTGGAATCATGATACTGGAGTAATCCAGCTCACGTATCTACAGAAAAGTTCCCCACTCTAGATAATTGTGCCGCATTCACAAACCACTGTCTTTTCATAAAGACCAGACTATTTTAAAGGAAGAAACGGTGCTCGCTGCTCTTTATTTGCTGAATTCTATATGGCTTTGCTCACAGATCACTGGAAATATATTTGTATGAAATGTCTATCCATCTTAATATTTATAATTTTGTGCCATTCTGGTATTAAGAAGATTTCTAACTTGTCAAAGAATTCCAGGCTTTACTACAGGACAATTATCAACTCATTTTTTATTACAGAAATGGTGACACCAGTTTTACTCTTTGTTCATCTATATAAATATAATTTAATTCAAATCAGGAGGTTACTGCAATTTTATCCACTTGCTTTTTTTCTCCAATTTCTGTCTCCTAGTCCAGTGAATAGCTATTTATCTTTTCAAAGTGTATTAAAAAATGAAAGGTAGAATGTATTAAATTTTTGCAATGCCAATTTTTAAAAGAAAATTAAAACAGAAACTTTTGCAAAAAAAAAAGTTTCTCCACTTTTTAAAGGAAGTTCTAACTATAGCACCCATATTACCGTGTCTACCTGAAGTGTGAGAAATTCAATTGCTATGTTTTACTCCAATACCATGGTTTTTCAAATGGAGAAACGGGAGAACGTAGACTAATATAGCGATAATCAGAGATTCAGATATGTTTATGTCTGTCATGACTCTTCTGCAAAGGTAAGTAATCTGATTTATCCATCACGAGAGGTAATGATTGTGTGTGTGTGCATGCCAAAAAAACCCCATATAACCGACTTCATAAAAGTTGCCAAAACAACCAACTTTTAATATAATAAAATTTTGAGATGCAAAACCAATTAGATTCTAGTTCAGAGATCCTTGAAGGAAATGTAATTGTGTGTATGAATTTTAAGATAAACTAGGTGGAACAGATGGTGGCATTTATGCTCAGATCACCCACATGGGATGTAACTTCTCATTACCTAAAGAGCTAATTGATGATATGCTTTCTGACAGAGCCAGAAACATCTATTGGTATATCACAAATCCAGGGTTTTTATGTCTTTGTATGATTTACTGGATAGGAACACTTCTTTCAACCCAGGCATGGGCTGATATACGTCACATGATGATTCAGAAGAGGCTGGGTCACATCCCCTGTAGTCAGAGCTGGGTTTTCTGTTTCCTCCCCTCTGGATGTCCAGAAGCTCTCCAGAGGTTTCTTTGCTTGTTAAGGTATCTTGTGCCTATGGTAAGGCTTACAGTAAAGCTTTTATCTTTTTCTTTTTTTAATAATTGTAAAGTTTTAAAAATACAAAGATAAAAAACTAACATAAACTAAGACAAATATAAAAAGTAAAAAAGAAATTCAAAAACGCAGAGAGAAAAATGTGAACAGAAATTTAAAAAAAAAACAAGAAAAAGAAGGAAAGAAATGACTTCTCCCTTCCTGTCGACAAGTATAATTTCTCACTCTCTCTAACATTTCAACCAAGATCTCTTCTTCCCATATTTCATCTCTTATCTATAGACAAAATATAAAACTTCATTATTCAATCTTGATAAGCAAAAGCCCCATTAAGAGTTACCAGAAGTAAAAGCACATAAATTTTAACCTTACTCAAATAAATCAGTTTCATAATCCTTTCCTTTTTTAAAAAACACAGTAACTTATTTTCTCTAAAAATAAAACAAGTTTCTTCTTCCCATATCTTATCTATAACGAAATCTTGAAAGCCTTATGATTCAAGCTTAGTCAAGAAAAGCCTATTAAGAGCTACCAGAAACAGCAACATATTAAAAATCTTAATCTTTAATGCCTTTAAATAGCATCCCATTTTAATTTTATAATTTTCTCTGTCTCTTCTCAAAAACTCCTTCACAAGTTTAACACATACCAGAAATAACATCTGCATTTGAATAAAAACAAAAAAACCCACCTCTTTTTCCCATTGTATCTATAAACCACTTTTCAAAGCATCCTCAGTCAGCACTGTACTTGAAGCACAGACCGAAATTTTCTACTTCAAAAACATTATGCAAAGACCTCCCTCCCTAAAGAAGGCTGTAATGCTGGGAAAGGTGAAAAGAAGAAGAGGACAAAGAGAAGCAAGGTGGATGGGATCAGTTACATTGGTGATGGGTATGCCAGTAGAATCCCTGAAAGATCTGGTTAATGAAGTGATATGTGGAAATGACCTTGGGAGACAGGTAGAAGAGCCACAGGCAACGGTCAGACAAGTGCCAGCTGAGCTCACAGAAGCAATGCAAGCATTGTCTGGCAAATGTCTCAGAATGGACATTTGGACTATTTTCTTGGACTGAAGGGATAAGAAGGGGAGAGATGTACTTTCAGTCTTGCAAGATTCCGTTACTATAATCTTACAATAAAGTTAGAGCTGGTACTTTTGTCTGTGCTTCTTATCTGGATTATTTTGCAAAGTTGATAGCTAGGGACAGATCATCATGGAGAAAAATCTATCTGATTGCTAAGAATCGATACCAGCTTGGTGGCACATAATCAATAAAACCCATAGACACATACATATACACATACACACTGCTCCAAAGTATTATTTTTTAAAAAGAAGGAAGACAAAGGAATTCCTGGTTTCTCTATCAAGAAATAAGTATACTAGTCTTAGCAAACTGTACATACATAAATATTTTTAATACTTAATATCCATGGTTGTTCATAAAGTTTTCATGATTTCATTTCTTACATATTTCTTTTAAATTATAAAATGTGCCATTTACAATTTGTGCATTCAAAGCAAAGATTAGAACATCATGCCTCACTCAAAACCCCACCAAAAATGGGGAAAATAATACGCTGCCTTGCAAGCTTTTAAAATTGTATGTTACAATGGTTTCTAAAATCACTCCAGGTTGTTTCTTACAAGTATATAGGTTTATGTGTAAGTTTAGTTTAAAATGCCAGTAGTTAAATAAAGATTGTATAATAACTCTATATGAGCAGTACATACTGGTCCTTCTTCAAACTGAAGTCCCCTGCTAGGTATAGTATAGAGTGATGATGAAAATTATAAAAGTAGCTGAAAAAAGCCTGGATGCTGTTTGGGGAGAAAAACTTTATATTACTTAGTCGAAGTCCATGGAGGAGATGCAAGTCTTTAATGGCCCAATTCATGTATTCCATGGCTCATATTGATACTGATAGACATTTAATTTACTTATGTAGGCAGGGAGCTCGTGGAAATCCTATTGAACTCTGGGTACTGCATTTGAAATATTATTGAGCTGCTGGCAATCTTTTCATAAAGGCGGCGGGCCATTGGTGTATCTAAGCATGGGATGGAAGGAGCGTGCAAAGTTATTTGAGAGGGTGCAGCTATAGTCCTCCTCGCTCGCTGGAACCAAGCAGGCGAGGGCCACCAGAAGCAGCAAGAGAAGCTGGAGAGGGAGAGCAGCTCTCAGCACCCTGAGGAAGAAGCAATGCTGTGGTTGCGACCGATGCCCCGGGTTTTCAGAACGGGAGGAACCGGAGCCACCTCTTGTGGGCCTGAAGAGAGAATCCAAAACAGAAATAAGCCAGTGTAACCCCGGAAAATGACATCTGGATTAGTGTGCTCCCAAAATAATATTTGCTATAAAATTATACGTGGCATCCACAATCAGTGATCCCAAATTTTCTGTATGTGAGGCTCAGAAGTCTGATGCACCTTTATTAAAAATTATCTTGTATCTCATATTTCCAATTCTACCAAATACAACAATCATCTGTCAAGCTAATTTAAGATACGCTTTGTCATATCAATGCCTAATAGTACAAATGATCTGGTTTTGGTATATATAATTTTAAGAGTTAGATTGAAGGATCCATGCATTAACAGTAGTTCTTTAGGAGGCTGGCCAGATTTTTTTTTTTAAAATATTCTTGCAAAAGTACAATATATCAAGATACAATTATTATCATCCAGTTAGTACATGTTGTATATTATAGCCTCTTTTTGCACTGAATCAGCATCAAGTCATTAATGTTTCATTCTCCTTTATTATAGTATAATTTATAACTCTAGAAAAAAATTATTCAGCAAAACCTAACAAAATGGCTCCCGGCTTGCCATGACAAGCATTTATTTCTAATTCAGAAGATACAACCACCCTTATATCTAGTGATTCATCAAAATGACTGTAGCATTGTTAATATTAAAGGGTGTGTTTATGTTCATTTTATTACTAGGGGGCAATTTGGGGCATCTCTCTAACCTTCCAAATATCAGGAAAACCATGAACCAAATTGCTGGTTTTATTTGACAAATGGAGACATTAATATCCAAAATAAAAAAGTGATTAACTGTTTAAGATGATAGGGCTAGCAAAGTGGCATCATTTGGTATTTTACGGCTTTGGATTATGAAAGTATTGAAAAGATATAGCACATTCAGCAACATCAGAGTATTCTGTATTAAAGTTTAATTAAACCCAGCCTTACAGTGCCACTTAAGGAAATCAATTGGCTAAAATACGGTCAAAGGGAACAGGTAGTGCTACTTAATTTCCACCTGAGACTTTACACAGACTCTTTTCTTGATAAACAGTTTTATTTCCATGGCTTTTACTTATTCCTCAGCAATGCCTATATGGGTACTACTGCCCTTTCCATTTGCACTTAGTGCGGTAAAGAGTGAAAGTTCTGATTACACAATCCTTTTGAAAAAAGGAAGATATAGATTGTATTTAGATCCTAGAGTTAGGCACATACAGGTATCCTCAACTTTCAACAGTTTGTTTAGTGACCGTTCAAAGTTATAATGAAAAAAGGGACTTATGACCATTGCAGCATCCCCATAGTCATGTGATTTACACTCGGATGCTTGACAAGTGTTTCATATTTATGACTGTGGCAATGTCCCAGCGTCATGTGATCCCCTTTTGCCGTCTTCTGATAAGCAAAGTCAATGGGGAAGTCAGATTCACTTAACAATTTTGTTACTAACTTAACAACTGCAGTGATTCACTTAACAAACGTGGCAAGAAAAGTCACAAAATGAGGCAAAAGTTACGTAACAAATTTTTCACCCAGCAACATAAAGTTTGGGCTCAATTGTGGTCATAAATTGAGGACTACCTCTATATGCTACAGGCATCGCGTGGAAATTAATGAAGAATAGCAATTGGTTCTCCTCCATTGCAATGATTTTGCATTGCTGGAATACCTGATGTATGATTCCTATGCTTAATTTTCTAAAAAATTCAGAACTGAAATCCTGGATTCAAATCTGTCTTCACCTGTGAGTCTTAGGTCAGAGAACCTGATTGTAGTCCTACAAATTAAGTCACCATAAGACTCTAGTTTCAGACTTTCATCAAACAGTAGTGTTCAAATTTCTTAAAAGTAAACCATTGGAGACTTGTACTTTTCACTGATCATTGCTTTCATTTAATCATTTGTTTCTAAATTGACTTGGACTATCGGAGATGTTTTAAAGATATCTTCATCTATTAATCCTTGGAAGTAGAATTCCAGGGTTTTCTTCTGAATACTATAGAAATATTTGTTCTCTTTAAAGAACTTTTGTTTTCTGTACCAATAGAATAGCAACACTTCTTCCTATTCACTTCTAGCAGCAGCCAGGTTTAGTCTCTGCCTTAGAACTGAATGAAGAGCTGGCACCTGAGGAAGTAATGTTCACCAGGTAATGGAGCAACTGGAGGAGGGACATACAATGCAGAATAAATAGAAGATCCATCATGATTGAATAAGAACCTCAAGAAGTACTCAATAAGAATGTACTCAAGGTAACTGGAAACATGGGACACCTTCTGCATCAACCAGCAGTTTATGAAAATGAACACCAAAATCCACTGAATCTATTCATATGGTTATTTACATTCTTCTTTGGATTTTCGTAATGCATTTTTTCATTTTTATTTTAAGGCTTTTTGTTTCTATTTTGCAATCTGATATCGTGCTATTTATTTTTAAACACAGTGATAATTTGTGTCCACCTTTGTTTTCATTATCCTCATCTTTCCCGTTCAGTTCAATGTCATCTGATGTTGAATATAGCCATTCCCCAGCTGTTTTTGATTTCTGCACATACATCTCTTCAGTTATCTATTATGCAATTCTTTTGTGAATCATCAAGCCCCATGTTTGACATCTGCTTTTTCTCTCAATGCTCTTTATTTATGGCCAAATGATATTTATTTTCCCTAAAAAAATAAAGGAAAAAAGTGGCAAGCCTTAACTTGCCAATGTGTAAAAACATTTCAGTTTTAATTGTTGAATTCATTTTTTCTTTCTTTTCTTTTTCATTTTAGATTTGTAACTGCTTATACTGGGTTGTAAGTTGATCTCAGATGGCTTATCTGTGTGGTTAAAACTATTTAGTAGATTTAATTAGAAATGACTATGATTTCAGTGGGATTTAATTGAGTTAATCTGGATTCAACTAGTAGTGTTATTATTTCTTCGCATTGATTGCACAATCATAACAATATTCTGAAGAAATTTAATTAATGAGACCTGAACAAGTCCACTGAATTGAATTTTAAACATTTAAAAGAAATTAAAAATTTAAATCTGAGATAATTTCCATGTATTAAGAAGAAAAAACTAAAATAACAAAAACATACAATGTCCTAGGCTGGGATTTTTAATATTATAACAAAGACATCCAGTTGTATTTTATACTTATTAAAAAGATCAGTTTTAATTCATAGTAAACTTCTCAATGAAATAAAAAATGTACATTTATATATCAAATTCTAGTTACTGAATTCTAAAAAGTGGGTAATGTCAGATTAAATAAATGAAAGTTTTAGGACTAAATACAGGCTTTCAGGATGAAAACCTTTTACTTTTTTTTTTTTTAAATAAACATTTTCCCAAATCCCTGATTAGGAGGCAAAAATCTAGTAACAAAAATCTGACTGTGTTCAAGTTAACTTGTTTTTTGTCTGTACTGTCTCATCGAATCCCACCAAGTTCTCATTAAATCTTAAGGTTATGCAGAAAACAGTTTAAAAAATCATGGGCTCAACAATACCATTTTATTTGACTCTGAGTTGAAGCCAGAAAAAGCTTTCAGTGGCCAGAAGACTCTTGTTCCATTATATTTTTTGTACTTCTTTAATGGAGAAGAGCATATGATCTTCCCTGATTGCTCCTCTCTGCTAGACAACAGTAGCAAATGGGCTATTTCAGTAAACAGAAGAAGCAGTCACCAGCAAAATTTACTTTAGTAAAGCAGTTCTGGTAGGAACTTGGGGATACGCTAGTGAAATAAAAGCTCTAGAATCTAGATATTATACATGGAGTAATAAAGTTCTTTGACATATGGGAGATCTAAGCTTTATGTGAACTCTTTTGCTTTCTTAAATGCTGCTGAATTAATTAACTGCAATGCTTGCCAAGGAATGCTCCCCTCCTATTTGTCTACATTTTTAATAAGCAACTTCATCTATAATAGTTATGGTAATTATATATATGTAGCTGAATCATTTGAAGTAGATTAATACACATTTTGTAATTGTGAACTCAAAACTGGAAGTTATGGACAATGCCAGACTAATGGACATTATCATATAGGCTATGTCTACTGTAAGACAAAAATTGATTTCTGATTGCAATTTATTCTGACCATATCACCGCTGCCTTTTTAAAATTCATTTTTTTTAGAAACTGGGTCTCATTAGATATAAGAAGTGAGATGAAGGAACTTGGTACTTGATGAACAGTTTCTAAGACTTCAGATTGGATCACTGGCGCCAAGTTCTAAACAGGCAATTTAAGGCAGCTCATAATGTAAACATCCTGGAGAAAAGGACACAATTACGGTACTTTAATCTGTGACATTTAATCACATGAAATATCTACACAGAATTAAATCCGGGCTAAATTCCAATAATATAAAGTAGTAGTTGAAAAGCCAAATAGGATAGCATGAAACTGTTATATACTGGTGATAGCTTTAGTCTGATCTGAGAATCCAAAAGATTCTGTTTGTAACGGGCAAATGAGATGCATTTATATTTATTCATCTAAATCGCTGTCCGGCTAACCTAAAGTTGTGTGGGTTAAATGACTTAGTTTTTAGTTCTTAAGTCTACTCTACTAAAGATTGCTGATCCAGTGCAAGATCAAACATAAGGTATTTAGATCAGAGGCATGTCAAAATATTAAAGGACACAATGACAGCCTGGCTCCTTTATCAGTTAAAACTGCATTACACATCAACCACAACCTGTCTGGCTTATATGCTTGATTAACTTTTCTATTCAGTAGAAACTCATTTGTATTCCATGCTTGTCTGGATGACAAATTGGGTTTTGTGTTGCACCGATGTTGTACTGCTAACAGATGTGTTAGTAAACACTGATGGAGAAACAGATCTGAGAGTGCTACATGGAAATCACAGCCAGAATGTGGGCAAGTTCCAAAGAGCTGCCAAATGCTCCAGAAATGCACCAGCTAGCTCATTATAATTCCAAAAGCAGCAGAAAAATGCTACATATTTGTCAAGAGAGAAGGAAGAAAACTGTCCACAGATACAGCACTTGCCTTACATTCCAATCTGCATTTTCTTTATTTCCCTAAAACCATCATCGTTCCTAAACTGCATTAAAAAACAGCACCATTTCTGTCGAGCAGGCATCCTTTTTGAGTGGCCAAAAAATGTGCAGCCTCAGAAAAATGGTATACTGTATATCTTAGTTTGATTAAAAACAAAATGCAACTGAAAGATAGTGGTTAAGCAGAAGGATAAACGTAATATATGAAGAAGGATGGCTCTATTTGCAAGTGATAATAAGCAGAATAATAAGCAGCCGGCTTGGTACATTTTCTGCCTTATTTGCCAGTAAAGTGGTTCAGTTATATAGACAAAATTGTATCTTTTTTTGAAAAACGCTGGGCATTATGAATAACAAACGGTAATAAATGCTGTTTTAGCATTCCTTGCTCCTCTCCACGTGTCCCTATATTTCACAACATTTTGCTGGGGAATGGACTGCTACAAATGTTTCTGCTTTTGTAGAACTGATTTCTTCTATGTTTGCACAAATTATACGTTTGCTATATAAAATAATTTAACCCAAAGAACCCCAGGCTGTTACATTTGGAAACATAATTCAACAAATGCTAGGTATGCCTGTTCCAATGAAGACTGTCAGTGCAAACTTTAGCTCCACATATTTCAAGGAGATCTTGCTATTTCTAACTGATTGTTCGGGATTTAGTAAGCCTCTGTCACTAAGGAGTGGGCAGGTGTGATCTATATTTTCTGACAGTTCCATGTTTTTGTTATGTTGTGCTATTTGTATTTAAACAACACCTGTTCACATTGAAAGGGGGTCCTAGAACATAAATGTGGTTATACGTTTTGGAGTCTTCATTCCGATTCGGGTCATGCAAGAAAAGAAAGCCAGGAACAGAAGGTAAATTGTTGATTATAAATAGATAAAAACACACGTATTTCACAACAACAGAATGCAGAAGCAGTGTTAGCTGCAGGCAAGACAGATTTCTAGACAGGTGTGAACATTGAAAGCTTCAATTTGTTAAATCTGCTTTCTAGTAGCTTTGTAGAGGGTGCCTATGCTGCTTGCAGAATGTCCTAAGTAAGCAAGATTAAAGCTGAAGTAAGGATGCTAGCTTGCCATGGAAGCTGTTCTAGTGTGAAGATGTGTTTCTGCCATATCGTCATTTGCCATCTTCATTTCAGCTCCTGAAATTTGGCTGGGCTCATGAAATTTGAAAACCCACAAACGGAACAAAACTTTGAGGAATATAAGTTTAGAAAAAGAATAAAAAGAGAGTGTTATGAATTTTATTCAGGTTTCTGGGTTTTTTTTGAATTCAGATATGCTGTACTGGCTTATTGCCTGCTTTAATTTAATCTCTAGAAACAAAGAGGATGATAAAAAGTTTTTTGCCATGAATCCAGGAATGGATTCTCCATTTGTATTTTAAATGCAGTCTCATGAATGTTTAATACAAATGCATTCCAATGCATCTAAAGAATTTAGATAAGGGATATTGATTGCAAGCCAAAGTTAAAAACTAAGAGCAATCAGGTTTTACTATTTCAAATCAAATTTGGACTGAAGGAAAAATTAATAATTATAGAAAAATACTCAAGCTGTTGATATCAGAAATGGCCAAGCATCCTTGATGGGCAATTTCCATCATCCTCTTGGAATTCTAGAACAGAGTGCAGAAACTAGGAGAATAAGGTACCTGCTATGTGGACTGCTGACAGAGGGTCCAGGCTGTGAGACATTACATTTGCCTCGTGGCTGTTTGCAATGAACAGGGGTAAAGAAAGAAAAATGTTCAGTCCAGGCAAATAAAGACAAGCTACTGATGAAATCAAACTAAAAAGAGCAGCAAAGGAAACACAAAATCAAATGAAGTAACTAGTTCCCATGAATCAAGGAAACTGGCTTTTCTTTTCCCACTTTTAATTGAACATGAAACTGAACATACAGTGTAAACTTAAAAATGACATTCTAGCCAATAAAGCAATATACAGGAAATGCAATGCAGTTTGTTTGTTTGTTTAAAAAAAGGGTATGGAAAATATTTTGGATTATTTTACTATTTAATTTTTAAAAGTATTGTTTTTTTTTTTTATCTTGCATCAACTTTAGAAATTGAGTAAATAAAGTTCCAGTCTTACATAGCAATATTCTATTTCTCATCATTAATAGAGTTTTGGTCCAGTTCATTTATGATCCTGGCTGTGCAGAAGATGCTATAGACACAAAATAGCACTGAGTATGTGTGTAACCAGGAATTGGACTATCACCAAAGTGATCACAGCTGGCAAATAAGGGAAGATGCTGTGAGAATGTCATAATGGACTGAAGTGCAATGACTGGTTAAGGTGCTCGCCTGGAAACCAGGAAACTGTGAGCACAAGTCCTGTCTTAGCCATGAAAGCCAACTGGTTGACTTTGGGCCAGTAGTTTCTCTCAGCCCAACTCACAACACAGGACGGCTGTTGTAGGGAAAAAGAGAAGGAAAGAATATTATCCACGTTTGAGTTACTTAAAAAGTAATAATGGTGAGATGAAAATCTAATAAATAAATAAAAATAAAGCCAAACAAACCACATTGTTAAATCATCACGGAATGAAGCTAGAAGGAATAAATTCTTTTTTTGAAATATTTCAAAAAAAGAAAAAGAAAAAAAAGCATGATTAAGTCTGAACTATTTTTAACGTTAAACTTCACAAAACTATTCCCTATGTTATGAATGGACATGGCCACCAAACAGACACTGTGTTAGAAATGTAAAATGCAAATTTTAAACATTAAAAATGGAACTTGGAAATATATTTTTAACATTTGGTAAAAGTTCCTTGCTCCAGTAAATTAATAATTCTTTTTTCGTTAATGAACAGGAAACACTTTTACAAATATTTAACACTTAATTAAAAATAATGACTTAGGAACCACAGCTGTTGTGATTTTTGCAGCTTTCTCTCTTGAAAAGCCAGTGTTCCTTTAAATTCTTAAACAAGTAAAGGCAGTGAAATCAATTTTCGGAGGCCATAAAGCTCATAATGGCAGAACCAAGATGTAATTTTATAAGAAAGCAAATGAAAATTGACAGTTCTGTAAAAGTTAAGGAAAGCTGGATAATAATTAAATAAATAAAATAATTTTTAAAAAGGAGAGGAATTAAAATCAAGTACACGCTAGGAGTCAAAGTGAGGCATGGGACAAGATATACTATTGCACACAGTCTTTATTTTTAGGAACAGAAAAAGAAGAATGGAAAGTGGTAGGAGGCAGTTCCGGGACTGCAAGAAAAAGAACTGAAAATTGTGTAAAACAATGGTATTGCTATTCCTTGCATGTGGGGGCTGGGAGGATCTCTTGGAAATCTCTTGGTTTCAGAACAAAAATAGCTTATTTCCTCTCTCTTCAGAGACATCATTATCTAATTGGTCAGAATTAAAGAGTAGCAATTGTAGTAGGTTTGGTCAGGTTTCTAAATTTCTTTTCCAAGAACATAAAAAATCTAACTTTGTACCTCAAATACTGCAAGCATTCTCTATCTGTATAAAGGTAGTCCTCGCTTACTGACTCCCTCATTCAATAACAGTTATATATCGGTGTTAAAAAATGCAACCAACCCTTGCATATATAACTGCCGCAGTATCCCACCATCATGTGGTTGCCATTCAGGCACTTCACAACTCGTGCACATTAACAATCCTTTCAGTCATGTGATTGCCATTCATGTTCTTTGTCACTGGCTTAGGTCACAGGGAGTTAATTGAGAAGGCAAGAATAAAACCATTTCATAGTCACGTGGTATTTTGCTCCGTGGCTGAAGCGTTTAGCGACAGAGTTTCAAGTCCCAATTGTGGGTTGCTAAGACTACCTGTATGCTGAATTTGATATAAATAATAAAATTACTTTCTTGTATCCTCCCCACTTTCCTTTTACTGCTCTTTCTCAAGAACAATTTTATCATAGTTTCAGTCTATCTCTGCAAATATTACCATACTGCTTTCAGTGCTCATAATTTTCATTGTACCTCACAAGGCCTAGCGTGTGGAAGAGGCTATTTGCATGACTGCTGTTTTAAGATTAAATTTGGGCCGTATCTCCCAAGACCAGAGTACAGTGGCTAGTCCCACAGAGTTATTGCCTCCCATATTTCTACTTTGAGCAGTTAGTCTTAGCACCAGAACTCTGAAAATTCTATTATAATGTTTGCTTATCAGTTAAACTCAGATCATGTGTTGATTTGTTACTGATGAACTGATTAAACTACCGTATATGCCGGCGTATAAGGCGACTTCTGCAAGCGCTAAAATCAGTGCCAAAGACGGGGATCGTCTTATACGCCGAGTCGTCTTATACGCCGGAAATACTGGTAGTTTCCGGCGTATAAGACGACATTCTAGGAATGCGGCCCGGCGATAAAGACGGGGGTCGTCTTATACGCCGGTTCGCCTTGTACGCCGGCATATACAGTACTCCAGTATAACAAGCCAAACAAAAACTTGAGCAATCAGACATAGGAGTTGTGAGGCAAGTCAAGATTCTGAAAGGCTTCCATCCCTTAGAGCTGTTCTTCCCTTTCAAAAGAAGCAGCATATTATATATACACCTGCCACATTTTGAGTCCTGATTCTATTTGTATTTATTCAGAATTTTAAAATTCTGACTTTGATGCATGGAAAAAGATGTAGAAGGTTGAGGAAGCAGCGTTTTTTTAGAGGTAGAGGGAAGGAATTATTCTGGACTGGTGATTTTCTTGGGAACCCATGACAAGAGATGTTTGAGACTTTTCACCTGGCTATAGCTATCTGGTGCTTCCACCCAAGAACTGGCAAAAAATATCTGGCATGACATTACCATTCTCTGTCGGCTTGGAGTGCTTCTTCCAGATACTGGACTGAGGGATCCTGATGTGTCCAGTTCATCAGCAGAAGACCAGGAGGATAGGTCCTGAGTGGTAGTTATTATATAATTACAATCATCATCATCATCATTTTGCACAAGTGAAGTTTTCTGGTTGGTATGCAATTTAAAAACATAAAGCAGTAGAGCTATTGTGAAATCAAGAAGTCTTCATCTGATACCCCAAAGGAAAGTCTCTTGGAAGAGCGTTCCCTTGGAACAGTCTCTTTCCCATCACTGCTCTCTTCAGGTGCTTCTTATTCAGTAGGAACACTTGGAGAGTAGTTCAGATCAGACCCTTGGGATACAGAGAGGTACATATGAAAGAAGACAGCAGGGTTCAAGATATTTTTTGAAAGAAGGGCTTCAGAATGATGGGAACGCGTGCAAAGCACCTCTCTTCAATCAGATGGGTAGCCATAGTTTTTTTCCTTTTTCCAGGCTGCTTCAGAAGTTTTTCCTCACTGTCTTTCAATCTGCATACGTGTACACTCATTTCACTTTCTTTTGGGAAAAACAGCAAAGTAGCAGCAGACTCAAATCAGAGGCATAAAGCTTTTTTTTTTTTTACAGTGTGACCTTCAGTGGCAGTCCAGAACCCTTCCAAATTGCACACCTGGTAATGTGGGAGAGTCATTTCTACAGGGAAAAAAGGTTAAAGGCACTCAGCTAGCTAGATGATTCATAATTGAAATCTCTTATCTTCTCTGAAATAATTCCAGCTTACTGCCCTCCTTTAGTGGGTATCTAGTGCTTATCAGTGTTAAATGAAAAGAATAGTGATGGATATCAACACACTTTGGGACATCTCTGCATTATACCACCCCTTCGCCATAACAGTTATAAAGAACATGCGACTTCTGCTTCCGGATCGCAGCACGTTCAGCCATACAAAAAGATCTCTGTCTTTGTCGGCTGTTTTCCCTCCGCCGGAAGACCCTTATGCGGGTCTTAAATCGACCTGGAGGGGCAACTACCGTCGAGGAGGCTCTTGCTTGGCTGAAGTGGAGCAGCAGCTCCCCCTACAGTCCGAGCTAACTCTGTAGGGCCAATGGAGAAGACGATAGGCCAGTAAAATGGCCGATCACTTTCTGTGCCAGCTGAAGTCAGAAAATCATTTAAGCATAAAGAACCACTGTGGTGAATCGGGTGAGGCCTTTTGTCCCTCTCTCTGTCCTGACTATTTGCCTGTAAAAAGTTTTTGATCACTTCCCTGTCTTAAGAGAGCAGCTTCTGTCTACTTGGGAAAGAAAGTTTTAAAAGAACTAAAATAGTTAAAGCTTTATTGACTACTTGATTTTTTTTTTTTGGATACCTAAGGGCCCTGAAAAAAATAAAAAAGTAACCTATATTTTTTTACTTTATCTATTATACTGGAGATACCTGCTTTTGCTTTTTATGTTTCCCGGAAGAGATAAACTTTTACCTACTTGGAAGAAAGAGTTTACGGTCCACTGAGGACATCTTGTGGTGAAAAGTGCCATTACAACTGTATAGGTGGATATTTGTCAACCTTTTTGAAATATAGCCTCCACTAAAAGATTAAAGACTATTCTTGATCAAAGTCTATTTCACCATTGAAATGGAAGAAGCTTACCCACAGCTCGTCTATGAACTTATATTGGAAAAGATTTTGGAAACTACAAACTATATGAAAGCTTATATCAAATCTTGGAGAAAAATCAGAGATGATACTAGAGAACCACAAATTGACTTTCAACCATCAGTTCAAACTACAGACCAAAGAATAAGGGAGGAAGAACAGAGCAACCCTAGAGAGGTTCCCACTCATCAAGTTATACAACTGAATGAGACAGAGGAACTGCACTTACAATTCAATTATGAACTTACAGTAGAAACTATTGAGCAAATTAATTCTACACAATCCTACTTACGACCTATGGAGAACATTGACAATCAAAGAATAACATTAACTGACCTATCTGATATCTCAAAAATAACAGGGCTTGACATTCAGGTATAAGTTATGAAAATTGTGACAATGTGGACAATCAACTAGCAACATTAATAAGGAATAAAATTGACTATACTATTCAAACGATAATGGAAGAAAGAGAAGAGAATTTTGACTATTTTGATGTATTAAGAAATAGCTTTACTCAAATGTTAGGTTTTATGATGTTGAGGCTTTATCTTGGAAACTGGTCTGACATAGAAAGAAAGCTAGAGTTAGGTTTAAAAATGTGGTTTAAAATTCCGCTGAATGGGTTAAAAAGTTTGTTGACACTTGGATTGTTTTAATAACAAATGAAATAGATGATTCTGTAAAAGGATATTTTTTGTAATAATATTTGGTATTAGAGATGATAAATAGTTGGGGGGGGGGTAAATTTTACTTAATTGATTGATAGAATATATATTTAAAATAGACAGAAATGTAGTTCTTTGGACTGATATCTTTATTTTAGCCAAGATAATTATTTTGTAATAGAGGGAGAAGAGGTATTTGTGATAAGAGAAATAACAGTATTCATAAATGATGTATTAGTTTAAGCAATAGGCTATATTTTTAAAAAAATGTAAGAATGTTGCTTTTTGGGATAATATATTTATTTTAGATAGAATCATCATGATAGGGAAAAGAGAAATGAGGGATGCCCAAAGTGTTAATATGTCTACATAAGCTTAATTGGAATATGGTTAATTTCTAAAATAGTAAAGCTTAAAAACAGGACTTGGATTCTGATAATTGAAATGTGATTGATGACCGATTGGATTGACTGAGCTTTTTTTTTATAAATGTAATAATTTTAATTGGTAAAATAATATGTGGGAAATAGAGAGGGAACTTTTAAGGAATTAATCTGTGTGATATATGTATGAGTTTGTTCTTGGATAATTGATAGCCCAATCACCACATTGTTTCTTAAGCACTTTTATGTAAAAATGAAAAAAAAAACAATAAAATTTCTTCATAAAAAAACAGAATATGCAACAAATGTGTAAGAAAATTCACACAAAAAAAGACAGTAACAAAACATTGGTGTATATAATACAGAGCAAAATAAATATAGGTTATGCTGTAACTCTTTATTTAAAAGGGGAAAGGAGAGTCCATTAAAGCCAAATGTCTGCAAAATGGTGAATTAGATTTTTAGAGCACAAAATATACTTACACGTAAATAAGCCCACTAATAATGGTGAATATTCATTTTGAAGGGAAAAAACCAATCATTGACTTTGTTCATTGTTCAAGGAAAAGTCTTTTATTGCTTGAAATTTAGGCTAAACTCAAACCCAGCTGATTTTTGTTTATGGAATCCAAATTCTTATAAACCGAGTTCTATTAAACCAAGGGTTTACACTATAGTTAGCTTGGGAATTTATTAATAAAAGTTTACTTCCTTGCCATCAAGTGATGAATACTGTACTAGAAAGAAAATTTATCTTTATAGAGGTAGTAAGAGTATAATAGTATAATATCAACAACATGATAATACTTTTAAGGTTTATAAATTTTAACATGGGTAGTACATGGCAAAAAAGTACAAAGAATATGAAGGCATTCTGGTAGCAAAAATGCAAATTGGTAAGAAATTGGCTATTATGACTTGCCATGATCAGAATATCATAAAAAAAACTTACCAACTGACTACTTGAAATATCTAGAATCTTCTCTAGTTCTCTAATGTGACGTGTCACATCTTTCAGGAGCATTTTTAATCTGTTTCCAATGACATGGACCTTTTCCTTGGCTTCTAGACAATCCCTGCCTTCAGCGTTGACTAGCAGCTGGCAGGACATGTCTTGAAGAGAGGCCACTTTTAACTGAGATTCTAGAAGCTCACGTCGTATTTGCTGTTGGGAACAAAGGTGAGATATTTTGTGTGCCTTAAAACAACGTATAAGAGGTCAAAATGAAATTCATTTTTCAAGAATAACAGTTTCTTCTGGTCTGCTAAGAATGGGATTAATAATGCTCTTTGAAGAATAATTTAGCACAACTTTCCGGTAAGAAATAAAGAATTAGCATTAACCAATAAATTCCCCAAACAGGATTTGATACTGTCACTTATTTCCCCATTAACGTTCTCCAGACATCCCTAGACGTCTGTTTATTAAAATAAAAGTATACTACCATAAGAAGTCTGTGATGATCCTGCAGAGTATCACAGTCATGATTTGGATTGATAGGTACTATTTCGTTTTTTCTCCTGTCGATGTTCTCCAGCCATAATAATAAGCCATGGCTCATCTCATGGAAATCCTAAAAGCAATGGGTAAGAATTTAATAATGCTACCTACAGTAGCTCTGTCATCTGAGACAGTTATTCCTGCAGTTTCCTATTTATCTCACTGTTGCTGGCTGTGGAATTCTGGGAGTTGAAGTCAACAAGTCTTAAAAAGTTGTCACATTTTGAATAGAATAGAGCTGGAAGGGACCTTGGAGGTCTTCTAGTCCAGCCCCCTGCTTAAGCAGGAGAACCTACACCATCTCAGACAGGTGATTGTCCAGTCTTTTCTTGAAGATCTCCAGTGATGGGGCACCCATGATTTCTGGAGGGGTAGGCTGTTCCACTGGTTGATTGTTCTCGCTGTCAGGAAGTTTCTCCTTAGTTCCAGGTTGCTTCTCTCCTTGATTAGTTTCTAACCATTGTTTTTCGTTCTTCCCTCTGGTGCTTTTGTGAACAACTTGACCCCTTCTGCCTTGTGACAGCCCTCAGATACTGAAACACTCTTATCATGTCTCCCCTATTTCTTCTTTTCTTTAGACTAGCCAAACCCAAGTCCCGCAGCCGTTCTTCGTATGTTTTAGCCTCCAGGCCTTTGATCATCCTGGTTGCTCTTCTCTGAATTTTTTCCAAACTCTCAACATCTTTTTTGTGATATGGTAATCAGAATTGGCTGCAGTATTCCAGGTGTGCTCTTACTAGGGCTTTGTAAAGCAATACTAGTACTTCACGTGATCTTAATTCTATGCCTCTGTTTATACAACCCATACCCCTGTTCTAAGTTATTGCTTAAAATGTTAGCAACTAACTCTGTGCTTGCATCTCCTTTCTCCCCTTAAAATTTATTTTAACAAAACACTTTCTGATGTATTAAAACTATAGCTCATTGTAATATCTGAGGTAACAGAATTTCTGCAGGCAAGGAGCAAATCAAGATTTGTAATACTGGTTTGCAGTGCTAGAGTTTTAGAGGTCATAGTAAGCTAAAAAATGTTGTAACCAAATAAATATTTTTTAAAAAGAAAGAAAAATGCATGGGTGTGCTGTATGTCATTTTCTTCATATTTCAGACTGTGATTTGGAGAACGAGAATATGAAGATAGCATGAAAATGGAACATAACTTATCTTAAATGGGGTTGAGCTTTTTTATGCTGAATCCTGTTGCTTTTTACAGCCTGGAGTGAACCAATTTGTTAATGCTGGACCATGTATAAGGCTTGGTACTATACTAGTTTGCTAAGTGATATTAGGAAACTGTTGTTTAATTACAACTGAAATCTTATAAAAACTACCTTTCAAGGAGAAAAATATCTCCAAAACATTTTCAAAACAGGCCATGAATATGTGCACACCTACTACACTACATCCAGACACCAAAAAGAAAGTTTTGTAAAAGCCAGAACAGACCTGACATTGCATGAGAGCACTCTGTAGGGAGCAGCGCCATTCTTCTAACATAGAACAGACATGGTCCCAGCGCATGTTCATTTGAGACAGTTGTTCCTGCAGTTGCTTGCTTTCCTCACTGTCCGACTGCATAAATTCTGAACTGCATAGGTTGATGGACAAAACGATGGCTTTGCGATTGTCAACAGCCTTCTGTAGCTCCTTGGAAATAGCATAGTGGTAGTAGAGAAGAAAAGAAGATAGGAAAAAAAAACTGCTAGAACCTTTTCAGAAAACAAGCTTCTCCATCTCAACATTTCATCCATTAAAGATAGTTAAATGTGTTTTTTTCTTAATGATTACTGTGCTATATTTTTGAAATTATGTTCGATAGCTGGGTAGTAATAGGCACTTCTTAAATATCTTACTATTTAGAGCAGAATTCATAACAAACTAATACATTGTTTTATAAATTAAAGCCCATAGGCACGGCAGTATTTGAAAGCACCTTGGCAGACCTCAGGCTAAGCTTATAATTGGCCTATTAGAGCTTATGTACACCTGAAGAAATAGTATTGTTTCAGTAGCTTCAATGCAAATTTAGGAAAGAATTTTGTAAAGTAATCTGATCATTTTTCTTCATAAAATGAGCGGGTTTGAAATTCTGACAATAAAGCATTTTTTTAAAATATCTATCTATCTATCTATCTATCTATCTATCTATCTATCTATCTATCTATCTATCTATCTATCTTTGGTATAAAAAAGATAAAATCTCCTCCTAGCCCATCTCAGCTTCTGCTGCCTTCAGGGAAACATCCATGAAAGGAAATAAAATGTATTCTATCTGAACAAATAAACAAGGCAGATAACCTTAAAACAAATTCCAGCTGAAAACCTACTTTCAGTTTTTTAATCCGGAACTCAATGGTCTGTATGTCTGTGCTAAGATCAAGGCAACGCAATTGCTCCAATTCCTCTTCCGTTTCTCCCAGCCAAACCCAGATATTGTTTAGGTCAGAACTGAACTGCTGCCACTGTTGAAGATTCTGCTTCATTCTCAGTTCTTTACTTAAGGCTTGGGCCTGAATTAACTCCCATCGATCAATCACACCTAAGAAAAGAAGATCTTGCTTTGTAAAAGTCAGGTTTTAGCCTTCTGTTCAAACTGAATTTCCCAATGTTTTATCACACAAGTATGATGAAGGCACCAGAATGAGTTCCCATCCCAGCCTTTCCTACTCTCCCTTCTGGCTTCAGTTACCCACCTGAGTAGGCAGATGACATTCAGCCCTATAAGAACAGAAGCAGGGAGTTATCATAAGAGCCCTCTCTACCCTGTACCAGACATTGGCTGGATCTGACACAATGGTTATGTACATACCTGAGTTTTGATCCGAATTTAAGCTGAGAGAAGCATACATTTAAGAATCGTACCCAAATGAAAAGTTACTCTCCCTCATATTAATAATAATAACAACAATAATAATATAACTTTATTGTCACTTTGAATGTCCACCAATTGGCATACATCAACATGACATTTTGTTGCCTACACTCTCAAAGGGTCACCACCTCCGATATACACTCCTTTTTCGTGGCCAGCTCAAATCCATTTTAGTCTCTAGGGAGCGAACAATGGCAAACAGGACAGATAGAAACAGAGCTCCATGTGAATTAGCCCGATAAACCTCGCCTCCTTTTCTTTTTCTGATCCTATCTCTTCTACCTTTTCCTTAAAAGGGCCTTGCTTCTTTTCGCCCCTGGGGCATGCTGCCGCTGCCTCTGATTCTTCCAAAAGCTTCTCTCCCTTCCTCTGGGCCTGCTGACAGCCTCATCCGGTTCTTTCGCTCCATAAGCCCCAGGACCTCTCCTCCTCTGCTTCCTTCAGAAACAGACCTGATTTGCATATAATCTGTTGCTGTGCCAGCAGTCAGATTTTGCTGCTGGCAGAACAATTTCAAACAATGCAAACAACTTTTAACAGTCTCACCAACAGTTCCAAAACAGCTAAAAGCTGTCGGTCATATGTTAGCTTAGTCCTACTACGTTGCTCAAAGAATTAAAACTTTCCCGATCATGTGGCCTATATTCCTCCAAAATTTTTTCACCTTCGAGGGCCAATGTAGCTGCAGCCAATCCAGGCGCCGCCATCTTAAGTCTCCTTGTTCAATGGCATTATAACTTCAAACAGTCGCTGAACACGAGTTTTTAAACAAGAACTACTTGTAAATTACTGGAAAGCTACAAGAATCAGCCCTGGGAAAAGGAATGAATGTTTGCAGAACAGGACTCTTTAAGACCTACTCAGAGGAGATGGGATCAGGATTACTTTGACCCGATTTCATAAGGGTTTGAATCATAGCTGTGAATTCTCCTTCACGAAAAACCCTACCCAGTTTCCAAATTAAAATCTACTAAGTCACTAACTTATACTATTAATAAAGGAAGATTTATCATTAAAAAACTAAACTTTATGCTATTATTACTAGAGTACTAGGCGTATGATAGAATGTTCAATCTGACCAGATTATATCAATTTCTATTAAAATAACTTTTTATACTTGTATTTACAACCAAAATACTACATTACCACAATAATTAGTCCACATCTATTTTTTTCCAAATTCATTTTCAATGAGGTCACCTATATTAATGGTTTCAATTTAATCCAGAACTAAAAAAAATGACCAGAAACTAATTTACAAACAAAATGATTAAGTGTTGAACAGAAAAAAAATTGTTTGTACAAAAGGATCAAGGCTTAAAGTTGTGAACCTGCTACAATTGTTCTGTTCCCTCTTGTCTCCTGGATGCCACTGATTTTATTAAAAGAGATAATATCCTAGATCTAGGTATATTCTCAAAATCATTTCAGAAACTAATTAAATATCCACAATTGTTATCTTGATAAAGAGTTAAGTTCCAAGCATATTGAAGTTGCCTTAGCGCTAGTGCCTGCTTGTGCCTCAAAGTGATTAGGAACATTAATTGTGTGATTCCCAACTGATCTCAAGGTATGTCCCATCAAATAGGACCACATCTCTAATCTCACCATAGGTCCTAGTGGAATACAATGGGGCTAGGAAAGAGAGGGCATTCAGATGTACGGATAGTACCCTGTGTGCATGGTAAATTATTACCGCTTGTTTTTCATATATTTAGATGGAGGTGTGACTATTACTTACCAGATGTTTGTGTCTCTGTACTGTTCAGGTTAATAAATCCAGACAGCTTTTCCTCTTCTTTTTTCAGTTTATGTTCAAGCCGCCTTACTGAATCTATACTCCTGCTGCACTCACCCAGAAGCTTCATCTGTTTTTTAAAAGAACCCCCCAAATATCTTTTCAGTAGCCATATTTCCAGTTTAGCTAAGATTTGGGGTTTAGTCATAATTTTGACAATTATTTAATATGTATACAAGCTTACTTGGATCATTGCATTTGTACTATAATACAAACATTAATTAGAAGGGGCATGCAATGCATTGAACACACACAATAATGACAATGAAAAAATAATTTCTGCCAATTGTTTTGCAAACTGTTTAACTAGATAAAACTCAGAAGATTCATTATAAAAATGTGTGGATGATTATTTGTATGGCTGGGTTGAGGATGAGCAAAACAGGTGAGATATAAATAGCATTTATTTGTTGCATGTATGTTAAGAATCCATAATTTCCACTAGCATTTGGAACTATGAGATATCCATCCATCCATCCATCCATCCATCCAGAATAATCCTGGTCCACTTTGTATGTTTCAAGATGGACTTGTGGCCTGTGATAACTTATGCCACTATTAATTTGTTAGGACAGCAGCACTTCACATTCTTTTTAAGGTTAGAAGTTACCGTTTCTGTACATTGAGTCGTTCAATTTTATATCCAGCCAGTAGGTAGCAATGTTCATAGTACTTACATATCCTTTGTAGCTAGAATCTAGCTCAGGCCCTGTAGGGGTTTTACTGCGGATTATATTCTCCGTTTGCTGTATTTGAAAACGACTTGTGTCCAAAGCTTTGTCAAGCTGCCGAATATGTGTTTCCAAGGAACCTGGTTCTCCTGCAGTAATTATACAAATGAGATGTTATCAACTCAAGCAGCTAAAATATCTCAGACTGATAAAATGGAGAGTGGGGTTAATTAGGTTAGGAAGCATGACTGAATAGCATGTCTGTGACAAATTAAATCTACAAGTAATTTGCAAATGGGTAAGTAATTGAGGACAAGTGATTTTTTTTAAGGAGAAAATATATACTATTGACCAAAGCAAACTATTTTTAGAAATTGCTCTGAACGGAAGGCAAAATATTCTACTTGTATTATTGCATCTTCAGACATTTTTAAAATATTTGTGGTGTTCTCACTAGGTAAATAAGAAGAGTGTTTGAGAGAGAGAAAAAACTACATTCTGTTTTCCTTTCAAATAATTTCATATCCCCTACAATTTGCTTCAGACTGCAGTAGTATATCCCAGATGAAAACAAATGGCTACTTTTGGATAAATTACAAAAACAAACAAAAAATCCCCAGAAATTTGAGTGATCCATTAATTTTCTTTCAAATTCAGAGATGGGATGCTTCCTTGTGTCTATTTCTAGTTTTCTAGCATGCAAGGAAAACAGTATGACCCAAACCCTGAATATTTGGGTTTTATATATCTATATTTTACAGATTTTTTTTAAAGTAGAAAACTAAACTGCAAAGCAGTAAAAATGACTCCAGGATACATATTTGCTATTAAAAAAGACACAGCACCTTCCTTTATTACAGACATAATCAGAAATACTTGGAGAATATTCAGCATTCATATTTTATGCTTTAAAAAAACCTCTTCCGGAATAAAATCCAGTTACATCTACCTCTCAGCATAGTAGAAATTATTGGCGGTACTAAATCTCTCTCTTCGGATGCAAGTTCCAAACAGAAATAGTAAAACTGAGGAATAGTGGAAAAGATGTGATGTCTACGCATGGAACATAAAGGAGAGAGGAGATCTTGTGAGAGCAGAGGTCAGCTTGTGCAGTGTGTAATGCCATCCAATATTTTCAAATTGTACAAGAAGGTCTGATAATGCAGAGAAGGGAAGCCAACCTGACACTACAGGTGGTCCTCAACTTATGACTACAATTGAGTCTAACATTTCCATTGCTAAACAAGGCAGTTGTTAAGTGCCTTTTGCCCCATTTTGCAATCTTTTTTGCCACAATTGTTCAGCGAATCAGTGCAATTGTTAAATCAATTGTTAAATCAATTGCACTGCCGTTAAGTGAATTCAGCTTCCCCCGTTGACTTTGTTCATCAGAAGTCAGTTGGGAGGGTTTCAGATAGGGATCATATGACCCCCGGCACAGTACAAATGTCATAAATACATGTCAATTACAAAGTTCCCGATTTTGGATCATGTTATCAGGGAGATGCTGCAATGGTCTTAGGTGTGAAAAATGGTCATAAGTCACTATTTTCAGTACTGTTGTAACTTGGAACAGTCACTAAACAAACGGTTGCAAATCCAGGACTACCTTTATATTGGTTCAGTTCCACCCATGTAATGCTTATTGGCCTTGCAAAACCTTCCTTATAGTATAGCACAAGAAATGTATACAGTTGGTGATATTAGTTATTTCTTATCTGAATCCAATACAATATATATGGATGCATTTTCCCTCAGCTCACATAATATGAGACAGGGATGTTAGCACTATAACTCTGTATTATACTTTAAAAAAAAGAGAGACCTCAAATTTTGTGAGTTTGCCAAACATCCAACTGGAAGCAACAATATTTTATAAGGTATGTTTTGTGTGAGAAAATAGTTTTTAATTTGTTGGTGCATCTGAGTGAATTAGAGTGATTGGTTAAATAATGAATAAAGCAGCAGATGTGTTAAGAAAGCTCTACTAGAAGTATTTTAGGATTATAGAAATTTTAGGCTTTTTAATGCCTACCACAGACATTTTTGAGAGCATTTTCAGTATGTTTTATATAGGCTTCAGGGCTCTCAGGAATCACTACATCTGCAAAGATAAAACACAGCCATTGATTCTTAGCAATAATTATTGAAAGGAATCTGTAAATTTCAAAAGAAAATAATTTACCTAGTTTATCCACATTTTGCTTAGAGAAAGAGAACTGAAATTCATCACAGTGTCTGGTCTATATCCAATACTATATTGCTATAATAGTAATCCTTAATGAAACAGACTTTCTCTTTCATCCACCGATCCCAAAACTCTTTTCTAGACTATTTTAGATGCTTAGGGGATTCCAGAGCACATCTGACAAAAACATGGAGGGCACAAAGAGGCAGTGTAAGGGGAACTCCTTAATGAAAATAAAACCCTTATTACATTAAAGTGGAAGTAACTCAAGTAAAGACAGATCTTAAATCCAGTGTCATCACAAGTTGGAACCTATTCTATAATTTCAAACCTGGAAGTAATGTAGTGCAAGAAAATAGCATAACCAGGTGCAAGATGCCACTGTAATGATATGTGAGCAATATCTAGAGAGACTGGGTGAAGAAATGCTGATCAGATAATTGAAGGCACAGCCTGCAGCTGCATAATGGGTGGAGAAAGACATTCAGAAAGGATCCTCCCTAGTTTCTCAGGCTGTCAAGGAGAAAGAGTTGTATATTTAAACTTGCAAGATTTTGTTAACGTAGCCTTATAATAAAGTAGAATTAGCTTATCTGGTCATGTTTCCTGTCTGGTCTACTTGGGAAAGCTGACATGTATATTCCATGATGCTTATCTCATGCAAATTCCATGATTTTTCTAAGAACATCTTAAATTATTTTTTTCAGTTGGTCATCTATGCTATTATACACATGGGCATTGTCACATATACATGCCATTCTTGAAACATAATAATGAAAGAGACTTTGACCAGACCTCCAAACCTATTTTTTATGTATCCTTGGTAGCCTTTCGGAAGTCCCTCAAAATGTGGCTCTGTCAACAGGTTTGGGGATCTCAGGGAAATGGAGAAGTAGTGAAGTGGCTATATTGATTAGAGGACTGGAGGCTAAAGCATATAAGGAACGGTTGCTGGAATTGGGTATCTCTAATTTAATGAAGAGAATGACGAGGGGAGACACGATAGCAGTGTTCCAATATCTCAGGAGCTGCCACAAAGAAGAGGGAGTCAAGCTATTTTCTGAAGCACCTGAAGGCAGGACAAGAAGCAATGGATGGAAACTAACCAACGAGAGAAGCAACCTAGAACTAAGGAGAAACTGTGTGACAGTTAGAACAATTAACCAGTGGAACAACCTGCCTCCAGAAGCGGTGAATGCTCCAACACTAGAAGTTTTTAAGAAGAGACTGGACAGCCGTTTGTCTGAAATGATATACGGTTTCCTGCCTGAGCAGGGGGTTGGACTAGATGATCTCCAAGGTCCCTCCAACAACATCATCATCATTGTCTGGAACATCAAAAATGTTCTTCTCTTTTTAAAACATTATATCAATGTTCTTATTTTGGAATATTATTGTTTGTTTTTAAGGTTGTTTTTATTTTATGATGCCCACATTTTTGTGAGATGGATGGCTATACAAAAGTGATGAATAAATGGATGAATGAATGAATGAATGAATACATGCAAAAGTGTGGGTAAGCTTATATAGATAGCATAATGGTTAGAATTCTGCCTCTGAGATGGAAGACTGAGGTTTGAATCCTGGCTGCTACTTACAGTACTTACTACTAGGGGACCTTGCAAATACTCCTAATAGTTCACCTGCCTACCTCAAATATGAGAGTAACATGAACTGGAAGAGCCACAGTGCTCAGACGTCTTGGGAACCGGGACAATAAGCAATAAGTAGGCTACTGGAATAAACCATATATGGGCGAAACAAGAAAACCTGTAATTGATGGAATGTTACAACCACAGTAGATCTACAGTAATAAGAGGGGATATGTGAGAACCACAGATGGACAGAAAATCTGCATCCACACCAACAGAGAAAACTTCGACATAGTAAAGAGGAAGCTGCTCATACAACTTGAGAAAGATTACATCCTAGACTCAAGACCTGGAAGAATAACTGAATGGGGACCTGAAGCTGGAATGTCACTGCCACTCCCTCCATTACAGAGCATAGCTGTTGATATGAGATCATCGATAAAACCAATGAACTTGTGGGGTCTTTGGCGCTTTCTGAGCTTGGTTGTTTTCTTGTAGACCTTTCATTACCAACATCTGTAAGGAAACAATCAAACACTAAGGACTGCACTTGTCCCTTACTCAGCTGAACCCTGAGCTACAAATATTATGTTCTATTGGCAATGAACTGTATATGCTATACCACCATAATTCTGGAGATGTTTGTCTACACAGTCCAGAATAGTAGTACATATCTCCCTCTCCAGAATAGGTCAGAGGCTAAGATCAAAGCAACTCAGTGAGGAGTTAGTCAACTGATAGAATTACAGAAGAATGGGACAATTAAGATTAAGACTCTGCTGCTGAAAAAAATACAAGATTCCATGATTCTATCTGAAGCACTAGAGATTACTAAACAAAAGCTCACAGCACTGGCTACCAGACTAAGGAGATGCATTAGAGAAGCAGAGGCCAAGAAGACTAATGCCCTGTTCTCCAAAGAACCATCCAAGTACTCAATGTAACAGCCCAGTAACAGCACAGGCACCAACCACAGAAACTGAACAGTTCACAGCAATCTCCCAGAACAGGAACTAGTCACCATCAAAGAAGCAGGCATCCAATAGCAGGTCAAGAACATGAACAGCTGGACAGCACCTGGACATGATGACACCTACTGGTCAAAGAAATTAATAGCAGTGCACCAATGCCTAGCATCCTAGCAGTGTGCCAAAGAAAACATAAAACAAAAATCACTGTTATTGATTTTAGCAAGAAACTGAGGAGATAGTGGAAAGCATGTACAGTATGTATCTATGTCACACAATTACGGTATTCCTGCCAAAAGTTTTTTTTTATCATCTGAGTATTGTAAGGAAAGCATCACAGATACACAGACATTCCTTTGTGTGATTCAGAGAATACAATGAAGAATTAAATGTAAATGACTTTTAGATCACATTTCTATGTGCATCTGAAGGAAAATCTGATTGAAATTCATATTTATTTCTATATAACTGGAGATAGGATCAAATATTTTTTCTCCTACTTTTTATTTTTTCCATAGGAGCAGAAAATTCCATTAAAACAGTGGTTCTCAACCTGTGGGTCGGGACCCCATTTGGGGTCGAATGACCATTTCACGGGGATCGCGAAACAACGCAGTCCACCATTTTTTCCCCTTTTCCTTAGCTGTGCTACTCCCTTTTATTCTATTGGCTTTTGAAAGCCAATAGAATAGACTCTCTTGAATAGAGTCTAATTTATTGGCTTTCAAAAGCCAATAGGAATTGTCCAGGCTGTCTCTGCCCTGCTGAGCCCGCCAAAAGTCCCATTCTGCAAACGGTGCTGCACCAGTTGAATAGTCCTCGACTTACGACCAGTTGAGTAGTCCTCGACTTACAACTGGTTGGGGGTCGCGGCATTAAAAAGGTTGAGAACCACTGCATTAAAAGATGCTGAGTTATCTGCATTGTGTTTTTATTCTTCAAGATCAATTAATTGAACTAGGTAAGTTTAGCCTGCTCTGATTTGATTTGATCAGAATGCACTGATGATTACTTGGGTTAGGTAATGACCAGATATTATAATGTCATATAATATGAATATGTTCATATTATATGACATTATATGACAAACCCACATGGACATATTCATATGTGGGTTTGCTGCATTAGGAGACAACAAGATTTCCTTCACTAATTCACACACAGGAAATGACAAGGAGCCATAATTCCCAAAGGCATACAATAAAAATAACTATTATTTTACCAAGTCAAATGTTTTCTTGAAATGTATCTTCTCTCCTTTTCCCTAGAATTATAATGACTAATTGTGCAATGTCATCTAATAAATCCATTTTGATTAAGAATATTCTAGTTTAAGGACTTAAATAGAGCCTACTGTAGCAAAATTTAATTACAAAATGATTCAAGTTAAATATGCAATGGTTCAAGTTCATTACACAGTGTATCAGCTTACATACAAATTTGGCTTAAGGAAAGACCTTGGGAACGGAACTTGTTCTTAATGTGGGGACTGCTTGTATCTCACTAATTCCTTCTGTGCCAGTTGGAGAATATTGGTAAAGATTTTCAGAGTCAGAAGTGGCCCTGTAACCTTACATCAAACATCTCAATCATAATGGCCGGCTGAAGGGAGATGATCTGATTTAAGAAGATCATGGAGATCTGTTGATAGATTTTACCTGTCAGGCTTGTAGCTCCTTGAAGATAAAAATCTTTGTCCTCCCTCCCTTCTTCATCAGAGTGAAGGGCTCTTGAAACAGCTGTCTCCAGGTCACGACTCAGGTCATAGTCATGATCCCAGTCCAAGGGGATGGAATCTACACTAGCTGGTGTATCCCGCCCTGACCTTTCACTTCGGAGAGGCTGGGGAAGAGACAGTGAGAGAATGGAGGAAGGATGCGGGGAAAGGACACTGTCTGCAGATTTCTCATGCCAGTGCAGGTCAGAAAGATCTGCTGATTCATCCAGATCCACTTCATGATCGGATAACTCGTGCTCATCATCTGTGAGCTGGAAGGAGACATTAAACAATAGTGAACGCTTTTCATAAGGAGCCCTTCTACTGTTTGCTAGGTCAAGAAGAAGAATGTGTGTGTGTGTGTGTGTGTGTGTGTGTGTGTATCAATAAAAATATAGAAAAACGAACACCAGGATAAAAATAAACAAGACCGTTTAATATAAACAAGCTTGTAAATAAAAGAGTTACTGAGCTTTCATCGGCATCAGAGTTGGAATGTTAGGTGATTAGGGAGCATTCCAACACTGATGACGTCGGCAGTCTGGCCGACGAAAGCTCAGTAACTCTTTTACTTACAAGCTTGTTTATATTAAACGGTCTTGTTTATTTTTATCCTGGTGTTCGTTTTTCTATATTTTTATTGATATGTGTACACCCAGGATTCGCATTTTTAATGTTATATATATATATATATATATATATATATATATATATATATATATATATGTAGGTCTTTGGTTATTCGGGTTTTCTCCCGCGTCAAATTGGAAGTGTCTTGGCGACATTTTGACGAAGTCCCATTCATCATCTTCAGACTGGTGTTTTCGGCTTCGTGCTTCTATATATAAATAAAATTTTGCAGGATCACTTAGTAGACTGAAAAAAAAAGACTTAATGTAAAAATGTTTACTTCCTCACAAAAACAGGGGAATATTTAGGATAAATGGTTAACTCAGACCTTAGATCTACATGAAACTTTAAAGTGGCTTCTTTTAGTTGAGAGATGAGTGACTTTTTTTTTTTGCAGTGTTACTTTTAAGTAGTGGATGGGGGCCTTTGAAGAACAATATGAAGGTGTAAGAGGCTTAATGAATCTATTTTGTGTTCTGCCCGCCAAAAATGTTCTACCAAAAATATACAGTAGCTCCACTGCCAGACTTCAGCAGTGTAATTTGGAGATGCTCAAATGCAGACCTGCAAAACATATAGCCCAGGACTGCATGCTATCTGCCAAGCAGCCTTGTAAGGCCCATCAACATTTTTAAAAATGTCAGTAAATTCATCCCCTCCTGGAAGGAGATGCTGCCAAGTGTCTCCAAAGCCTTCAGGCTTCACTGAGGCCTCCAGTTTCAGTGCTGCTGCTTCGTAGCCACTGAACACCTGAACAGTGCAACAGGTATTCCTTTGTGGCCCAATGATTATTTTTCATTTATCAGTCTGGCTGTTTTTCCTCTACAATTTGTGCAGGCCTGCCCTAATGAATGCAAAAAAATGGCTTTTGAAGGGGCTGCTGCGCTTAGGACATGACATATCCAAAACAGCTATAGACCTGTAGGTGCTTGAAGAAGAGAACACAGAGTCTGTGATAATGTCTAACATTAACAAAATGTGTAAATATTGATATAGCAAAGTTAACACTTACTGGAAGACGAATTAATTTTTTGTGGTATCTTTCTACTCTGCCAAAGACCTCGTGGCAATAACGTCGCAGCTCGTCCAACTCTTCCTCAATGACAGCTGCATCTAAAGGCTCACTCTTTTCTAATAGTTGCTCACCCTGGGCAATGATTTGCTCAATTTTGTTGTTGTTCAGGGAGATCTCCTGTTGAAAAGCCTGAGAAACAATGTGTAATTTATTATATAGAACATAAGAAAAGTTAGGACCCGGAGGCCAATCACTATACTGTACATTTTATTAACTAATCCCCCCCCCCCACAAAATCTTATGTCACATAAATGAGGAACTGTTTAGAAGAAAATGGCAATCTATGCATTAATCTAAATTTATATAATAAATTCTTTATGGAGTCTTCTTTTTTCAATGGGGACTGATCATTGGCAATGCTGTATATTTCTGGTACATATAACCAATAAATTGGTTTATTTTAAATCTAGCAAAGATTTCTGCAGCCATTCCTCACTGAGTGGTCCATCATTTAGCAATTGTTCGCAAATACGACAGTAATTTTTTAAAATTACAATCACTGAGTACACTTAAGAAGCAAATGTCATGCTCCTGATCACAACACATGCTGGAATGAGAGTAACACTTGCATAGATGTATGAGAGACCTTTATCTAAATGTGACAGCAGCAACCAATGGCATCGCAGTGTCTCGCTTTCTCTTTCTCTTAGCCACGTATTCACTTAGTGACTATTTATATTCCAATTTAAAGAAAAGATTGTAGTTGCTAAACAAGGGCAGGGTGCATTAGGGATACTGTACAGAATAAAAACAAAACTGTCTTTATGTTATGATGGCCCCAAATTTTGCTCAAGGCCTGATGCCTATATTAATATAAATATAAACATAAACATCCTATAAAACTACCAGCTTGAAAAGAAGAAATGTATTTTGTAAAGTATACTTCAATAGGGCAGTTTTTGGTCATGACCCCTACAGGCAGTAGTGCAAAGGATATAATTTTCTAACGGATGGCAATATTTAATCTGATTTTAGCCATTTACTAATTTTTCTTTTATCATTAAGGAATCAAACCTGGAATCAAAATTTCCTTGTGTCACAGAGAGGCTATCTCGTAATGACAAAGTTACTCTCATGAGACTTAGACAGCAAGTACGTAATGATAGGAATTGTAGTAAAAATTTATAGAGAATTTCCCTTAATTATTTTAAATTGTACAGCTAATAGAAAAGCGTAAAATGTATTTTAGGAATGTGTTTTATTCCTAAACAACAAACTAATTTGAGACAGAAGACTTGAGTGGCAAATTCCTGTTTTACTTTATGATGTGGCAAACATATGGTATAAATTGATTAGGAGGATGAGTTGCAGTGGAAAAGCAATGGATAAGGAGAGAATTTTCGTAGTAAGTACAGCTTGTTTTAACTTATTATTATTTATTTATCATATTCGTATAGCTACCCATCTCAACATGACTCTAGGTGGCACCATCGTAGTATACAAGTATACGCAACCTTGCTTATGGGTGTGTGATGAATTTTAAAGCTTATTATTTTTACCTCATACATATTATGTTGCATAAAAATATAGTTAATGACAAAATCTGCTTTGCTTTTTTTATTATTTTGATCCTCTAGATTTATATTTCTGTACCTTGAGTTGCTTTATCTTTGCTTGAACATCACACTCTGAGAAGTGTTCTATGTTGGTGAGCTGCAAGTCCATCTCTGTAAGCCAGACCAAAATGCTGTCACGTGCCGTCTCAAATTCTTCACGTTGGCCAATGAAATGCTATTTTTTTTAAAAAAGAAAACGTGAGGTAACTATGCAATCCAAACGATTCAGCTTTTTCCTATTAGTAATATCCTTTACCCATTTACAGCAAAATCCAAAGATAACAAAAGAGAGAGAGAAAACTGCTATTTTTAAAATTGTCCCTTCAACTGCAGAAACATTGCACTAAAATGAACGAAAATGGAGGAATACTTTAAGTCTGCGGAGGATGGCGATCACTCGTTTTTGCAAATTGTCCCATCTTTGGTTTCCCTCGTGGACCATCAACTTGAGGCTGCCAGCAGAATCAGTGCGGTTTTCTCTGGCCAAGCGTCGGTACTGTTTGTTGATCAGTTCTAGCTGAGTTAAACTTTCTTGTACTTGACGTTGAAAAGCCTACCAAAAATAGAAGCAGCCTATTAAACTTCGGCTCTTTTTTTTTATTGAAGATTTTTAAAAGTTTTTACAAATAACAAAAACAACAACAAAAAAAGACAAAACAACCCTCACCCAATCCCTCCCAAACCACCCCCTCCATCCCCCCCCCGAGCTTCCCAGAACTGAATATAGGCTTAATTAAAATTTTAAGAAACCTAAACAAATTTTAACAGCATATAAAATAGTTAATAATAAAATATATATTAAAAAACCTAAACAAATTTTAACAACTTATAAAATAGTTAATAATAAAATATATATGACATAAACATTAAATACTTAAAAAGAAAAAAAAAGAAGAAAGAAAGAAAGAAGAAAAGAAATAGGAAAAAGAAAAAAAGGAGAAAAAAAGAAAATAATCTATAAAATATCAAAAATTATATACAAGTTATAAAAAAGCTAAATGATATTTTTTATATCCAATTTATGTTGTATAAAATTTATCCATTTTTCCCATACAGCAAAAAATTTCTCTTGCGATTGCTCCTTTAAAAAAGCCGAAATCTTTGCCATTTCCACCAAATAAGAAACTTTAAAAAACCACTCTTGCAAGGTAGGCAAAGATTCCTTCTTCCAATATTGCCCTACTAGCAGCCTTGCGGCTGTAATCAAATTTAACATCAATATAACCTCCTTAGCATTGCAATCAGTAACAATACCTAACAAAAATAATTGCGGAGTAAATTTTACCCTCCTTCTAAAAATTCTTTGAATATTCCACCATATCTTAATCCAAAAAGCTTTTATGTTTTTACACGACCACCAAATATGATAATAGGTGGCATCCAAACAACCATATCTCCAACATTTAGGCTGTAAATCAGGGTACATAAGAGACATTTTTTGTGGATCAAGGTGCCATCTATAAAACATTTTATAAAAATTCTCCCTTAAGTTCTGGGCTTGTGTAAATTTAACATTCCTCACCCAAATAATTTCCCAGGTATCCAGTGGGATTGGTTCACTAAAATTTTGTGCCCATTTAATCATACAATCTTTGATTAATTCAGATTCTGAAACCAATTCCACTAGAACCCCGTAAACCCTCTTAATGTGAGTTTGTCTTTGATCCTTTACTTGTTTAAAAAGATTTTCATCTTCTCTAAGCCAACCCATATTACAATCCATCTTCCATCTGTCCACTATTTGTCTATATTGAAACCATGAATAGGTAATATTTTCATGTACTAAATCTTCCAAAGATTTTAACTGCCAGTTTTGACCATCCCATCTAAGTAGTTGTATATAAGAAACCCTATCCATTTTAACTCCTCTCCTTATCCCCTCTATCGCATGCCAAGGTATGGCCCATAGAGGTATTTTAAAATCACTCTTATAATACTTCCTCCATACCCTAAGTAAAGAAATCCTTATAATATGTGATTTAAAAACTCGATCCACTTTTTTATTAAAAATTAAGTAGGCATGCCATCCCAAAAGTAAATCCCAACCCTCCAGATGGAGTATTTCTACATTTGTTAAATTTACCCAATCACTAATCAATGTTAAGACCACAGCATCATAATATAATTTCAAATTCGGTACCTTGAGTCCACCTCTCTCACGAAAATCTTGCATAATTTTAAGCTTTACCCTTGGTTTTTTCCCTGCCCAAATAAATTTATTAATGCCTTTCTGCCATTCATTTAAGTTAAGCTCATTCTTTAAAATAGGTAACATTTGAAACAAAAAAAGAAATTTTGGTAAGACATTCATTTTAATCACTGCAATTCTACCCATAAGAGATAACTGTAACTTATCCCAATTCTTCAAATCTTTCTGTATCCTGATCCACAACTTTTCATAATTATTCTTATACAATTTTACATTAGAAACAGATAAAGTAACCCCCAAATATTTTACCTTATCAACAACTTCAAAATCTGTTAAATTAACCAAAATCTGCTTATCCCGGTTAATCATATTTTTAGGTAATATTTTAGTCTTATTGTTATTGATTTTAAAACCCGAAACACATCCATATTGATGAATCAATTGTAGTAACTTTACTACAGAATAAATAGGTTGAGACAGAGTAACCACCAAGTCATCTGCAAAAGCTCTTAACTTATATTCTTTTTTGTTAACTTCTATTCCTTTTATTTCCTGCGACTCTCGAATTTTAATCAACAAAATTTCCAATGTTAAAACAAACAATAACGGTGACAATGGACATCCCTGTCTTGTACCTTTTTCTATTGTGAAAACCTCTGACAAGCCTCCATTAACAATAAGTTGTGCCGTTTGCTTTTGATATATAGCACCTAAAGCTTGTGATATTTTTTCTCCAAAATTCATCTCCTCAATTAATCTTAACATAAATTGCCAATTCAATTGATCGAAGGCTTTTTCAGCATTTAAAAATAAAACTTCGGCTCTTATAATGACTATCTTCAACTGGATTTTTATTTTCGCTTGTATCTGGTTATTTTTTCTATCAAAGAGAAATTATTATCCAGGCTTTTTCAAAAATCCCCTGGCATACTGGAGAGAAAGATGTGAGTTTTGCTTACATAAAAGTAGTGCTAAAGATTGCTACCTGAAGTATATTTTTTTCTATGCCAAAATATATAAATATTCCATATAGTCAGCTCTTTTCTTGAGATATTAGGAACTACTTGTTGTGCAATACATTAAATCACTGTGCTATATCAACTATTTTCAAACAGAACTTTTTAAAAAGTCAGGTGCATGTTGATATTTAGGCTGAAATAGTACATGTTTCTAAAACGTGGCATTTGGAAAGCAGCCAGCCAGTTGGCAATGGCATCACAACACATCTTTATACAAACATGTTTAACTGTGTCTTTATAGTCCTGTACTCTGTGACAAAGTGCTAATACAATTAAAATAATGGATTTCTCAGAACCTCATAATAAAAGAAAGACAAACAGGCATAGTTTGTTAACTCAATAAGCTTGAATGCCTGGTATGGTAATTATATCACATAAAATTAGACTGTGTAGGTAGACCACAACAGAGAGAGAGAAAATAGTGTGTGAACTCAGGTTTTACTAAGGGAAGACCAGCAACTTTCAGGGATTAAATGCTATCCTTGAATCACCAGGTGTAACATAACAAAATAATCTATAGGCACATTCATGGCCATCAACATTAACTCTGAGTTATTTTTGCTCCTTTTTATTAGCAATCAACATGATTAAAATGAAAATAAATATTTGTGCAGCAGGTTGCAGCCAAGGACAAAAGGGAGCTATGTAATATGAAGCAGCAAATATCCTCCAAGGCTTCATTTTATAAATGATCAATCAACTCAATTTAAATGTCAGTGCAGAATGTAGATAGGTGGGGAGATTAAGTAAAAAGAGGCAGACTGCAGTGGAAATTATATGAAGCATTCAGTTGGAGAACAATAAAAACCTTAATAAAACAAATCCAGAAAAACAAATCCACCTGTTTGAGTCAGTAAGAAAGACTACAGATTTTAAACAAGGAGGCTTATGTTGGGTCCACCACATTAGTAATTTCATCTGTTGCTAACATTTGTCCAGAGGAATGACAGCTGTAATGTTTTCTACTGTCTTACAATGATGTGCTTCTATACTGATATTCTAAATTGCTCACTTTAATTATACTTTAGCTGAAACTTTTCAAAAGAGCAAATGTGTATCACATTTAACATTGTATTTATTTTGGAGAAATGGAAGCCTTAAATCTGACAATTATTTTGCCTTTGTAAATGACTAATTTTCACCATTAAACATAGCTAAAGCATCTAGGCAAGGAAAAAATGCATTAAGGCACATATAAATCTATGCTTTAAAAGTCCTCACACCATATGCAAAGAAGTAAATACTTGTCTATAAAAAGTATCCAAAAGATAAAATTTCTGGAATACAGCTTTTCTTGTAACAGGCACATTGAAATGTTCCTCTTTATAAACTTTTAAGTGAGTTTTATTTTATTTCCACTCACTCTATAATGTCTACTGTAGCTTGTGAAAATAGTAAACAAGTTAAAAGCAAAGTAAAAATATGTTTGAACATCTTTTTCAAGATGCTCTGCAGCAACCACACATTTAGGGGAGCCTAAGTGGATAGTTGAAATGCATTTGGATAAAAGAAAATGAAATGAAATACACAGAAAAATCTCACAGAGGAACACATATTTAACATCTACTAAAATATACTTTTGTTGAGTTTTATTTACTGGGGTAAATTGTACAATTTCTCAGTAAGTAAAAGGGAAATGGAATGGAAAGTAAAGAATGTTTTTATCCAAATTGACTGACTCATTCATGGACCTTTGGATATTAGTGATTGCAAGACTAAGTCCTACTTAAACATGATGGTAGTTGTTTGAAATAATTAAAATGGTAAGTGAAAAGTGAAAGGAAGGATGAGAATTTCAAATTTTTTAAAAAAATCAATAAAATATAAAAAGGGTATTTTTGAATTGTGTAAAGATGAGTTCAAGCTTAGGCCATTATCGTTAGTCTGAAACACAAAACAGGATGTATTCATCCGTACAAATTTTCTGTTTTGGACAGTATCAGCAAGTATTTTTATTTCATTTTCCTATATTTTCTCTTCCTGGTGTTCACAATTATATTTTGCATTACACCTATAAACTCTGGGTGATGTGGTTGCCACTTCCCTTGTTCTCCTCTGGCTCAACTGAAAGAAAGGAAGAGATGGGAAATGCTTCCATTTCCAAGTGGCATTATGTTTCTTTCTGGGCAGAATGAACCATAAAGGGAAATTAAACCAAACAAAACAATAGCCCAGTAGTAAGAAACCACAGGTACTTTCTGCTTGCTAAAAAAGAGCAACATGATGTTCCATTGGGATGACATTATTACCTGTTCAAAGTCAATTGTATCATTTGTGGGCAGGAGCCATTGGGCATACACCAGCTAAATTCTAGTGGGCTATGGCCTTACTATGGCCAATGCATATGGATCAAGTGCGCTAATTCATTTTAATTATAGTTTAGGGCAGGACAAGCAACCTGTGATCAATTTTTGCAGTTTCAAACTTCAGTTTCTCCAAGACTGAAGGTAGAATTTGATCTTTCACCAAAATAAAATGAGTAGAGTTACACTAATAAGGTAGAATAAATTTGCTTCTGTGATGACATCAGGACAGATTATATTTCAAGCAGATAAAATCACCTCAAATTTCTTTAGTTCTTCTTTAGCAACAGTATATAATACCCCGGAAGAACTGGGCAAAGCAGCCGTCCTTTCGGAAATTTTCAACCAATCTTCAAAGCGAGAATAATCATCCAAAAACTTCTGCCATAGTCTCCACGTCTCTTCAATTCTGAAACAAAGATAAAAATAGGAGAGGCTGAATTTTACCTTAATAATAATAATTATTTGATATCTTATCTAGTTACCAACTGTAATAAGGAAATCATTTTGCCTATTTGAACGTGCCCAAGCAAACAAATGGTGTATTGAACAATACTGGCTTTTAATCCAGCTTGACAGTAGTTTTGATTAACAAGAAACATAATTCATTCATTATTTATTTATTTAGCACTTGGCATGTCATACATGGACTAGCAATATAAATTAACATTTCAACTAGATTAGTAGAACCCACTAAAATATAAATGTCAAAAAGATCTATGTTCAAATATTAATATCTAGATCAGAGGTCCCCAACCTTTTGAGCACCAGGGATCGGTTCCGTGGAGAGAGGTTTTTGTGTGGACCAGAGGGGGCATGGTTTAATGTACTGTTTGCATCCCGCAGATGGGGCTTTGCTTGTTTGTGCGGACCGGTTTCTGGAATGCTGCAGCCCGGTGCCGGTCCACGGACCAGGAGTTGGGGACCCCTGGTCTAGATTATCTAACCATTGAAACACAACATTATTTATATTTTAAAAAAAATCAGACACTGGACCAGTATATGCCTTCAGTTTACAGCCAGTCACAATGTGATCTAGTCACAATGAGAGGAAGATACTATGCTCTATTTATACAGAGAGTCCCAGCAGATGCCATGTGAGGTGGAAATCCTGTTCAGGATTGTCCATTGCTGATGTGGTAGTTCAAAGCCTGGCACTTTTCTTGTGGGGTCATTTATATGTCTATCTATTCTGTGCATTCAGCCACCCATTTAGCTTTCCATTGGGAATCAATGTTAAAACAGTTGGGCAGATGTTGTGCAAATGCTAGTTTGAGCTTGACCTGGAATAAAGTAGTTATGGATTGTTGCCCTTAAACCTTTGCAAATCCTTATTTTAAATCATGTAATTATTTCAAATGCTTCAACACAGCATTATAAAGAACTGAACAGAAAAGTTTCAGGGCTACTCAACTACAGCTGCTTAAATTAAGAAGTTTTAAAAAAATACACACACACACTGCATTAGCAAACAATTGTATCTATCATGCCTTGCCCTGAATATAGATCATATCAGGAAGCAAAACACTGAACTATGAAATCATCAGCATTCCAAACATGATTGTCAAGGTGAACTATCAATTGATTAATATTCCAAAACATATAATTTCTATAAGATTGTAGAAATCTGCTTTTAACCTAGCCATGACTGGCTGAGGGATTCTCGGGGTTGAAGTCCACAAGTCTTAAAGTTGCCAAATTTGGAGACCTCCGGATTAGATAATTCAGTAGTGAGACGCTTTAGATAAATTTTAGCTTTTACTGCAGAATCTGTATGTAATGAAGTTTGATCCATATGGAAGTAACAATGCTGCTCTATGTAGTTTATATCTCTTAACCTATGTAACTTGTATCCGTTAACAGGCATTTAATTTAAGAACTGGCTAGATTTCATTCCATTCTAAGAAATCTGGAGTTTCGCCAAATACTTACTTGAGTCGCCTTTCCATTGACATGGCACAAATATTCCGCCATCTTCGATCCAAGTTCCTTGTGGCTTGCTGAATGGAATCACATTCTGTTTCAGTAGCACAAGCGTCACAATCATGGAGAAGAACTTCACAGAGATTGAGGACAGATGCAACCCCAGTGCTATGTTTCTCTATGTCTCTTTGAAGTTCCTGTAAATCAATAGATAAACTTGTGAATGTCTTAGGCAAAACTGAAGTTAATTAATACTGCATGTACTATAAACAAGCAAGGCAAAACTGAAATACAAATGAAGGAAAATAAAAAGCTAAGCTACTTGGTAGCTAATAAGAATCCCAAATTGTTCCACAAAAATTGAGATTTTTGACTTAAATTCCAAGTGGATATATTTAAAAATAAGTTCTAATGCAACCAGGCACACAAACACACACACACACACACACACACACACACACACACAGGGAGGGGGGAAGAAAAACCAATCATTCCAACACATACTTCTATTTCTGTAATCAAGTAAATGTCTTATTTATTAAACATAATAAGATAAAAAGAGTGCATAGAACATTGCTCTTGATGTTCATATTTTTTTGTTAAGAAATATTTAGTTCTACCAGGCTACAAATATACTAATTGAAATCCATTAAGTTTATTGCCACACATCTTCAGATAATTTTAATGAATCTAATATTAGTACCACTAATTATCTCTCAGCAGCAATTTGCAATTGCTTTTCTGGGTTCCATTCGTGGTTTGATGTTGACTTTTAAAACCCTGAATAGGATGAGGGGAGAGAATTTCAAGGAGTGTTTTCTTTTTGACATCCATGCCCAAACAGCCCTGGTTGGGTGATGGGATTAGTAAATAAATGTTGTGTTAGTGAAGGTAGTGCTTTACTATTAAGCTCTTTGTCATATTGCATTTCTTCATGTTGTGTGCAGTTAACTCCGCATGTTGTCATGTTTCCAACCATATGCTTTATTTCCTCTGAGTCACTAATCAGGTGGAGCAACAAACAGGAAAAATTGGATCATTTCTTTTTTTATGAAAAAAAAAATAGTAACTGGAGTATGTGAACAGAGTGAGAAATTTCCTTGATTCTTCTTGGTCTGTAGAAAAGTTTAGTTTCAAGAATTTTCTTTTCTGTGTGTTGTCCTGTGCTTTCTGTCTTTCTTAGTCAATTTTCAATATATAAACAGGTATTTTGTCTTCTGATGAATGTTATATTTTGTAATATTTTTTTATTAATGATTTTGTGAATTTCAAACTAGAATTCTTCAGGCTTACACTTTATCAGATCAAATCAAATACATTTCAGTTCTCTACTTTTACAACAACAAAGGTTGATGCAATATTACTGAAATTGTATCTTGTCTATCACTTGATTTATTAAGCTGAAATTGTACAAGAAGTTCAAGACCAAGGCAGTTAACTTAGGTCTTGTTTTTGTTGACTGAACAGAGCTACACCCACTTGGTTGCAGATCAGTCAATTTGACATTAGTGTTGTTTACCCAGCAATGTCCATGTGTAGAATTGCATTTTAGATTGCTTTAAAAACATATTTGCTACAGCAGTGGTTTTCAACCTGTGGGTCGGGACCCCATTTGGGGTCGAACGACCATTTCACGGGGGTCGCCAAACAAGGCTGTCCGCCATTTTTTTCCTTTTCTTTGGCCACGCCCCTGGCACCCGGTGATATATAAGTGGTTGGGGATCACCACAACATGGGGAACTGTATTATGGGGTCGCGGCATTAGAAAGGTTGAGAACCACTGTGCTACAGTATAATGACTGAAATGGTTACAGCTATTTGTCTGTCTCCTACTTCATCTGTATACCAAGATAAAACGTTTCCATTATTCCAGGTGCTATTTTACTTCAAAGTTTAGTCTTATAGTCATCTACAATGAATATGACATATGTTGCTGATTTTATATCAATGAAGTGTCATCACAGAACTGTTCAATTCTTGTTTCCTTGAATCCCTGTGATTATCTTGTCCTGCACTTTAAATATCATTTGTTGGAGTGTTAGCAGAGGTAGTGCTTTACTATTAAGCTTCTTGTCATGTTGCATTTCTTCAAATTGCATGCAGTTAACTCACAATTTTTCATGTTTCCAATCATATGCTTTATGTAAGCATAAATGCTGGGAAAGGTGGAAGGAAACAGAAGAAGAGGACAATCACACAATGTAACACACTTAGTCACAGTAGCGCCAGCAGAAGAGCTGAAGAAGAGGTTAGGGACAGATTATCATGGAGAACATCTATCAATGTAGTTGCTAAAAATCAACACCAACGTGATACTACTTAAACAATCAAGCAGTCCATAAATTATGTTAACATCTTTTGTTAGCATAAGTGGCTATGCTATTTCTTATATAGTTTTCTTATCCACATTATAAGAGACTGTGGTTCTTTGCTATGAAATGATCCATTCAGTTTGTTGATTCCCACATGGTCAATGTCCACTCTTGACACTGCTGTTTTGATTCATTGCTTTGGCATTCCCTGTTCAACTACTTATAGCATGAAATGTCCATCTTGCTTTTGCCTGTGAACAAATCAGCAATGGACATCTTTTCACCTTTAATCCCAGCAACTTTTTGAATGCCTTCTTGCTTGGGGGGCCTTATACTCCAGTTTAATTTTTTGAGGAGATTTACTTCAGTAAGTGACATTTCCTTCTCCAATGGATACTATTTAGTCCAATTCTTCATCAGTGATCTGCTCATCAGGGATAACTGCTTGGAAAAGTGCCCTCCTGATGGTATAACTCATAGGTAATTGATAAAAAGTGGGGGCAGGATGGCAGCAAGAAGCAAGAGGACAAAAGATGTTTGAGAAAACAGTGACCATTTTACTGATTCCAGTTAAGGGTGATAAAAATTAAGTTTACAATTGTGAGAAACTGTGGGTACCAGTCAGGGGCAAAAGAATTCAGAAGCAAATTCAGGAGAGCTGCATTTGAAAAGAAAAACAACTCTACCTTAATTAGCTTGTTACAAATCACTTGGAATAGTTTTTAATAATGTATTTTTCATTTATAGCATGAAAAATACTGTTGAACTCTGTGTCATTCATGCTTCCTGACTTTGCCAGCAATTTGAGATTTAACCACAGTTGTAAAACATGAATGCACTGAATATAATTCTCTAAAGACTAATGAAGTAGTCTTTGAATAGCACTAATTGAAATACATTTGCATTTCAATATAATTTACTATAGTATTGGGATTGGATGTATTACCTTTCATATAACTTAATTTCTTGCATTTGGAACAGAAGTCAAATTAACAAAGCAACAAGTTAAAGACAACTAATATTTATAATTTGTTCAGGAAAATGAGGACATTTAGCACCACGTAGAAGAAAAAAAAAAGAAGAAATGAAGATTCCTGGCTAGATTGATCATCTATTTGTTCAAAGGTAACACTACACAAAGTTTCTGTTCTTCTGCATAATTCTTCCTAGATTTCCCAATTGCAGATTTCTATAAATTAATTCTGAGGCACTGGGGAGATGGAAAGAATCCTATTTATTTCCCAGCTAAACTATCTCTATCAGAGGCAGAGGCTTGAGCCAATGTGATTCAATATAGGACAAAGAGCATTTTACCCTCATAATACATAGATTCTAGCCTGTGCCTGTCCGGCATGTAAACTGGTCAAGTCTGAATATCAAACATGCTGAATATAATTTACAACCTTATCCTAAGAAATATCGACAAAACAATTTTCTCTGGGAAGAATTTTGTTTGATGAATAAAGCTGTGTGTGTGTGTGTGTGTGTGTGTGTGTGTGTGTGTGTGTAAGCAGTAAACAGTACTCAAAGATGTACTGTTGACTCTTGGTGACTGTCTGGACAAGTTCCTGCAAATTTCTTGGTAAGATTTCAGAGTGGTTTGCCCTTGTCTGCTTCCTAGGGCTGAAATAGAATGACTGGCTCAAGGTTGCCCAGCCAGCTTCATGCCTAAGGCATGGACTAAAACTCACAGTCTGCTGGTTTCTAGACTGATATCCTAACCATTACACTACTTGTCATTATGAATAAACATTCATAATAAACAGTATTTATGAATAGTGAGATCCAGGTGGTCCACCTACCTTTTGAGTCAAATCAGAAGTGACTATAAGTACATGATTTAAACGTTTATTACCTTCTGATATTGACTGGTAGTTTTTTTGAATGCTAAATGGTACACTCATGTTGAGTATACTATGTGTATCAAGGCCAACAGTCCCACTGTCAGAAGGATTTTGGGTATTCCTGTGTAAGGAACATTTGCTTAAACTCCAATTGTCTGTATGTATACAAAGAATATATTTGCATTTCTTGAATGGATAAGAATCTCTAATAGGAAAGAAAAGGAACTGGGGGAAAGAAAGAAAGGAATAAATGGCTAAAATGTATCCTGACATTCAAACGGAAACTCAGATTCAAATCCCAATTTAGTAATAACAAGTGACACAAACATGTTGAATAAACCTCAACTCACATTAAAGCAGAGCTCCCCAACCTCCGGGCTGCGGCCCACTACTGGGTCATGGCCTTTCAGAACTGGGCTGCAAAAGTGGTGGGCAAATGTGCACATGCAACTCCACTTGCACGTGCAGTGGGCAGGTGAGGGCACATGCACAGTTCCATTTGTGCAAAGGGCAGGCACATGCGCTTGCTTGTGCAAATGGAACTGCATGCAGGCGCTTGCCAACCGCTCATGCAGAAACACCCCCTCTCCCTCCTCTCAGCCAGTCTGCAAAGCCGGAAAAGTTGGAGACCGCTGCATTAAAGTGTTATTTAACAATTGCTTTTTCATTAGGGGAAACCGTGATAGTGAAAATGCAACCCTAATTAAAATATAAAATAACAACAACAATAATAATAAAAAGTTGGAAGGGACCTTGGAGGTCATCGAGTCCAACTTCCTGCTCAGACAGGAAACCATATACCATTTCAGACAAATGGCTGTCCAGTCTCTTCTTAAAAACTTCCAGTGTTGGGCCATTCACCGCTTCTGGAGGCAGGTTGTTCCACTGGTTAATTGTTCTAACTGTCAGGAAGTTTCTCCTTAGTTCTAGGTTGCTTCTTTCCTTGATTAGTTTCCATCTGTTGCTTTTTGTCCTGCCTTCAGGTGCTTTGGACAATAGCTTGACTCTCTCTTCTTTGTGGCAGCCCCTGAGATATTGCAACACTGCTATCATGTCCCCCCCTCGTCCTTCTCTTCATTAGACATCCCAATTCCAGCAACCGTTCCTTATAAGTTTTAGCCTCCAGTCCCCTAATCATCTTTGTTGCTCTTCTCTGTACTCTTTTTAGAATCTCAACATCTTTTTTACATTGTGGTGACCAAAACTGAATGCAGTATTCCAAGTGTGGCCTTACCAAGGCATTGTAAAGTGGTATTAATACTTCACATGATCTTGATTCTATCTCTCTCTTGATGCAGCCTAGCACTGTGTTGGCCTTTTTGGCAGCTGCAGCACACTGCTGGCTCATATTTAGGTGATTGTCTACTAGGACTCTGAGGTCCCTCTCACAGTTACTACTATTGAGCAAGGTGCCACCTATGCTGTACTTGTGCATTTGGTTTTTCTTGCCTAAATGTAGAACCTTGCTTTTTTCACCATTGAATTTCATTTTGTTAGATAGTGTCCAGTGTTCAAGTCTGTCCAGATCCTTCTGTATTTTAAGCCTGTCTTCTGGAGTGGTGGCTATTCCTGCCAGCTTGGTGTCATCTGCAAATTTGATGAGTTCCCCATCTATGCCATCGTCCAAATCGTTGATGATGTTGAAAAGCACTGGGCCTAGACACTACACACTTCCCACTACACACTTCCCTCCATGTAGATGCAGTTCCATTGAGGACCGCACGCTAAATACGGCTGGTCAGCTAGCTACGAATCCATTTGGTGGTGATGCTGTCTAACCCACATTTTTCTATTTTATCAAGTAGTAAGTTGTGATCTACTTTATCAAATGCCTTACTGAAGTCCAAGTAAATTATATCCATAGCATTCCTCTGGTCAACTAATTTTGTCACATATTTTGATTCCATGTTGCAGAAGAGCATAAATAACCATGCATAATGCCCAGATCAGTGTTTCTCAATCTAACAACTTTAAGACACATGGACTTCAATTCCCAGAATTTTCCAGCTACATGTTACATATTGAAGTTGCTAAGAATTGCAAGTTGAGAAATATTGCCCTGGATCATACGGTTACATTACTGGATAAGTTGCACTCAAAAAGAAAATACCCTTCCCTCCCATTATAATGATAATGAATACATTCCTTTCCATCCTTTTCACTTTACCTAATATAAGCATCCTAACTGCTCATGCCATATGTATGCTTTTATATTCACAAATAGGCAAATGGCTGTTTCAGTCCAAAATAAGGCAGACACTGACAACTTTGTAATCCTAGAATTAAAAGTAGACCCTGCATTCTAGCAGGATATATATGATATGATAATTATTTTTATTATATCTATTATGACAGCACACCTTTTCATGATTGTTGATCAACAACTGGCATTCTGTTGCCAACACTTTCTGACAGCTTGCAACTCATCACCTGTTGAATATGATGGTCTTCAAAAGCAAACTAGACCACGGTTTCTTCAAATTGCTTCTAAGCAATTTTCTAGGCTATATAATAACTCAAAGTTTCAATTCTGAGTCCTGACTCCTGAGCAGGGCACCCAACAGCTTGGCTTCTTCCTGGTATTTTCATATGATCGCAATGAATCTTATAGCACATTACTGACTTTCAGGAATAATTGCTAATGTGAATGATCTATTCAGGTCTGTAGAATTATACTGGACAAGAGGCTTAAGTCTATGGCTCTTCTTCATTATTACTTTTGTTCCTCAGTTGCACACTACTAGTAGCAAGTCACCCACAGCTACAGAAGTCATTTCAACAGGTATATATTTCTTCAGTTATATTTGTAACAGAGACTTCGGTTACAAATATTAATCTGCATGTTAATCTGCTAGCTTCAAGCTAAATTTATGTTCATTCTGTCTAGCTGACACTTTCTATTATGGGGATTTAAGTGCTGTTTCTAATCCAGTGGCCTGGTTCCATGGAGAGAGGTTTTTCCGCAGACTAGAGGGGGTGTGGTTTCGTGTGTTCCCTGCACCCCGGGCTTTGCTTGTTTGCGCAGATCGTTTTTTGGCATGCCACAGACCACTGCCAGTCCATGGACCGGGACTTGGGATCCCTGTTCTAATCAACATTTGTTGTAAAATTGCAGTGATACTCTGTAAAAGGGCTTAAAAGTCAAATAATGATTATTCATTGTTTCTCTTGTGAAATATTTTGCTATCAATACTAAGTACTTGGGTATACTGGTTGAAGTTAAGCACCTTAAGGTATTCCTTAATAGCAGTTTCACACAGTCCTTTTCAAACTAACCAACTCTAAACTCCAGTGCTGCAATAAATACCTATCAATTATTTGACCTCAAGGCAAGTACAAGACATTGCTCAAGAAGCTAATTAAACTAAGAGCTTAAGTCTTTAAAATGCCTCCAGTGTAAAAAAGATTGAAAAGGAGATCAAATGTTTGTGGCAGACGTTAATCATCATAACAGATGAAGCAATCTATCTATCAGAGGTATTAGTGAAAGGCTGAGAATGGCAACCTGATGGATTACACACTAAGAAGATTTAACGATTTCCTCCCAGAATTACACTTTTCCGAAAAGGACATAGTACAGGCACATACTGTAGAGTTCAAAATACCAAGCTTGCGAAGTTGAACAAACCGAAGAATATTATAATTAAATTTCTTACTGAACAAAAATTCTTTGAGGCAAAATATCATATTTGTCCATTAGAGACAAAACATTAGAGACATTCATTCATATTTTTGTCAGAAACTCACAAGTTGGAGGAGGAATTTAACTGGGGAAAAGATTTTTTTTTAACCAAGATATTAGTCTAATCGCCTTACCAAAAATTATGATATTTAAGCTTCTTACAGGATTGCCGATAAAAATGGGAATTCAGTATAAATGGGAATTTCCATTTAAATTTAGTAGATTGAAGGAATAGAAACAATTTATGTTATTCAGGTTATGTATAAAACTGGCTGAGTTGGAGAAAATTCCTTCTGACAGTGCTTGGACAAAGAATGACCTTGGAGATTAAGCCAAAGAGAAACAGCTGAAAAATGAAGCTCCCAGCTGGAAGAGGATTCGGACACAAAAATGAGCAAAGGGGAGAAAATGAACCCTTTAGACTAGAAATTCTTATATGGTATTAAAATATTAGCTCCTACTAGAATTAAGGAATAAGTGGTTGAGATAAAAATTATTTAGGAAGAGGGATGCAGGAAATTAATATAAGAAAGAACATAAAATTAAAATTATAAGAAGGTTCAATCATATTCAACTCTAGAGAGGGGTGCTCATTTCCATTTCATATCCAAGGGAGCCAGCATTATCTAAAGACACTTCTATGGCCAACATGATTATATGCCGAGGCATATGGAACGTTGTTACCTTCCCATTGAAGTGGTAACTATTTATCTACTCATAATCGCATGCTTTCAAAGTGCTAGGCGGGCAGGAACTGGGCCAAGTGACACTCATCACGTAGCGCTCGGGTCTCGAACCTAGGCTAATTATAGGTACAATCATCCAAATTAATATATCTAGCTCTATCAGATGCTGAATATATTTCATTTTTGCTAAAAAAATTCTGTTCCTCTAACCATGTTTTTTTTTAGATATATGGAAAGCCTTTATTTGCATAGGACTATTTGTAAAATAGTTGAGAGTATAAGTAAAAATCAATAATGAACACTCAAATGAATGTTTCAAAAATAGGGATTTTATTTATTTATATAGCCTCCCAACTCCACTGTATAAAAGAGCCATAATTCATAATGCTAATCATAGCCCATGAAAGAGGTAATGCTATAACAGAGCAAGCAGAGCTGGAATGTAGAATTAAGTGTCTTATCAGTTGTTATGTTTTCACAAATGGTCCAAATCCAACTCCTCTTGAATTCTGTTGACCCCTTATCTGTCACCAATTCAGTACTGAACTTTAGTTGACTAGATTCTTCTGTATAGGATAGAGCAATAAATCTTTTGAACTGCAATTTAAGGTATTGGTCCTTATGCTTTGCACCTAACAAATGCTTAGCTTAAGAATGTATTACTAAGTACCTCAATTAGCATGTTATTCCTTTCATAAACTCCAACAAAACAGTGGAGATATATATATATATATATATATATATATATATATATATATATATATATATATATATATATATATAATTTTTTGATTTTATACCAGCATTGTGCTAAATATGAAGAAATAGGTTTTATTAGACTTATTTCATGGATTATTCTCTTAAATTTATCGACAGCATACCCAAATTTGTGTAGGTCATTCAACTCTGCATGGAAAATAATTTAAAAAAAAACAACAACTTAGAAACAGCCAAAGGGAGGAAGAATAATTTGGCCTTCCCAAATAAAACTTTCCTTTTCATCTCACGGACTTATAAACTTGTGAAATACTAACACAAAGATTTCATTTGTATATAGGGCAATTAACAGTGCCTTACATTTCACTTCCACATAATGAAAAGCCAATTACACCAGAAGCTAACATACTGTACATAATATGGTAGTGCCTTACCTCTGGTTGGCAGGCTCAGTGAGCAGTTCGATGTTGACTGGAGGTCAAGCCAGCAGAAGATTCTATCAGAATAATGCTAAAAGCATCACTTGCCTTGAAATTTAAGGGCATCTTCCTCACTGCCCTCTTGTACCACAGGAAACAGCACGCCCAAACCTGTTTCACACTTGGATCACCTTCACCATTACGCAACTGGAAATGTGGGCATTTCATTTGGGGGGACTTTTTTGTTTTGTTTTGATTGCTCTTCTACCTCATGTTTTTGGTTTACCTGCTGTTCATTTAGTTTCCTTTGAATCTCCTCGGAATCACAAGTTTCATAAACAATGGCTTTGGATAACTCTGATTCAATGTGGGCGAGCCAAGATTTCAAGATGCTCATGTTCTTATCCAATTGCTGGATTGCCACCAAGGTCTCCTTCAGTTTTTTCATCCTGTTAAAAGACACGGACAATATCATGAGCATGTTTACTCAGGAGCTCTAGATATCTGCCTTTTTAACATACATATTTATTTTAGCAATTTTTAGTATCGATATAATCTTGATTTTTAGAATAGATATGAATAACATAACCCAGTATGTTCATATACATGCATAAAAAATATAAATAAATGTGCAAACAATATTGATAACTGTTAAATAATATATTGTTTACAATAATTACTTTTAGATCATGTAAACTTTAATTTTTAATTCAGCAATGAGTGCTTCAGATTCAATATTTCCAGTGAACTGAAGAAACAGGGTGGTGTAGTGGTTAAGAATTGCACTCAGAATGGGAACTGTAGATCTATTTCACTCTGAGCCATGCAAACTCAGTGGGTAACTTTGGGCCAGGCAATCTGTCTATCTCAGTCCAATCTACTTGACAAATTGCTGAAGTGGAGGATCAAAACCAAAATAGGTCTTGAATCATGCTTAGGGCATATATGATGCCTATTTGATCTTTTTAGTTTTGAGAAAGCACTGGAGAAAGATCCTTAGGTTCTAGTGTGAAATTTGACTAAGCCCTAGCCACTTCTTGGGATGAGAGGTTGGTAACGGGCCTTGATTAAGTTTGTATGCTCTTGTGTACATCGTGAAAGCCTTCCTAATTCTCAGAGAAAATTTCAAGATGGTGACAGAAGAGATACTGTACCAACAGCATCTCTGGAGAAGGACAAAGATCAACTCTGAAGAATGTTTATTAAGGATTACACGGTAGCAATAATCATCATTTTAATTTAATTTAATTTTATTTTTGGAATGCTATCTGTCGGTCTTGTTTAAGGTCGCCTAGTCCTTAGGAAGAGATGAGTAAGAAAACCATCTGAAAGTTTATTACTGCCCAACATTGCTGCTGTCAAATGGGTGGCCATATAAATGTGATAAATAAATGGGGAGGGGGGCTAGGGGTCTGTTGGAAAAGAATTTGAATTTATTATCATTTCAGCTGTGTAGGACATGTAAAACTGACATATGGTCTGACACCTAGGAAGAGTTTGTGCCTCTTAGTTCTGGACCAGGGCGCTTGGATTGATCAGCTTGGCACTTGTATATTAGATTCATGTCCCTCCCTAGTTGATCAAGGCCTCCCAGGAGATGATATCGAGGTGATTCAAGCAGTCATGAGTTCATCCTTGAGGGATAGGATGATGAATTCAATCTGTGCTTGAGGTGGTGGTCTGTCGCATCTTCAAGAAGCCACTGTTGGACCAAACACTGTTGGAAAACTTCAACCCCCTCTTCAATTTTTCCTTCTTGGGGAAGTTTGTTGAGAAAGTAATTGGACTGCAGCTTCAGAAGAAGAAAACCCATTATCTGAATCTCTTTCAGTTGAGTTGCAGGCCTGGGCATCGTACAGAGATGGCACTGATCATGTTTAAGCAGTCTGGGTGGGTTCAGACTGTTACAAATATAAAATCTGTGTAAGATGCTACTTATGCATGTCTGCTAAGCTATGGTAGAATAGGTCCATCACTTCAGCGTTCCCTCTGAGATTTGAATGGTCCAGCTCTTGTGCCCGCTATGACTGTTTAACTGTTTATGGCTTTTTTAAGCTTTCTGAAACTGCCTCAATAATAACATAGTAAAGAAAAAGAAATCTATTATAAAGTGACTTCACATCTTCATAAGTTTAGTAACTTATTAAAATATGCATAAACCATTGAGTCCTGATGTCAGCAAAAGATTATTAAATGCTATCAGAGATAACAATTTAATTTAACTGTAATCAAATAAACCAATATTATATTCCTTCCTTTTACTTCTATCAACCTTAATCTTTAACTCTTTCAAATAATGATGTAAAACTTGATTTCTTTTTCATTTTTTTCCTTGATCCCTTGTCATAAAATTCTTCAAAACCTTTAACAAGCCTGTTTTGAATATCCCATACAGGAAAATTGTCCACGTCACTCTCATTTTTGTTTTTTTATATCCCTTTTAATTTTTAAGTCATCAGCAAATTTCTTTTGTATGTCCAGTGTAATATCTTCTTCCATGTCGTCTTGTAGCCTATTGTTTTTTAATCCATTTCCAATTCAATCTCAAATTTGTCATGCAGAATTTGCTCCTCTTTCATAGCATCTTATAATCACAGACTTTATATAGATGCAAATTAATTATAGGTCCATCGTTCAAAAATATTGTTCAATAAAGACAGTGTGTGAAAATAAGCTCCCCCTCCCTTTTTGTATGCTTGGGTCAAAATTAATACAAGGGAAGCAATGCTTCTTTCTGTGCACACTTCTGCAATGTGTCTTTTCTTTCTGGCAAAAGACCCAGAGATCAAATATAATAATTCAATCTAATCACCTACTGTAATTATCTTTTGCTTAGTCTCAAAGTTTGTGATTTTATTTCAGCACACATCTGGTTTTGAAAAACTAAATACCTATCATAGCAGAACTGTCAATAGTCCTTTATTCATCAAATGAACACTTTATTGACTAACGTAACAACATATTTTGAGTCTTAGTCAGGCACTTATCCTGCATACTCTTGCCAAAAGTTTACTGTACTTGAGTGTGTATTATTTTGGAAGCCTATAGTTTCACTAGAACAGTGATGGTGAACCTTTTAGAGACCAAGTGCCCAAACTGCAACCCCAAACCCATTTATTTATTGCAAAGTGCCAGGGCTGCATCAGCATTGTGGTGCCCTCGGGGGGGGGATGGCCCACTGGGTAGGCGTGGCTGCAGTGGTCACGGCAGACTGGGTGAGCGTGGCCGGGGCCAGGGCAGTGGGGGCCAGTCCCTCGCCATCTCTGGGGTGTCTCGGGGAGGCCAACACTGCTTGCTCGCTCACTTCCTGCCCTGTCGCTTCCAAACACCACGTTCTCATTACTCTGGCGAACTCTGGTGGGGCAACGGCGTGCGTGCCCACAGAGAGGACTCCGAGTACCTCCTCTGGCATGCGTGCCATAGGTTCACCACCACTGCACTAGAACATGCATCCTTTTCAACTGAAAAGATATACTGTCATGTGAACAATGTAAGAAATAATTGTAGGCAAAAACTCCTCTCTGAGATAAAACTGCAATAATATTTATGGAAACTAACTTTCTTAGCAGACTGTAATGTCTTATACTATGTTGCTTCAAGAAGCTGGAAAGAATTTCTTTTCCTGTTAATAAATATCCAACTTCCCAAAAGAGCAGATTGAAATCAGCACATGACAGGTCTAAATTTAGCAAGCTTAATCTATACCTACAATAATATTTCAGTGATTTGCTGAACTTTTTAAATATGTCTTACAGTGTGACAATGACATTGTTGCAATTATTTAGAAGTATCTTTATCGGTGGATAAATATTTTTAACTTTCAATTAATACTTTAAACATATTACCTTGAATTAAGTACTGGAAACATACTGTATTTAAGTTTAAAATACATGCATGGGTAATTTATTGCTTTATTATTGTTCATTAAATATGTGGAAAACTTTTTCAGATATGTAAATCTAAAATACGCTTTAATTGAAATGATATATTATGACTCAACTGCACTATAGTGTACCATAAAGTCACAACTACGAATAAATAAGACAGCTGTTTGCTAATAATAACCTGAGTAAAATTTTGCAATACTTTTTAAATTTTTTCAGTTTTACATTAATTTTTTTTATACTTTGAAATACTTTTATATAACATTCCCCAAACAATCCTTTTTTCCATGCCACATTTACAGCAGAAAAAGTCTGATATTCAAAAGCATTTTCCATAAATCTTCCTGTGTATGGTGTCTTGCAGTTAAGCGGTAGAAAAAATTCTTTTTCATGGAGCATATTATTTTTCATAAGACCCCTTCACTACTATGAGCCCTTTATTAGGCTCAGTAATAAAACAAAGCATAACAAAAGATTCAAACAAACTTTGCTTGCCTTGACACATCACAATTGCAGTCAGGAAGATCTGAATCCACAGAGTGATCATCTGCCATTTTCAGAGCATGTAAATCCACCAGTACGAGCATTAATTTTCCCAGTATGATAATTAAGAGCATTCAATCCAATTATTACTGGAAACTGTAATAATTGGATTGTACTTCACAGAAACCCTGCAAACAGTGCTCACCCTCCAAACAAAAGTTGGTAAGCCACTGCCTGGTAACATGAGACTAAGCTGTGTGACAAGTGGTCATGTTTCTAAATAAAACTTACATTCATCAACATGTGCCAGGGTGATCTTCAGGAATGTAGGCCGTGAATGGAGGAGGGGAAGGGTAAAAAAGCGTTCACTGTAAATTCTGAGCAGCTGTGGAATATACTGTCCAAAAAGGCAGCCCAAGAAAAAGTGTGGCTGGCTGGTGTAATCAAATAAAAAATGGAGTATTTGTTTGGTTTGTTCCTTTGCTGGGTGCTATGTGGACTTCCTGTTCCTATTTTATAATTTGTATAAATCTCTCCAGCTGTTAGCCAGCATCACCAGAGGAATTTAAAGTAGCAAGGAAAGGGATTTTTGAACCATTTAAAACAGGGGTGTCAAACGAATGGCCTGCAGGCCGGATGCCTGCAGGCCACGCCCATCCCAGTTCCACAAAGGCAAAAAACGTCGTGATACGTCATGTGACGTGATCGAGTTTGACACCCTGGGATCTAAAATAACTGAACTTTGACAAAGGTATAAAAATAAAGGAAAACAGTAGAGTAAAAATAACATCAAATCATTTATATTGTTTTTTCATATCAATAAACTTTAAACAAGTTAATTTTAGTATTTATTTAATAAAACCATATTACAATAGTAGACTTACATGTTCTGTATTTAAATTTAACTGCTCTTAACTTTCTGAAGAAAAAGTGATAACTTTTTGAAGAAAAAGTTAATATTTATTTATTTATTTATACTGAAGGCTTTCCATTATAGTTCTAAATGGCTGAAAAATGGAAAACTATCAATGTGATCTTAAGTATAATTTTACTTTCGGTCATGACTGTCTGATTAAAAACATGTTGTCTCAATACTGTTGCTACTGCTTTAGATGTTCTATCTTCACGCTCCTATTTGCTTGAAAACCCACATCCTGAGGAACTATCTAGTGCTACAAAAAATAGCAATTCTTGCGTTAATGAATCTATTTGAATTGGTACTTGTAGCCGAACTTGACATGAAAACCTTTTATAGAAGAGGTTTATGCTGTCACAACAAAATAGTAGGTATCAATGAATCATAGAAAATTACAAAATAATTTTCGTAATGCTTAAGTGCCAATTGAAAAACAGATAACATACAGTAGAAGCTTCTGATGGGCAAGTGGTGTTATTCTTCTGATGGTAGCAGAATAAAGGATTGATCCTGTTTTAGTGATGAAAGGTAGGGCATTTTGCAAATGTAGGATATTGTACAGGTAGTCCTTGACTTACGACTACAATTGAGCCCCAAATTTCTATTGTTAAGTGGGACATTTGTTAAGTGAGTCTTGCTCCATTTTAAGACCTCTCTTGCTACAGCTGGTAAGTGAATCACTGCAGTTGTTAACTTAGTAATATGCTTGTTAAGTGAATCTGGCTTCCCTGTTGACTTTGCTTGTCATAAGGTTACGAAAGATGATCACGTGACTCCTGGACAGTACAGCTCTCATAAATATGAGTCAGTTGCCAAGCATCTGAATTTTGATCACTTGACCACGGGGACGCTGCAAAGGTCGTAAGTGTGAAAAATGATCATAGCTCACTTTTTTCAGTGCCATTATAACTTCGAACGGTCACTAACTGAACTGTTGCTAAGTCGAGGACTACCTGTAGATGCTGAAGTATAATCTCTGTAAATCTTTCTTTTTGACTGGGTCTTAACATGAAAGGCTGTTTTGTTTTTCTTTTTTGTTAACATTTGTGGTTATATCCCACTTGCAATCCTCTAGGATCAGAAGTACCATTAAACACATGCATGCATACATAGATACATACCTGGCTGCAATGAGATCTAAAAGATGTTGCCACCGGTCATTGACCTTGCCAAGTTTATACTCAATCTCCAGAGCTTTGCTTTCATGGCTTGCTTTAGCAAGCCGCTCTCCCATTTCCTGAAGCTGCGTTTTATTCTCTTGGGCAACTGCAATTTCCTCTTGATAATCCTGAATGATAGAAGAACAGAAAAAAACAAGCCAGTAAGCACCTTAAGAAAATTTTCTTGCTTAGAGCAACAAATGGCAGCTTAGTTGCTCTTATCTGGGAAGGTTATGTCTAAATAATATCTAAACATGATATCCCTTTTCTATAATTCTGAAGGTGTTTATAGGAGATAATAATCTAACATATGTAGACAACAGAAAAATAAAATGCTCCAAAGTTTGCAAATTGTTCAGTTTAGTCAAATTAGTGACACTCAAGTATAAATACCAGACTTTCCAGTCTACATGTCCTTTCTAACACATTTTAAGAGCATCAGATTACAAAAGGCCATATAGAATCATATCCAAGATTTTACTGAACAGCTTCCTGGGATATAGCACATTGCAGTTCTGATAAATTAAGAATATTTATGGAATGGTCTGCAATAGTAAAGCAGAAGCCCTGTACCTTTTTGAGTTTTTCAATCATTTCTTCAATGAGGATATCTCCATTCTGGGAAACTTTACTCTCCATTTGGGTCAACCATTCACAGAGATCTTTGTTCTTCTCGCTGAAGACTGCCCATTCATTCAGCCTCTCACTAACCTGCTGCCTCCTCAAGGAAACCTTTAAAGAAATGCAGGAAGAAAGCTAGATTATAATAACAAGAAAAGTTAAGACATCATGTTCACCCTGCACTAAGATGATTGCTGAAGTAAAAAGAGAGATAAAGCTTCAACGGTATGTGATTTCTTTAACTGCCGGCCCACGGGCCAGATGTGTCATACCGAAACCGTGCCCACCCCAGCTCCAGCAATGTCGTGACACGTCATGACACCCCTGCTTAACATCTTAACGATAGTAATTAATCTTAGGTTACTTCTGGCCAAATTACAATGAGAAAGCAGCTGTACACAAATACTAGAAGTTACCAGACACGCAATTGGGTTCCATAGGAAGATAAAGGAATCCAGGCTTATCAGTTGCAGATAAAGGTGTACCTCATATTGCTAGTCAGGTAGATATCTCTAAAGCCTAGACAACTATACTTAATTCTCAGATTACACATAAATATAGAGATTACTTTTAAATATAGAGCTGCAACTAGTCACAAAGAGACTAACAACTAGGAGGTTAAAAAGAAAAAAGGGCATGGTACTTTCAAAGTAGTTTTCCTAATGCAAGAAATTCTAATATTATGAGATCAGATTTCTTGATCTTGTTGATCTTGATATTGCTAATAACCCAACTGGCTTTTTTAAAATGCTAAGCATACAAGCATGGGTGGTAAGCAACTGAATTAAAAAATGTGGCCCCCACCGATATAAAACATTACTGCAATTCTATTTAAACAGTTTACATCCAGCCTCATCTTCCATAAGTGATTCAGTGGTAAATTTATTTCATATTTATATGATGGTTTATTTATGTGATTTATTCCCACCTCAGTCTGTTAATTGGTGACCAAGAAGATAGATATAGATAATATAAATAAAAAAACCCATACAAAATAACAATGATATGTTAAATGAATAACAAGTTATAAGAACAGATTAGGTTAATGTCACCCTAATCACTCAATCAGTCCACTATGGCCTTCAAAAGAACTAAGTCTTTATCAATTTCTAGAAGGCCCTTTGAGAGAGACCATCCACGGAGATAATCTTGCAATCTCAGAAGGATAACTTGTAATAGGAAAGACTTAGTCTCTCTGATGCTTCCATCTGATCCCACTAGATCTGACAGGAAATAGAAGAATGGCAACAAATGTCCCCAGAAATAAACTTATAACACAATTTTCTAAATCTTAAAACATAGACCAAAGGAAGATTAAGCAGAAGCAAACCAGACCTAGAAAGAAAATGTATTTTTATGCTATCTTTTTCAACAATCTAAAGACAGCTTTACTTACTGCACCTGTTTCTTCTTTTCGATAAATGTAGTAGTTCCTTCTCAGCTTATGTATTTCCTTTACTGAGAAAGGAAACACTTAAGAGAATGACCACAGCCCATATTTAGATATGTAAAACAAGATACACATGATTCTAATTTCCTTTTGTGTTTTTTTCCCCCACACTCCAGTATCAAGAAATTATTCTAAATCTTTTCTGTAAAACTAAACTCCGCTATTGCATGGAGAACAACTGGTCAGGCTAAGCAGGGCAAAATGCAAATTTGCCAGTGCCTCATGATCAGAAATAAGAAATTAGTTGGTCAGTATGCAGCATAAAAAAATGTTTATTTAACTCTGTCCCCTCCTACCTTCCAACATATTGTAGTTAGCGTGCATTCTATCTCTTGAGCCTTCAAAGAATAAATTTGTCCAAAATGGTGTAGGGTTTCCTGCCTGAGCAGGGGGTTAGACTCGATGACCTCCAAGGTCCCTTCCAACTTTGTTGTTGTTGTTGTTGTTATTATTATTATTATTATTAGTTTATATGCAAGCACTCCTCATTGCAATATTGGGCAAAAGACTTGAATGCCTTTCTACCACCAACTGAGGTTTTTGTTAGTAACATTGCACCATGAACATGCAACAGTATTGGGATGCTCTTCACGGCCAACTTAAGTAGGTGATAGAACATGGCATCTAAACTCTGGGTGAAGGTGTTTTATACAAAGATTCAAGCTTTTCTACACTTATTTCTTTCAAAACTTTTACAGCACACCCCAATCCAAACAGATTTCGAACAGGGTATGATAAAGTCAAGATAGTAAGATACTGAAGATCAGATGCAAATAAAGAGAAATAACCAATAAAAGCATCAAACCTTCTGTCATTCTTTAACCACTCAGAGTAAGGGCATTCCTGTCCCATTGTTAAGTGAGGACAAAGAAAGATGCAAATGATGAGCATGTGACTGCAGGATGCTTTAATGCTGTGAGCAGGTGCCAAGTGCCCAGATCATGGTTACATGACTGCAGAGAAGTTATGACTGGCATAATTACAAGGACCAATCATATGGACTAATCACTCAGCATTGCTGTAAGCTTGAACAGTCACTGGATGAGTGGTCATTAAGTGAGGACCACCTGCCTTTCCAATATAAATATGGCACAGAATTTACTTACAACACTCAGCAACTTATCCATATATCTATAAATAGAATCCATCTATCTATAAATAGAATCAAAATCACAGGAAGTATTAATACCCCTTTATAAATCCTTGGAAAGGCCACACCTGGAAAACTGCTTCCAGTTTTGGTCACCCACATTACAAAAAAGATGTTGAGACTTTGGAAAAAGTGTAAAGAAGAGCAACTAAGATGATTAAAGGCCTGGCATATGAAGAACGATTGCAGGATTCAGGAATGGCCAGTCTAGAGAAAAGATGGCAGTATTGCAGTATTTGAGGGGCTGCCACAAAGAAGAGCGAGTTAACTTATTTTCCAAAGCACCAGAAGGCAAGACAAGAAACACTGGATGCAAACTAATCAAGGAGAGAAAAAAACTTGGAATTAAGGAGAAACTTCCTAACCGTGAGGACAATTAATCAGTGGAACAGGTTGCCTTCAGAAGTTAGGTGGAGGATTTAAGAAGAGAGGTTTTAAGAAGAGACTGGAAAGCCACCTGTCTAAAATGCTATAGGGTCTCGTGCTTGGACTAGAAGTACTAGAAGACCTTTGAGGTCCTTGCCTGCTCTATTCTGATTGATCTGTAATTACCAAGATCCTTTTTAAAATGTAGGAATTATAATAATCTCCACAATCACAAGGAATCAGAGCCGTCTTATTAATACAATTAAAAAGCAATGCCACAACTGTCAGAAATCAGCATTTGGCTAATTAGTTGTGGTGTAGAACAAATCTTGTACTTTCTAGGTCCCTCCTTGATATGGTGCAAGGGCTGCCCGAACACATCTTCATATGCCTCTGTCTGTATGTCAGTGTTTAACCATGGCTTAAGTTTTCATGTTTGAGATTTTTTTCTAATATTTTGCCTCAAGCTATTTCATGGGAGCGACAAGGAGGTGGCCTGAAATGACATGCTCTTCATCAGCAATCTTGCCATTATAATTGATTCTGCCAGTTTCCTTGTGCTAAAATGCCAAGAAGAAACAGCCAAGAAATATAAACATCCTAATTCTTTGCTGCTACCTACAGGTTGAAAGGTTGATCTGTTGACTTAGAAAGTGAAAAGACCTGAAAGTGGCTAGCCTATCCCTGGCTTAAGATGAAAGAGAGCAATTGAATGGGCTCAGCTCATATATTTCTGTAATCTATATGGTAGAAAATTGTCTTCTCTAGAATTACTGCTTTCTGGTACCTCACTTCCTTTTTTTGATGTCATGCTCTTAACATAGTTTTCTAAAGCAGGGCTTTTCAACCTTTTCATCCATTGTACCACATTTAGGCTATGGCAATATCTGAGTACCACCAGACGCCTAGCAAGGTGTCAAAAACTTGATGATAAAAAAAAGGGAAAAAAGTGATGAAGTACAGGTAGTCCTCGACTTATAACATTTTGCTTAGTGACTGTTCGAAGTTACAACAGCACTGAAAAAAGTGCCCCAAGCCACAGCCGAGCAAGACACCTGCCTGCCCGCACAGTGGTGCTCTTCCTCCTGTCCGAAGTTTTCATTGTTGTGAGCATTTCTGTTGAGGATTGGCAGCGGGGGTGGGGTGGGTGGGTTGGTTTTTATTCCCCCCATCTGCTGGGTGGTTGCAGCAGGTTTTGGTCACTTTATATAACCCTGGGACACTGTGACCATCATAAATATGAATCAGTTGCCAAGCATCTGAATGTAAATCACAAGACCCTGGAGATGCTGCAATATTCCAGCTGGTTGGCGCTTCTTCTGGACTCAGCAGAAGCGCCAGGATCAGTGCCGAGTTCCAGCTGGTGCTTCTGCTGAGCCCTGACAGCCCTGCAGCTCCAGCCATCTCTCGCTCAGGCTTGTGCGGTGCTGCCACCAGTTCAGCTCATTCCCCTCTCCTGCTATTTTTCTAGGATGCTCGCATACCACCTGCCAGGTGCCAATGTACCACAGGTGGTACCCGTACCACTGGTTGAAAAGCCCTGCTCTAAAGAATTTTCATACTGATCCTTATTCCAAACCCCCTTTAATATTTGAGATAGGCATATAACTACAAAGTAGGAAGGTAGGAAGCTGAAATAACTGCAGTGAAAGAAAGGATTCTTCTTCCATTTTTGTTAGACATTAGTTATATTATGCATATAGGAGCATTGTATTGTAGCAATCAGATCAACCCCAAGTATTACATGAACTGTTAGAAACTTAATGGTCATCTCTAAAATAAAGTTCTCCATTTCTGCCCATAGGTGTTTACTCTGTTTACATATTGCTTAATTTTTGGTAGAGTCACCACCACTAAATGGTACCTAAACAGGATTAAGGATTTTCTAATCTGCAGTCTTATTGATATGATTAATTCCAGTTTTTCACTGACCCCTCCACATCTATTATATGGTTTGGCATCTACTAAATGTAGATGAATTGTTGAACATATCTTTTACTTGATCTTATTGTGGGTCAACTGATGTGTATGCCCCAAGATGTCTTCTGTTACAATTGATTAAAATATGCAAACTAAGAATGGGTTTGTAATATTAGTGGAATCTGTAATCTTGCATCTTATTTATGGCTGTTCTCTTCTGATACATGGCTCAATTTTTTCTATGAATGATCTTAAGATGTGGAGTATAAGATTTCCAAGTATTACAGCAACTTCAACTGGATTGCTGCCTCCATTGAAGATTTTTAAATGTTTTGCTTTTAAATGACTTAGTTTTATTTTGAACATTCAAATATATCTATTATCTTCTGAACAATTTCAACACTGATCCTTCTGGATCCAAAATTCAGCCAACACTAAGATTCCATAATCAAAAACACTAGGTGAAATCTCAGATAAATGAGTAGTTCCTCTTTGCTTTCAGAGTGCAGTAGAATAACACAGCATCATGAAGCAGCTTCAAGGGGGCAATTTACACTTTTGTTGAACTGAAACATCCTTTCAAAGCAGCAGCTAAATATTTACAAATAGAGAAAGCAACCTCAGCAGAGATAAAGAGTAAGGACTTGATCTGCTTGCTTAGAATTTTGGCATCAACCAAACATAGGTATTTACCTCTCTATTACTACCTCTCTATCTATCTAGAGTGTCTCAATCTTTCAAAGGTGAAATCAAGTGGGTGGGAAGTTGGAGAAAAGGTGGGAAAAGGCCTCACTATTTTTTCATATGCTTAGGAAGCATATTTTACTCTGCTAATTAAACAAACCAGGATTTGTTAGGGCAGGTTTTTGGGTGGGGATAGTTGGCAGATAGGAAATTTTTTTATCAGTTGACTTGTTACTTGTGACATTAAAACTTTTTATTATTATTCTATAATCTAGTAGGAATGGCATTCTGATCCTGTATTTATTACATATATCCTAATTTACAACTAAGAAGATTAAAAAAGAACTATTACTAACTAGTACAGTTAATTAAGCATGCAAATCCAGGCTTATCATATTTAACTCTAAGTTTCAGACATTAAACTATGTTGTAGCTCAGCAATCACCCAGCAGTCTGCACAAATCAGACTAGCCTAATAAGAAAAGTGTTTATATATATGTCTGCACAAATCAGACTAGCCTAATAAGAAAAGTGTTTATATATATATATATATATATATATATATATATATATATATATATATATATATATATATATATATATATCTTTGATAACTCTAAATACTTGAATCCCAGGTGTAGACATTTTTTTAAATTTTTTTTAAAGCTCAGTAATAAAAAAAGGCTGTTATATCCCGGAGTATTTGGGCAGGCAATACTATTGTACCTGGTGACATAGTTCTTCCCATTGTCTGTGCAACAATTCAATACGCTCGTTGAGTACCGAAATGTCTTCTGCACTAATGAAACCAGACAGGGTCTCCTTTAATAAGTTCAAATGAGAAAGGTCATTGGTCCATCCCTCAGCAGCACTCTCTAGTTCCTATTTTGAGAAAGAAACTCTTTAAAGCACATAGAAGTAAATATTTATTTATTTATTTTAATTATACTGAAGAACAAAAAAGGAAATTAAAAAAGTCAACATGAATAATTATGATGAACAAAAGGAGTTTTCAGACTTATTTTAAAAAGAAACTTGGTGGTTTGGTCTGGTTTGAATGCACATGTGACTCTTAATTGCTTCCAACTAGGAGAACATCAGAATTTCCTCTTCCTGAGGACCCTGCTATACTATATATATCTGGAGTATGATATGATACAGAACGGCCTCATTCGTCAGCTTTTTTAAAAATATTCCAAGCATCACAAAATCAACTACTTCAATAAAAAAATATATTTGTCTGTAAGTCACCCGTTGCTTCATATATAATACAACAAAGTGGAAATGATCTGTCCTGATTGCATTCTATATTGTATACCCCTCTTTGGAGTCAGGATGCTTTGTGCATTAGTACTGTACCTTGCAGCGAATCTGTTCTGCATGGAGCTCATCATGGTGGTCTGGCAATGGTTGGGAAAGCTTCTGCTTCAAGGATTTTAGCTTCTCCAAGGAATTTGATATGCCTTTTTCACATGTTTCCCAGTCCTGAATGGTAGGACATAAATACAATGTCTCTCAATTGAAGCAAAGGAAAAACAGAAAAGATGGGTTCTCAAACCTAACAATTTAGGGTCCAAATTATTTATGTTTCCTCTAGCACAGGGGTGTCAAATTCAATTTCATTGAGGGCTGCATCAGCATTGCGGTTGCCCTCAGGGGGGTGGGGTGTGTGTGGCCAGGGTGGATGCAGCCTACTGGGTCGGTGTGGATGGAGTGGGTGTGGCCTACTGGGTGGGCATGGCTAGTTCTATATCTTTCTCGTCAAGGGTATCTGTGGGGGCCTGGGCAGGAGTGGGACAGGGTCTCTGGCAGAAGGGGGTGGGACCGGGGCAAGCACCAATGCATGGTCCATTTTTCAGTCCTCACAAAAGGTGACACCACCCCAGCATGCACCCAGGGGGTGAGGCTGACGCAGCAGGGGCTGGTTCCTCGCTGTTTCTAGATGACCTTGTGGAGGTAAGACTGAATGTGTTTCAGCATAGATGTCCACCACAAAATTGTACATTGGCTCTCGGCTGGCCTGGGCCAGGGCCAAGGCAGCAGGGGCCGTTCCCTCACTGTTTCCAGGATGACTTCGCGGGCCACATGAAACCACTTCACGGGCTGCATCCGGGCCCCGGGGCCTTGTGTTTGACATGTCTGCTCTAGCAGCACAAAGCAGTGTACATTTCATCTAATTTTTCAGTGATTCTTGTTAGGGCAAGAAAGAGTGAGTGGCTCTAAGTCACTCAGTAAACTTAGATGACTGAGGGTCATCATAACATCTTAACCATTACCCTACACATTAGATTTGATCAAACCATGACAATATAGAAGCTGTAGCTGTAGAAGGCAACATGACTATTCACAAGTGATTAAGATCTGATAAGCGTTGTGCGTTAGTATTTTGTAATACTCTATAAAGTCAGATCCTGAATTCACCAGAACAGTAATACTGTTTTAATTCCCCATCAGAAAAGTAAACGGCATAAAGGGAAGGGAAAAATTGAATATAATGCAATCAAATATTGTAACTGACAACTTTAATCACAAGAATAGTTTATTAGGGCATCAATCACAGTATTTTGGATTTCCTATAATAAACAGATATGTACAGAAATGAGAGCTCTTAAATACTCACTACAATCCACTGATTTATTTCGGTATTTAAAAAAAGAAAGTACACATCTAAACAACTGCTTAAAATTTCAAAACCCCATTTCATTCTGTTTTCTTGCCATGTTTGCAATTGTCAAGCTCCTGGAGGCTTGACATGCACACGGGGACGGGGGGAAGCAGATGACAGCCCACCACCCTCGAGACCCGCCGAGCCGCACGCCACCACAGCGGAAGCCCGAGCCGAACGGGGCTTCACACTAGACCTGCTTCCTCACGCTGACGCGCAGGCGCAGACGGACACCGGTCTGCGCGCAAACCCGGAATCCCCCGAAGATCAGCTGATGCCGGCAAGCCCGGGATTCCACGACGACCAGCTGTGGCCGGCGGACCGGGCGAACGCCGGCGCGTCAACGCGGAAGGACCGAAGCGAGGGGACTTTCCCGGATGCTAAGCCCCTGCCGGCGAATCCAGCATGGGCTGAGGGTGGGGAATACTTACCAAACAGGCGGGCCAGTAGGCAGGGAGAGCGTGGCGGCGGGAGAGGAACGCGCAGACCGAACACACGAACGGAGGGGTGCGGGGGTGGAGCTCCGTCGGGGAAAGGGAGAGCACAGAAGAAGGGTGGGGCATATATTAGGTTTGGGCGGATGTCGGCTTGGGGTTGGGGGCGGGAACACGGGGTGTGGCACACTGTTATAGAGCACTGGGAGAAAGCCACTCCCAGTGCTGACTTTGTTTCGTCTTCACAATAAATCAGTTGATGAGCTCAGTGTGTACCGGCGTTCCTTCACTCTTACTGACGGACGACAGCGGATGCACTGACAGGAAGTCAGCACTCCTTTTCTTCTTTCAACCTATTACGTGCTGCGGAGGAGAGAGGTATGGCAGAAGGCACGCAGGACGCTTCCCTGGTCGAGGGGGAGGTGGAGGCTGGTGGTGTCGGTGAGGCCGTTCCGGAGCTGGAACAAGCAGCTGAGCAGCCTGTGGTGCGGCCAAAGCTGCTGTTGGCCACAAACCCAGGGCCCGGTGTGGATGAGACAGGGGCTGCCAAACCACAAGAGGAGTGGTGGCAAAGCCCAGCGGTGGCTGGGGTGCAGACCGGGCAGCTTCTGACACCCAAGCCGAAGCCCGTTCACCCGGGGTGGAGGGAGAGGCGCGTCACCTCCGAGGACGATGAAGACTGGAGCTACTCCACGGCTCCGGGTCAAGATACGATGGATGTTTTGCGACACCGGTTTGGCAAGGCAAGCTATAGGGGTGGTTCCAACATGTGGCAATCGGAAGAAGACTCTACGACACGCACCCCGTCATCCAGGTTTCGCTTGAGCAGTCCAAGGCTGCAGTTGCCGCCTCCAGCAGGTGGATCGGCTGTCCCGGGCCTCCCGTCGGGCGGCCCGCCGGGTCAGCCACAACCAACCCAGCAGGTTGGTCCCAGAAAGGTGGCTAGAGGTCCTGTAGTGAGAGGGGGTGTGGAACAGCTGGGGCCTGCGCCCGGATATGCTAGCGCCATGCCAGGCCAACCCCTGGGACCATGGGGTCCAGGGAGTTCATGGGGGGCCCCTCCCATTCCTGTCACGTTTGACGGCAACCCTGATCACCTGGCAATGTTCTTGGGCCAAGCCATAAGCCATTTAGACCAATATGCCCAATTATATGCCTCCCAATGGGCCATGGTTGGCGCAGTTACCGCGGCTCTGCGGGGAGAGGCGGCTGCATGGGCAGCCGACCTGTATAGCGACCACGCCCGTGAATTGGGGAGTGCGGGGCTGTTTTTGGACGCTTTGCATGTGAGATTTGAAGATCCTACCCGAGCGCAGAGAGCAGAGGCAGACCTCCTTGCACTACAGCAGGGGAAGCGCCCAGCCATCGAATATGTGCGGGACTTCCGTAAGTTAGCCGGTCGATTGTATTCTTCATGGCCAGAGCGATTGCTGGTGCATCATTTCCGGGCTGGCCTGGACCACGACCTACGTCAGGCTTGCGTGTACAGGGGAGTTCCGAACAGACTGCGGGACTGGTTCAAGGTCGTGGTCGAGCTGGAGGTAGGCCTCAAAGAGGTGCATCGAGGATTGGGGGATATCATGAGGCCACGGCGTTCTGAAGATAAGCAGCGAGAGGGAGGCCAGGTGCCGCTACGGGCAACATCTAAGCCTTCCGGTGCACCTGGGGAGGCTGTGTTTCGGTGTTTCCGTTGCAACCAGCCGGGCCACCGAGCAGCTGAGTGCCCAGCGCCTAGCCCACGTAAGCCCACAACGAGTGGTAGGGCTACCCCCATGAAGACGGCCGCGGAGAGTTCGAGAGCCGCCACCCAGCAAGCAACCCCGGGGGTGAGAAGGGGGTCCCCGGCCACCCCAGAGCCTGCAGCTGCGGCACGCTACCAACCGGGGGATGATGAAGACAGTCCGGACGACGGGTCCGCCGATCCAATGGTGAGTGAACCCATTAGACCATTTGTTCTACCCATAGTCCTAACGAGTCCGATAACGGGGGTACAGAGGGCATGTCAAGCTTTAGTAGACACCGGGTGCACACGATGTCTGATCAGTAGGAAAGTCGCAGTGGATAGTGGTTTCCGGATATATAGGTTAACACAACCCATCCGGTTTGAGCAAGTGGATGGGTCGCTTTTGGGAGGGGTCCCCGCGACTCACGTGACCGAACGAGTACGCATGGACTTGGGAGACCACTGGGAGGTGCTACGCTTCATCGTGGTGCCTATTATGATGGAGACTGTCATATTGGGGTTGGCTTGGTTAGATAAATGGACCCCCACTATATGGTGGGAGGGGGGTTACCGTAAGGTGCGCCTTGGGGTAGGCCCAAATCCAGTGGAGGGTGAGACTGGGGATCAGGTCCCAGTGGTCCCAGGAGTAGCAGCACAACTCCAGGAGAAGGAGGGGGAACTTTCATACCCCAAGGAATACAGGGATTTGGCAGAAGTCTTCAGCGAACAAGGTTGCGATCAGCTGCCCCCTCACCGGCCGACAGACTGCGCTATTGAACTGTTGCCGGGGGTTAAGCTCCCAAAACCACGGATGTACGCTATGACATCGACAGAAGTACAAGAGCTCCGTAGATATATTGACCAGAATTGAGCACGGGGGTTTATCCAACCAGCCCGTTCTCGGATAGCGGCTCCCGTGTTATTCAAGGAAAAGAAGGACGGATCATTACGTTTGTGTGTCGATTTCCGGGGGTTAAACGCAGTGTGCGTCGAACATTTATACCCCCTCCCTCTCATGAAGGACTTACTGGCACATTTAGGAAAGGGTCGCATATTCACCAAGCTAGACCTCCGAGAAGCCTACTATAGGGTACGGATTAAAGCCGGCGATGAATGGAAGACGGCATTTAATTGCCCGTTAGGCAGTTTCCAGTTTCGGGTCATGCCATTTGGATTGCAAGGGGCCCCTGCGGTGTTCATGCAGTTAATTAACCAGGTGTTGCATGACCACCTATACCGAGGGGTCCTTGTGTACCTGGATGATATTTTAATATATACCACAACGATGGATGAACATATCAGTCTTGTTAGACAGGTGCTCCGGAAAATTCTCGATGCCCAACTTTATGTGAAATTATCAAAATGCGAGTTTCACCGAGAGCGACTAGATTACCTGGGTTATCGTATTTCGGGGAACGGGGTGGAAATGGATCCGAGTAAGGTGCAGGCGGTACTGGACTGGCAAGCCCCCAAGACCAGGCGCCAGCTACAAAGTTTCCTCGGATTTGCGAACTTTTACCGCCAATTTATCCCATCATTTGCCGCCGTCGTTCAACCCCTCACAGAGCTCTTATGAATGAAACATCTTACGGGAAAACCCCGCCCAAGTCAGCCATTGGAGTGGACCATGGACTGCCAAAGGGCATTCGAGACTTTGAAAGCGTTGTTCGCTAAAGAGCCTGTGCTGCGCCACCCAGATCCGGATGTTCCGTTTGTGGTGCAGGTCGACGCCAGCGATGTGGCCGTGGGGGCGGTGTTGCTGCAGAAGAATGAAAGCGGGACATTACAGCCCTGTGCCTATACCTCCAGAAAATTTACAACGGCCGAACGAAGCTGGGCCATCTGGGAGAAGGAGGCCTTTGCAATCCGATGGGCTTTGACGACATGGCGACATCTTTTAGAGGGGGCCGAGTTGCCTTTTGAGGTGTGGACAGACCACAAGAACCTGGAGGCACTACAGTCCCCGAGGCGCTTGGCCCCCAAACATGTCCGATGGGCCCAATACTTTAACCGGTTCAGGTTTGTGCTGAGGTATGTGCCAGGAGGAAAGAACTTTTTGGCTGACGCGTTGTCGCGGATGCCACAGTATCATAGCAGACGGGAAGAGGTCGTACAGGCGCTGATGCCCCTTACGCGGCAGGAGATGACCAAAAGTGCAATTCACAAATCTCAACCAGATGAGTTAGACACCATTAGGACCGCCATGTTGACGGATAAGTGGGCAAACGAGCATCCAGGGTGGCTGACCATTCGCGATGGCGTGGCCTGGAAAGGCGATAAGATGTATGTGCCTGATAATCTGCGTAAATCTGTCCTTCAGAGATGTCATGATGCCAAGCAGGCGGGCCATTTCGGGTTTCTAAAAACCTTACATTTGCTACGGCGACAGTTTTGGTGGCCCAGACTGAAAGTGGATGTGGAGCAATACGTCAGAAAGTGCCATGTGTGTGCCAGTGCTAAACCCCGGATTGGGAAGACCATGGGACTATTACAGACAGTGGCCAACCCATCTCGGCCCTGGGAGGAGATCGCCATGGATTTCATCGTAGAGCTGCCCGAAAACCGGGGTTATAATGTGATCTGGACAGTGGTGGATCTGTTCTCGAAACAGGCACATTTTGTTCCATGTAGAGGGCTACCATCGGCGCGGCGATTGTCACGACTGTTCATCCAACACATCTACCGGCTCCATGGCACACCCAAGAGAATTATATCAGATAGAGGGGTGCAATTTACAGCACGGTTTTGGAGAGAGTTCGTTCGTACGCTGGGCTCATCCCAAGGCCTAAGCTCAGCGTATCATCCCAGCACCAACGGGGCGGCAGAGAGAGCAAATGCAATGGTAGAACGATACCTTCGGAGTTATGTGTCATTTCAGCAAACGGACTGGGTGGACCTCCTACCATTTGCCGAGGTGGCCTATAATAATACCGTTCACAACAGTACTGGATATACCCCGTTCAAGATAGTGTATGGAATGGAGTTTAACCCCATTCCCGAATGGTCGCCAGAGGCAGATAGTGAACGGACTCCCCAGACATGGTATTCCCAGGTAACAGGGTTATGGGAACGGGTTAAAGCAGCACGGAAGAAGGCCGAGGCAGCTGTCAAAACCCAAGCGGATAAAAAAAGGGCAGCGCACAAACCGTTCAAGGTGGGGGACTGGATGTATTTGGCCACCAAGTATCTTCGTTTACAGGTGCCATGCAGGAAATTGGGTCCGAAATATGTAGGTCCTTTTCAAATAACTAAAATAATCAACCCGGTCACAGTCCAGTTACGATTACCCGCCTCCTTAGGAAAGATCCATCCGACATTTCACAGTAGCCTCCTCAAACCTGCACATGGCACCCCGTACACTACCGAGGCCCCAGGGCCGGTCTCAGGGTCCCACTACGAGGTACAGGAGGTGCTGGACTCTCGAAGGCGGCATGGAAAGCTCCAATACCTCCTACGGTGGAAGGGATATCCGCTCTCGGACGCAACCTGGGTGGGGGAGGGGGATGTAAACGCCCCTAGGCTAATCCGAGCATTCCACCGTAGGTGTCCAGAGAAGCCACGGCGAAATGAGTGTAATGCCGTGTACTCAACCCCTCTTTTCTCTTTTCTAGGAGGGAACATGGTAGAAGGGGCCACATGTCAAGCTCCTGGAGGCTTGACATGCACACGGGGAGGGGGGGAAGCAGATGACAGCCCACCACCCTCGAGACCCGCCGAGCCGCACGCCACCACAGCGGAAGCCCGAGCCGAACGGGGCTTCACACTAGACCTGCTTCCTCACGCTGACGCGCAGGCGCAGACGGACACCGGTCTGCGCGCAAACCCGGAATCCCCCGAAGATCAGCTGATGCCGGCAAGCCCGGGATTCCCTGACGACCAGCTGTGGCCGGCGGACCGGGCGAACGCCGGCGCGTCAACGCGGAAGGACCGAAGCGAGGGGACTTTCCCGGATGCTAAGCCCCTGCCGGCTAATCCAGCATGGGCTGAGGGTGGGGAATACTTACCAAACAGGCGGGCCAGTAGGCAGGGAGAGCGTGGCGGCGGGAGAGGAACGCGCAGACCGAACACACGAACGGAGGGGTGCGGGGGTGGAGCTCCGTCGGGGAAAGGGAGAGCACAGAAGAAGGGTGGGGCATATATTAGGTTTGGGCGGATGTCGGCTTGGGGTTGGGGGCGGGAGCACGGGGTGTGGCACACTGTTATAGAGCACTGGGAGAAAGCCACTCCCAGTGCTGACTTTGTTTCGTCTTCACAATAAATCAGTTGATGAGCTCAGTGTGTACCGGCGTTCCTTCACTCTTACTGACGGACGACAGCGGATGCACTGACAGCAATATGGCAGTTTAAAGACTTCCTGCTTCCATTAAATTTATAAAAAACGCATTTTGAACAATTCCAATTTATCTGAAATTGTTTTGAATTTATATTTGTGTACCAATAAGCATGTCAGTAAACATATAATTTTATCCTCCAAAACAGCAACGTTATGCATGCACACGCATATGCATACTCATATTAAAATTTCAAACCTTTGTATATCTTTTTCTGAAATTGGTAATTTTATTCTAGTATTATCTATTGTATCTGTTCTTTGGAAAATAATGTTTCTGTTTCATCAATAATCAATGAAAAGAATCATTTTGTCAAACTTGATCTCCAAAACCAAATAGCTAGTCTCTGAAAACTGGTTTGTTTTGCAAATAAGGATTATGTGACTTCATATTTATCAAGTAGATGTTTTTCTGCTCATTGCTGTCTAATCATTCATTCATTCACTTCATTCATCATTCATTCATTCATGCATGCATGCATGTGCACGTACTTCTTGGGTTATGACAGTAATTGAAACTGGGATAGCAGTTATTAAGCAATTCAGTCACACAAAGCACATGTCATGTGAGAAGATTACTTAATGACCACAAGCTCAGAAAACCCAGCTGTTGTTCTAGCTCCTGGACTCATGGATCATTAAGTGGGAAGAAAAGGTCCCAGATAAGGAGCATGGGGGGTAGACAGGTGCTGCTGGAGAAGGGAATTTGGCAGGCGCTAGGGAACACAAATGAGCTGAGGAAGCCTGTGTGAGGGCTGCTGGCGCTATGGGAGAGCTGGCCAAGGGTTTGGAAGGGTCAGTAAAGGGGTGCTTTGGGCAGGGATGGTATGGAAGATTCGTATTTACTGGGCTGACTTGCAATGTTCCTTGCCAGCTTTCCCCTTGAGTTTGCTTATGGGAAGCTGGCAAGGAAGGTCACAAATGTGGATCCTATGATGTGGCTCACTGCATCATTCACTTACAGCAGACATGTCAAACACAAGGCCCGGGGGCTGGATGCGGCCTGCGAAGTGGTATCATGTGGCCCGCGAAGCCATCCTGGAAACAGTGAGGGAACGGCCCCGCTGCCTTGGCTCTGGCCCAGGCCGGCCAGGAACCAATGTACAATTTTGTGGTGGCCATCTGTGCTGAAATGCATTCAGTCTTAGCTCCACAAGGCCGTCTGGAAACAGCGAGGAACCAGCCCCTGCCGCAAAGGCCCTGGGTGCATGCTGGGGAGGTGTCACCCTTTGTGAGGAATGAAGAAATACACCATCGCCTGGAAGTGGCCAGCAAATGGCCCTTGCCTACATCACATATCCAGCTTGATGGGCTCTGCCCTAGTCCCACCCCTTTCTGCCAGAGACCCTCAGATCTCCCCACTCCTGCCCAGCCCCCCCCCAGGCACCCTTGACGCGAATGATGTAGAGCTGGCCATGCAATATTCAGCAAAAGCAAACAAGGTCAATGTCCTGGCAATTCAGCCTTTGAGAGGAGTAGCCTTAATTTGATTTTTAAAGATCAATTAAAATGAACATACTTTTAATAGTAAGGTGAGCTGCTTTTTCTGTTGTTCAAGTCTGAGGTTTGCTAATTTCCAGCCCTCTTGGATTTCTGTAAGTTCTTTCTGTAGGGATCCTTCTGTCTCACCATCAGCACAGAGTAGCAGCTGTTTTCCACCTTCCACTGTTAAAATGTAGCTCCCTTGTTGGCGAAGAAGCACTTTCTCTATGAGCTGGGAAGACCAAAGACATTCCAGAAACATCACTCTGATTTTATAAAATTGTCAGATAAGTCAGCCAGTAGTATCCTACTGGATGAGTGCTTTTCCTTCATGGAGGATTTTTAAACATTTCAATTATAATCACTTCTGCATGAAAAGCAGATGGTATAATGAAAGCAAGTATTTCATCAGCTCTTGCTGTGCTGTATTTTGCCTCTTTTGTTTGTTTCCTTTCTTTTCTTCCTGTCGTACTTAATGAACCATTCTGTACATTTTTTTTTTTGTAATTTCCCCAGTATCTTCTCTTTATTTTCTGACTCTCTAAAATGTCCAGCAAAATGGAGGACTGCTTTCAAATAATAAGAAGAGGTAACTAGTTATCTCTTTAAAGCTAGACACAGCAGCGCAGAACATGGCTCAGAAGGTTCAAAATCTCGTTCCATTAAGCCAGGAGTCCCCAACCCGCCATCTCGGTCCATGGACCGGTACTGGGCTGCGGCATGCCCGAAACCTATGCGCACAAACAAGCAAAGTCCCATCCGTGGATGGAGGCATCACACAAAACCACACCCTCTCTGGTCCTCAGAAAAACCTTTCTCCACAGAACTGGTCCCTCTGCATTAAGCAATACCGGAATCTATTTAGATTTAAAATGGTCTGCCAGTATAGTTACCTGCATTTCATCCAACAGGCCTCTAGCTCTCTGCAGTGGGATAGGAACACCGCCCAGCCCACTTGCTGATTGACAAGTCACTTCCATCAACCACTTGCGCAGTTTCTCTGCCATTCCTCTGTATCGTTGCCACTGATGAATCTGACTGTCAATGATGCCCCTTCTCTGCTGGGCTCTACGAATTACCGCTTGCCACTGATTACTGAGCAATGCCAGTTTCAAATTAAATTCATCCCTAAAAAAAGGAAAAGCACAACATACTGCGTTTAGTATAGAAACAAAGTCAGCCAAACAAAAACAACCAGAATGGCTAAGAATTCGGATAAATTTATTTCTGTTATTGTATTATTGTAGCATCCATTTGCCTTTGAAATACTCCATCTGAGAACTTCTAAAATTAACTTTGTAATAATCAGAAGGAAAGTTTGCCATAGTTACATCTTTTTTCTTGCGGAAAACAGTATTGCTAATCTAAATTCTTATGTATGAAATAAGGGCAACAAGAAACCACAGTTATAGCTAAAATCAATATCAACTGGAAGTGAGCAGGCAGAATATGTAATAGAAAGCAAGTGGATTATTAGTGATAGCAGTCGTGTAAAATACAATCTCACAAATAGTAGTAATCCATCATTATAGTGTGCCAATAGTTTCAGGGAAGTAAATGCATATTATATAAAAAGGCAAAGCTTTCCAACCTGCAACAATTGGAAAATATGAATTTTTTACAATACACGTTCTTACCTATCATCTACTTGCCCTTGCTCAAGAAGGTTTTGGCCATCCATGATGATAGAATGTAAAATCTGTTGGCGACTAAACATCTCCGCTTGGAAAAGCTAAAGAACAAAAAGGTTTTAAAAGTGAATTCCAAATGAGCTAAACAAAATGAGGTCTGACTCCAAAACAAAAGTTTAACCTTTCTAATATACTTAGGTTGTATGGTATTTTTAGACGGATAAGTTATTAAATATGACATAGACTTTTTTTAAAAAGCAAAGTAGCTAATTATAGGTTAATTTGGTCTACAGTATTGTTTTAAAAACCTAGTAGCAATAAAGGAATGAATTAAAGTGGTCCATTTTAATGGCTTTTGTATCACTGACTATATTCATATTAAATTTTATCCTAAAAATATGACACATAGGTAATACAGATGCAAATGCCTAATTTCCAAATAGGTAATATTTTCCATTTGTCTTTATCAAGTTGAAGACATAAAATTGTTTATACGTTCAGAAAAAAATCAAGTAATAACACCAAAGGAAAAAAAGCTTGTAATTTATGAACAATATTTTTTTTTCCAATTTTCTACATGGCTGAACATTCATAGATATATTTCATGCATGCTCTCTAGAACTTCTGTTGGCAATAAGCTTGTTTATTTCTTGTAAGGGAGCTATGGTAGATAAAAATCCAGACAGAGAAGGCTAATGTATTTACAATGATAGTCTCTTTCTGCCTGTGGATGGCCCCTATTCTTTTTTTTTTTTGTCAAGCTTCCACATGTTCAGATGAATGTCAGAATGTGTCTGATGTCCAGCCTTTGAAGTCTACTGACTTATTTTTATTATCTAAAATGAAACCAAATTTAATCTTCTCAAATTAGGGGAATTCTTGTATTCAATTAATTACAGAATCTCCCAACTTAGTTTTAGATCATGCTATCTTACGTTTTGCAGTTCATCTGTTTAGCTAAATGTTGCCCGATTCTACTGAAAAGTCTTAAGTATTCTATTATAAAATCAATTTCATGGAAGAACGCCTGCCTCTTAGCCCCAATATATGAATCAGTGACTGTGGGCTAAGTCTAACTCTTTTACAGACTGAAACTCTCCATTAATATCTTCTAGTTGTTTACATTCATGTCAGTCTGAAGCAGTAATTTGCTTTTCCCCTTTTTACAGGTGAGGTATTTTTTATTTATTTTTTTAGTTTTGAACAAGATACTGATTTTTACAGGCTTATTTCCTGCATATGTATTGGTGTCACATTTGGTCTTACAACTAATGGATCTCAAAAAAGGCCACCTCTACAACCACGGATGTGCTTTATGGATGTCAGTGTCTATCCATCTCCTATATAATCTATCTGTCATGCTCTGTGATCATGAACAGAGATCAAAATATGTTTGAATAAATCAATCCTTATTAGTACATTTCCAGTTTGCTGACAATAAATGCAGAAGTTGATAACTGTAGTTCAAGGATTCTGTCATTATAACTTGCCTCGTGCGCCCTCTGTTGTTCTAAAAGAAGCTGGTAGTTTCCTGAAATTTCTGCAGCCAGTTTCTGCTCAGTTTGAACCAAGAACTCCATCCAAGTCTCACATTTTTCTAGGAAAGTTTGTTGCTGCAGCATGAAGGACTGTAGCTTACTGCAGGGATAAAGAGGGATTCAATTTACATCTGAGTTTGAAAAATGAACTTATGATATTTTTTTTAAAAAAAAATAAAATCTGACCTACACAACATTACTGACTTCATCTTGGATTTTTTAAAAATATATTGATGAAAAAGGAAATAAAGAAAACAAACTGGATATAAGCACAAACTTTTGGGGATGCCTATTTCTGTAATTTTAAGTTAGTGAACCTATTTGTCTCACTTAAAACTTTATTTTAATTCCTAAAGAAAAGTTCGGAAGCACTTTTATTTTTCTAAGCACACTCTGTTTTAATAATAGCTTATTAAGAGTTCTCTGTGGAGAAATTAAAAAGACAGTAATAATCAAACACACATTTTAATCTGTTACTTCTGTAAACCTTACTTTTTTATCAGCTTTTTCTTTCTCTCTCCCTTTGTTTAGGCTCATGCATTATACTAAGCCACAATGCAGTTTGTTTGTCTTGGGCTTTGCACCTAACTCTGGTTTTTCCAGTAAAATCTTTTAAAAGAAACCATAGTTGAGTGTACAGACTAGACCAGGCCAGGGACCTGTCAAACTGCCAGCCAACGGGTCGGATGCATCATTCCAAAACTCTGCCCACCCCATTGCCTGCAATGGGAAAAAAGTCACACTACATCGTGACACATCACATAAAGTTGTGAGTTTGACATCCCTGGACTAGACAATCCATTTGTGACAAAGATCCCCCCCCCTTTTTTTTTTTGCTTTGTTTAAAGGCACAGCAGGAACATGGTGACGTAATTAGAAGGAGAGGTTAGGGCTGTTTATTTTTCACTGGAGTTCTTTTCAGATAAGAAAGTAGATTTAAAGGCATTGTAAGCAAAACCTGGGTCAAAGGCACACATTCTTCATTCCTCACACATACATATCAAATAAATTGATACAATATTTGACAGCTCAAGGAATGGGGTTTCCTACAGCTATTCAGCATGTCTGAAGCAAAAAGTATACATGATAATGTTGTCTCTCCCTATAATATTCACACCCTGACTGACTTATTCTGTTGCATGTAATTTTCCTGCTGTGGCAATGATTATTAGTAATCCATAGGTCACAGAGTATCAATTAAGGCCAGGAAAACAGGCAGCAAGCAATTTTAATGAGACCAGAATCTGAAGAATCATGAAACATCCTTTTGGCTTCTTGACTGAAGAGATGATTCTATAAATAAGACCCTAGCATCTATCTCCTGAACCAATTTTTTCTAGGGACATCACTCTTTTGAGTTTTCTGACATTTTATATCTAATTTGTTTTACTTGTGTCATCTAATTGCCTTGGGAAGGCCAATTGGCTTTTGAAAAGTAGGTGCACACAAACAACCTTTTAGCCAGTGGAGTAGATTAATTTAGATTTTAATAAAGCTCTGGCAAATTAGATTTAATATATTCTTAATTTTACTTCTGGAGCTTTTTTGAGTCATAGTAGAAAAGAGTCTTGCTTGAAAGCATATAACAGAATTAAGTAAATTTTTATATCTTTCCGAACTTTATGCAATTCTAGAATTAGTCTGAACATTAGGATTAGAATTGTTAGTTCAACTCTGCTTTACTAAAACGCCAATCTGTATAAATTACACTGTTTTGTAAATATCTGACTTACCTGAATCTTTCAGTACTTTGTGAAGAAATCACTGACCAGCATCTATTCAGATTTTGCATCCTTTTGATTTCTTTATCATTCAGGGGCAACCTATACCCCAGTTCATTTAGACGATCCAAATCTGGTGCCATGCTGCTGAATTTCAGCATCTGGCACTATAAAGTGACAAGAAACAAGGTTTCTTAATAGTTTTAATTGCCATATTTGTAATCTGAGTACCTTATTGCAAAACATTTATTTTATACTGGAGTACAATTTTAGATGCTTTATTTTACAATGATAAAATATATTTTATTTTCAGCTTATTCAATTACCCATATTGTAACTATTAATCTGAGTAGCTCACAAGTGAAATTGTGTTTAGGAGAAAAAAAATAACAACTTTTCTTTTTTAAAGAAGATTGATTAAAGTGCCTGATATTACTTACATTTACAGAGACAGAATGTTAATGTAAATTTGGGTTAATAACACATCTGATCTCTCTCCAAGGAGTTCAGTGCAACAAACATGAGGCTATTTCTTGGAATACACCCTAAAAAAGTTTTGGGCTCTTAACTGTGCTAATAAGGCTTTGATGTTATGATTACTAGGGATTGCTTGGAAAAATGTAGCACTGCAAACATCTGTGAGACACTCTGTTGAGGAACCCAGCACCGCTTATTGTAACAGATCCTGTTATTCTATGAGAATACATACATACAGGTTAAATAGCTGGTGGCTGTTTATATACCGTACTTTCCAGTGTATAAGACGACTTTTGAAAGCGTTGAAATCAGCGCCGAAGTCGGGGGTCATCTTATACGCCAGAAATAACAGTAGTTTCCGGCATATAAGACGACTTTCAAGGCATGCAACTTGGTGCCGAAGATGAGGGTCATCTTATACGCCGGAATATACAGTACATACATGAGAACACTTTATTCTAGTTTCCTTGATATGAACCTAATTTACCTGATTACTTAATCTCATTCATTCTTTTAATCTACCATTCTTGATCATTTTCAAATATGTAGTTCTCACTTTCAATTCAGGTGTTGTTTTTTTTTCACCGTGCATTTATAAATAAATAAGTACACAATAACAATAAATAAAATACATTCTGAAAGTTAAAAAAAAAAAAGCATTTTCAAAAACTCACTTTAAGCTCTTCCATTCTGTTCCGAATGAGGGATGAGTCCGATGAGTGGCTTGGATCTTGCGTTTTCAGCATCTCTCCCGCTTGCTTTGTCCACTGCTCCAGTCCTGCCAGACTGTGATTAAAGGTCTGGTAATCTTGAACTCCTGCCTTAAATGTTTAAAAGTGGGGAGGCTCATTAATACAGGTATTTTTTTTTCATGCTAGAATGGCATGAAATCCAATATAAAAGAAGAACATTATATTTCTAAATTTTAAAAAAGTGGTGTTTAAACGATACAAAGCTGGAATAATCAATTGTAAGTAAAGTTGTACCATATGCTGTTTAAGGTCATAATTCAAATTATACACTAAAAGCGCTATTGCCAAATGAATGAAAACATTTATTTATAGGTTATTTGCTTTAGAAAAAAAAAAGGTGAAATGCTAAGATTTAAATGCAAGTATGTCATCCTGGCATGATTATGTGTATTTTTTACAAAAACCTGAAAGGATTTAATTCACCTTTATGATGTGATACAAATAATTGTGGCTGTGCTGTATTTTAGAGTATATATGTAAGATATAATATGCAATTTCCATTGAGCGACTCAGATTCACATATCTACCGAAATGTGTTAACATAGGAACGTAAAGAAATGCTATACTAACAGTCTGTATAAAGCAGACATGTCAAACTCGCGATGTCATGTGACGTCGCACGACGTATCAGAGCTTTTTTGCCATTGTCAGCAATGGGGTGGACGCGGCTCTGGTATGATGAAACCGGCCCATGGGCCGGCAGTTTGACACCCCTGGTATAAAGGAAATCAACCCTGACTATCCTTTGGAAAGAGAAATACTGAAGCTGAAGCGCAAATATTTTGCCCACCAAATGAGAAGAGATGACTCATTGGAAAAGACCCTGGTGCTGGGAAAGAGTGAAGGCAAAAGGAGAAGGGGACGACAGAGGATGAGATGGTTAGACAGCATCATTGACGCAGTGGATGTGGGTTTGGGCGGACTCAGGGAGACAGTACAGGACAGGGAGCCTGGTATGCTGTGGTCCATGGGGTCAGGAAGAGTCGGACACAACTTAATGACAGAAGAACAACAAATGTCAATCTGTATATAATAGTTCTCAAATACAGTAAGTGTCTGAATAAAAAAGTTCTTTTGAGGAGAGCTGTTCTTTTCCCCAAACTGATTGCTTGTGTTATTATGTCCTAAGTATGATATTCTGACAGCACATAAATTATAGCCGTGTGACTAGTTGAAAGTACAATAAGAGGCTACTTTCCTTGACATGTAAAGGAAAATTTCTCTACCTGTAATATTGACTGCTGTCTGTTGAGTCCCTGCTCTAAAGAAGCTAAATTCTGATTTAGTAAGAGTTGGCCGGACTGGATAGCTGCTGCTGCAGAAGAATCCACTTGCTGCTTCAGCTGTTCCCCTAGTTCATGCAGAACAGATAGAGAATCTTGCATTGTCTTCATGCCTTTAAGTAGATCCTGTGGAAATCACAGCAAATGTAAAACTGAAGACAGCAACTGTAATATTAACGTTCATTTTACTATATACCAGTCTTGATGCATTTTGAACACAAGCACTTGGCATAATGCAAGTATGTCGTCCTGGCATGATTATGTCCAATTCTTACAAAAACCTGAAAGGATTTAATTCACTTTTGTGATGTGATACAAACAATTGTGGCTGTGCTGTATTCTAGAGTATATATGTAAGATATAATGTGCAATTTCTATTGAGCGACCCAGATTCACATATCTACCCAAATGTGGAGTTCCCTGAGTGACTTCAGGATGGTCTCTTTCTATTTCCACTTAATCTATCTAACAAAACTAGTGTTTTAATAATCACATGAGGAGAGATTACCTCACCTTTCATGATATATTGCTTTAATCTCTCTCTCTCAAACAAAACAGAACAAAAGGATGAAAAGACTACACTTATGAATAATGTTCCTCAAGAAGCAAAATTGTTCAGCTTGTCACTAGATCAGTGTTTCTCAACCTTGACAATTTTAAGGCATGTGGACTTCAACTCCCAGAATTCCACAGCCAGCAATGCTGGCTGTGGAATTCTGGGAGTTAAAGTCCACATGCCTTAAAATTGTCAAGGTTGAGAAACACTGCACTAGATACTATCAGTAGCAGAAGAAAGCCACAGTTTCCAAGCATGGTTACCATCCCCCAAATTAACTGGATTTACTGTATTCTCTGCTCAACTCACATGCATCTATTGGTTGGCACAAAATAGCCCTTTATTTCTTATGACCCGGAGAAAAATGTAATAATGTAATTCTAATCAAAAATATGGAAAAGCAGATAAACTTGCTTTGCAAGATTTGGGAGACAAATAATAGAGGGAGAGATAGACATTTTCTTTCCACTATCAGGGCCTTCCTAATTTGTAATAATCTGTACTAGTTTATTATACTTATTTGCTTGCTGATGTCTCACTATAGGACTGTATTACCGAGAACAAAAGTTTACATCCCAAGCTTATTAAACATACATTGCAGTCATGAATCCAAGCAGTGACTTCATCATCAACAGTGTCCTTATTGATTTCAGCCTTCAAAAGTTCATTTGTTCGGTCCTCATACTGCCGGACAGTGGAAGTGCATTGCATGTAATAATTTTTATACTTCTGCCAGAGCTGAAGCAAACCTTTACTGGAATGCAAATGCTCTGCAATTTCTTCTAGAAGGTTATTCCATCTGGAAAATAAATAAACAGATTCTAGTGCAAAAGATACATAAGATATGAACATCCTTCAAATAATGGATGGTGGATGAAGAAAATCTTTTGAATACATGGCATAAAGTAGCCTTTCAACAGATGCCATCTGCAAAGGTACTATACTTTGTAGAAATATAGGATTTTAGTATTTAATTTAAAAAAAAAGATAGAAGGCTAAAAGAATTAAACATTTACAGTCAGGGTACCATCAGTAGTTTTCAGTTAAGAGAATCTGGAAGAAAGAGTTAAAGAAGTTGGAAGACAAATAGAAAATACTGAAATTGAATTATTCTTCCTAATAGTCTTCCATTTAATAACAGTGAAGCTTAATTTGCTTGGTGTTTTATAGGATTGATAAAGGTTGGTTACATATTGCTATCTGTTCTTCCCAAATTAAGTATTTGTATTATTATATTGTTGCTGGAAGAGCACCAAGGACATACAAAAACTACACCAAGGACATACAAAATCTTTGCTATTATTACAATGTTATCTGAAACAAAAATGCAGCTAGATTTGGCTGCATGATAGGGAGAGATTTTAAAGAAACATTAAAAACGTATTTGGAAATAGCAAAGTGTTTTACATAATGAGTTAACAGACTAAATGTACACAATTCTAAATTTTACTTCTTCAATATATATATATATCTTGAAGATATCTATCTATCTATCTATCTATCTATCTATCTATCTATCTATCTATCTATCTATCTATCTATCCATCCATCCATCTATCTATCTATCTTATATATAAGAATAAGAAAAAAGTGAGAAAAGGAAAACACAGAATTACGACTGCATTACACTAAATTTCCAATCTGCTGGTAAGTACAAATTGTAGATTTTACTTAAAACAACAACAGTATTTTCATACCTTAAGTTCATTTCCTTCAAAGTATTACTAAGGGCCTCTGTAACTGGTGGATGGCATTCTTTCAATAGTGCATTGGTCACTGACCCAAATTTTTGTAAGCGATGGTCTTGCTTTTGCAATTCATCTAGCAAATTCTAAACAAAGGAAAATAAGATTCAACCAAAAAGAAATGTGAGGGTTTTTTTTTAATTGTAAGAGATAGCAATTTTTTAAAAATCTCATTTTCAAAATCACAATTGGCAGGTAATTATTATAGCAGGCACTAAATTGATGGTAGCAAAGAAGTGATGAAGTCCTGAAGCATCATTGAATAAAGACTGGTATGAGTTGCCTTGGACTAATTTTAAGTTTATTTCATAACTACATTTAAGGTGGCAATTATTTATTTTCTTAACATTCTGGCAAAATTCCACGCTCTTGCTTAACGTAATAAATGTGTTTGCTCTTATGGCTTACCTGAAGTTTATCTACTTGGACTTTCACTGCTTCCAAAGAGCCAGTAAGAAGATGAAAGCGAGACAGAGAATACCTTGCTTCCATTATGTAGCTATTAAGTTCTTCATAAGATCCTTTGTAAACTCTCCACTGATGAAGGACTGATTGTAACAGTGTTTTCAGCTGACCTACCTGGCCAAAATGAAACAAGAAATACAATAAATATTAAAAATACCAATGTATTTACTAAAATAATTTTGAATTGAAAAAAAATGTCATATTTTACTATGGCATTATTTGTCTATAGTCTATAACTTTATTTTAACAAATGATGACTATTTAGATAAGAATGCAGTAATTATTGCAGTTATTTTCTTCTAATTCTTATTTAGAAGCTATGTACAGCTGCTTAGTTTGCCGAGGATAATCAAATCAATATTTTTACTTTGAAAGAAAGATGTTTTTTTTTCAGAGAGAGAGGAGGGGAGGGAGGGAGGGAGGGGGAGGAAATATTGAAAGAAATAGTTGAAATTGAAACAGGGAAGGAAGAGAGAGAAAAATCACTTCAAGAAAGATGGTAATATTTATTTATTAATTAAATTCATTTATTCGTTTATTTTATATGCCATCACACTCACTAACCAAACAGGACTAGACATGGGGAACTACTTTGGGGACCAAAATTTCTGCAATGTCTTTTGTGTGAGGAGTGTCTATGTGAATAGTTAGTGGGTATATAAGCAAATGGGGTATCAATTTTACAATGCCCTAATCAAAGAGAAAACCACACTCTCAACACTGGTAAGGCAAGCTACTATATATAAACAGGGAGCAAACTCACTAGCATCCCTGTCTTATAGTGAAACGTCTGCAAACAAAAAAACCAAACTCAGAGAGCACCAAGGACTTCACAGTTCAACACTGAGCTACACATATTCTCTTCTATTGTAATTTAGATACAAAACATAAAACAGATGTAGGCTCTGATATGCTTATTCCTTCTCCTTGAATTGCATGGAAATTTTCGCTTCTATTTTAGGTCAACTGAAAGTTTCCATGTCATCTGAACATCTATGTTATATTAACAAACATAGTTAATATTAACTGTGATTAGTGTATCATTGGGAACTTGAAAGAACAGGTTAGGGACATACAGTCATGGAGAAAATCTACCTATGTGGTAATTTAGAATCAAAAATGACACATAAGCAATCAATCAATGATTAGTGCAAACAAATATGATAGTAAAAAAAAATAGGAATCTAGTATATAATTAAGTATTTGATGCACAGCATATGGGTTTTCTTAATTAATCAATAATTCTTCGTTTCTAGCTTTTGAATAATCTTCAACATCTGGACTGGGTTGAAAGAAGAGGAACATGGAGGAACAGCTCTTGATTAAAAGTGATTTTTACTTCTATCATTCAAACTATGTGTAGCTTCTTTCTTGAAAACAAGGGTTTGAAATACCCTAATTTATGGAAGATTCTTTTTCTTGCATTCCTTCTTACTTACCTGGTGGTCCAAATTTGCCCAAGAATTATTTAGCTTCTGGAGGGTATCCATAACAGCAACACAGACTTCTTCTTTTTTGTTTTGTATTAAGGAAAAACCAGTCTGTTCAATTTTTTCAAGTTCTATCTCTTTTGTTTTTAATTGATCTTCAAGTTCCTGAAGGAAATAAAAAATGGTTACATTGTGCTTTAATTGCATAAGGCTTTTTAAAAATCATTAATTACTGTATATTCTGGCGTATAAGGCGACTAGGTGTATAAGACGACCCCCCAACTTTTGAGAAGATTTTCAGGGTTTAGAAAGGCATCCTGTATGCCAGAAAATACAGTACAATATTGAATTTCTGTTTATAGATGAGCACAATAGGAGCTCCTTTGCTGCTAGAAAGCTTTGTCTTGTTAGTGCTTATTTCTGTAAAAAAAAAAATAGGGCTGGCCACTAGGGGGCAGATTGGTTTTAAATTCAGAGAACGGCTACCCGTATATTCCTGCGTATAAGAGGACCCCTGACTTTTGAGAAGATTTTCAGGGATTAGAAAGTCATCTTATACACCGGAAAATACAGTACTAACAACGTGATTAGGGTTCTCACATTCAGTACAACAAAGAATGGACTGTACTATCAATAAGAAGTATCTATTATAGATGTACTAGTTTATTTAAAAGTAAAGAATAGCTGTATTAGGAGATAGTAGAGCAGAAGACAAAGAATTGGAGAAGATCATAGAGATCTGAAAATTGAAGTTGAAAGATTGTGGCATAAATTGGCCATAGTGTCCCATTGGCATATTGGTGCCATATCACAGAATCTTAAGTGGCTCTTAGAAAATCTGCACATTGATAAAATTTCTATCTGTCAATTACAAAAGGCCACACTGCTTGGATCCATATATATACTAGACTGATACATTACAATGTCTTGGTTTCTTGGGAAGAACTTGGTGTGTATGAAGGTCAAAACCGGCTAAAGAACTGGCAGCTTTGATTTCACATTGCTGTGTATATATGACAGATTAAATTCCTATGCCATCTTACTCTCAATAACTCTGGGTACTTTATAAATTTATAAACATATTTTAAAATAAAGAATAATATGAAACAAAAACAACGCAAACAAAGAAACAGAAGTGGCAGAGAAAACAAACTCTATAGGAACAAAGAAAAAGACGAAAAGAGGCACCAATCATCTCACCAAAGTCCTTTAAACATCCTCAACTCTTCTACCAATTTATTTACCAATAAATAAAAGAGTTCTACCCAACTGGGAATATCCATATATCATTTATTTAACATACCTTACTAATTATATTAGCAATATTATCAACTAAATGGGATTTACATCTGTCCAGATATCATTAGAGTGATATTCTGCTCTTCTATTCAATAAAATTATAAAACAGATTTGGTTCATAATTAATGACAAAGTTGTTGCTACCTGACAGTCTTTCAGGGCATTTTGAACTGAAGCTTGATCTCCAATTCTCTGTTTTTCCTTCAATTTTGTCTCTTGAGTTTCAAACCAGGTTTTTAGGCTCTGAATATTATTTTCATACTCTGTCCATGATTCAAGAAAACCTTCCAACAATTGAATCTAAAAAGTAGATAGATAGATAGATAGATAGATAGATAGATAGATAGATAGATAATTAAAATCATAAAGTTAATTGGAAAAAAATACATCGGTATTCATCCATCTTTTCTTACAATGTAGCTATCATAAATTTGAAAGTGAATCAAAACCTGCTGCATACTTTAAAGAGTCCAGCAAAAGCAATCAATCAAATTCGTAGGAATGATTGATACTGGAATGCCTGAATTCAACCTAACTTCTTCCTGGAGCCAGGAGCTACTCTCTCCTCCTCTACTATAGCCATCTGAAGACTAGATTTTATTTCAGTGCTTTATGCAGTTTCGTATGATCCTGAAATTAAATTCTTCGGTATAATTTCTTACAGCAAACCAAAATTTCTACACATTTTGTGAAATGTATTTCAGCTAACTCATTGTTAGAATCACTGCCATCAATGCCACCTTGTTGTGTCTCAGCAAAAGGTTTGTTATGGTAAACAGGAAGTGAATGCTTAACATATTTGCAATTTTCTAGCTAAGAAAGAGATGCTAAGAATACAATGAAAAAGGAAAAATAAAAGCATGACAAGCAAAGTTATACTTTAACTAAGCAACAAAAATATTGGTTTTAAATAATAGTTACTGCTTTCAAAGATGGTAGTATTTAATAAAGTAAACACGCTATTATAAAATAAATTTAAACATATAGGGTAAGTATGCCCTGGAGTGAAGCTCAACTCCTAGCAATATTTTTGGCAGCAGTATACAGGTGACATAGCATTTCTCTTCTGGAAAATATAAAATATATATAAGACTGCATTAATCTAGCTTTGTTAATGGATAGTATCTGAACAAATGTGCCCACATTGCTATTGAGAGTACAGAATGCTATTTGTGGAAGATACAAAATAGCTCTTAATTCCTCCTTTAGAATATGGCTTTATAGCTGTCTTTTCTTTCAGATAAGCTATGTTCACGCATATCAAGTTTATTTTGTTACCTTTTCCATTATCAGACTCTGCAAAATCTGCCAACGCCTGTTCATCATTCCAAGTTGTTCGGCAAAATCTGTCTTGTCACTACGCTTACTTTCCACATCCTGGCTACTAATCTGTAGCACGGATTGGTTAACGAAGTCCACGGTTAACTGCTTACAGTTTACATCAATCTTAAAGCCCTTGTGAAAAACAGACAGAAGTGAAACTTTCATACAATATGTATTGTTATCGTAGCACATGCTGTGTTTTGACTGTTGTAACGTTTACCAGTATGCTTTCTTTCTGTTCATTGAGGAAGAAGGGAAAATTGTAAATTATTTTTGGCATTCTACAGAGCAAGGTGCTTATTTGATGACGATGGCAGGAAAAGGCTCAGTTATCTCTTATAACTTTTTCTTTTAAGAGATAATTGAAAAAATATTTTCTTATCAAAAATAAATTCTGAAAATCTTTCGAGAAAGAAAGATTGTATCCAAGATTATATCCAAGACACAGTCTGGCTAGGGCAATGCCTGAATTTATTCCTTCCCATTCACACCCCAACAGGTTGCAGGAATGAAAATGGAGTATTAAAATCTACAACAGGGGTCTTCAAACCTGGTCCTTTTATGACTTGTGGACTTCAACTCCCAGAATTCCTCAGCCAGGCATGCTGGCTGAGGAGTTCTGGGAGTTGAAGTCCACAAGTCATAAACGGGCCAAGTTTGAAGACCCCTGATCTAGAACATTACCGTATATTCCGGCGTATAAGACGACTAGGCATATAAGACAACCCCCAACTTTTGAGAAGATTTTCAGGTTTTAGAAAGTCATGTTATACGCCAGAAAATACGGTAATAACATTAATATCTGTTCAGCCCTGTCAGGGTGTATAACTAGTTATCATCATCATATTGATGATATTTGAACCTTTACTTCTATATGACCCCCTCCCCCTCATGCCTTCATATTGAGATTAAACAGAAGTGGAAAGAGTACTTTGTTCTGAAAACCACATGAAGAAAGTGCCTCAGGCTTGATCTCTTTCCCACTACTTAAACTAGCTGGAACCAACCCCGGAGAGAGGAAATTAACCACTGAAGCACTTCCACAGGGTAATTACAGGCAAAAGTCCAGTAATCAGAAATTTACATTCTAAACCAAAGGGGTATTACAACCTTCAAATGTTAAGCATCTACTTATCTAAAACCAGATCTGATGCAATTAAGTAGGGGATATCAATGTAAAGCGATTTTGCAACTATTCCCTCTTTAAATACCTTATATTTCTGGAGGTATTCCTGGACAGCTTGGTGTCCTACTATATTTTTTATGTTTTCTTCATCCTTAGAAATAGCATTTTCCATCAAAGAAATCCAGCTCATGACTTCTGTGATGGCATGGCGAGAAGGAAGTTTATCCATTTGGAGCTGCAAAAAAGTCAAATAAAACGAAAACTAAGAGCCAGTACATGCTTTTTTATAATTATATCATTGTGTATATATTATGCTGGAGCTTATATGATCAGATCTGAAACCAACTTTTCTAATTTAAAAATATTCAGCATACCCAAAGAGAAATAAGAGATATAAAAAGATATTAAATTATGTATTTTATAATATTTCTCTCCTCCCCCCTCTCTCTATAACTATATTATTATTTAATTCTTTGTCAGAAAAAGAAATTTGGATATATATATATATATGTATATATATATATATGTGTATATATATATATATATATATATATATATATATATATATATATATAATATATATATATATATAATTATATATCCTATAATTGCCAGTACTTTAAAGATACTTTGCCTTTTGGTACCAACAATTATATATCCTATAATTGCCAGTACTTTAAATATACTTTGCCTTTTGGTACCATTTATATATTTACATGCTTAGAAATAAATCCCATTGTTATCAATGCAATTTAATTCAAAGTAAATTGCCTAGAATTAAAATTTTGGATTATATTATTCATTTAATTCAATCCATATTTTAGTAAAAAGATGTGGTGCATGCTTCCATATATTATAGCCCAACATAGTGTTCATAACATCTATAAACAGAATTCCTGTAAGTTGGAAAAATACCACTGTCTCATCTTCTCCAGAACTGAATGTGAAAATGTGTGAATGAGCTCCACTATACCATCATAAGTTTATTATAATAAGCAATTATTAAATAATTGCTTAACCAATTACTTCCTTGTAATAATTGCCAATTAATTATCTCCATTCTAGGGTCATCATATTCAAACAACCATAGAAAATCACTGCCAAAGTACAACTACACTGAGCATTAATTTTACATTTATATTTTGTATTATCAGCCATTATATTCACAAAATGTTCTGTCAAATCCATAGGTATATGATCTCTTGTTTCTTCCCCGAATGGAAGAATCACTGGGTAACTATTCATATGAACACTGCAAAGCACTGGAATTGGAATTGGGAAAAATGTGCTTGGCAAAGAATATTAGTGTATGTGGAACATTTCTTCTTTTTACAGCAGTCACATCTGAAAGATTCACACTTCTGCTTCAAAATCTGCCTTCAAATGTCTACCTTTGTGTGCAAGCACCACTGCTTTGTTTTACTGAGAGTCCCAATGTGGAAAAATAATGTGTGCATAGACATGTATCATATACATATTTGCCTGTGCATTAAATGAAATCATATGTAGTGAATTGAATTTGCCCTACCTGATGCAGTTTTTCCTGTACTACTGGAATCTGTATGAGTAGTTCTGTCCACTGATTATCAATTTGTGACAGTCCAGCCCTCAGAGATGCCGTATCCACCTTCTTCAGCCGGAGAAGATGATTTCCAGTGCTCAGAACAGTAGATTTCTGGAATGACTTTGCATCAACTTCTTTGGAAAATTCCTGAAATAATTGTATTTTGGCATAACTAGCAGGTTTTAACAGTTTTATCAATAAAGTATGAATAGAATGTAAATGTTTTATTTTGAAATGAAAATTATGAGCACTGAAATATATACATGCACGATTGTTTAGCCCAGTGGTTCTCAACCTGTGGGTCGGGACCCCATTTGGGGTCGAACGACCATTTCACGGGGGTCGCCAAACAAGGCTGTCCGCCATTTTTTTCCCCCTTTTCTTTGGCCATGTCCCTGGCACTCAGTGATGTATAAGTGGTTGGGGGTCACCACAACATGGGGAACTGTATTATGGGGTCGCGGCATTAGAAGGGTTGAGAACCACTGGTTTAGCCCCAAAATATATAATAGTTCCGAATACTGCCATTATGGGTTGCTTTATAAATTTTCTTCCGCAACTGAAGCAATTATGTCACTAAACAATTAGATCATGAAACATCAATGGCTCAATTTTTTATTCATACCTACCAAAAATGCATTCAGATGATCTCGAGTCATTTCTAGTTCTTGAGGGACTGTAATAGATTGCTGGGTCCAATATGTCAGACGGTCCATTGCTGACTGGAGCCAATGAATCAGCTCAGCCGAGTCATTCTGATATCTACAAAGAGGACGAAGGACAAATTTATGTCACATTAAGCCACAAATATTCACTATTCCTTCATGAAGTCATTTTGTCATGATTTTAAAAAGTTCCTGATAAAATTTTTATATTAAACATTCAAATTAATTTAAATTTCACTGCTTTTTTATGTAAAATTATATACTGTCACAGGCAACAACTTAATACATATATACCACCCAATTTCAATTCCTCCCTTGGTAGGAGTAGGCAGATTTTGTGATTTTCAAAGACTCCCTTATTTGAAAAAAGCAAATGGCAGTCAAGAGCCATTTCTGTATGTAATTTAAGTATAACTATACAATTCAACTCTTTCTCTCCCTGGAAGGTATTTTATAGTTTCTTAAATTGTTAAATTGTTTTCCACAATTTCTTAATGTTTTTAATTTAGAAATATAATATTTCTAAAGTAAAACAATGCTTCTGCATTTATGCATTTCTGCTTTGAAGATGGAGGGAAAATAGAATTAATTTAGGCTGCCTTGGCCTTTTTGAATGACAATTAGTTCTTTATAATTTATTCACTCATCACTCATTCACTCGTTTTACAGTTTTTATACCCTCCCCAACTCAAAACATTATGGATGAGTTATATCCAGCACAGTCAAATTACAAAGCAACCACAACAATAAACTAAAGTATATAAATCCCTGGAAATATTGTAATAAATCAACTCTTCCCCAAGTGGGATGCCATTAATAGTTAGCTAGGGTTGAAAGTTGAACTCTGCTACTGTTTTCATGGAATTCTCTCAAATATCAAAAAAATAATAAAATAAATTATACAAGTTAACTGTATAGATGAAATATAAATGTATAAATAATCCAAACCTATTTTTTTTATGTTATAACCAATACCTTGTCCAGAGTTTAAGTATAGTTTCCAGTCTGTGTAGTTCCTTGGTAACTTTGTTGGTAGTATTTAACCAATGCTCCCCTATTTGATTCAGCTGAGTTTCCAATTCTGAAGACGTGACAGAGAACAGTAGTTTTTTCCCATCATCCAGCACTTGATAAAGTTTGGGTTGGTGTTGAGTAAGACTAGATTTCAGATGCTTTGATGACAAAAGACAATAAGAGACAATACGAAACTCTAATGATGTCTTTCCTTACTATAATCCATACGGAAAAAGGAATCTATAATTTTACCATAAAAGGTATTCCTCTTGATGTGAGAACATACATTTGGGTGACAATTTAGAGAATATACATTAAAACTTTGTTCAAGATTAATGGCTTCTTTGCTTTTACTTTACCCAGATACCCTAGCTTTCCATACAAGCATATTTAAACACACACATTCTCATATAGTGTACATGCATACCATATATAATACATACATACATATTTAAATATTCTACATTCCATGCCCTTGCATCCTGCATAAACTACATAAGTTGACTTTTAGTCTAAATTAACTTAGAAATTAGTAAGAAATAATAAGAGCACTGACTTGGTTGTTTTTTTGCAAAGAGAAAACCAATTCCTATAGGATAACTCTAACAATGGCTTTGATCTAGGACAACCTTTATCTTTAAAGCCCTATATGGCTCAGGGCCAGGCTATTTGCGAGACCGCCTACTACCTCATAGTTCCCTTCGTCCAGTTAGATCCCACAGGCTGGGCCTCCTTCAGGTCCCGTCGGCCAAGCAGTGCCATTTGGTGGGGCCGCGGAGGAGGGCTTTCTCTGTGATGGCGCCCACGTCTTGGAACCAGCTCCCCCCCGGAGATTAGGACCGCTCCCACCCTGTTGGTTTTCCGTAAGCTGCTTAAGACCTGGCTTTTCCGGCAGGCCTGGGGTTTATAAAATCTGACCCCTGGATGACTGTTATTGTACTGTTTGTTTTGTTATGTTTTATGGTGTTTTTATTGTTAGCTGCCCAGAGTCCTCTGGGAGTGGGGCGGCTTATAAATTTTATAAATAAATAAATAAACAAACAAACTATAGAGAACTTTATTTTCAATATATAAAATGCAGTCATGATTTTCTTAATAAATGATAGGTGTAGAGAGAGTCACTCATACCTATAACACAGCAGCCCTCTTTCTTTTCCAATCAGTAGCAAAATGTAACTGAATGGGGCTTGAATATTTATGGGAAAAGTTTCCATTGATGTTCACAAGAACTAATCCTGTCTACAGCTTAGTAGTTCAAACATTTATATGCATGGTCATGCTAAGAATAGAAGGAATAAGCCTTTTTTCTACAAGTACAGGTTCCAGGAAAAGATTAACCAAGTTCTGTGCTGCATTATATGCAACTTACTTAGTTCATGTCTAACTAATTTATCTAATCCATGCAAAAAACAACAACAACAAAAAAAAAAAAACAGAATCACACAAAATTGGGTATAATCACAGTTATCTTCTCTATTCTTGTCTCCTGGTAGTTATATTTTAGCTTATAAAAAATCTGTGGGGGAAAAATAAATAAACCTGTTCTTCTTATCTACTACTTATGTACTACTTGAAGAGAATCAATCCCTCCCATGTATGAATAATTAGATAGGAAAAATATGCATACATTTGCATTGGATTACATATATAATACATCTTATCATTTTATCAAATAAATGTCTACTTTGATTTTTAGGGTAAATGCACAAAATCCAGAAGGCCTTTGACATGACAGCCTGCTTGTATTCCCCTTCAAGCATTTGTCTACTGTAGTAAACTCAGCTAGAAACACATCTGATCTGATCCTCTGATCTCTTGTATTCTTAACTGCAGCCAGCAGAGGGTAGACTGAGTTGCAAAGTCACCACTACATTGCAGATGGACAAGTTACTGCCATTACCTGATAAAGTGCAATCCGATCAGTAAGCCTTTCCTCAGATTCCTCTACCAAGCCAACACCAGGAATGTTGGTTTCAACAGCCTCCAACTGCTCTGAGAGTTCCTGATAGTCTTCTTCTAAATGTGTCCAAGTCTGTAAACAATATATGTTTTTCAAATATATCTCTAGCAGGAAACTGTTTAACACTGAATTGATATAGGTCACCTTAAAAGAATCTGGCTCTTCTGATTTGACTGTATTCTAGAGAGCTTGAAATAGCCATCTTGAGCATTCTGAACTCAAAACAAAATGCATATTTCATGAGTTTTTCTTTGAGATAGAACAAAAAGCATGGTTCTGTTCCATCTCAGAACAAAATGTGCCCATTTAACAGGAACTACAGTATTTCAAATGTAAAATTGTAAAACTGGGCAAAACTCACATAACAACTGTTTTTCATAGCATGTCTTGCTTAGAAAGAGACATTTTTGGTTCAATTGTGGTCATCAGTCAAGAATTACCTATATTACAGAAGTATATACAAAAATTGCTACAAATGTTTCAGTTATAAATTAATAAAGAATTAATATAAAAATGGGATGAAAATGAAGTTTTAAAAATTTCCATAACAGCCCAAGTGGCAAAATGATTTGGGGATTGCTCCAACGATTTTGATTTGATGTTTTCAGGAAACAAACTTCACCTCTCCATAAACATTTGTATAACTTTTCTTAAGAAACTGCTACTTTTTAATATCACAAGCAAACTGAATGAAAAAAGTTAAAATGTAAAGCCAAAGGGAAAAAAGAAAATTTACCTCTAGAATATATTCCAGTTCCACTCCTTTCTTATGAGCTTGTTTTAACACCACAGTGCCTTGTGCCATTAGATCTGCATGGATCTGAGTTTCCTTCACAAGAGCAAAGCTGCTTATTTTTCTAAAAAGTGTTTCTGTTAGGATCGTGTGTGTCTCTAGTCCTTGGAAATATTCCTGAAAATATTAAAATTATTTGTTATTGACCATGATATTTCATGAGTATTTGACATAATATATACTATCATAGTACAAACAGTCCAATGTTTTAATCCCCTAATTTTCCTACTCTTTGTGTCTCATTTATATTTTTAACAATGGAACAGACATTGCTGCAGAATCTATTTAGAGTATGCATCTTGCTTAGCTAAAAAAAACCTTTCAGAGAAGGTTGAATTCATATTCCTTCCTCACAAGCATACTAGGAATCAGAGTGTTTGTTTTGTTTCAACTCCAGATCAGAAGCAAGCATCCTTGACATGTTTAAATAAAGTGGTTTTGCATTTAAACTACTGTACATCACAAGATAAAATAGCAGTGTGTACCCAAATGCACCTAAGATTAAAACACAATTTTGAAACATAATTATTTGAAATATCCCCATACACTCTGGTTATTGCACTGTCAATACACGTTTACTCCTTATGAATGGGAAATCTATTCCATTATGACTCAAGGCTTAATCACCTTGCACTTAAGACTGTTCCAATTCACTTTATATGGAGCTACCTTTTAAAGCAACTCAGAAGGAACAACTGGAACAAAATGCAGTGGTTTCATTACAAACAGATGATTAAATTTTATAGAATTACAACGGTCTTTTAGTTATCGCAATGATTGCTGTGAGATTCTTAAGTGTCTACCCTGATAACATTTGTAAAATCATTGAAAATTTGGCTGTTATCCCAAGTACTGGGATAGGGTGGGGTTGAGTCCCTACAGGATGCTTTGTTTCTCATAGAGAATTTGCCTTCTGGATCTCTCTATTATTATTATTTTTTAATTACAAGTTGCCCAGAGGAATTTGGAGCTTGCTAAACTCTAAACCTAAAAATAGGTTTCTGGGTCAAATCCAAGGTCATTGGTTTTAATTTATACAATTCTACATGACTTAGAACCTTGGTGGCACAGTGATTAGAATGCAGTACTGCAGGCTAATTCTGCTGACTGCTGACTATGCAGCAGTTTGGCAGAATTAGCCAGGCTCAAGGTTGACTCAGCTTTCCACCCTTCCAAGGTCAGTAAAATATGGACCCAGATTGTTGGGAGCCATATGCTGACTCTGTAAACTGCTTAGAGAGGGCTGTAAAGCATTGTGAAGCGGTACATATATAAGTCTAAGTGCTATTGCTATTGTTATTAGCCTGTCCTGTCTTGAGAATGGCTGCTGAGAATCCCTACCTCGTGTAACGTGAAAGAAGTGATAACTCAAACTAGGGAATATTTGTCACCTTGAAGAACATGGAACCCCTACCTTGTTTGCTTTTTGCAGTCAAAAGCATTTTATTCCAATAGGTTTTTGATGCAAATGATGGACAGTCATTGCTTTTCACAGTTCGGCATTTTATTAAGCAATAATCAACAAAATGCCAAACGGTGAAAGGCAAAGTACTAAGTCAGCCCTTAACAGTCTGCTTTTCATAGTTCGGCATTTGTCAGTTATTTTCATTACTGATTTTTGTAATAGTCCATTTATTATTGTATAGGAGTCATTTATTATGTGAGTCTTTTGAGGTAAGTATTTGCATAAATAATTAAAACTTCTTTTAGCCATCATTAGCTTTAAAATTATTCCAAATGGCATTTAATCACATTGAAATAATCACTCTCTTTCCAGATTGAGTAATAGGAGAATTACAGAAAAGGACTCTATTAAATGATAGCAAGAATAAATGATAAATGTAGGAATTGTTTTCACCTTGTGCTTGTCAAGAAGCTTTTGGATTTCCTTTTTGGAGGCAACTATCAGTTTTTGATCACCTGCCATCTTTTCTTTCCCAGTTTCAATCAGGTCAGCCAGATCCTCCAAAGCTTGGTCATACTGTCCCTTCAGTGCCAGATTTTGGTTCAATCCACTGCGCCGTGATCCTATGATCTTGATCAACTCATCATACATATCCTGATACATGAAAAGAAAAAGCAAAAAAAAAAAACTATTATAATTACAAAGAAATTAAAAACTGAGTTCAATTATAGTCACGTCTAGGAAGGATACGTAAGGGCTACATTAACTTCTTATGATCATTACATTTCCACCAAAAATTTACTTTTAGATGTTAGTTGACAAATGAAGCAAACTCAATAATTTTTGCAACCCTCTGGTTATTTTACATTGTTTCATATGAAATGAATTTATCTGTAGATACTAAATAATAAATAGATAATTCGTCAGCAAAAAAGGAAAAGAAATACTATGCTGATAATTGTAAAATATTGTTCTAATAATTTTATTACCTGAAGTTTGGATAATTCTTGCATGAAAGATTGATCAAGTTGTAGTTTATATCCACGTTTCTTTAATTCAGTGATACCTGCATCTAATTCTTTCAGTCCATGTTCTACTTGCTCAATAGCCTATGTAAAGAAGAATAATTCACTGTAAGCTAAATTTCAAGGAGCCCTGATGTCAAAAGTGGAAATTTAGTAAGAGATGATACCTACATCAGATAAATCTAAGAATAAGAAGTAACATTCCAAATTGTAGTCTGATTATTAAATGTTAAAATTTATCTGTCAATGAGAAATATTTATAAAAATGGTGTATATTATGATATGATATATGACGGATATGTTATGATATGTGATATATGATATACCGTATATGCTGGCGTACAAGGCGACCTGGCGTATAAGACGACCCCCGTCTTTGTCGCTGGGCTGCATTCCTAGAACGTCGTCTTATACGCCGGAAACTACCAGTATTTCCGGCGTATAAGACGACTCGGCGTATAAGATGACCCCCATCTTTGGTGCCAATTTTAGTGCTTGCAGAAGTCGCCTTATACGCCGGCATATACGGTATATGATATTACATTACACTACAATTCTGATAGCATTCCATTCATGAAAAAGAAAGGCTCAAAAATTTGGATAATAAACCTGTGGGTTATTAGGCACAATGAATGGTTTTTTCAGGAGTGTGCTCATTATTCTTGTCAACATTTAAATGCTTTTATAACTTGCAAAGTAAAGTTGAAGTTCTAAGAATTCAAGTTAATTTTACATATGCTTTCTGCTATAGAAATGCTCAGTCAGGTTAAGAAATACATGCATATTGTACACATAATCTGACATGTAAGAAAATGTAAGAAAACTAAATTGTTGTTGACATTTATTACACTGCAAAACAGAAATCCTTTTCAAAGACAATTCTGTTTACTCACATAAAAAAGTATTTCAGAACTAGGCATTATTTATTCGTTAGAATAAATATTGATAGGCACTGCCCGTACTCTGCATGCTACCTTCTAAGTAACTTTTTGGTATTCATTATACTGTATTTTTCTCCATCCTTATGAATATAAAAATACACTAGTACCTGTATTTGTTCCATTTCAGGGCGTTCAAGTGCTTCCGCTAGTTTCTCCAGTGCAATATACTTATTATCAGCCAATAAAGTAAACATCAGCTTCAGGTCATTCTGTCGGTAATTGAAAAAAAAAAAGAATATGTGAAAATAACAGAATGCTTGTCATTAGTGTCCAAAGCTTTTTTATTGCCCAACGTTTTTCTTTGTGGCTTGTGATAACAGGCAGGTTTCAGGTAATAAAACTTTTGAGCATTGACTCAAACCTTCAGAAGAGACTCTTATAAGCCAGAGGAACTCCCAGTTCTGTACAGATACTAAGGGGCTAGCAGTATTCCACCTGTACTGTACATTGGCTATACTATATTATGCTGATAGCTCTTGCCATCTACAGTTATCTGTATATGATAAACTGAACTGAAATAGTTCCCTAATCCTCAAAATGTGTTTTTCATTGTCTGGAAAAGGCATCAGTCATACTTCCTCAGAGATCACTTTAATAACAACAACTTTATTTGGTGGATTACTTCATGAACTACTGCTAAGTTCTTGATTTGTATACAAAAAGCCATGTTTGGATGTGTGTGTGTGCCTGTTTTTGACTTCTGATGGCTGCCTAGACAAGTCCCTATAATTTTCTTAGTAAGGTTTTCAGAAGGGGTTTTTATTTACCAAACAACTGCATAATATTGGTTTAACTTTAAAAACAATGTGATTATTATTGCTTTGGTATTTAGTATGTCTCTGCAAATGAAATTCACGCTATGTTAGTACAACATCTGGGGATGTTGATAAGATAATCCTGCAGTTTTGGGCATTTCTGTTTATTTGATTATTTACTGTATACTTCAATATACTTTGGTAAAATTAGTGAGTTTTCTATCTATTGAGATTCTCAGTCATCCAGGTCATGACTGTCCCAAAGCTGCTTTTTTCAAAAGGCAACTGGATTTTGAAAAATAAAAGTCCAGTTTTTGTTTTTGTTTTTTTTTAAAAAGCACTTTTGGGAATAACTTTTATATTGAGCCCAATCCTAAATATCATATTATTTAGTGACGCAACATATTGCAGACCTAGCAACTAACATGCTACAAGCAGTAACTGGATCTTTTTACTATTATATTTTTACATAAGCTTCTGCTAGCAAGACAGAATTTATAGAAATATGTTCTTTGTGGCTTTCTGCACTTTGGAGTCAGTTTTGACGCCTGATGAAGTTTTTTTTTGGCAAGATTTTTTTGGAAGCGCTTTGACACTGCCTTATTTCAAGGCTGTTTAGAGAGTTGACTGGCTTTATGCCTAAAGTGGGACTAGAACTCATAATCTTTTCATTTTTAGCCCAGGGCCTTAACCACAGTACCAAATTGGTTCAGAGAAACATAATTAGATTACCCACTTTTCAATATTTAACAGTATGGAGAAATTCTAAAGAAAATAGGACAAAATTTACCTGAAAATTCAGTATCTGCTGAAGTCTCTCTTTCATATGTTGGCATTTTTGATTTACTAGTGTATCTAGTAATGTTAGTCTCTGTAACAAACTGTCCAAAGTGTCTTCTATAACATCTCGGTTATCAGCACTCTCAGGAAACATGTGAGAAAATAAATCCTTGCTCTTATCCATTTTTTCTGTCATTTCCTTGATATCTTTAGCAAGAGACTAAAATGTATTCAAATAAAAACAACATGCTTTTAAAATTAAAAATTAAAATTAAAACTCCCCAGATAATCATAGATCAGTGATGGTGAACCTTTTAGACACTGAGTGCCCAAACTACAACCCAAAACCCACTTATTTATCACAAAGTACCAGGGCTGCATCAGCATTGTGGTGTCCTCATGGGGCGTGGGGACATGGCCCACTGGGTGGGCGTGGCTGCAGTGGTCATGGCAGACTGGGTAAGTGTGGCTGGGGCCAGAGTGGCGGAGGCCAGTCCCTCATCATCTCTGGGGCATCCCGGGGGGCCAACGCCGCTTGCTTGCTCACTTCCTGCCCTGTCGTTTCCAAACGCCACGTGCTCGCTACTCGGCAAACTCTGCTGGGGCAATGGTGCGTGTGCCCACAGAGAGGGCTCGGAGTGCCGCCTCTGGCACGCGTGCCATAGGTTCGCCACCACTGCCATAGATGATTGTGAAAACCAGTATTGTATAGGTGGTTCTCAGGTTATTACCATTTATTCAGGGACTGTTCAAACTACAATGGCATTGAATGAGTGATACTTAGGGTTGCTCCTCAAGTTATATTCATCGCAGCAGCCCTGTATTTATATGATTGTGTTTTGGGTGCTTGACAACTGGCTTACAATGACAATCTTGCAGTCACTTGATTGCCAGTTTTGACCTTCCCTGCGGGCTTCCCATGAGCAAAGCCAGCACAGAAGGTTGTGAGTTACTTCTCTAAGTTACCCCCGATGCTTTTATTCCGAGGATCCTCATTATGTAGAATTAGATCCCAGGGATCTCGTACTCCATAGCACCCACTGCGTCCATGCCTGCAGCACCTCCTGCCCATAGCGCCACTTACCCATCTGCCTGTATTCCATAGCATCTGCTGCTATGGCACCATCACAGCCCCTGTACTCCATGGCACCTATGCAACCCCTGCACTCCTTTACTAGGATTTCCACCTCTTCCAACTTAACAACCAGTGAAGTCCTGGGGGTGGGGTTTACAACAGCAACTGCATCTGTTGTCGCAAAGCAATGTGGTCATGTGACTTGCATTTTACAATTGCGCTGCTTAGTGATTTATTGGTTTATTGGTATGTGTTTCCTGACTACTCATGTTAATAATAGGAATAGCAATAAGAATTATACCTCAAATCTAAACATATTTATCCAAATCCAAAGCTGATGGTAAATAAAGCTGAGAAGGATAATCACAAACTCTCATTTCTCTCTTGGGTATACAAATCAGTTTCAAGGAATTCACATAATCCAGGCATGTCAAACTTGCGACGACACGGACGTTGCATGACGTATCGTGACTTTTTCCCCATTGCCGGCAATGGGGTGGGCACAGTTTCTGCATGACACATCCGGCCCATGGGCCAGCAGTTTGACATGCCTGACATAGGCTGTTCTTTTATTTCCCAAGGAGTGGTTTCACCAGTGCCCTCTTATTCTTTGGCTTATTTTGAGTAAGTACTGTATGTATGCTACAGTCCAAGAAGCCAATATTTGTGCGTATCTGTAGAAATTACTTTGTTTATTCTGATTTATTTTCTAGGAATGCAAAAGGTAACACTTAACTTTTCCCTAACAAATTTTCATTGGCAGAGGCATCCAGAAGTTAGTTCCATAAATATTATATTTTAATTTTAATTTAATTTTAATTTATTTTAATGCAAATGATATATCCTTTTCTGGCATAAGGTTTAATAAAGATACAAAGGTTTTTTTGCATCTCTTTTTCCACAATTAATGCTAATAAACGTATCTTGCATAACCTTCTCTTCTAGTAACTGAAAAAAGGTCAGATTTAACTCATAGGTTAATGATTATCTTACTTCTTGATTATCAACACATGTTTCTGTCACTTCAGGTAATAGGGTCGTGGCAACAAACAAATGTTCTTCAATACCATCTAGCCAAGATGAGGTGGCTGAAACTCCTCTGTATAGTTTTTGCTCAAACTGCAGACTCTCCTTTTCAGCACCTCTAGCCTGAATAAATCAATAAAAAGGAAAAAAGAGAAGACGGTTACTCTAGTTATATATCTGGAGAGAGATAAGGGGGGGGCAAGATTTTATCTTTGCAAATATAAATTTTTAAATCAATTAAAATATTTTCTATCTTATTCTACAAAACAGCTAAAAATTTTAAGTGATTAAAATATTCTACCTGGGAAGGAACACTTTTGAAAGCCTCATTCAAACCAAGCAGTAAAGATTTAACTGATGCTTTATCTTGAGCCTTGCCTTCTTCTTTGTGCAATGACATGCCAGACATCAGCCTGTTTGGTCTACTGTAAACCTGTTGGGGGGGGGGGGAAACAATAATTAAAATATTTCAGACATATGAGAAAGATAAGTGAAACTTTTTTTCTTTTCCTTACCCTGTAAGGATTCTTTTAGATGTTTATTTATTTAACAATACTTATACACTGACCCAACTGAAAAACACTGGGTAGTAAACTATAAGAATAAAACTATTAATCAACAGTTCAAAGATTAAAATTTGCCTTAGCCCAAGTCATCTCCACTCACCTTGCCTATCATCTTGAGAAGTCCCCCTGTCTATCATCTTTGTATGGCTCATGCAGTTTATACAAGTTGGCAGCTCTTGGACAAGCTGGGCATGTATTATGGAATATGAATTGGCTTCTCCACTTCTAATATTCTAGAACAGGGGTCCCCAACCTGTGGGCTGTGGCCTGGTAATGGGCCGTGGGCTGCTGGCCACCAGGCCGTGGGACGGGCTGGTCAGTGAGCACACATGTGCGTGCACACACCCCACTCGTGCTAGCGCTGCGGCTGCAGGGCGCAAAAACAGGACGCCGCACCACAGTGCAAAAACGGGATGCCGCCATGCCTCAGGGCACAAAAATGGGCTGACACCGCGCCTCGGGGTGCCAAAACGGGCTTTTTCCAGCATTTAGACCAGTGTTTCCCAAACTTGACAATTTTAAGGCATGAGGACTTCAACTCCCAGAATTCCACAGCCAGCAACAATCTGGGTCCTCATTTTACCTACCCCGGAAGGATGGAAGGCTGAGTCAACCCTGAGCCGGTGAGATTTGAACCGCTGACCTGCTGAACACAGTCAGCTAAAGTGGCCTGCAGTACTGCACTCTAACTGCTGCGCCACCTTGGCTCGTATACCTTTAACAGCATTCATATGAAGAATGACAAAAATAATTCTGACAGGTTACTTACTGACTGCTCTTGTTCTTGTTGCAGAGCATTCTGCAGAAGCCTGTGCTTGATGCTGAATTCTTGATTTAGGCTTTCCCATTTCATTTTCATTTGATCTTCGCTTGAGGGCTTTTCTCCTTCTAAACTCAGCTCTTCCGTTAGTGTATCTGGCTTCTTGCTATCATATAAAATATAAATAGAAATCACGATAGTGGAATTACTGTGATTTTTCAGTTAGCATTTCATATGGTAAGATACCAGAATTTTAATGACTTCTCAAATCATGCAGATTAGGGTAGATCCTTCACTGTGACATTAAAATGAGGTTTTAATTTGGAGTCCACTGAAATTACATCATTGGCATTGACAAAATCACCATTAGACAATTGCAAAAGGCAGTTTTGCTTAGAACAGCTTATACCTGGCAACTTTACCTTTAACAGCATCAAATAACAACATCTACCTATCCCAAATTTTTCAGAAAGACTCAATAAGTGGATAAAATGCCAAATCCAGTTTAAATATCTGGCTAACTATGTGATGAACCATAATAAGATTTTAACTTCATTAAACAACAATATTTGCCTTGAGAAGGACTTAAGATAGGTGGAAAAAATGACAAATGTAGTATAAACATTTGGTTGACCAACCTTAATAATAATAAGCAAGAACTTCTGCCTATCTTAGGTTCTTGGGAAGGACTTGATAGATGGACAAAACTGCCAAATCCACTCTAAACATCTGACCAACTGTGTGGCTATAATATATTCTTACATCTTCGTTTAAAACCATTTTTCATATTGATAATATAAATGAGCTAAATTCATTTTAAATTAATCTAACAATTCAAGAGGAGTTGTAAATTAAATATAGTCAATATTAATAAGTTGCTAAGGCTAACATTTTTAGATGTAATAAATTTATCCTAAACCATGCTGAGAAATGCTAATTTTGAGTCTTTCATAAAAAGCGAAGCCCATACTGTGTGATTAATGTACAAAACTGTTTTCCTGAAATTTTATCCATCAGGTATAATGATAACATGATTTCATGAATCCTCAGTGCACGTTCATGTTGGAAAACATCAATTCAGAGAAGGCTTGTCCAAAGACATCGTCACTAGGGTAGAATCTGATATGGTTTCTGATATTTCATACCATCAGCAGATTCATTCAATCTTATGTGTATCATCTTATTGGAACATTCTCATAAAATAGTTAGTTAGAAAAAAAAAATACTCAAATACTTATGTAATCGGCAGATGGCAAATACTTAAATTGAATCTGCTATTTTAAATGTAAACTATTTTTTTATACGATCTCCCTACAAGGGAATATATAGACATGATCAAGGAAGATGAAATATTTAAGCATAAATATTTACCTAGAATAAGATATATCTGAAAATGACTGAGTTAAAATTTCTTCTCCATGACTTGCCACTGAACGAAGAAGACTCTTTTGTTCTGCTAGTTCCTTCTCTAGTTCCTAAAAATAAATAAATAAATAAATAAACAAAAGCAACTGCACATACACATTTCATATCAATGATTTATAACTGTTTGGAGATATTTACATAGAAAGAAAAAAAATAACTGAAATCAATGTATGCATGTTTTTTTCCAATAGCCTATGTATGAATGTTTTTTCAGACAGCCACTAACAAAATTATGTGAACTACAGTTAAATTCTTCTAATTTTGGAATGTCCTCTCTCCTACAGCCTTTCCAACACAATGAGACAAATGATAGTGCCTCCTCTGCTATCCATTCTCAGAGGCTTTACAGATTCAGGCAGTAGGCATATAATTAAGCATGTTAACTGCTATTTGTCACAGTAAAGAAAAAGAAGCACAACATTTGTAACAAGATTTGATATACAGCAGCTGTCATAATTTCAAGAAATATTATTTCATCTCTACCCATGTATGTTATAAAGATGTCTTGGGCTATATTTGCCTATATTCTGTTACTTCCAACAAAAATAACGACAACTTACTTAGCACAGAATGCTGCTTATTAAAAAAAATGGAAGCGACTACAGGGTGCATCAGAACAATAACCAATGTGGAAGAATTAGAGGAGGAGAGCTGTGTTAGTCTATAGTAGCAAAAATTATTATTGCATAGCAAGAACTTATTGCATAATAATTGAGTCAATATAGTAATAAAGTTTCATTATTATGCAGTCTCTATATACTGAAGGCTGTACTTCAGTTTTGTATGGCTTAATTCAGTGATGGTGAACCTTTTAGAGACCCAGTGCCCAAACTGCAACCCAATTTATCACTGAGTGCCGGGTGGGTGTGGCCACAGTGGTCATGGCAGACTGGGTGGGTGGGGCCAGGGCAGCAGGGGCCAGTCCCTCGCCATCTCCAGGGCACAGCACGCGTGCTCACAGGAAGGGCTCTGAGTGCCACCTCTGGCACACATGCCATAGGTTCGCCACCTATATATTTATTGAAGATATTTACAACTGAAAACAGCATACACCAACCCCTACTTTTACGACAATTTATAAATTTTAAAATGGTTCCAGTTTGGACTGCAGACTGAGTGCATTTATCCATGTTCTCTATATGAAAATAATAAGAGGGCTACACCATATTGAGAGTATTGTTAATGGAATAAGACAAAGTGTACCTAAATTACACAGAGCCTTCTTTATGATTAATGACTGAAGCAAATTTAAAATCATTTGTCAATTGTCTACATATATCCGTGCTGAAATGAACACAATAAAAATCCCTAAACACAAATAAAATTTGCATTTATTAAGTATATATCATGCTCACTTTCTGTCTTTGTATGATGCTTAGCTGCTGTTGTGAACGGGTTGTTTGTGCCTGGGCCAGCCACTCCTGGACACTGGGATCTTGAGATGTGACCACATCTGATTTACATTCTTCTTTTTCCTGTACAGCGCCCTGCTTTAATAAAAAATAAAAAAAAGGTGGTGGTGGTGGTGGAGTGTGAGTAGGAAATGCAAATAGAAGTAGGATTGCTATTTGAAGTGTAAATTTCCGGCTTCTTAGCATGATGATTTATATATAGATTTAAGGCTTTTAAAATGGGATTCTGGGTTTCTAAAGTAAGTTTACTCAGAAGACAAAGGAAAAAATGAATATAAAAGAGAAACACATGGCAGAAAAGATGTCTCAATGGAGAGAAGCTCATCTTTACGAGACACAGCTTTATTTAACCTCTTTATAAATAGGACAAATTCATCTGGGAATGTAGGAAGTTTGTTTACCGTACCTTGCATACAGTGATTGCCTATTTTATGCTATTCAGAGTCAGATCTGTATCAAATTACTCAAAATAACTTCTTAAATTATTTCACATATCATACCGTATTATTATTCAAGTTTAATATATGAAATTACACAGGGTTTTAATTCACTAATTTAGACTGGAATTGGAATTAAAAAAGAATGGCATTCCTAATTTTAATGTTTTGTTTTATTTGGCAATGTGATTTGGCACACTGATCAAAAGTAAGTTTTACTACTGTTCCTTTACTACTGATCAGAAATATAAGTCTGTGGCTACCAGCAAAAATCTCTTATGCTTTATCATTTAACTAAGAATTAAATAAATAATAGGACTCGTGCACCTACAAAAAGAGCACAAATATCTGAGATAAACCACCTTGTTGAAAAAAAAATGACAAGGTAGATATTCTAAATATTCGAAATAGAGGTTCGAAATGATATTGTGTATGAATGAACTGCTCATTCAGTATGCTAACTTTTCTATATAGAAATATTTATTAAAATCATCTGTTGCTCATCTCACTCTGATAAGCAAATCAACCAACCTGGCAGATGATATCCTAATTCAAAAGCTATGTTGAGAAGTGGGAAGCTTTAATGTGTCATGGCAGGTCCCTGCATGAAATGTATTCATAATGATCATAGACAACATCCATATAGAATTGTTACATCAAATAAATGCTCCAGAATTAAAATGTGCACCCTTATTCATTTAAAGGGCCCTACTAATGAAAGCAGGTCTTTCCTCATCTATGTAAACAAGAAATGCTCCATTAAGAACAAAACACTACTTGCCACTTCTCTCTTATTTTAACCAATTAACCATAAATTAGTGACATATGACTTGATTAATGCTGATTTTTATGTCAAGGCTGCAATATTTGAAAATTTGTCCAGAAACAAAAAGTACTCAGCAGAAAAGTAAGAGAGACCAGTTGGTATACTGGTTAAGGCAGAGGTCCCCAACCTTTTGGGTACCAGGGACTGGTTCCGTGGAGAAAGGTTTTTCCATGGACTGGAGTGTGCGTGGTTTTGTGTGCTGCTTACATCCCACGCATGGGGCTTTGCTTGTTTGTGCGGACTGATTGCTGGCATGCTGTGCCCAGTACCGGTCCACGGACTGGGGGTTGGGGACCCCTCAGTTAAGGCAACAGACTAGAAACAAAAAAACTGTGGATGTCAGTCCCAGCTCCAACTGGGTCACTTTGGGCGAGTCACTCTCTTAGTCCTAGAAAGAAGGTGAGGGTGAACCACTTCTGAGAATCTTGCCAAGAAAATTTAGGAACTGGTCAAAGCAGTTACCAGGAGTTAAGACTGACGCAAAGGAGTGTCCACATGCACACACAAGCACAGACAGAGACAAAAGTAGAAAGTGGGGAATAAAACTGAGCTAGTAAATCAGCTCAGGCAATTTGTTATTTAATTATGTCAAATATTACACTCGCCCCAAAGAGGAAACGTTATTCCAGAGTATAGATTCTTAACAGTAAACATTGTATTATTTCCCAGTTGCTACATATAACGCCCCCCCCCCAAATACCTTTACAACCAATTGAAAAGAGCTCCTTACCTGGATATTGATTTGCTTGTCGTGAAGGATTCTCTGTAGTTCCAGAAGACTTCCCTTTAGCGTTCTGAGTTTCAGTGCCAGTTGCTCAGCCTCACCCTTGGTTTGAGCTTTTCCTTCCATGAGGAGGTTTTCATTGTGTACGGACAGCTCAGACAAAGTCACCACCTTCTGCTCAATTTCCACAAGCATATTCTGAAGCAGCAAAAACAACGACGCAAATTCATACATTCTGAAACATCCATCAAAACCCCACTTCATTATTTCTTCAATGAAGAAAAGCAAACAAATTCACATTGTTGCTGAGTATTTTCTCCCCAATGTTCTCAAAAACACGCTTAAGGTATTTTGCATTTATTTTTCGCTTGTAAAAAAAAAAATCTTCAAAAATTCAACTTTGTTTGAAAAGAAAGATGTGAGAAATATATGTTGGATGTCACTGTTGCTTATTTGCTTATTTCTATTCCACTTCTTTAATGCAGCAGTCTGGAAGACAATGACTCCCCTAGATTATTGCAATAGGCAGATCTCATTTAGTTAGGTCAGCTTGTGTCTTATTTTTCTATTTCGTGTACTTCTGCACTTCTCAGCCTCCCTTCCCTCCTTGCTCTCTTGAAATGATAAGCTTCTTCTCACATGGATATTTCTGATTGGTATAGAAATGGCCTAAGATCCTCTGCATAATCTTCTTTCATTTAGAGCGACTTAAAGGGACAAATCTCTGGCATATTTATTTTGAAATGCAGATAATTTATTTATAAATATAAATAGTCTAAATATTCTGACACCTACATCTAAGGATTTCTGAGTTAAGTTATTTGTTGTTTGAATCATGTTATATTTTTTATAGAATTCTGATGTTAACATAGATCTGAGGCAGGCTAGTAGTTTGTCTAAACTGGACCCAAAGGCAATTATATAATGAAGCTTAGATGGCTGATAGAAACTCCAATGAAATTAATATGGTGCAAATTATGTATTTGGGTCATGATACAAGTAGTCATTCTCATGGTATGCAAAGATGCATGCACACAAATGCATCTTTGCATGCATGCACACATATGAAATCACTCTCTCCTATTACAAAGAAGAAACAGGTAAAATGAAACAGGTAAGCCAACTTTCTTTTTAGAGTATCTTCCAACTAAACACTTGTCTGCTTTTTATAAACACAACTTTATTAGGTTCTTCATAGATTATCTCTCATTTCTCATGCATATCAGATCACAAGAATTTAGTGACATGTTTCAGATTTTACAATAATCTTCGCCTTTGCTTAAACAAAGTCTTGAACTTTATGCCTCCTGCTAACCTCTTCTCCAAAGGACAATCATTCAGAGTTTAGAAAGACTCTCTTCCTTTTTAAAACTACCTGGAGTTTATTATTATGTTTGGTTTTATGAATATGTGGATTATTATTGGTTTTATGAATATGTGGATTATTAAACAAACCATGACCATAAATAATGGGCTGATCTTGACTTGTTTCAACAAACTATAATTTACAGTAACCAGAGTTTAAGCTTCTCCAATTTAAGAAAATATTTTTTCTCTTCAGTAATTATTTATAACTCTTAACAGTTTAAAGCATAACATTTTCACTACTGAAACACCTAAAAATTACTTGCATTGTAACTAGACTTTACTGCATGATATTTTAAGCCTGACAAATCACCCACCCACCCATTTAACTTGTAACCAGAAACAATGCCTTGTAATTTAATTTTATTTTGACACAGTTAAAACTTAGCAACTCTAAGTTAAGAGTTGACACTGATTTGATGGCACATAATGAAAAACAGCATTCTTATTGTGGGTAATGTTAATTTAATAACCCATAGGAAACCTCTGTTAGTTACAGCAGAAATAATATTTAAACATGAAGATTTTTTTTTCCACCTGGCAGTCAACCAGTTGAGAATCCATATCCATGGGCTCCTCTTCAGTCACCAGCGTAGTATTTAGAGATGCTTTCGTGTTCAGAAGCCAGTGATCAAGTTCATCTGCTTCAGAGCGATACCTTTGCAGAGCCTGCTCTTGACGCTGCTCTTCTAGTTGCTCGTTGAGTTTCTCCTGTGAATTACACATTATGATTTGTCATGTATTTGTTTTCACATGTCTGACATCCTGTTAGGTGATCTCCTAAGTCAGGGGTAGGCAACCTTGGCTCTTTTATGACTCGTGGACTTCAACTCCCAGAATTCCTGAGCCAGGAATTCTGGGAGTTGAAGTCCACGAGTCATAAAAGAGCCAAGGTTGCCTACCCCTGTCCTAGGTGGAAGGTGCAAAACTAGTCAGGACAGAAAAAGATAAGGGCTTTTCACACATTGAGTTTCTCAAGGAGAATGGGGGGAAAAAGTTGAAATGGGCTAAAGAGCTGGCAGAAGGGAAATGTTAGCCTGAGAGAAGGGAAGGGAGAAAATGGCTGGCATGGATTGGATTAAAGTAGTTTCAGATTTCTGAAGTTGTGCACGTTTCTGGGTAATAGAAGGTCACCAAAGAGGAGGTAACACAATGTGCAGGGAGAAGATAACAGTTTGAGAGATTCATTTATCCCAGTCCAGAATTCCCAGGAGAGAGAAGAATATTAATTCTTTTGCTGGCCATGAGACTTAGTCTTAACACAGAACCTTAAGTTAAGTCTATGCAGGACTTAGTAATTGCTGCACTGTGTGAGGGGTTGAGCCTGCCCTGTAGAAAAGCAAAGAGAAGCACTGTTGCTTCTGCAGCAATATTGCAGAATGGGAGTTTCTCATGTGCAGCAAACCGTGCAACTGAAGCATGAAGGAGCCAGGACTTAGTACAATGGAAACCATCCAGCCATGGTGTTATTGGATTATAGAGTTGGAAAGTGTCAGCTTAATCCAGCAACATATCTGCGGTCCCCTTTGAAAAAATTAATTTATATTACTGAACTGTGTAATTAAAACTTTCTTTCAGCATCCTTGTACCTCAAGAAGCTGCTGTTTTCCTGAAGCTTTCATCTTGATAGTGGCCATTCTCTCTGCTAACACGGTAAGCGTGGACTGCAGAGCCAACTGCTCAGCAGCATCTGCGTCTAGCGGTTCAGACACCAATTCCTCCGCTAATGAGGTTTGTAGCTCACTTATTTCCTCTTGGAGCATCAGAATCTCATCCATCAAAGCCTATTAAAGACAGAAGTTAAAACAGGACCAGCTTAGTCACCTTATTCCTGGAAAAACATGTCTTAAAATGGTTAATAAAGTTTGAACTGCTGAGTTCCAATGAGTACAGCTAGTCCTTGACTTAAAACAGTTCATTTAGTGACCGTTCGAAGTTACAACGGCACTGAAAAAAGTGACCGGTTTTCACACCTACAACCATTACAGCCATTTCCCCTGGTCATATGATCAAAATTCAGAGGCTTAGCAACTGGTTCATATTTATGACAGCTGCAGTGTCCCAGGATCAGATGACTGCCTTTCGTGATCTTTGTGATCAAAGTCAGCGGGAAAAGCAGATTCTCTTACCTGTCAAGCTCCCGGGGGCTTGACATGCAAACGGGGACGGGGGGAAGCGGACGGCAGCCCACAAACCCCGGCAACCGCCGAACCGCACGTTGTCACAGCTGGAGCCCGGCCTCAACAGGGATACATGGCGGGCCCGCCTCTCCGCACAGCCGCACAGACGCAAACAGGCGCCGGACTGGTTACGCGCCTAGAAGCCCCCAACGAACAGCTGGTGGCAGCAAGCCCGGGACTCCCCGCAGTACAGCTGATGTCGGCGAACCCGGAAGTCCCCGAGCAGCAGCTGCGGTCGGCGGGACGGACGCCCGTCGGCACACCACCCTGGGGCGGGGACCCCATGAACTTACAGGGGGGTCCAGCGTGGCTGGCGGGGGAGGGATACTTACCTGACAGGGGGACCGGTAGGCAGGGAAAGCTTGGCGGCGGGAAGACGACGTGCGGGCCGGACGCACGGGCAGAGGACTGCAGGGGTGGGGCTCCGTCGGCGAAAGGGAGAGCACAGGGAAAGGGTGGAGCATTTATCCACTTCGAGCGGATGTTGGCTTGGAGATGGGGGCGGGAGCACAGGGTGTGGCACATAGTTTTAAGGCGCTGGGAGAAAACCACTCCCAGTGCTGACTTTGTTTCATCTTTACAATAAATCGATTGGTGAGCTCAGTGTGTACCGGCGTTCCTTTTGGTTCTTACTCACGGACGACATCGGATGCACTTGACATTACCAACCATGTTAGTAATTTAACCACTCTAGTGATTCACTTAACAACTGTGGCAAATAAGGTCATAAAATGGGATAAAACTCACTTAACAAACAGCAACACAAATTTTGGCCTCAATAGTGGTCATAAGTCAAAGACTACCTCTATTATAAACTGAGTAGCACATACCACTGGATCCTGTGTATAGTACCACAGAGGAATACAAGATGTTAATTGCTTTATTTAAATATTTATATAATACTGAATTACTTAAACTAGGAACATTAGAACTACAGTCATAAAATCAGACCGAAACACTCTATTAGGAATTGATATTTATAACCACAATGTATTAATTTATATAAAATCAATGAGTTAAGATTCAGTCTTGTGGCACCTCCACATAAATGAAGGACCAGTCCTGAAAAGGACTTTGTCCTCGATTTCTCTTGTATCCTCTACTTTAATGTGCATTCTCTGTAGCACCCAGTCAGAGCTCTCTCTAGTAAGCCAATGTACTGTAAGGATGCAAAAAAAAAAAAAAAAAGCTGTCTTTCATAAAAAAGGAAAAGACACTCCCTCTTTCCAAGCTCCTTTGAGGGACTGGCAAGGATAAAGATGGATGGTGATGAAGTAGAAGGATAGGGGAGTACACAGAGAGGTTAATGCACATTTTGTTAATGGAACAGGATTTGTTTTACTTGATGATTCATTCAAAAGTTCAATTCATTAGTGTACCTGCACTTTAGTATAGTAAAAACAAAGATAATGAATGGGCACTTGGCAAATGCATAATAACTTTAAAGTAATACCTTTGCCTTTTAAAATATTTGTTTTCTAAAAAAAACAAATTCATCACTTTCTAAAAGAAAGCGAAGAATGAAAACATGTGTCACATAACTTTGCCATACAGTTGGATCTGAAGACCTGAAACTGAACAAGAAAACAACTTTGTAATATGCTTATTTATTTATTTTACCTGGTGGCCAGCCATCTGGCTTTCTGGACTCTTATGACTGTCTAGAGTGTCATTTAATTTCACCTCAATGGCTTCCATTTTGGTTGATATAGACTGAAGAGAATCTTGGTATTTCTGCTGACGTTCAAGAGCCTCATAAAGTGTACGCTGTTTTTCACTAATCTAAAAAGAAAAAATATTTGTAAATAGAGATTAAACTTCTGTATTTAATAATGAGAAAATGCAGTGAACTAACAATATTTTAATGAAAGTTAATTTAACAAATGTATTAAACAGAAAAAGGAAGCATACATACAACATACAATTTACCACTTAGTGATTTTACCTTAGGATTTTAAAAGACATATTACTGCAGAGTTTTTTCATAAACATTATTACAATGAAATTTATGTTGCCAAATTGTTGCAAAACAGCTCTCAATCTCAAACTATAATTAAATTGCTTTTAGCCTGTATAAATAGGAATTTTTGCTAAACTTTTATTATTACTACAACAGACATGGCATTGCATTTTTCTTATATAGGTGTGGTTTCCTAGTAGTCTTCAAAAAGTAGTTATTAAGAATCTAGTTGATAAGTTTAATGATACAAAACCTATTGTTTATTTCATATAATTTCTTTTGCCATTAATCCTCCTCATAGTATATGGATTCATTATGTTGGTATTGGGTTTGCAGCTGCTTTTATTTCTAGACATCCACATGTTGGCATGAAGTCACCTATTTGGAATCTGACAAGTGCCTGAGTATTTACTAATTTCAAATAGTATATTTTCAAAGCAGTTGATAAAAATTGAAAAAAAAACCTTAAATATAAGGATATGAAATGAACACAAGCTAAAACATTTCAGAAAATCAACAATCTTAGATTAAAAACACAGCAAGAGATACCTGGTGAATCTCTTTTAAAAATTCACAATGCCCTTTGTTATAACTTAATTTTTTGCTATAACTTTGTTATTTCAAAGAAAGACCCCTACCGAAAATCTTTATATCTGAGTGGCTGATATGGAAAAAGCAAAAAGACCTCCCAGTGCCCTCACATATTAAACTTCATGGACTTTAGGGGTCACAATAAGATTTAAGTTTGAGAAAAAGAAAAGACTGGGTGTCAGAGCAATTGGTCTTGCTCTGTACAGTATAATCCCAACACTCATTAATAATCCAGGAGCCACATTTGGAACTGCAGCTAAAGCTCCAAATATTGTATTGTGGATTGCTCCTCCTGAATATTCCAGCTAATCAGCTATGCTATTTATTAACTATCATTTTTGTTTTTCAAAAGTCAGTATTCTAGTTTTCCATGCCCAAAAACATGGTTGGCGCTCTACCATTTTGGCAATCTTATTCCCTTTCAGATTTTATGGATGCTAATACTTCGTTTGTAGGCAGTGCTATTTAGGATACATAAGAAATAGGACTTCTAGGGTTGAACAGATCAGGCCTGTTTTGTGACTTCTGGAATTTGAAGTTGAAGAGGTTATTCAAGGCCTTGTAACCTTCTATATGCAAATTTCCTCACAGCTCCAATGCAATCTAACTTTCAACCTAGACAACGTATCTTAGCACGTATTTATTTTGACATAAACAGGAATCCCTACCCACATTATTGGTAATATTTGCTCCATTCTTCTTTACACCAAAAGACTTACCACATTTTTCAGGGTCTCCCAAGAACGTTGTAAATCATCCAATTTAGTACTGGAAATGGTTTCTAATCTTAGTTCACAGGATTCCTGAGCAATCGGAGCGCTAGGCTGAATTTGGGATGCTTCTGTCTGCAACTGTTCAGCAGATAAGGCTTGATAATAAGCAATGTCCTATGAGCATGAGGTAAAATATTGTATTTTCAAAAGTGCTGAAACTTCAGCTTATTGTTGAATTTTGAAAACATCCTAGTTTAATACTAAGGTCTTATACTGTAGTTCCCATTTAGGGTGTTTTAAAAAGCATTATTTTTATTTTCTTCCCATCACTTTTGCTTGTACTTTATATGTAAAAAAAAAAAAGACCACAACCACCACCACATACACTTTGGAACAACTTAGAAGATGGCTATTACTGATTTAAGTAAACACAGAACTGAAGAATTATAAATGTGGCATTGAAGAATTATAAATTTTCCAATCTTTGATTTAACATGAGTGATAAACATATAGTACTGCATCCCAGGAAACCTCATCAGCCAGACAAGAATTTACTTTAAACACTCACATGCTATTTAAACTATACATGAAGCCAATGACAGAGATAACATAAATATTTGATTTCAGATGTTACATGTATATTTAGAATACCCACATTTTTCATTATTTGCACTGCAAATAATATTTGTTTCCTAAACAAGTTTCTGATATAGTTTAAAGTATCACTGAAACTATTTTTTCCCTTTAAGTACTTCATAGATGTTTTAGATGTAGGCTTTGAATTATCTCAATAAAACAACCAATTTCTTTACAGATTCAGTTTCTTCACTGACTATAGGATATTGCTTCTAAGATTATGATGGCATTTAGTTAGATCCGTTCTTCCTTCCACATACAACCCCGAAGTATGATGGAGAAGAGATTTCTTTCATCAAATGCTTCACCCATTTTTCTCCTAATGTTTCATCATTCAAAAGCACTTTATTCCAAAACATTTCAGGTTTATAAAGTTTTTATTTTGCATGTTCGAGATGATGCCTTTTATTATGACTTTGGGACATTTGCTTCTGACAATTCTCACGAATTCTCATGAAACTTAGTTTTGGACATCTGAACACCTTTTCTGCATATTTTCCTAGCCTTCAAGAAAAAACCTATTAAAAAAAATGAAGGCTGAAAAAAAAGATTGTATATTTCAGCAAGGTAATGTTCTGAAACATACCTGTGAAGTACTTAAAGGAAAGGTAAAGTTTTAGATTGTCCTTCAGTCCGCAAGTTGAATATTATTGAAAATCTATAGGAAAATCTCAAGTTTACAGTACATGCAAGGAGACATCAGAATCTACAATTTTCACTGTTTTACTCCATTTTATATTTCTTTTCATTGTAAAGAGAATGATACAAAATGATTCCAAAATACTTTTGATGAATACAAGGGCTGGCACCATATGTAGAGACATATGCAGATACATACTAAATGAACCTTTCTGTTGAAAAGATGCAAAAAAAAAAAAAAAAAAACCCAGCTGGAATCATATGAAAAGAATGGATTATTCCTGCATAATCAAAACAATGGAAAATACTGTATCTTTCTGCAGCAATCTAGTGAGAGAATCGAGACAAAGAGACAATGAAATATTTCTAACATGTTAGCATAAAGTTGTGTTTTCTCAGCTTCTTTTACAAGTTTGATATGCTAAACTAATTTTGAAAGTGAGGATGAGTGGGGATTTCTTAATTGTAAAACAGAGGTTCTACATTTGCAAAGCATGAATGATCTATACTCAGCAGGTTTTTTTTTTCCTGAAAAAAAAATCTTTCACATTACTGAACAAATGAGATATTGTGCAGAGGACCACAGATGCTTGCAGACAGCACAGATGAATGAATGCTGAGAGAGAGATACCTGATTAACAGAAGCATCAGCATTAGCCACAGGTGAAGGAGAGCGACAGGCGGGAGGAGAAGAGATCTCACTGTTGCTTCCCTCTTCCCCAGATTCCTCAGTAACTGGTGACAGAAGTGTGTGACAGCGACCAGCAGTCATCTGCCATAGGAAATGTATCCCAAAGGACAGGAAGATCATTTAGATACCAGAAAGACTTTGCAATTCACGTCTTCAAAAATGTGGAGTTTCATCAGAACATAGTTTGTAAGAGTCTATGCTCCCTTCACAAACCTGCATACCGATCAACTATAAAGAACGAGATGAACTAGGAATCTTCATACTACTTGATCCTTGAATCTAGGTAGGTTTTGGCAGGCAAAACATTTTCCATCTCTGTAGGTGCCAGTCAATACCTTTTTTATACAATATTTTTTTTTCTTTTTTCCTTCCCCCCCACCTTTCTCCTCAGCAGCGGAAGTATGTTAGTAAAGGTGATGAAGGATGAATTTCTGAGGAATGTACATAACAGCTCTATTTGAAAATTAGTACAGCCACAAAAATACAGGTATTAATACTACCAAGAAGGAAACCATATGGGAAAAAATACAGAGAGAAACAACTAGAACATACAGCTAAAAATAATGCAGTTTTTCTCCAGATCAGCCTGCAAACTGGGGTAGTACGGGATGCTTAAGCTCCTTTTTGTAGCCTCTTATAAATTCATCAGCATAATGAAAACCAGTCATGTATTTTTGCATTCATTTATATGGATGAAGTAGTTCTAACCAATTTATGTCATCATTTCATCTACTGATTTCTTCTGCACAAAAAAATTAAACACAGGCCCCTGTCACTGTTATGTAGCAGCTGATGTAAAGATACGTGATTTTTACATATGATATATAAATAAAAGTAAATATGAAAATATAAAATAACTGAAAACAATAATCATTTAGCTCCATTCAACTCATTCAAGTGGAGCTTCAGTCATCTAACACAGCTTTTATTTTGTCACCCCTGCCCATAGTCCATCAAATTTCCCCAGCACCCATTTAAGACATCTTATATGAGGGTAAGGAGCCTAGGAACCAAATAAAACTGAAGAAATAGAAACAGTTAAGTCCTCTTTTATTGGAGTTATTATTGTGATTTCCAAAAGTATCATATAGCACCTCTCCAGTGATTGCCAGGCAAAACAGATGAGTTGAACACTAAACTATTACCATGTCATCAGACATCAACCCAATACGTAGATAGGAGAAATGCCACCTATTACTGGGCAGTGATGAAGATCTCACCAAAAACTTTTAATTTTGTTTTGTAATTTATATTTTAAATTTTAATTTTCTGATCTATGATCATAATAAAATATTTTGATTTTAATTTAAAAGCCTAGGAAAAAATATGTTCTCCTGTTTACTGTTAATAGCTAACACGGAAGCATTTTATTCATCTATAAAATATTTTAGTTTAAACTTCTGTAACAATTTACCACTGCTGCAGATGGTTAATTTATATGTAATGTAACATTTTATTTTAAATTCTTCTTCAGTTCTGCATTTAGACATCCAGTCTGCATTGGATGTACAAGCCATATTTTTTTAAAAATGAGTTATTAGATGTATAATCCTTGACCTAATTTACTGTTATTTAGAGTGAATGATTTATTATTTTTAGTGCTTATATATAGTACTCATATTTTAAAAGGCTGACTTACACCCCACCCATCTGATGGCTGACAAAGATAATTGGCTGATTTCTCTTCATTTTTCTGTTCACCTTACCATTTTGCATAAACTGAGTTCATTATCTTTTACTCTACAATATCCTGACATCTCTTAAAAGCAAGTAAATGATTGCAATCCTGTTCACAGGAGTGTGAGAAACAAGACTTCAAATAATGATCCCGACAGATAAATGTGAATTACATGGTCATTGCTTACCATCACTATGGACGAGTGAGCAGTATGTGCAGGAAGCATGTCTTCTGAATCCAACTCCTCCATTCTTTCTGAAAGCCCTTCCACTTCTGTCACTGTCAGCAGCATAGTAGCGTGCTTGGCTTTCATTGTTAGCATCTTGCACTTTGAATTGAGAGATGCAATTTGCTCTTGGTAGCCTTTGATCTTCTGTGCCAGCTCCTGAGAAAACCGCAGAATCAGTAAAGGCCATAAGGAGTACAAGCTAGCAGCAATTCTGCTTCCGTTAGAAAAACCCGGCTCGCTTCTTTAAGATCAGCCAATGAAATCACTGCTCTGTCTTTCAGACGCTCCATATTAGCCACAGCAGTAGCTGAACCACAGGATGTTGATTGTGGGAAAAAGAACAAGTCAGGCTGCATCACAGGCACATTTAACCCTTTAACAGAGTCAGCTATGCAAATGAACTGTTCGCTTATCACAGGCAAGGAGATTAAGCTGGGGACAAAGACAAAGCATTTCCACACAGGATTCTGCTCAAAACAGGGGAGGGACAGGAGGAATAATTTATGCCGTTGCCTTCCTGCAAGGCACCAAAACCAGTTGAACATCTCCAGATACTACATAGCAGAGAAATGAGGTCATGCGATAACTGGAAGTATTTTTTTTTAAATGCTGTTTCTCTTTATGAATACACAATAGTTAACAGAGCAGACAATAAAACTCAAGGCTAACAAACACTGTTACTTTATTCTTGCTGTTCTAATATGCTGGCTTTAGCAGGGGCATTTGCAAAAATAAATGTTGTAATTAAAAAGACCTATTTTTTTTGTAATTGCTTAAGAAGAGCAATAACGGGGACTGCATCCAGGTTTCATTTGGAACAAAACACGCACCCAAGCATATTTAAAATTAAAATCCCAATATCAAAGTCTGCCTTTCTGCAGCTCAACCTGGCTGGCACAACAAATAAGGGTTGCAAAACAAAGCTACTGTGATATAGAAGTTGCTGTTTAACCCTTTAACTCAAGTGTTTTGGGTCAGGTTTCTAATAAGCATATATACTGAGTTAGAATACAGTATTAGCTTCAGAATGCTGTATAGAAAGAGAAAGCAAAAATAGCTGCTGATTCTTATCAAAGATTACAAAAGATGGACACACAGAGAAAATTAACTAGACATGGACATTTTTCTTTCTTTACATGTGCTTTTGTAGCTAGGCTCCCAACTGGTATATAATAAACTTTATATTGCATTTATAGTTCCTAAAACAAATGTCCAAAAGATGTACAAGAATAAAGTGCCATGGACAATTGCATTCCAGTCCACTGCAACAGGTTTAGTTTGAAATGCTTTTGTAAGGCAAAGGACCTGAGATAAAGCTACTATGCAGGCATCAACTACTATTTCTGCCCCAAAATGCACGGATCTCAATCCATTATGATACATGAGTAGGAGAAAGAAACTCAAGATCTGAATCTTGACTTTCCTCTCTCCTCCTTTCTCTCTCTCCATCTTTCTGCTTGAGTCCTACACTTTGCAATCATTGTCTTCCCTTATATAGACAGATTTTATAATATTTGTGGTAAAATTATTTTATCATCCTATGAATCTTTGCCTGTGAGTCTTTCAGATCCTGTATCAATTTGGGTGATATTTTCCCAAATTTGTATAATATACTCTGGCATGTGGAATATAAAGAACTCTCCAGCAAAAGGCATGTATGCACCTAATATAGCTAGTCCTTGACTTACAACAGTTTACTTAGTGACTGTTCTAAGTTACAAAGGCACTGAAAAAAGTGACTTACAGTATGACCATTTTTCACACTTTTGACCATTGCAGCATTCCCATGGTCACGTGATTTATATTTGGATGTTTAACAACTGACTCCCATTTATGACATTTGCAGTGTCCTGGGATCATGTGATCACCTTCTGACAAGCAATATCAACGGGGAAACAAGATTCACTTAATAAACCCGTTACTAATTTAATTGCAGTGATCCACTCAACAAATGTGGCAAGAAAAGTCGTAAAATGGGACAAAACTCACTGAACAAATTTCTCAATTAGCAACATAGATTTGGGCCTTAATTGTGGTTGTAGAATGAGGACTACCTGTAGACTGAATACCCTTTTGAGATGAGCTGTGAGAATGTAATCACAGCTTGATACTGCATAGTACAAACTAGTTTGTATGAATAGATGTATAGATGAATAGATGTAATACTGTATAGATCATTTCTCTGTGGCATTAATAGCTGCAGTTTGTCACATCTGGATATTATCAGTGAGAAACATGGTATAGCAATAGCACCAATTAAAATCTGGATCATAAAGCCTGAATCAAACTTATGCTTTTAATAATGCTATGGATGAGAGATCACTTGATCGATACTAGAAATTGAAACTTTAATCAAATTAAGCTACAACTGAGGGATCCTTGGTGCTCTCTGAGTTTGCTTGTTTTCTTGCAGACATTTCATTACCCTAACTAGATAACATCTTAAGTGCTAGTCCTAGCACTGATGATGTTACCTAGTTAGGGTAATGAAAGGTTTTCAGGGAAACAAGCAAGCTCAGAGAGCACCAAGGATCCCTCATTTCAGCCCTAAGCTACAAATATTATCCTTCATTGGAAGCTAGAATTGAATTGATTCTACCAAAGATTGCTTTTAACGGATCTCACAATCTTGCTCTGAGGAGCTATGAGTTGAACAAAAGACTATTAGATTGAATTTCTTAATGATCTATGTAAAAGGAGTGGAGGAATGATTTTAACATGGAAAATAATTCTTGATAATGTCTCTTCAGTATTCAGTATTCCAATACATATACTTTATCTAGTAAACAAGCTAAAGCAAAGTAAGATACCATCTTTGGTGGTATCATATATGGTCAATTATTTAAAAAAACTTTAAATTATTGGTCACCTATTTAAAAAATGTTGGAATATACTGTTTCAAGCATGGAGCATCAATAATCAAAATATAACAAATCATAGAGTACATATAGTTCTTTTCTCAATGATTAAGTCCAAATTAAAATCTACCAAAGAACTGTTTGGAAAGAATTATATATCTTATATATAACCATGGCCTCAACAATCTAAATATAATATATGCAAGTATAAGTATAGATATAGAAGTATAATCTTATTTTCCTGAATTATTCTAATGTACTCTTTCATGTATAGAGCTTGAATTGTTTTGAATACAAAGAAGATCTATAAGTAAATAAGTGAAAGAAATTCTTTCCAGGTAACTGGATTAATGAAAAACCAACATTAATTGTACATATATCACGTCACTCAATCTTTTATTTTTATTTAGCTCCTGGCTATATAAAGAGGTTTTTCACAAATAATGTATCCAAATAAAAAAAGCTCACTGGAGAAATTGTCAGTATGTGTACTGAGACTGATTTATAGCAATTTTGAGAGTGATTGCTTCAGCCTCCATAGAAATATCCACAATATAACCAGTTCTGAAGATGAAAATAAATTTGTAACTCTTATTATATTGGTTAATGGCTTTCTTTCTTTCAGAATAATATGCTTTCTCTTATTCTGATATTTTGCTCTTCAAAAAAAGCTGTAGGCATAACCTGTTTTCTTTTTAAATATTTCCAGTTGAAACAAAGTGATTTCCTGACTTTTGTTGCCCAGCAGGTTTTTACATTTCATATTGTACCTAAAATAATTTAGTATAGTGAAAAACAGAAACTAAACAGAAAACCACCACCCATCCTGAATGAAAATTTAAGAGACTGATTAGCAAACTTTCATTTCATATAATAGTTGTAAACCCACTGCTACTCACATGAAAAAGAATGTAATATAAATACACATAGTTATAGGACTCATTTGAAATGATAATGAACTCTGAGGTATATATGGCTCAGCTCAATCTGAATGTATGTTTTTTTCCTCCTTTGAGAGTTTTCATTGTTTCATCCCTTTTAATTTTTAATACATAAAAATAGTTTTAAAATAATACATTAGCTTGTAAGAGCAGTAGGAAAAAATATCCTAAAATGATTCAGAACCAAATGTTCACATTTTAGAGTTATTACTTTGCTTTAGCCATTACTCTGATGGTGTTTTCATTGCAAATACTACTACTACTACTACTACTACTAATAATAATAATAATAATAATAATAATAATAATAATAATAATAACCAATAATAATAGACCAATAAATCCATTATGACACATTATATAATTTGCTCTGTGTCATAAAGTTGTTTCTCTGAAAGCATACCTAATATTAATTAAAAGTGAGTAGGATATAACTCTCAGAATCTAAAATATAAAGTCTAGAAGGTGATCACCAAAAATGGTCTCAGATGAATGGAGCTATAATAGCTATATTAAGAGCTGTTACCAATTTCAACTACCTATTGTGAGGAAAAAAGACAAAATTATGAGATATTTTCTTTCCACAGCTCTGTTATAATAAAGGATCATAGGAAAGCAAAGTGATTTTTAGCATTTAAAAAACAAAAGTCAGCCTTGGATCTCAGTTGTAATACCTCGTGGCATGAAATCTGGGCTTCCAATTCTTGGATGTTACTTGTAGATATGGGCTTCTCTTGAATCTCGTAATGGGCTTTTTCTATCATTTGCTGTAGATATTTCATCTCTTGTTCATACTGCTCATACTGCACTACTGCTTCCTAGAGAGAAAGAACAGATAATTGAGCCTGTAGAATAAGATAACTACTTCATTAACTTAGCGTCATTATTACAATCATCACCTAAAATGAGGAGGGCAAAGTTGCAATCTTATAGTAGGATTTATTTCTAAGTAGATATGTATTACACCACAGATAGTCCACAACATATGACCACAATTAAGCCCAAAATTCCCATTGCTGGGCAAGACAGTTAAGTGAGTTTTGCCCCATTTTACGACCTTTCATGCCACAGCTGTTAAGCGGATCACTTCAGTTGTTAAGTTAGTAACACGGTTGGTTAAGAGAATCTGGCTTCCCTACTGACTTTGCTTATCAGAAAGTTGCACATGATCACATGACCCCAGAACACCACAATCATCATAAATACATGTCAGTTGCCAAGTGCTTGAATTTTGATCACGTGACCACAAGGATGCTGCAATGATCGTGAGAAAACGGTCACAAGTCACTTTTCCCAGTGCTCGTGTAACTCTGAATGGTCACTAAATGAATGATTGTAAGTCGAGGACTACCTATATACCACACTGAATAAGTGTAACCAAAATTAAACTCCTTGCAAGATTTTCTCACTTCAGTTTCATCTCAAATCACTGTATATTTTTTTTCTCTGCTTACGGTTCTTAGTTTAGCTCCCATCACCCTTCACATAATGATATACGTTCACGAAAAATCTAGGTCTGGTTCATCCATCATCATCATTCACATGAGTCTAACATGCAATTAGCAACAACCTATACATTCCTACTTTCAAACACACTCATAACAACTTGGATGACACCAATCCATACTTTTCACATACATTTTAGCTCTTTCATTCATCATTAAACCCCCAACAGCTTTCCTTCTCTAAATTCTTTCAATGAAAAGTGTTCCACAGCAATGTATTAGTTTGAGTCTTATGTTAACATACACTTGCCTGCATTATATTGCACTGCTGGATAGCTGTATGCTGTAGATGACTGGCATCCTCCTGCAGCCTAAGAGCTGCGTGACATATTGGTAGAGTAGTGAGAACTTCTTCAGGGATCCGTAAAGCACTCTGACAAGCTTGGACTGCATGAACCTTTGGCTTCAATAATTCCATTTCCAAAAGCAAATGCTGGAAACATTGAGCATACGTAAGCCAACGGTACTATGTGTGTTTTGCAAAAATGAGCTCAAATGAATATAATTATTAATTCTAGGTCTTAAATGCTCAAATTGAATTTTATAGTAGAACATTTTAAAACGATAATGAATGGGATACTAGGCCTAGGAAATATGGTAATCCCAAAGATTCAAAGCAGTTGGAAGTTAAGCTTTAATAAATGTATCTGTTTGTTAGTGGTTTCAGTTCAACATGAGACCAGAAGTTAAAGTACAGGTAGTCCTCATTTAATGACTGCCTCACAAAGTAACTGTTCACATTTAGGACAGTAATGAAACAGTAATTAATACCCACATTTGCCACCTTTGCAGGTCTGCAAAGCAAAGAAAAGCTGAAGTAAAAAATTATGATGATTCACTTAGTTACCATTTTGCTTAATGAAGTACACAACAACTCAGTCCCAACTGTGGTCACTAAATGAGGATTGCCTGTATTCTGAAATACATACTTACAAAATCACTGTGAACTAAGATAAACCTAGAAAGCCATTTGTGAATATAACAAATACCACAAAGGCCAATGTTGAAGTTAACATTCCCTTCTCTTAGGTTTTCCAGCACCTAACTGTAAGTGGACAACTAGATGGGTTAATTCCACTGCCCAATATCAGGATGGCTCTTATTATTAGCATTCATCCTAGAAATGAAGGAAGGTTCCCAGTCTTAAAGTAACCCAAGAATTAATACTTCGCAACTGTGTTCTACAAATAGTATCTCCTTGGTATGATCCGTTTACCTGTCGGTGAGAAAGTTGTTCTTTCAGACTCAAACGACCAATTTCTGGAGATGTCAGAGTGGCTTGAGCTTGCTCTAAAGCTGTATGAAGAGCTTTCACCTCTGTTTCAAATTTCTTCATATCCTATAAACATAAAATGTATAATAATAATCAGAAAACACGATTTCAGGCATCTTAATGTTTTAGGAGCGACATATAGATATCTACATAATTTGTGGCCTTGCTTGGGGAGCCCAGAGGCGAGCATAGCCATGGGAATGGAGAGCACCCTGAATGTCTTTCCTTCATCTTTCAATTAATTTTTAAGAATGTTTTTAATCAACTTTTGCCCCTTTTTAAATGTTAACTTTTATATCCTAATTTTATGTTTTAATATGTCATTGTACACTCCTGGAGTCCCTCACAGAGGGAGATGGGTATTCCAAAATGTGATAAGTAAATAAAAATTAATAATTTTTTTAAAAATAATTACAATAAAAAATCAATAGAATACATTTTTTTAAAATAAAAATGAATAGCTACATCAAAATGAACTCTATTAGCATTGTGCTTTCCTAATACACTCCACAGATAATGTATATATAAAATGCTTTCCACATACTTTTGCTGCATCCTGAATATTTTGTAGCCGGTGTTTGATAGCCTGCTGTAAATCCTCAGTCTGCCTGCGAAGATCTGACACTTGCTGAGACATGGCTTCAGTGAAATACACACTTGCCAAGTATTCTGTTTTTTCATTCATAGTTTCAAGATCCCTAGGAAGCTCACCGGCCTCTTCAAACATGGCCTAAATTGTATAAAATAAATGATGTTTAACTCTTCCAGTTGCAACAGAACTAAACTTTAGGTTCAAAATTATTGCAATTATTCATTTTTTAAATGTCATAGGATAAAAATTTTAAAAAATAACAGCTATAACTTTGGTGAAATATCAATTGTATTTTAGAAATACATTTTTAATTTCTGCTAATATGGAAGTTTTCATCAGAGAAATGAGATTGCATAATCCCTTTGTTTAATGTTCCCTGTAATCACACCTTGATACACTTATCTAGAATCATTCCATTACCTGAAAAGATGCTAAGACGAAATTTGTAGGCCTGAACTCCAGGCAGATTCATCTAAGTAAATTAGCAACTTGGAATTTCCAGTGCATGATGAGCCTGATCTCATACAAAACTTCTCAGTAGCTTTTAATTCATCTTTGCAAATACTCATTATTCCTATTAAACTACAGTAGGTAGACTACTTGCAGCCTGTGATCAAGGGTGTATGAGGTATCTCACTTCCCTTACTAGGCCAATCATTCTCTAGAAGAGGTCCAATCACCCAGTCTTCAGAAGAGAATATTAAGAATGGCTTGAACATATGATTTGGGTGTTTTATTGAAATCTACTGGATAGATTTTGGAAACAATTTCTACATGGGGTTGCATTGCCTCAGACAGATTTGTTCTGCAACCTGTGGGCTCTCCTGAACTCACAACTCCTGCTCAAACAGCTGGTGGCAATTGTAGCTAACTGGGCCTTTGTAATGCTCTACATGGAGTTGCCCCTGAAGAGTAAGTGGAAACTTCAGATGGTGCAAAATGCAGTGGGGTGGGTAGTTACGTATGGCTAAAGAATAGCACACATTATTTGCTCTGCTCTTCAAGTACATTGGTTGCCAGTTTGCTTCTGTGTCCAGTTCAAGATGTTGGTTTTGATCTTTAAAACCCTTTGTGGCATATAGCTGGGATATTTGAGGGACTGCCTCTCCTCAATTATATCCGCTCTTCTGTAAGGTATTACAGAAAGGGTATGCTGGGGGGGGAGGGTCCAATTTGCTAAGGAGCTGCATTTGGCAGGATTCAGAAGGTGGGCCTTTTCTACCAAAGTGCCTACCTTATGAAACATCTCCTCTCCTAAAGCAGGCTGACCCCATTCCTGTTGATCTTCTGGAAATCCTTCAAAATCTGGTTATGGCATCAGCCTGAGGGCCCCAGGAGACATGTAAGTTGCTGAGGAAGCTCCTTTATTGTTAACATATGCTGCCCTTTCTTAGCCTTTAATTTACAATTATTTTTTTTCTGGATAATACATATATACACACACACGCACACAAACAGTACATATACTCTCCATATACTCTCTCTCTGTGTGTGTGTGTGTGTGTGTATGTTATATTTTGCAGGTTGTTTGCTTTCTGCCCAGACTTACTTTTTCATGAGATGGGTTGCCATGTAAATTTGATGATTCCAAAACAAACAAAAAAAATCAGCCTTAAAGGTTTGTAATTCAAGAAAGCTAAACCATTTTACATTAATATCTATACGTTAGGACCTAACTTTCACTGATCTTTGGTGCCAAACAAAAGAAATCTCACTTTCATTAAGAGGTGCAATAAAAATACTATAGTTTGGGATTGGAAACTTCTGCTTATAGCTTTTTCAATGCAGCAATTCTGCTATTAGTAAGAAAAAGAAAGGTTATGTGGTCTATTATTACCTGATGAGACATAAATTGATTGCGAAGTATAGTAGCAGAATTCCACATTATGTTACCATGTAATAAAATGTTAGCTTTTTCAATCCATTTTAATATGAATTCTAGCATTTCATTATATTCATCTATATGAGAAACAGCCTGCAAAAAAATCAAGAAATTTCAATACATTTGAAGAACAAATGTACACAAGACTTAGATCTGCCTTAGTATAATTGTTCACTCAGTTCAGTTCTTTAAGTTTTTAATATTTACATTCCTTGAGTAAAATATTATTCTACTAAACCACTTACATTAAAATTCATTCATCGAACATATACCCAAAACATTGACACATTGTCTGAATGCATTCAAGAACATGTACATACTGTATCCCTTGCTTATTTTGCACCCTATAGAAAAATAGCTATAGCAGTTGTAAGAGAAAATCATGAGCTCCTATAAATAAGAATTTCAAACTAATTGCATTTCTGCAATTTCTGTCTTTTTTATACTGTGCTTGGTATACTGAATCTGTTGCTCTCGTTGTACTACTATGTGAGGTTGTAAGATTTCAATTTCAGCTACTTTAAGGAAATAATAACACTAATGACTGAACACATTCTCTATGGCAGTTTACTGGAACATCTGTAAAAGTTATCATGTGCCTGTAATGAAAAATTGATGGATCATATAGCTGAAAAATAATAAAAAATGAGAAGGTTAAAATAACGCGGGTTTTCCAAATGTAAACTACTGTATTGATAGACTTGGCTCATAACATGCTAGATTTAATTCTGGTTGAAAAGAAGAAAATGTGCATAATTTATGTGGCAAAACCAGGGGACAGTAAAATAGAAGTCAAAGAATTGAAGAAAATCACAAAGTACCAAGATCTGAAAAACGAAGCTGAAAGATTGTGACATAAACCAGTTGTGGTGGTTCCAGTGATTATGGGAACACTGGGTGCCATGCCAAAAAATCCAGGGTGACACTTAGAAAATCTATGCATTTTCATCTGTCAATTACAAAAAGCCACACATTATACAGTATACTACTAGGTCAGTGATGGCGAACCTTTTAGAGACTGAGTGCCCAAACTGCAACCCAAAACCCACTTATTTATCGCCGGGTGCCAGATGGGCGTGGCCCATTGGGTGGGCATGGCTGTGGTGGTCATGGCAGACTGGGTGGGTGTGGCCAAGGTGGGCATGGTCACCTCGATGTTGCTTGTGGGGAGGGACGCCTGTGGAGGACGGGCAGGGTTGGGGGAGATCCAGGGGGTCTCTGGGAGGTCGGGCAGTGGGCAGGAGGCTTGTCCTGCAGCACGAGGCAAGGCGAGGCAGGGCAGGGATGCCATTGTCGCAGGGCAAGGCAAGGCAGGGGCTGGGGCAGCTGCTGCCTGACCCCATCAGCCCCCGCACATAGAGGCCAGCGAGCGCATGGGGGCTGACAGTGTCCATCAGCAGCCACAGCCAGCCGGCCCCTCAACCGGCACACTCTGGGGTTCTGCAGCCTGCCACCGGCAGTTCAAGAAGCCGCCTCTGAGCTAGACGGATGGCCAACAGCTGAGGAGGTGATGCAGTGGGTCGTGCCTGGGAAAAGGAGAGCATGTGAGTCCAGGACGGATGGGTCGGGGGGAAGGGAAACCAGCCGTGCTGGGATGCATTCGGCCACAGGGGGCCTTGGCAAGCTGGTTGAAGAGGAACGGTTGCCATCTCCGGGGCATGGCGTGTGTGCCCACAGAGAGGGGCTATGAGTGCCACCTCTGGCACACGTGCCATAGGTTCGCCACCACTGTCCTAGGTTCTTGGGAATAACTCAATACCAGCTAAAGAACTGGCAGCTGTGTTTTCACATTGCTATGTATAACAATAATTACAATAATTTTTGGTAATTCAGATATTTGGTAACTTATTTTCATTAAAGACTGGCTTTTTTTTAAAAAAAGAAAGAAAATAAAAGTAGAATTGGGAAACTGAGCTCTATAAAAGCAGCATGGTATATCATTTACAGAACTTAAGTCCTACACAAAGACTTTGTGTAGAACATTAACAGAACTTAACAGAACATTCTCTGAATGATAAAACTTCAGAACATATCAGTCCAATATGATGCCATACCTGATTTAGCTTTGATGCCCTGTATTCCGCTTCCCTAATTATTTGTTGGTGGAATTCTGTCAGTTTATTAATTTTGCCAGCCAGCTGTTTACCTAGCTGAGGGTTCTGCTCTGCAAAGCTTTGGACAGCTGCCTCAAGTTCCAGAAGCTTTATGTTACAGCTGTCTACTTCTTCATCCAGATTCTGTAGTAAAGGAGAATATTTTAGTCATAAGATGAATTGGCGAAAAGTTATTTTTATTCAGAATTGATGCTACCTTTACATTTTTTCATGGTTTTTATTTTGTCAAGGAGCTCAATGTTTTTTTTTAAAAAAATCACACATGGCAAAAGGATAAACATGATACATTATTGACACCTAGAGTCCATTTATAGCTCAAGAATGCAAAGGTGCTTGGCAACTAGCTTGCAATTATATCATGCATCCCATGTTCACGGGATCACCATTTGCAACCTTCTGACAAGCAAAGTCAGTGCGGAAGCAAGCAGGAAATCACAAATGGTGATCATGTGGCATTACACCTAATGACTGCATTGGATTCATCTAACAAAGGCTGCTGGGACTGCCGTTGTAAGTCAGTGCATTCATGTAATGTCAACTTTATGACTGTTTCATTTAGCAATGGAGTTCCCAATCTAAACTACCATTGTTTACCAAAGAGTATCTGTGCCACTACACACATTCAGTTGTTCCAACAGGTGATAAAGCATCCTCATATCAATCCATCATTATCAAAACTATTTTATACTAGACTACCTCTGAAAGTTGTAGTTTCATGATACTGAGGTCCTGAAGACTGCTCTCTCCCTACCTTTTTTAAATATAAAAATGCACTCTCAATATTTCAGTCAGAATTCATAGAAAAAGACATAATCTTAGCTTTGATTCCATCAAATTCTTAGATAAGGAAAATTAGGTTTTAAACAAAATATTTTACCTTTTGATCTCTTTTAGCTTGTGTGATATTATTAGTCTTCTCTTTCAATTTCAGTTGAATTGAATCAAGCTCTTTGGCCACGTCTTGAATTTTGTGGTTAAATTCTTGATTTAATGTTTTGTGCTGCTGAGCATCTTTTACTTTGGCTTCAATCTGCCAAATTAAAAAAAAAAAGTTAAATGAAATAAGGAAACAAATTTTTACAGTGCATATATCAAAGAAAATGTGATGATATTTCTTAGATCAGAAAAATTACATTACTGGAACATTTTGATAAGAGCGCAAACATTTGTTATAATAATGAATACAAGACATTAGAGTGTAGAGATAAATGGGGTTTTTTTCTACTCTATCAGGAATAATAACTTATTAATACCCCACTGAAGAGAGATTTTTTTTTAGTATAGGATAAACAAAAAAAACAAAACCCATGGAAGTTTATTTTAATATATGACTACTACCATGGCAAAATTACTATAGGCTATTATATATACAAGTATCAAGGAATTCTGGCTGGTGGGATCCAGGAGAAGAGCCTTTTCTACTGTGGCTTCTGCCCTTTGTAACATTGTGCCCCCTGAGATAAGATCCATACCCAACCTTTTGGCCTTCCAAAAGGGCCTGAAGACCTTGCTTTGCCAACTGGCCTGGAGCCCCAATGGGGGTACATTATTCTGGAGGTCGTTCAGGGACTAAGATAAGACCCCACCTCTTTTCCCCATGTGCATCTTTCTCCCTTCCTTCCCATCTTATAAATTTTCAGATAACTTAATGTTATTATGTGTTGTTTTAATATTTTTTATTGTTTTTTAATGATTGTAAGCCACCTAGAGTCATCTCCAGGTTAGATAGGTTACATGTAAGATAAATAAGTAAGTAAGTAAGTAAATGAATGAATGAGTGAATAAAATATGCACAAAGATGGAAAGATTCATCATTACCCACCATGGAAGAATGATTGGTGAAACTGACAGAACTTGTTGGACAAGTGACTTCTTTGATTACAGAAAGGATAATATCTACATTTACTGGTGCCCGGAAATTCCTTACGAATATTTTGCATAAAAATGAAAAAATGAACTTATGATTTTGATGATTAGACAGGACAGATTATAGACAGAAGAGAGTTATGATGTAACCTTCTAGAGAGTAAGAGGTTAAAATATAATTGTACTTGTAATTGCTGTGAAGACTATCAGAAGCTACTTTTTTATACTTTCATATTGTTATTTATCTTTCTTTCCTATTTTCTTCTACTTTTATTGTAGTTTTTGCTTTTTCTGTTATTTCTCTTTTCCATTTTGTCTGTTCTATTTTAGTTTGCTGTTAATAATAAAAGATATATATATAAGATTTAATAAAAGTTATATATAAAAGATTTTCTGTGAATATAGAAATTCTATGGAATATAGAATTTTATGGAGGATAACCTTCTACAGTATTTTAACAATACTAGCCCTGTGAGAGAGGTTGAACTAGTATCCAAAGTCACCCAGTAAGGTTAAGAATGAATCTGAAGCTATACCTTCTTGAACTAACCTACTTCTAGCAGACATGAACGATTTTCTTAAAGGTATTTCTAGATATAGGAAAAGGGAGCTGTGCTATCTCTTCCTTCCTCTCCATATGATCCATGGCTATGCATTCTGGTATGTATGTATGTATGTACGTATGTACGTATGTATGTATGTATGTATTTATAGTGATGGTGGGTCTAAGCAAACTACAGAGCAGTACAGTTAATTTTATATACAAAAAGTATGCAAAATCTTTGGTTTCAAGGAAATACATACTAAAGAGGGAGAGAGCTTTACCGAGAATTAACATGGACCTCTACCATATTTATAGTTGCTCTGGAATAGTGAGGAATAGATGATGGCTATGTGGTGTAGGTGATTTTGTTACTTTTGTATGCATTAATTTACTGCTACGGCTTGGCTCAGTGACCCTTGTGGGATTTTAGCATTGAAATCGGTTGTAGAATTGTCATACTAAATAATTTTTACCTGCTCATGCATATTTACTAGTGCCAAGCCTGCTTCTGCTAACTGAAGAGACAGCTCAGAAGGTAAAATGGTATAAAGTCCCAAGTATTTATTCTGCTGCTGTTCAGCCATTTTCTCAACTGCTTGACGGTGCATAGTGGCTTCCTTCAGGAGTGTCTAAAGTATATGGAGGACAAAAAAAAGAAATATACTATGCAGTTTGTTTCACATTAAATCTGGCGTAGAGATTAATTTTGATGCAGTTACAAAGTACTTTTATTGGCTGTAACTGTGTTCAGATCACCATATAATCTTTGTGTTTTACAAACTACTGTGTGGATTTTGCACTAATATTTATGCATAGTAATAGGTTCACATTGGGTTAGTCATGATAGGAGATTAGAGCATCCTGTGATTGTTATAGAAGTAAAACTACAAAATAAATAGAAATTGTTGTCCCAGAATAATGAAATACATTATCAATTATCTCCATTATTAAAATAGTTCTTCAGGTGAATTATTAATTTTGAGGTACGTTCTAAAACATAGTTACAAGTTTTAGTATATGTGCTGCTGAAGTGAGCATATGTTTTGCAGCTTCTATCAAAACATATTATAGCATTCTACAGATATACACACATAGCTTTCACATATTCACAGCTTGAACTTGTATTAAATAATTGGTATATGTTTGACATACCTGAAGTTTTTCAAGTTGAGTATCGCTTTCTATCGTAGGATTTAATAAATATTCTCTGCCTTCCTGAATCCAAATTTTTACTTTATTAATATCTTTTTCCACTTCTTCACGTTCCTTTAATTCTTGTTTAACTATTTTCTCACTTTTTTTCACCTTCTGTTGCATGCTTTAAAAATGTTTAAAGGTTAGTTCAAATATTTCATCTTATATAATATCTGAAAACATTACTGTTATCGACATTACTGCTATCAACAAAACAGAAAATATGTAACAGGGATTAAATTTTATTTTAGAGTTGTAATACAACAACTGTTATTACTGCTATTGTTATTTAACAGGCAAGATTATATTACTAAGTTTCAACCATTGCTTTTTTTCCATCAAAATTATTCTAGATTCTACATTATTTGGCAAATAGGCCTGAGGTAAGCATGGGGGACAGTAAAGTCAAAATTGGTAGTTTTCTCCCTTTGCAATAACTTCTTGTCACTTTATTGCAAGGAATAGATTGCCAAGCAAAGGACAAGCTCAAGTAACCACTTGTACAGGGCTTTTGAATAATTCTCACATTCAGCAATAGTGGAAAAATACAGCTATGGTCTGGTTCCCCTTATTTCCACACTGAGGTAAACCCAAGATTATGCAAGCACATTTATGTAGTCAGAAGAGGGTTTTTTTTTCTTCTTTTTCCCTCCCTGCAGCACTGTCTGCCAACTATGCTTTGGAGAATTTGTCGAAATTCTAAAGCAGATTTATGGGTGTCTCCTAGAAGTTATAGAATGGAGCATGACATCAATACTGTGTGTTCCATTATTCTTCCTGACACAGAAATATAAAATATTTTCTTACTTATGGCATCTGTCTTGCATTGCTTTGATTTCTTGTATGATGGGCATTTGTTCCTGGGAGCTAGGTGTTATTTCTATATCTTGGAGCAAGCTAAAAGAATGCTGTTTCAGGAGGCCCAAGGATGATAGTTGCTGTTCAAGCTCTAGAATGAAATTACTGTGATAATCTAGAAGATCCAGAAGTTCGTTCTTTGAAGCTTTTTCGACTGAGCCTTCTGGTAAACGTTCATGCAGCTGATCAAGAGTCTCTGTTGCTTTTTGCATCTAAAGATAATAATTTTAAACAAAAAATCCAATCTATTATTTTTTAAAGGTATCATAACTACACACACACACACACACACACAGTATATGTAACATTATAATCTATAATATTCTCAAATTCAATATCCACACATTATGCACCAACAAAACTGGGTCTGTCATGAACCATCTTGGCCTCAATGAATATGCCTCTACAATACAGATGGGATTCCAAAATCTTCACTAATTTTCTTTGGAGAGGATAATCTAACTTTAAGATAAAGAATCTAAGGCAAAGCTAGAATGTGATGGGATCTGAGCAGCTTGCCTTTTGATAAATTAATGGCCTTACAGTGTAGCAGGAAGATTGCATGGAAACACTGATAGTATCTATTATTAAAGATACTTATAAATATATACTTATTATTAAAGTTACTTATAACTTACAATGGACACCTTTGTTGATTAGAATGTTGGGTTATAGGAAAGCATATATTTTTTAAAAAAATAATAATAATCTTACAGGCAATGCTGTACTTAGACATTAAATATGTTTCAATACATTTCTCAATGTCTTCTAGTTTGTCTAGACAACTGTTTCTTTCCACAAAACTCTAGGATACTGAGAGAGTTCCGTAAGGGATGGTGACTGAAAATTCCATCATAGGATGCAAAAGATCCAACTAATCATATGGACATTCTGAAATTAAGTTTTGTTAGTTCAGAGAGTCCAACCTGTTCAGTGGAATTTGCCACTCGTTTCTTTGTTTCCTATTCTTTCAATGTACCATTTGGACTCAAAACAATTGATATTTTGCAATAGCAGAAAATATTTCTGCTAAAACTAATCTTAGTTTTAGTCTAGTGTACTAATCTTACCTTCCTTCTGCATACCTCTATACCAGCGGTTCTCAACCTGTGGGTCGCGACTCCATTTGGGGTCGAACGAACATTTCACGGGGGTCGCCAAACAACGCGATCCGCCATTTTTTTCTCAGCCGGCGCAGGGGGCGCTGCCGTGCTTGCGCGCTGCGCAGGGGTGGCGCATGGGGGCAGCGCCACGCATGCGTGCCGTACAGGGGGCGGCGCCATGCATGCGCACCATGCAGGGGGCGGCGCATGGGGCGGCGCGCATGCACGCCACGCAGGGGGTGGCGCTGCACATGCGTGCCGCGCAGGGGCGGTGCCGCGCAGGAACGGTGCTGTGCATGCGTGCCGCCTGCTCATGACCGGGGTCGCCGGTCTAAAAAGATTGAGAACCACTGCTCTATACTATATCCCTTTCTGCTTCACAGAGATATCAAGAGCCCAGAGACAAAATAAAATATAAGGAAAATGCTGATGGCCAGTGCATTGACTGCTGTTAACAAAATGGCAACATGGATAAAACAGTTTGAATGTTAACATTATGAATTCAATGTACAGATATGATGCATTAACGGCTACTAGAAATATTTACAGACATTGAGTAAACTTGATCCTTATACCTTATCATTAAATACATTCCATTTCTGCACTGATTCTTCCAAAATCCTTTCTTGCTCTTGGGTAATGCTTCTGAGTCTGGCCCACCGCTGCCAGACAGCTGTCATAGACTGACTTATGGTTCCCTTACTGGCTATGTTGCCTGTTTTCTCCAGGAAGGATGCCTTTTCCTCCAGTGAAGTGATTGTCTCATGAAAAGAGTTTACTGTAGAGACCAGAGACTGAAAAAAGCAGAGGCAATTATCTTTCCTGTTTCACAAGACAACTTTAAAATTTCAAGCAAATGTTTGTGCATTATAGCAGAATCAAAACAAATATATCCTTTGCTGCAATATTACAATTCCTCTTTCTACTAGACATATTTACATTTAAAATTTATACTAGCAAGATGTAAGTTTTACTATACACAGAAGGATCCATTGTTTTTATATGTGTGTATTAATAGATGCCCCTTTATGGATTACTGCCTTGTCGTGGCGAAGGGGCTTGCATAACTCAATGAAGCTATGAGCTACGCCGTGCAGGGCCACCCAAGATGGACAGGTCGCAGCAGAGCGTTCTGACAAAATGTGATCCACTGGAGAAGGAAATGGCAAACCACTCTAGTATCTTTGCCATGAAAACCCCATGGACAGTACTAAAAGCAAAAAGATATGACGCTGGAAGATGAGCGCCTCAGGTCCAATATGTCCAATATGCTACTGGGGAAGATCAGAGGGCTAGTACTAGTAGCGTCAGAAAGAATGAAGTGACTGGGCCAAATCCGAAAGGACGCTCAGCTGTGGATACATCTGGTGGTGAAAGGAAAGTCCGATGCTGTAAAGATCTTTTCTCCATAGGAACCTGGAATGTAAGATCCATGAATCAAGGCAAGCTGGATGTAGTCAAACAAGAGATGACAAGACTGAACATCGACATCTTAGGAATCAGCGAACTAAAATGGACAGGAATGGGTGAATTTAACTCAGAGGACCATCAGGTATACTACTGTGGGCAAGAATCCCTCAGAAGAAATGGAGTAGCCTTCATAGTCAATAAAAGAATAGGAAAAGCAATACTGGGATACAATCCCCAAAATGACAGAATGATCTCAGTTTGAATCCAAGGCAAACCATTCAATATCACAGTAGTCCAAATCTATGCCCCAACCACTGGTGCTGAAGAGGATGAAATTGACCGGTTCTGTGAAGCCCTACAGCATCTTATAGAATTAACACCAAAAAATGATATCCTTATCATCATGAATGCTAAAGTAGGAAGCCAAAAGATAACCGAATAACAGGCAAGTTTGGCCTTGGAGTATAAAATAAAACAGGGCACAGGCTGATAGAATTTTGTCAAGAGAATACAATTGTCATAACAAACACTCTTTTCCAACAACCCAAGAGACATCACCAGACAGTCAACACAGAAATCAGATTGACTATGAGCTCTGCAGCCAAAGATGGAGAAGCTTTATACAGTCAGTAAAAACAAGACCAGGGCTGACTGTGGCTCAGATCATGAGCTTCTCGTTGCAAAATTTAGGCTTAAATTGAAGAAAGTAGGGAAAAGCACTAGGCCACTCAGGTATGAACTAAATCATATTCCTGATGAATATACAGTAGAGGTGACAAATAGATTTAAGGAATTAGATCTGATAGACAGAGTGCCTGAAGAACTATGGATGGAAGTTCGCAACATTGTACAAGAGGTAGCAACTAAAACCATCCCAAAGAAAAAGAAATGCAAGAAAGCAAAATGGCTGTCTGAGGAAGCTTTGCAAATAGCTGAGGAAAGAAGGGAAGTGAAAGGCAAAGGAGAAAGAGAAAGATACACCCAACTGAATGCAGAATTCCAGAGAATAGCTAGAAGAGATAAGAATACCTTCTTAAATGAGCAGTACAAATAAATAGAAGAAAACAACAGAATAGGGAGGACCAGAGATCTCTTCAAGAAAATTGGAGATATGAAGGGAATGTTTCAGGCAAAGATGGGCATGATAAAGGACCATAATGGCAGGGACCTAACAGAGGCAGAAGAGAATAAGAAGAGGTGGCAAAACTACACAGAAGAACTATACAAGAATGAGCTTAATGTCTCAGATAACCACGATGGGGTGGTCACTGACCTCAAGCCAGACATCCTAGAATGTGAAATGAAATGGGCCTTAGGAAATCTGAGCAACAACAATGCTAGTGGAGGTGACAGTATTCCAGCTGAGCTATTCAAAATCTTAAAAGACGATGCAGTAGAAGTGCTACACTCAATTTGTGAGCAAATCTGGAAAACTCAACAGTGGCCACAGGACTGGAAAAGGTCAGTTTACATTCCAATTCCAAAGAAAGGCAATGCCAAAGAATGTTCAAACTATCGCACCATTGCACTCATTTCACATGCTAGTAAAGTTATACTTAAAATCCTACAAGCTAGACTCCAGCAGTATGTGGATCGAGAACTACCAGAAGTACAGGCAGGATTTCAAAGAGGCAGAGGAACTAGAGATCAAATTGCCAACATACGCTGGATCATGGAGAAAGCTAGAGAGTTCCAGAAAAACATCTACTTCTGCTTCATTGACTTTGCTAAAGCCTTTGATTACGTGGATCACAACAAATTGTGGCAAGTTCTTAAAGAGGTGGGAGTACCAGATCATCTCATTTGTCTCTTGATAAACCTATATGTGGGTCAAGAAGCAACAGTGAGAACTGGACACGGAGCCACTGATTGGTTCAAAACTGGGAAAGGAGTCCGGCAAGGCTGTGTACTGTCGCCCTGCCTATTTAACTTATATGCAGAGCACATCATGAGAAAGGCAGAGCTAGATGAATCAAAAGTTGGAATTAAGATTGCCGGGAGAAATATCAACAACCTAAGATATGCAGATGATACCACTCTAATGGCAGAAAGTGAAGAGGAACTAAAGAGCCTCTTGATACGGGTGAAGAAGGAGAGTGCAAAAGTTGGCTTGAAACTCAACATTAAGAAAACCAAAATCATGGAATCAGGCCCTCTCAATTTCTGGCAAATAGATGGGGAAGAAATGGAGGTAGTGACAGATTTTATTTTCCTGGGCTCCAAGATCACCTCAGATGGGGACTGCAGCCAAGAAATTAAAGGACACTTGCTCCTGGAAAGGAAAGCTATGGCAAACCTAGACAGTATACTAAAAAGCAGAGACATCACCCTGCCAACAAAAGTCAAGGCCATGGTTTTTCCAGTTGCAATGTATGGATGTGAAAGTTGGACCATAAGAAAGGCTGAGCGACAAAGAATTGAGGCCTTTGAACTATGGTGCTGGAGAAGACTCCTGCGAGTCCCTTGGACTGCAAGGCGTTCAACCGGTCAGTCCTAGAAGAGATCAACCCCGACTGCTCTTTAGAAGGCCAGATCCTGAAGTTGAAACTCAAATATTTTGGCCACCTAATGAGAAGGAAGGACTCACTGGAGAAGGGCCTAATGCTGTGAAAGATTGAGAGCAATAGAAGAACGGGACAACAGAGAATGAGGTAGCTGGATGGAATCACTGAAGCAGTAGGCGTGAACTGAAATGGACTCCAGAAGATGGTAGAGGACAGGATGTCCTGGAGGAACATTGTCCATGGGGTCGCGATGGGTCGGACACGACTTCGCAATTAACAACAACAACCTTAATAGATGAATAGATATAGATGAGTCAACACAGATGTGCAAATGTGTTTGTGTATATTCATATTGCAATGTAATATGTATTATTCAATGCTCATCTTATAAATGATTTCAGCTTAAATAGTAATTTAATAGTAATTTCATTGTATAGTATTTAAAATATTACATATTTTGAACTACAAGTATGTATGAAACAATATTCATTGTAACTGTGAAGGAGCAGAGCAATTGTGAAAGAATATATTTGATTTTAAAATAAAATCAGTACTGAAATGTTTTCACTTGCCTAAAAATAAAATTCTGATATTGAAAATGCAATTTATGCCATGGTAAAACCATATCATAAATGTAATCAATTCTGAGTATTTTTGTTAGCTTATCATTTGTTTAGAATCACCCCTTAGAGAGCAGCCCTTTTTTACATCACAAACCTAGTACACAAATGTTTGTGATTTAAGTAGAAAAAAATGACTTTTAAAACTTTTACCTTATGTGATATTAATTTTTCCTCTGCTTCCAGTTGGGAAAAAGTTTTAGCTACAGAAAATTCAGATAATGTCTTTTCAGATTCATTCATCAAGTCAATGATGTGTTGTCTTGCTATTTGGTATTCTTGCCACTGAGAAACACACCTTGGAAAATTAAAAATAATAAAAAAGTCATAATTTAGACAAAATATTATTCAAGAATGCATTGCAGATAAATAAATACAAATAAAATATTTTGTTGTTGCTAACAAATATTCTTTGGTGTTAAATTAAAAGGCCAACATTTTAACAGAATCTTTAAATGGTTTAATTTGATGGAGGAAATTTAATAATGTGATATTTTGCCATGATGGGTCTCTAACTGAGACCATAGAGGAGAGAGAGAGAGGGGGGGTAGAGGGAGAGAAAGGGATATATATATATATATATATAGGTCTTTGGTGTTCGGGTTTTCTCCCGCATAAAATTGGAAGTGTCTTGGCGACGTTTCGACGAAGTCCCACTCGTCATCCTCAGGCTGGTGTTTTCAGCTTCGTGCTTCGAGGAGCAATGTGTGGTCTTAGCTGTTTCTTCCTTTTAACTGCCAGTGGGGGTATGAACTGATTGGGTGGGAGCTTGGCTGTGTTCTGATTGGGTGGAGGTGTGTTCTGATTGGTTAGGGGCGTGGCTGTGCTCTGATTGGCTGGGGGTTGGCTGTGCTCTGATTGGCTGGGGGTTGGCTGTGCTCTGATTGGCTGGGGGGTTGGCTGTGCTCTGATTGGCTGGGGGAGTGTTCTGTTTGGTTGTGCCAATCAGAACACATCTCCACCCAATCAGAACACAGCCAAGCTCCCACCCAATCAGTTCATACCCCCACTGGCAGTTAAAAGGAAGAAACAACTAAGACCACACATTGCTCCTCGAAGCTCGAAGCTGAAAACACCAGTCTGAAGATGACGATGGGACTTCGTCGAAACGTCGCCAAGACACTTCCAATTTTACGTGGGAGAAAACCCGAACAACCAAAGACCTACATACAAACACCCGCGAAAACCTCAGAAAACAAATATATATATGTATGTATGTATGTATGTATATGTATATATATGTATGTATGTATATATATATATATATATATATAATATATATATATATATATATATATATATATATATGAAGATCAAATTGTGTCTTAAAACAAAAAATGCTACCAGTATTTCCAGTGAAATGTTTTTTAAATAGTGATGCAGAAAGGAGTTCTTATTACAGAGGTTGAGCTTTCAGATGTGATTAGCAGAATGGAAAATAAAGATGGATGCCTATCTATGAACAAGTATATTTTTAAATATTGGTCTTGTGACCAAAAATAAAACTGGGTTAATCTGTAAGAAGACACAACTAGTAAGAGATCTCCCAGAAATAATTTATAAAGAAGCTCATGGGGCCATTCTCCCTTTTCCCAACTGAATTACCTCATTTTATTCTATTGTATATTTTTTAAGGCAACACATTGCAATTGTTTACTGGATCATTTATTTAACATAGCATTTTATCAATGAATCGAGGTTGGGGAAGAACGTATAACAAGGTTTTGTGAATTCTCACTAAGCCCTTTATCAGTAGTGGCCATAGGAGGATTTCAGTATTTTCTTCCTTTTAATAAAACAATGTGTTGATCATCTGTGTGGCCAGACTTTCTCTCTAGAGACTAATTACAGTATACTGTCCATTTATATGTTGTGTGTGTGTGTGTGTGTGTGTGTGTGTGTGTAAGCAGGCATGTGCTTGTATATGTCTGTAAAGCTTCGATCGAGATAGGTTTGTAGGTGTTACTTCTGTGCGCATTGAGAAGCACAGGGCTAAAATAGAATGAATAAAAAGGTACCTTTGTAATAATTCTTTCTGACATGGTTCTTCTTGTTCTATTTCCATGCTCTTATCTTCTAAAGCCCTCACTTTCTGCTCCAGATCTTCTTTTCTGAGGTTCTGAATGAATGGCTCCATGTCAGACACAAGCATCTTTAGTTCTTTCAAATGGAGTCGGAACTGTTTTTCAGTATTAAAAAATTCTTCATGGTTTCTTAGGTTTTCTTCTGAATTTTCTGTGTCAAGGCCATTTTGTGCAAATTGGAGCAATATCTGAGCATCTTCAAGCCAGTTGTTAGCAGTCTGGGAAACTTGGTAGTATTTTTGGCAAAGACTATATAATTTAGTCAAATTTTCCTGAAAACAAAACAAAATAATACCACACAAAAAACATATATGAATAACAACAACAATCCTAATTCAGGATATACAAACTGGAATTCTACAATCAGCAAATTATTCCAGAACACTGTACCTGAGGATATTGTGCTGCATTTCATGAAGGGAATGTTTATTTAATTTTATGTGTATCTATCTGCTGATTCAATAAACAAACCTATTAATATTCCAAAAGATGTTTTAAGAACCTGGAAAAGTCCATGGATCTCTAAAACCACAAGGTAGAAACATTCAAACAAATTTCCTTTTCTCCTATAAGTAATTAAAAGCTTTCTTGATGTCCTAAATCAAGGATGTAATCCTAGAGCATATAACCTATGAAACAAATTTATAATCAAATTATTTGCCTGGTATTGACTGACATTTATTCCACAGTGAAAACCGGGATAACAAGATATTAAGATGATATCTCAGGAATCTTTTGGCAAGAATTTTCAGAAATGCAATTTCTGAAATTGTCATATTTCACATAGTAGAGATGTCATTATGTCCTCTGATTTAAAAAAAGGTCTATGTGTAACAAATATTTATGTGAATTATGAGAATAGGATTTCCTGCTTGAGCAGGGAGTTGGACTAGAAGACCTCCAAGGTTCCTTCCAATTCTGCTATTTTGTTTTCTAGGTTTAAAGTGCAGAATTAGAGCAACAACTTGATGCAGTTTTTATCTTTATGTCATCTTTTTTGCTTTAGATTATAATGAAGATCCGGTACCTATAGGTCATTGAAATGCAGCCTGAACAGATTTGTATTCCATATCCATTATACTGTGATAAATAATTAACAATAGGATTGCAGGACATACTGACCTGCCTCTTTTGTATTGCTTCCTGGACTTCACTGTTGAGTTTAGAGAGCTCAATAAGGCTGTTTTCCAAGTCTACAGGAACCAGTTCTTTGGCTTTCATATATTTTTCTTTTTCTTTATTGCTTAGTGCTCTCATTATCCTTAGGCTAGATTGTACTTCTTCCTGTTGGATCTGAACTTTGCGAATCTCTTCTTGAATGCTATTCAGTTTTACATCCATGTTTAATGGTTCGTTCAGGTCTGCTTTGATCTGTTGCAGCCAATCCAGGGAGCGAGAGATTTCAGTTTGAAAATCTATGCTTTCTACCAGCCTGTTTTCACACTCCACCACTTTATCCCCAATGGAAGTGTGCAATACTTTCATCATTTCCTGCCAAATTCGCACTTGGCGATCAGCTCCTTCATGAACAGATGGGTCAATCTGGGAAGAAAGCCCTTCAAGATGTTCAGCAATGTGTTTTAAAAGGATCCCAGAATCCTGAAGACTACCAGCTAAGAAATGGTACATTTTTAGCTTTTGCTCAGCTGGAAGGGTTTCTTCATTCACTTCTGCTTCTTTTTCTTTTATGGAATTTAGTTTCATCCCAAGCTGCTTACACATTTCTTCATGTTCCTGATAAGTCACCATCATGTCTTCTAGTTGGTTAATTTTCTGTTCTGTCTGCCGTTTTAATTTGTGATACAGCGTAGCAAGCGTTAACATCTCTTCTGGTAGCCACGGCTGCCCAGAGCTTCGAAAAGCTTCCTTCTTCTGATTTAATTCATCTATTGCACTGCCAAGGCTTGTGACTTCACTTAGGACATTTTTGTAATCTTCCAGAAGTGACACAACTTCTCTAGCTGTAAGAGTGGAGGGGGTTTTACGCAAATTTACAAGCTGATCTTCCAGTTCAGACAATGCCCTTGTTGTCAGTTCAATTAATGATGCATATTCTTTACGGGCTGTAATTGCTTCTTGGACTTTACAGAACCTATCTTTAGCCAAAGCAATGATCATATTAAATTGTTGAGGCAAGGCACTGAGTTTTTCCTCAAGGTAGGAACGATCCATTTCATTAAGGGATGGTAAAATTTCCTGGCCATCTTTTTGAATTATCAATAAAAGGTTTTCATATTCAGGAAACTGTTCAAGAATCTGCTGATACTTAGCTAATTGAGAATAAAGTTCTGTATTACTATTCATTAAATTGATTTCTGGGAATGAAACAATATCACATTGTTTTAACCAGTGGCATGCTTTATCCAAATCTTCTTTAAAATATTTCCTAGAAACTGTATGTTTTTCCAGATCTATTACTCGCTGGCCACATTTTTGTAAAATAATATCATACATGTTCTGCAACACTTGTAGTTTATCCAACACTTCACTTTTCTCTTGTTCTGTTGTTTCCTTCATAAGGTTCCTCCCTTGAGACCACAGTCCAGAGATTTCACTTTGGTAAACCTTAAGGCTGGCTTGTATACTCTTACAAGACCTGATCTGTTTGCTCACATCTTCTGGTAGCAGACAGGTATGTTCATGGAATATTACCTTCTTCTCATATTGTTTAATTTGATTCATGGCTTGAAGGGCTGCTAGGAAGAATTGAGTCCTTTCAGATAATGTCTTATTTAAGTGCTTTCTTCTCTGCCAAACCAGTTCACTAAGGAAATCCACATGATTTTGGGCATCTGATAGACTTTTTTGGAGCATTTGTCTTTCAGTAAGCCCTAAATTAGTTTTCACTCTATCAGCATCCTTCATTAATGTTTTTAAAATAAGCTGCTTGGCTTCTACTTCATTACAAAGGGTGAGGTGAACCATGAGAAAATTTTGAGCCAGCTCAGGAGGTGGGCTATGTTTAAGAGCTTCAGAGATGCTAGGCTGCTGCTCTTCTGCCCACTCCATTAACTCTTGAAGTTTGGCTTGCACAACATTCAATTCTTGTAATGTGGTGACAGATAGTTGTATTTTATTCTTGACATGGTCCTCTAGCTGGATCCAGCACTGCTCAAAGTATCCTGACTGTTCTTTGACTAGTTCTCTATCATCCAAATTTAGATGTTCAGTCATTTTTTGCTTCTGTTCCTTTAAGTTTTCAAGAGCAAGCCGTTTATCTTTCAGAGCCATTGATAATTTTTTCAAAGCCTCAACATGTGTAGCTGTACTCTCGGCATCTGATCTGTTAAGCAAAAACAATAATGCATAGTGAACATTTCTATTACAGAGCAAGTTTTAGAGAAAACTTTTTCATAGTTATTAGCAACTTTTCATTATGTATATAATTGATTCTTACTGCAAAGTACGATGTATGTGTATGCTTTGACTTACAACATGTACCTGCAGAGTTCAAAATATTAAACTCATATATGATTTCACCATTACAACATCAAGCGTTCACCTTGGAGTTGGAAAAGGAAGAAACAAATTAATTTATTAATGAAATTCATTCCAATGAGCCTCTACACTCAGCAGCTCATCTATTGTTGGAAGGAGAAACATCTTTTTTTTTTTGTCTTCTTGCCTCTACTCATCCAAAATTCTACAACAAAATACTGCAAAGTTTATTTTAAAATATAGTTCTGTGTATAGAAAGTGCCAACAAGTTACAGGTTCATGTGACAAATAAAAGAAATACTGGAGATTGGTACAGGTCCTTTTCCTATTTGTCCTTACTCACAGCATGAACATGTCCTAACAAATCGCTTTTTTCCTGCATCCTTGTGTTGTTGCCTTCACCCCAATCTTAATGAGCCAAGGCACATTGGGTCACTCTGGTTTTGGTCAGTAAAATAATCCAGATATTTCCCAAAAATATTTGCCAGCTAGATCGAACTAAATAAAAACTATTCAGGAATGGTGATAGGCTGCAATGATGAAATGTGAGAAACAAAGCCCCAAGAATCAGTCTGTGGGACAGCAGATTTAGATATAACTCTCTGATGTCTCTAATCCCTCTTCTAGCCCTGATAGCTGATCCCCAGTCTGGAACAGGAGCCAGAAGAATTATAGCTGGCTTCTTAAATCCCACCAGATCTTTAGTCTCATGGATTAGGTCAGTGGTGGTGAACCTATGGCATGGGTGTCAGAGGCGGCACTCAGAGCCCTCTCTGTGGGCACGCGCTCTGTTGCCCCAGTCCTAGGCCTTCAGCTGGGTTTTATAAAACCTTTTCGCTTTAGGCCTCCGCCGCCGTGTGCAAAAAAAAAAAAAAAGTTCAACCAATTTCAACTTCTTGCGGGAAAAAAAAATCTTGCAAAGTTGGAATTGATTGATTGAACTTTTTAGTCCCACCCAGTCTGCCGTTACCACCGCAGCCACGCCCACCCAGTGGGCCATGCCCACCCAATAGGCCACACCCAGCCAATGGGCCACACCCACCCGGCACTCGACGATGCATAAGTGGGTTTTGGGCTGCAGTTTGGGCACTCGGTCTCTAAAAAGTTCGCCATCACTGGATTAGGTGATCCATAAGATTAGAGACATGGTAGGTAAAAACTCAGTTCTTGTAATGGTACATGAAAATGACCTTGGGAAAGGCAAGAAGGGGAAAGGGAGGAAGAGTTGCAGACTAGGCAATGGACACATAAATGGCAACATAACCTGCAGAATTAATGGAGGCATGGCACACATCTCACAAGGGACCATCCCTAGTTTCTTGGACTGAAAGGCAAGGGGAGGAAGGGAGAGTTGTACTTTCAGACTTTCAAGATTTTGTTCATGTAACTTTACAATAAAGATAGTCCTATACTTCTGGATATAATTCTTATCTGGACTATCTCACAAGGCTGACAGCTCCCCTTGTCCTGCTACTTCTCCCAGCTCTAGTAATCTGTTGTAAAGGAGCTTGTACCAAGGAGTTATGCCTTTGACAGATGGTCAGAACTATCCTTGCCAGCCCCATCTCAGCTAAGGAGAGTGATTGCCGGATTTTCCTACAGCTAGTGACACTTGGAAAGATCTGTGGGAAACCGAATCCCACTTCTTTTCTTAATTTGACTTACACACAGAACATGAGGAAATCAGCATTTAGTGGCATTTTTTCTGTAGCAGAGTAGAGACTGGCAATTTTGGCAGCAAATTTTATGCTGACATGATTTCCTTTTGGCTGAAGGCCTGTTGGCTAAGGGAAAACCCACAGATTGCTTTGGCTGGTATTACTCTACCTTTGTGTTTTTTTCCCCCATGTATATGTGCTAACTATAATAATATTTTCAGTGAAAAAGATATAAATGGTGTAATAAAAACATGTTGAGGTAGACGAGGGAGTACTAAGTTAAATGGAAAAATCTGAATTCCTAGTAATTCTTAATGTTGATCAAGTAACAAAACACAGCTGTAGTTCATCTTAATCAAATCTGTCAAAAATAAAGCAAGGAGATCATCCTTACCTTGCTAAGTGATCCCATTCCTGTGTAAAATTTTCTAAAAACACTTCTACCGCACTTAGACAATCATGATATTCTGTTGTTCTCTGAAGATCTTCTTTTCTACGTAAGAGCACATTGCTTGTTTGAAGGCAAAGATCAAGCCAATAGTTGCTCAAGCGTCCTACTTCCTTGTGCTCTGGTGACTCCTGCCCTTCTGTCAATTTGCTCACTTTTTCAGTCACTGCAGTCAAAACTGTCTGTTTAGATTGGAGCTTCTGGCTGAAGTCCTTAATATTAGGAGATACAAAAAGAAAATAGCAAGAAAGAATTCTGTTAACATCTAAAAAGGGTTTAGATCTAAATCTGTGTTTCAGATTCTCCGACAAAACCATAAATTAAGACAAATGCATTTTTTCCTTTCATGAGATTGCAATATTTTTTTTGTTTTACTGACTCCTTTGGGAACAAAGTGGTAAGACTTGTTTAATAAGAGAATAATAGAGTTGGAAGGGATCTTGGAGATCTTCTAGTCCAACCCGTGCTCAAGCAGGAAGCCCAATACCATTTAAAACAACTACCCTTTCTACCAGCATCTGACTCATCTCTGTCATAGTCCTGGAGCTGTCAAACTACAGCTTGTAGACCAAATCTGTCCCACCATCTGCTTTGGTATGGTCTGCGAACTAAGAGTGGGTGGGTAGATAAGCAGGTCATCACCATGCCAAAACGTTAGCTGAGCTCAAGGGCAAGGATGGGGCTGAGGACTGGAGCAACTTGGGTGATGGCAAGTCTGTCAGTGGCCTCCTTGCAGCTGCTTGGCACCATCCAATGACTGTCACACTCCTTGGACTGCAGACTTGGAGATCTGTACATCTGTGGATCCAGCCCTTTACCGCAGGGGTCCCAGTGGTGGGATTCAGCCAGTTCTCACTGATTCGGCAGAATCGATGTCTAATTTTTTGGGGGGAGTTGGCGAACCGGTTATGATAAATCTGTTTTCTGAAACACGTTTGGTTTTCATTCAACTTCCTTCCAGGCGGGGGGGAAAAAATCCTCCCCAAAAGTCCAAAAAAGGAGTGTCGGAAACCAAACACATGTGGCACCTTCAATGAATTTGATGAATTGTAAGAAAAGTGTCTTGGTTTCTGAAGTGCAGCAATTTTGCTGCAGTTCATTAAAGCAGTGGCCTTTTTCAGGTTTCTATCTGAACTTTTAAAAAGTTACTAATGGTTAATTTTCCATTGTCACAAGGAGGCCAGAAAATTTCAGAAATAAATTATCAATTATGTATTTCTGGTTAATAAAATAAGAGATGCTCCTTACCTGCACCTGTAAAACCATATTGTGAGCAATATTTAATTCTAGCTCTGCTCCCCGTCTCTTCATATTCTGCAGTTGCTGTTCTGCGTCCTGGAAATATATCCTAAGTTCCTCTTTCATTTGCGTTATTTCTTCCCATCCCTGAGCAAGATACTGGGAGTTCATTATCCTATCTTCAATCTGGAAAATGTAGGGAGGAATAATGGAAATATTTTAATGTAATTAATTTGGAGCTGTCTTAGATGTACACAATCCATTTATGTAGGTCAGGAGATTTACATTAGAAAGTAGGGGGGGACAATCTATAAGAATGGAAGATAAATGGAGCACGCACAAGTCTCTAACGCTCATGTTATATGAATTCCATGCACATTATAACAGATGTAACCAGCCTTGTAACAATTATACTCCAATAAAAATTCAACTAGAATAACATATAAATTAATGTAGCATCCTTAAAAGTAAGATGAACCTCATCGTTAGGAAACAACAGATTTTTTTAAAAAAGAATTAAGCATAGCAAATGTGCTATTTGCTATTCATAGCACAGAATATCTTTGGATTCTGTTCTGAGTTATATTCTTTCCTCTTTCTTTATTATCTTTCATTCTGGAGTCTAAGGAAAAGACTTCTGCAAGCATGGCTATAAGCATATTTCTTAATTACGTAATTGGAGAGAAAGTAAGATTCAGTAATCACATGTCTAAGAAGAATGAGAGAACAGCTGCTACAATTTATCCCATACAATCTCCTTTGTTAATTGAAGTACAGTAGTCTTCTCTCCAAACCAATATTACCTAATATGAACCTGTAAAAAACATAATTACATGTCTAAGAAGAATTACAAAACAGCTGTTATAGTTTATCCCATACCGTTTGCTTTGCTTCTTGAAAATCTGTTGCTGCATTTTTTACTGTGCTGTCTGATAAATCATCAATGGAGCATAATAGATCCAAATAGGTATTTGTCTGCTCATGCAGGGCTCTAAAATGTTTAACCTAAAAAGAGTAAGGAAAGATTATCAACAAAAAAAAGATTTTCAAAGTCCCCTGAAAATGCTTTGAAAGTTATAAAGTATAGCAATATTGCTACTTTTTAAAAAATACTGAAAAATAACAAACTGTTACACATTTTTTCAGTAAATATTAATAAAGTAACACAAGGGACTCTGTATTGATTATGCATCTGCATTGTGCACAACATTAAAAATATGAATAGTTCAAATTACATTTAACTTCTAATTAAAGGTAACTTGGGTTTCCACAGATGTGTACATTGTATCGTATGTATCTTTCGATAGATTTGGCCAGCTGAGGTTTGAATCATTTATTGGCTTCACTGAAGAAAAAGGACAATTTCTACTTCTTACTGCAGAATTAAAAACAACAGTTTGACTGAGAAGAAGTAATGCACAATGGGACCATATCATATGTTTACCCTATTCACTGAGTTTGTTTGAGGAGGTTCATTTACATTTGACCTAAGATTGTCTTCTGGGAAAGCAGAGTTGATACTTCTAATGGCCATATCACTGGAATATACTCCCTATGTCCTTGTTGATATTTAAAAACTTTTTAAACAGAACCTACAGCTCAAATAAGTAGCCTTGGCTGTTGAAAAAAAACATAAGGTCAAACTTAATTTCTTGGATAGAAGATATTGGAAGAGTCCAGAACTGAAAGCTAGAATAGATAATGGGAAGGAAAGATGAAGGGAGAGGAGGTAGAGTGGAGTGGAGTGGGAAGGGGAAGAAGAAGGGGAAAGGGAAAGGAAAGGGGAAGGAGAGGAGAGGAGAGGAGAGGAGAGGAGAGAAGAGAAGAGAAGAGAAGAGAAGAGAAGAGAAGAGAAGAGAAGAGAAGAGAAGAGAAGAGAAGAGAAGAGAAGAGAAGAGAAGCCTTGAAAAGATGGGAGTGACAAAGCTCATTCATAGGACTGCCAAGATAACTAAATGGATGCATCCATGTGGTCATCTGTATTCAAATTTGACAGTGGAGTCATTTTATATTTTTCAGATAAACTAATGACTTTTGCCACTGGTGGCACAAAAGCTTAATACATAAATAAATGTTAGCAAACAGTACCGGTTCCCTCAGATTTTCCCCCAAGATCTTCTTTTCTGAAATAATTCTTTGTTTAATTCATTTTGGATTTTCAATATAGTTTTAATTTGCTTCTGGGCCAAAATATCAGGAGAACTACATTGTAACATTCTAGTCTTGATGATCCCAATGGGTTCTAGGTACACAAAGAAGAAGCATGGGAGCCACATGGACTCTTGGAAGAACAGACTGATTATTCCTTCTTTTCTATATAACAATGTGAGGTTAAAAGGGGAGGGGGGAAATTGAGATAAAATCCTTGAATTTTGTCTAATGACTCTATGACTAACTTATGGTGCCGTTTTGATGTATGAATTGTTTCAAGGAAATATTGCCATGTAGACTGCTGATACCTGCTTAACAGCATCTGCTGAACTGGAAGGTCGATGAGGATTGGACTTTAACTCTGGCCAAACTGTAGTAAGCCAAGCTTGGCACTGCTGAAGAGTATCCTGATGGTTAACATGTTTCTGGAGTTCATACTCCAAACTTTGATATAACTACAAGAAATAAGAATAAGAAATAAGAATTTTGTTAATATTAATGATTATTACTAACTGAAAATGGACCCTTGGCCAAAAATGTAGTCTAGCAGGTTAAACTGAGCTCTAGACTGGAGAAATAATTATACCTTTATAATGCTAATTAATATAAAATGAACATTTCCTACACATTATTCCACAATTTGTTTTGAAATATTTTACTTTTGTAAATATCTATGGAAATTCTCAGTCCTCCAGGTCATCGTTGTCCCAAAGATGCTTTTTCAAAAGGCAACTGAACTTTGTTTTTTCTTGAAGACTGAAGAAGCTTATTGGATGAGAAGGAAATGTCTTTATGAAAAAACAAAGTCCAGTTGCTTTTTCAAAAAGCACCTTTGGGACTGCTTTTGTAAATGTTTTAAGGTTTTTCCCGCAACTGTTATTAAATTCATTCTTCAGAAACTGTTAAGAAACCATCCTAGTATCTTACTTATTTTGAGCCAGGTTCTACCTGATTGCCACCACTTTATTCCTCTATCCCAAGGGCCTTCAAACTTGACCCTTTTATGACTTGTGGACTTGTGGAGTGGCTGAGGAATTCTGGGAGTTGAAGTCCACAAGTCATAAAAGGGCCAAGTTTGAAGACCCCTGCCCTATCCCCTGCTCAGTATTAAAAGATTGATGCTTACTTTTTGAGTTGTGCTACAGAGGGCTGAATAGCTATCTCTCGTTCCCTGCAGCTGGGTTTCTATGTTTTGTTTAAATTTTGCTTGGAGATGTTCTGCACACTCTTTGATTAAAGAATCTCCCTTGCTTTTAAGGATGTTCAGGCGATCTTCAAATCCTGCAATTTCTTCCATTGTTGCCTAAAACATTAAGATGTAGTCTTAAGTTACAAGACTGTCAGAATACTCTTAAATAACAGGAAAATAAATTACAATTGAATGTTAATGAAAAAATGCCTAACAATATGTTACAGGATGTGTTGGAGCAAAGACTGTAAAAGATATACTTAAATTTCTGCACAGAGCAGAGAATTTATACCTACAGTAAATGTCCTCTTCTTAGTTTACGATGCTATTTATATACTGACCAGTTAATTCTAAAAATATTATCAAGAAATTTAATTCATTTGTTCATTTTTGAAAGTTTTTTAAACACATGAGTAAGCATTTTTATGGTATATAATTTTAAAATATTTTACTTTAAAAAAATATTTGGCTTTATCTTTTTAAAAAATTACCAAGAGAACTTAATAGTTAGCAGGATATAAAATCTAATAAATTAAAACATTTCCTGCAATTTATGAGAAAAACCTGTATAAGATTATAGTCTACAAACGCAGGAAGCTGTATATAAGATCTTACATTATCAAGAAAAATATAGCATTATTTATGTATTACAAAGACTGCATGTAATGTTCACTGAAAATCATCTAATATTTGAGGAAGGTAGAGACTACTATCTTAAGTACAGAAACACTGAATACATATGGTTTCTACGTACACTATATATATAATATATATATATATATATTATATAATATACAGACAGTAATAAAAATAACTAATTATCAAAATCTTTATTTGATTTATTTAAATCTTTGTTACTTTGATTTTTTTTAAAAAGAAAGCTATTTATATAGGATATGTTTTCTATTTTCTTTTTACTGTTAATCTTTGAGAAAGTTTTTCAAAGAAAAGCTATGAATATTAGAAGACTAACAGTTCTTTACTTGATCTACAAACTATAGAAACCATCTCTTCTACTAAAGAGTTGTTGACCTACCTTATAACTGGCTAATTGTTGTGTTATCACTTCTAGATCACTGTTTTCCATGAATTCAGGAGTAATCAGCCTGCTGGACATTTGTAACAACCACTTTTCCACTTCCTGTAAGACACTATTATAGTCTTCATGTTGTTTTACTTTCTCTTCCAAGCTTGCAACCTGTATCTGCATTAACAGAAATCAGATACTTTTCAGTTGTTTCAAATGATAATAATCTCAGATCTTCATTCTGAAAAGTTCAACTGTCCAGTTTTCTTATTCATCAGTATAAAAATCCTTTTTTTAATTTCATTTGTAAATTGCTATCTTGAATAATACATTTTATAGGATCATTGACTTATCTCTCAATACAAGAACAGGTTCAACACAATTTTAAGAGGTTCAAGAATTACACAGAAAACAGAACACTCTCCTCTAATGAATGAAATATAGCTAGATTAATGCAGATAATCCATAGTACAAACATAAATTTACTTTTAAGAAAAATGATTACTATTGTATTGCAGAAAACAATTTACCTTTGCTATATTGCAAAGCTCCTGGTATTCATTCTGAAGTTTTTGAATATTCTCAGCTACATTAGCATCACTGATCAATTCAAGAAGGCTTCCGCCTTTTTCCACAACAGATTTGATTAAAGGTTCATGGGATAGTATAGTCTGCTGCACTGTCTAAAATTAAAATCCAGTTAGAAATGTTTTTAAAAATACAATGTAAAAAAATAAATGCAGATGGAAAAATCACATTCTATTTATAGGACAGAACTCAACAAAATATATGATATCATCTTAAACAAATAACCTCATTTGAACTTTGCTCCTTTCATATTAACATGAAGGCGATTCTGATGCTGTTTTTTCTCATTTTATTTTTACCCCCCCACACACACGTATATGTATACATGAAAAGTAAACAAAGGGAAAAGGGAAAAACTTTATTAATCTCCACTTTTTAAACAAACAAAAGAGTTATGGTGCCATAGTTGCTAGAATGCAGTACTGCAGGCTAACTCTGCTCATATTGCCAGGAGTTCAATTCCCTCGATCCTGATCAGCTCAAGATTGACTCAGCCTTTCATTCTTCCAAGATCAATAAAATTGTTGGAGTAATATGCTGTTTCTGTAAACCGCTTAGAGAAGACTGTAAAGCAGTATATAATGACTGTGAAGCGGTATATAAATTTAAGTGCTATTGCTATTAGGACAAGAGTTTAATATGATTATTCACAATGTGAAGATCAGTCAGGAAAAAGAAATCTCACTAACCAGCATTACAAAAACAGGAACACTGGAAAGTGTTTGTTGGATCACATTGCATGACTGCTGCATGATGGCAGCTTAGGGAGGGAGGACCACTGAAATTTTGTGATGATCTGCTCATTTAATGATTATACTGATGATCCTATGTCTTTAGGATCGGTATTTAATAAGAAAGCATCAGTCAAATTTAGGTTGTCAACTGGATATCTGAAAATATCTACTGAGAATATTTTAATAATTAGGTTTCGTTTTGTGAGACAACAGTATATTTACCTTGTATTTTGATAACTGTGCCTTCTTCTCATATAATTCCATTTTGGGATCCACTGTATTGTGCAGTATGATTTGATAATCTGTTAGCCACTGTGTCTGTACTTTATACTTATCTAAAAATTCCTTTGTTAAGTGGAGACATTTCTCTAAGGTTGTACATTCCTTTCTGATAGAACAAGTCATTTCATCAAGTTGTTCTACATAATCACTGATTTGTTTCTTTAGTTGTTCAGCTTCATTTTCCTCAATATACTTAATAGCTCTCTCTCCCTTCTCACGGGCAGATTTGAGCAAACTATGGCCAACATCCATGTCACTCATGAGATCCTGTGAACAAAAAATGTACAATATTTAAAATTAAAATAAATCAAAGATATTCTACTGCTAAATATTGGTTCACTTGATCACATTTTGACTTACTTACCTGAATTCAAACAGGATTTGTGATCATGCAGAGAGCACTTCAAAATCTCTCTGAGGCATGAGCATCAACCAGGAAGATGTAAATTATAACATTTTGTCAAAATCAGGAAATAATTTAATTAAATAATTTAAAGAATTTAAGCCAACAAGATTATAGTTGGCTTAAAGAGGACATTACTTAATATTTAATCCGACTTGTATTTGGCCACAGAGTTGGCAGCTCTTAATTAAGTTTACGTGTGAGTAAAAGTGATATAGTAACAAGACATCGTTATTTTTGTTTTCATTTCTAAATTTTGTTCCAAACAATGTGTATTTATTATTTGCTGAAGCTTTCTATATATCCCTCTTACATATTATTGATATAATTCCAATTATGTCCCCCCATATATTATCATCAAAAAACAATATTTTGAAGTTACATAGCATATAATTTTAATAAATAAAAAATAAATAAAATAAATTTAACTAGCAATTTACACATCAGTATTTACACATCTGTATTTCTATAATAATTTAATTATTGCACATAAATGCTTATCATGGATGCCACTCAAGAAAAAAAAAAACTAAACTGAAAATTATGGAAAGATATACAAGCTTTCAGGAAAATGCCATCTCATCTTTTGTCAGTATTTCAAATTCTAAAACATTCTGTTACTGAAACACATCTTTCAAATAGTATCCCAAAATTCTTGCTATAGCTCAGTAATTCCTCAACTTTATTAACATTTCTTTGAATTTCTTCTTTGAATAAAAAGCAGTGTTAAAAAACAATCTGCCAAATACATAAGGATCAAACGGGTTTTATAACTGGAAGGTACATGAAGAATAATGTCAAATTATTAATTTATTAGAATATTTAGATAAAAATAATCAAGTTCCCGCAGGATTGATATTTCTTGATGCTGAAAAAGCTTTTGATCAATTGAATTGGCAATTTATGTTAAGATTAATTGAGAAAATGAACTTTGGAGAAAAAATCTTACAAGCTCTTGGTGTTATTTATCAAAAACAAACGGCACAACTCATTGTCAATGGGGGTTTATCAGAGGTTTTTACAATAGAAAAGGGGACTAGACAGGGATGTCCATTGTCACCACTACTGTTTGTTTTAACTTTGGAAATATTGTTGATTAAAATTCGAGAATCATAGGAAATAAAAGGAATAGAAGTTAATAAAAAAGAATATAAATTAAGAGCTTTTGCAGATGACTTAATGGTTACCCTGTCCCAACCTACTTACTCGGTAGTAGAGTTATTACAATTGATATACCAATATGGACGGATTTCGGGTTTTAAAATTAATAACAGCAAGACTAAAATATTACCCCAAAATATGACCAATTTGGATAAGCAGACTTTGGTCAAGTTGACAGATTTTGAGGTTGTTGATAAGGTAAAATATCTGGGGGTTACTTTATCTGTTTCTAATGCAAAATTGTACAAAAATAATTATGAAAGGTTGTGGGTCAGGATACAAAGAGACTTGAAAAATTGGGAGAAATTGCAATTATCTCTTTTGGGAAGAATTGCGGCGATCAAAATGAATGTTCTGCCAAAGTTCCTGTTTTTATTTCAAATGATACCCATTTTAAAGAATGAGATTAATTTAAATGAATGGCAGAAAGGTATCAAAAATTTATTTGGGCGGGGAAAAAACCAAGAGTAAAGCTTAAAATAATACAAGACATTCGTGAGAGAGGTGGACTCAAGGTACCGAATTTGAAATTATACTATGATGCGGTGGTTTTAATTAGTGATTGGGTTAATTTAACAAATGTAGAAATACTCCTCTTGGAGGGTTGGGATTTACTTTTTGGATGGCATGCCTACTTAATTTTTAATAAAAAAGTTGACAGGGTTTTTAAATCTCATATTATAAGGATTTCTTTATTTCGGGTTTGGAGGAAATATTATAGAAGTGATTTTAAAATCCCATTATGGGCTATACCTTGGCATGCGATAGAGGGGATAAGGAGAGGAGTCAAGATGGATGGTGTTTCTTACGCACAATTACTTAGATGGGATGGTAAAAATTGGCAGTTAAAATCTTTGGAAGATCTAGCACAAGAATAGGATAGATGGAAGTTAGATTGTAATGTGGGTTTACTTAGAGAAGATGAAAATTTTCTTAAACAAGTAAAAGACCAAAGACGAACTCATATTAAGAGAATTTATGGGGTGCTAGTAGAATTGGATTCAGAGGCAGAATTAATTAAAGAATGCATGATTAAATGGGCACAAAATTTTGGTGAACCAGTTCTACTAGATACCTGGGAAATTATTTGGGTGAGGAATGTCAAATTTACACAAGCCCAGAACTTAAGGGAGAATTTTTATAAAATATTTTACAGATGGCACCTTGATCCACAAAAAATGTCCCGTATGTATCCTGACTTACAGCCTAAATGTTGGAGATGTGGTTGTTTGGATGCTACTTACTATCATATTTGGTGGTCGTGTAAAAATATAAAAGCCTTTTGGATTAAGATATGGTGGAATATTCAAAGAATTTTTAGAAAGAGGGTAAAATTTACCCCACAATTGTTTTTGTTAGGTATTGTTACTGATTGTGATACTAAAGAGACCACATTGATGTTAAATTTAATTACAGCCGCAAGGCTGCTGGTAGGGCAATGTTGGAAGAAGGAATCTTTGCCTACTTTGCAAGAGTGGTTTCTTAAAGTTTCTTACCTGGCGGAAATGGCAAAGATTTCGGCTTTTTTGAAGGATCAATCGCAGGAGAAGTATTTTGCGGTATGGAAAAAATGGATAGATTTTATACAATATAAGTTGGATATTAAAAAATACTATTTAGTTTTTCAATAACTTATATTTAAAATTTAAAATATCTTATAGATTTTATTTCCTTTTTTTATTTTTATTTTTTATTCTTATTATATTTTCCTTTATCTTTTTTTTGTCTTTTCTTTATTCTTTTTTCTTTTAAGTATTATTTTTTTGGTATTTATGTTTTTATATATATATATATTATTGTTAATTATCTTATAGTTTGTTTAATTAATGTATTTAATATTTAGATTTATTCATGGTTTATATTTCTTTTTTTTTAAGATTATTTGAAGAAATTTTAATTAAGCCTATGTTCAGCTCTGGGAAGGTCGGGGGAGGGAATGGGAGAGTTGGGGAGGTTTGGGGGTTGGTTGTTTTGTTTTTTGTAAAATTTTAAAAAATTCAATAATAAAAAAAAAAACAATCTGCCAGCTATTTCAGTTTCTCTCTCCAGGCACTGTTGCTATTTCTTAGCAAAATGGCAAGCTCCAAAGCTCATTCTTAATTGCATTTCATTCTCTAAAATAGCTCTATAAATCCAGTATTTCTATAAATAATGCAAAAGTAATTTTCTAACATAGGTAGTTTGAAATCCACTGTTCATAGATTTCTATAGCCCTGTAGTGTTGCAGTCATGATATAAATATTACTTTTATAGATATTATAAATATTTATATTAGGTATGCAGTGACAAATTTCAACTGAGTTTACCTCAAGTTTCTTCATTTTTTTCTCCATTAATGCTCTGTCTGCTACATCACATTTTGTCACAACATTTCTGAATTTCCTAAGGATAGCTTCAGACCAGTCTTTGTAAACCCTGAAAGCTAGTTCAGATTCTTCCAAACTTCGAATTTCTTCTTCCAGGAATTTTATTTGTTCCTGCAAGCAGATGAGAAGTGAGACATATTTTATATTCATCCATTCCTAGATAATCACACCTCTATTAAACCTGAAAAAATTTGTATTTATCAATGAAATGCAGTATACAATTGGGAAATCAACTGCTGTTATTAGATCATTCTTAATACAAACAAGACAATTCTTATGGAATTAGTTGTCTTAATTCACTCAGGCCACCTACTCTGTTTTACAAGGCAGAATTCTACCTTGTTTATGCTGACAACTCAATGTCCCTTCATTGTTTATGTATGTAAAAATGCCTCATATGCTGACAGGCTAATTGAACTATTCTTTGATACTAAGATAACATTGTCTTGTCCCAATATTGCAAACCCTTCTGGTCTGGCGTAGATAGATGATCAAGGAAAGCTTATGGATGCAGAGATCTGTACATGCTTCCACTCACAGGGGATTCCCTTGTCACACAACACAACATATATGCAAGTAGTATTAATTTCTATGCTCAAAAATCTATTCTCAGCGGGTTAATTCCAGGGTTAGGGCCAGATAAATGTACAATGAAGATCAGCTACCAATGTGGTGGGATTCAGCCAGTTTGCACCGGTTCAGTAGAACCAGTAGCTGAATTTTGTTGAGTTCAGAGAACCAGCTGAACCCATGTTGCTTCTGGAAGTCCGTTCTAGGAGGTCTGGAGGTCTCCCAGGCCTAGAACGGCCCCCTGGAAATGCACTGTTGTCACTTCCGGAAGTCCATTCTAGGCCTGATGAAGGCCTCCCAGGTCTAGAATGGCCCGTCGGAATTGTGTTGATATCACTTCCGGAACTCTGTTCTAGGCCTTGGAGGCCTCCCAGGCCTAGAACAGCCAACAGAAAATGCATTAATGTCACTTCCGGAAGTCCATTCTAGGCCTCGGAGGTCCAGGCCTGCATCCACACAGAGAACTGGATGTTAAGGCATTTGAATCCCATCACTGAAGGAGTCCCTTTCATATATAGTTACATTTTAAGTCTTGAAATAATTTGTAACAATGAACTCACAGATGCTATAAGAATTAATCTGATTTCCTCAGAAAACACTGATTATTTTTAATCACCATTTCTACAGATAATCCTCAACTTACGACCACAACTGAGCCCAAAATTTCTTCGCTAAGCAAGGCAGTTGTTAAGTAAATTGTGTCCCATTTTATGACATTTCTTGCCACATTTGTTAAGTACATCATTGCAGTAGTTAAATTAGTAACCTAGTTATTAAGTGAATCTGTTTTTCCCGTTGACCTTGCTTGTAAAAAGGTCGCAAAAGGTGATCACATGATCTCAGGACATTGTAACCTTCATAAACAGAAGTCAGCGGTCAAGCATCTGAATTTTGATCACCTGACCACGAGATGCTGCAATGGTCGTAAATGTGAAAAATAGCCAAAAATAAGTCACTTTTTTGAGTGTCATTGTAACTTTGAGAGGTCACTAAATGAACTGTTGTAAGTCGAGGACTACCTTTATTTCCTGAATTGTCACTTCTTATGTAAGAATAATTAGAACTCTCGCCTTAGAACATGAGTTGTAAAATAGATGTAAATTATAAAGGCTGATTGAGAGCAGTACAGCGAAACATAAATGACTGAAACTAATTTTAGCCTAACTTTCCAGCTGAATATATTAATAGCTGGTGAGTGATCCTTAATAGTAATATTTAGCTGTATAATTAAATCTTCAGACATACAGAGATAAGAGAAGCAGAATGCCTAGCCCAGGGGTTTGCCACCTTGACAACTTTAAGACTTGTGGATGGTTGGCTAGTCCAGGAGTCTTGCCACCTTGACAACTTTAAGACTTGTGGACTTCAGCTCCCAGAATTCCTCAGACAGCTGCTGGCTGAGGAATTCTGGGAGCTGAAGTCCACAAGTCTTAAAGTTGTCAAGGTGGCAGACTCCTGGACTAGCCACTCATTCCTAAAAATGAAGCACTTAGAAGTATATCTAAAAAAAAAAAAATCAATGAATCTTTTCCAATTAGTATTACTTAATGTTTTCAGAACATTTTCATTATTTACCAGGACATGAAGAACAAGAGTTTGGTATCGAGAAGCAAGTTGGATTGCTTGTCTTCCCATCCTACTGGAAGTACGAATTTCCTCCAGGAAATGCTGCGCCAACAAACCGACTTCTTCAACTTCATTTTTATAGACTGTTATTTCTTCGTGCCAATTCTGAAATAAAGAAATACTTTAAAAATATTTCAGAAATGATATAAATGCAATTTATAGGACTCTTAAAAGTAACAAAAACATGGAAACATGAATCTCAATTTATAAAATGAAGAACTATAAGCTCATGGTTTTAATTTACAGAATATTTATAGACTATGTTGCACACACATGTTACAGAAAAATGGAAACAGACAACACTCTTTTTAGTTGTTAAAATTAGAAGTTGGTGAAGCAGAATCTTGTTGCTACATAGGTGGAACTAAATACGTTTTAATGAAGGTGCTTTTCTTGTTTTATTTTCCATTAGCTTTTCATATATCAGTCAGATCTCACAGGTAAATCCAGAAGGCCTATTCTGTCGACAATATTCCCTTTGTTCTCAAATATTCAATTCATACAAATATTCATACAAATTCCCTTTCTTCTTATACCCATAAGACTTTTATACAGCTGATTCTATTGCTTTTTAATGTTTCCAGTTCTTCCCATCAACACAACCCATTTATCTCTCTATACTTTGATCCTATATTAAAAGATACATGATTAATCTGACTTGCTGTAAAGAAAAGACCAAACTGCATTATATGGGTACCTTGATGCAAACTAAACTAATCAACATTTGTCAAATTAAAAGAAAATTTCTTTTTTTTGTTTTGTTTTTAGCAATTTGAATTTTGAGACACAGTTTTTCTATATAAAGATTCTTTTATACAAACTGCAAAAAAAATCAGTAGAAACATTCTGTTGTGGCAATGAGAAAGGAAAACAGTATGTTTGGAAAAAGGAAAAAAGAATGCAAAAATTCAGTTTCTATTATTTCCCCAAAACAAATACTTTAAAAATAGAGTGGGAGCCCTTATTCCCAATATCTGTATGCTTAATATAGCGGTAGACTAAAGAGTCAACAAGGTGGATCAAAACTGAAGTGTACACTTAATACAGTCAAGCTTAATATTTCCTTCCTTCCTTCCTTCCCTCCCCTTCCTACCTCTCTCCTTCCCTCCATCCAAAATGTATCTCCATATCGTATACTGTATAAATAGATGATCTACGCTCATAGCAAACATATAACAACACAGATTGAAATGAATGTCAGCTTTCAGTTGTATGAATGATCAATGACTGCAATAAACTGAAAGACAAATTAGTTGTATTCATGCTTGTATAATTTCATCACCTTCAGCTGCTGAAGCTGGATTTCCTTTGTGGCTCGGTCAGATTGCCGGCTAGTCCTGATATTAACTTTCTTCTCCAGAGTTTTGAGCCATTGATCCATCTTCAAAAATTTGTTCTCCATCAGTTTTAGTCTGCTTAAGGTAGTATTCAGCTGTATCCTAATGTCAGAAAGACTGTGTTGGTAGACTGTCCAATCTTGACGGAGAGACTCCAATACTCTTTCTTCCAACTGGGGTGCACCCCATGGGATTATTTCTTCTCTAGCATGGAGTGTTGCATTAAGCAATGCTTGTCCTTCGGCACAATGTACCTGTAATTCCTGAAATGCAAAAGTACAAAATCAGAATTTTGTACTAAATTTAAGATAAAATTGAGGGGTCCTTAGTGATCTCTGGGCTTGCTTGTTTTCTTGCAGATGTTTCATTACCCAAACTAGGTAACGTTATCATTGCTAATAAGGAGTGCTGTTTGCCTGGCTAGCACTGCTTACTAGCACTAATGACATTACCTAGTTTGGGTAATGAAATGTCTGCAAGAAAACAAGCAAGCCCAGAGAGTTCACTCTGGGCGTCATGGCGACACGGATGAAAGAAACTGGAGCTCCAGTTTCCTAGTCTGATTTTGCTTCGTCTGGAGACCCAAAGAGGTCATAAAGTCATCCTGGAGAGGCAACGAGGAGGAACGGAAACCTTGGGAGTTCGGAGCCAACAGCGGTTGGCCCAAACAGACCGAGGAAATTCTTCAAACAGTTGGGAGAAAGGCTGCCAGAAAGTACGCAGACAGTCCAAGCCAGACAGCTGGGGAAGAAATGAAGAGCCATAGCAGCACCACCGAACAGCTGACTGCAACAACCTGTTTGATCTGGGTGAGATTCTTCTTTATTTCTCTTCCCTATAGACTTTTAAAATATAATTCCCTGAATTGGATAACTTTTAAAAGTAAAAAATCCCAGGAAGACTTGGGAAGAAGAGAGCTAAAAGGGGCGAGAAATCTGGAATGGGGAAATGAAATTAAGGAATATAAAAAATATGCAGACAAGATTCGAGACTGATTGAAAAGAAAAAAATGATAATCTGTTGTTGGCTATTTTTTTTTCATTTGGGAAGATTTTTTTGTTGTGAAAGAGCATTTTAAATAAAAGTTTTACTATTGGATAGAGACACTATGATGAGGACATCTAGTGGTGAAGGAAGACACTATAATAATACAGAAAAAATCAGAAGAGTGATGACCTTGAAACAACACCTGTGCTAAACAAAGAACATCTTGTGTTTCTATAAAAGAAAAAACAAAGATTTTTTTTAACTACATCTTTCAGCTTTAGATACAACTATTATAGAAACTATTTAGAGACAGGTTTTTTTCTTTTCTTTTTTTCTTTTTTCTCTCTAGTATTTTTGAACTGACAGAAATATTTGGATTAGACCAGTGGTTCTCAACCTTTCTAATGCCATGACCCCATAAAACAGTTCCCCATGTTGTGGTGACCCCCAAGTGGGTGTGGCCACCAATAAGAGGGAGTAGGACAGCTAGGGAAAAGGGAAAAAAATGGCGGACTGCGTTGTTTGGCGACCCCCGTGAAATGGTCGTTTGACCCCAAATGGGGTCCCGACCCACAGGTTGAGAACCACTGGATTAGACTTATGCAGTTGGTGTTTTTTATTTTGCTGGATTACAACTTAAAGTAATTGGCTTTTTAAAACAAAAAACAAAAAAAAACCCTTGGATTAGCCTAAAGCAGTTGGCTCCCTTCTAAACCTGGATTGTAGCCTAAAGCAGTTGGCTTCTTTTTAAATTTGGATTATAAACAATTATAAAATTGTTTCTGTGAATCTCTAAACATATGCTTATTATTTACAAATAATTTTCAAACCATGCACAGCCCTAGTATCAGAATTTTGCATAATATACCCAACTAATGCAAAATAGTAGTTTTTATTTGTAAGCTCAAATGGCTGATTGGTGCTTAATTTGGAAGCAATATGAATTTGTTCAGAATATGATAATGGGTTTTTTGTATGCTCTAGACAAATTTAAAACATTAAAAGACAGCCTTACAAAGACAAACAAGTTTGCAGAATGTTGCCTTAGCAGTTGATATTAATACTGAAACAAGACATATCTGAAAAATAGAATCTAATGCCTGCTCCAAGTTGATTGGAGTTTAGAAAACAAAGGATAAACTGCAAGATAATTATTACTAGGACAAAACATAGTTTTAAAATTCTACCTGGAGTTCTTGGAGTGTTGCTTCGTATCTCTCTGTATCACCTTCAAGATGTGATAAACAGTTGAGCTTTTCCTGTTCTTTTTCCAACCATACTTCAAAGGCCTTCAAATTCTTTTGGTACTCTTGATGCAACTGCACGTATTCTTCAGCTTTAGTTATTGTTTCCTATTGTTATCAGAAATATCCCATTATGGTGTAAGTCAACAGGCTTTCCTGACACTGACCAAGTGCTGTACATAATGGTGGAATTTTATTTCTGTACTGCTTCTCATGTGCTTAAATAAACCAGTGATTAATAAATCAAATAGCTAAGAGATTAATATGCCAATCTTAGTACTTAATTTATCAAGTTAACTGACACTATTAATAAAAATGATGCCTTTAACTAAAAGAAACACAGTCAAAATACACACATGGACACAAACATTCAAATACTATGAAAGTTGTGGGCCAAGAAACAAAGGCATTTCTCTAAACAATTATATTGAAGGAGAATAAACATAGTATTGTAAAATGTAGTGATACCATTATTCTGTCTTTGAGAAGCTGGTATCTCTCATGAAGATCTTGCAGTTCAAGCTGAGTGACATAATGCTCAGTCATGCCCATGCTTTTGACTTCAATAGCTTCCAGCAGTGTACTGTGACTAAATATTTCTTCCTTAAGTAACTGTAGAGGACAAATATCAATTTAACCACCTAAAATAATATGTAAACAATATATAATCAAGTCCTAACTACAGGAAACAAAAGGACTCACTTTGCCAGGGTCAAAACCCAATAAGACTTTGCCTACAATCCTGTTATCATAAAGGAAAAAAAGGAGGCTAAATAGTAAATGTAGTAATTGTGGTTTTTCTGGAGTCAATCCAAAGCAAAATTCAAAACAACAGTTAACAGTCTGGATTGTGAATTAACTGCACTGACCATGAAGAACTCAGAACTTGTGCAAAACAAAACATGGAAGATTTCTAGATCTCTAGAAAGGAACAGCATGTAACAAACATGCACTTAATCATACAGAATATTGCTTGGCCCAAGTTTGAAATGGAACGTATGGTGAAGGACCATCCTCTGTTCCTATACTTTTTGACACCTTTTTCAGTTGCACGGTTAAGTATTTAAATATTTGAATAAAAAAATCAAATATTTAAAACCTTGCAGCTATCAGCTTTCCTATATATTGCCATTATTTTATCTGTGAACTGCTGAGGATCCTAGGGATTTGTTGATTAAACAATAAGGAGAAGTAAAAATGAATTTAAGTTCTATTCTGAAGATACACATGAAATCAGAACACAGATAAACATTAAGTTTTTAAAGTCTTTTTAATAGATGTTTAAATTAAGGAAAATACATGGTTTTCAACAGTTGAGAAATAGACTGTAGCATACTAAGAGAAAGCAGCTCCTTAGAGAATATAGTATTTCTCATTCTGCAGGGGAATTTGTATTGTATTGTATTGTGTTGTATTGTATTTAGCAATAGCACTTAGACTTATATACCACTTCATAGTGCTTTACAGCCCTCTCTAAGCAGTTTACAGAGTCAGCATATTGCCCCTAACAATCTGGGTCCTCATCTTACTGACCTCAGAAAGATGGAGGCTGAGTCAACTTTGAGCCACTCAGAATCCAACTCCTGGAGTGAGCAGTGAGTTAGCCTGCAATACTGCATTCTGACCACTGTGCCACCACACCTCGGTATTTCCATCTTTATTAATTTTTTATAAATAATTCAAACTGGCACACATACCTAATATTTTTTCCTTCTCCTATTTTGTCCATAACAACCAACCTGTGTGAGGGATTAGGCTGAGAGAAAGTGACTGGGCCAAAGTCACCTGGCTGGCTTTCATGGCTAAGGCAGGATTTGAGCTTATAGTGCAATAAATTAAACTTTATTGTCATTGTATGTGTATACACAGTGTACACATACAACAAAATTTACTTGACACCAAAGACCAGGTCCCACACACATAATTCCCAAACACATTCCCACCCACCACAAGTCCCCACCTCTAAAACCACCCAAACATCCACACAACAGACCAAGTAATACTATCCAACAGTTCACTGATGGTGGCCCTTTAGTTCATTGTTGAGTGCAATTACAGCTCTGGGATAAAAACTATTCAGAAAACATGTGGTCCAAGTTTTAATTATTCTGTATCTTCTGCCAGAAGGCAACAGTCCAAAAAGATTGTAAGCAGGATGGGAAGAGTCCCTGAGAATGTTATACAACTTCCTCAAACAACGAGATGTTGTCCAGGGCTGGTAGCTGAAATCTGATAATATTCTGGGCAGTTTTAATGATTCTCTGTAGAGCTTTTTTGTCCACTACAGAGCTACTTCCATACCATGCAAGAATGCCGTATGTCAGGACACTCTCAATGGTGCTGTGATAGTAGGACAGAAGTAGATGCTGAGATAAATTTATCTTCCTGAGCATTCTGAGGAAGTACAGCCTCTTCTGTGCCTTCTTCACAAGCATGTTAGCATTCATAGTTTTTGCTTTCTAGCCTGGTGTCTTAACCACTACAGCAGCTCTACTACTGCAATTATATTTTTTTAGGATAGACTTTCTACAAACCTTAGATTTGCTGAGTGAAGATTTTTTTCCCCTCAGTTCAGAATACTGTCTTTCTGAGGCATTCATAATTGCTTCTACTTTATCCATCCAACTAGTAAACTGCTGAACATCATCCTGGTAGCTTGTCCACTTGGAGAGAGCTCCTTCGAGCTGGCTGAAATGTTAAAAGTAATACACATACTTAGTTCTGTATCAGAATAATTCAGTAACCTAGTTCCAATTACATTATCAACAAATGGTGCCAATTATTTTATATACAGTATACCAAGAATACCTTGTGCATTATATAGGGATGCACAAGGAATTCATAAGAAGTACTTCACATTAAAGAACTATTTAAAGCAACTCTGCTATTTGCAAGGTTCTTAGGGTTATTTTGAAATAACCTCCCTGTCCTGGCTGTCTCTTATGTGTCTATACAAGCCTAGCTACATCACTTATCTGACATCCCCAAGTGTTTGGTCTTTTAATGAAATAGCAAAATCTGTGGAATTGGGAGAGATACCTAAAGAAATTATCATACACAACAAGAGGGAGAAATTTATACCTGATCTCTGATCAGCAACAATTGATTGTTGATATGTGTTGTTTGCCAATGTTTGAATTTGTATTTTTTTACAAAGAGAAAAGGAAAAAAAGAATCTAAAACAGCTGTTTCTCACCACTGCTTGGTGAAATTTTAATATTGTATTATGTTTCAACATAGCTGGCAAATAATTTGGGAGATATCTGAGAGGGTCTTGAGGAACCCACAGAGTCTTAGGATCATGCTTAAGAAACACTGATGTAGACTATTCTCTGTAATTTGTTATGTTGAGGTTTATGTTGTGCATTTTATAAATTCTTTCATACCCATGTTGTGTTTTACCTTTTGCAGTGGATACATGTAGACAAGAGGGAAGCCCAGGTGTCCTTCAGAGTTTTCAGCTGTTGTTCAATCACAGATGCTCCTTCTACTGACGTATTTTGTAAAACAGATTCTCCTCTTGTCACTACCATTTTCATTTGAATTTCTTTCTCTTGCTTTAATGAAAGGATTGCCTGAAAAGCAGAGAGAGCCTGTGTCTATTCTTATTGTGATCCTCTACCTTTTTCCAATTATTTATTTATGTATTTGTGTCCTGTCTTTGCTTATTTCTACAAATAACTCAAGGTGGCGAACATCTCTCTCCTATTTTCTCAAACATTTCCTCACTTTCCTTGCTCTCCACTCTTTTTTATGAGCTTTCCAAACAGTTTCTCCCTGTGTACATAATTTCAAATTTTTGGAATAGTTTACAGATGGCTTTTAAAAAATGTTGAGGAAAATATTATTAGCGCAAAAAAATTAACAAACTGTAGTTTTCAGAAAGAATATTTACAGTTTTCTGGAAACAAAGGAGTTTTTTTTAAAAAATCTGTCATGCTCACCGATACCTAATTGTTTCATCAATTAAGAAAGGATAATGAGACTCCTGTACAAAGCAGTATTTTTGTCAATTAAAAGTCTACTTCAATAGCCGTAACTACATGAGAAACCACATTAATCACTACAAAATATTGATCACCATAAAGCACTCTGCAATTTTAATATGGGAAGTAGAATTCAAACATTTAAATAAAACTAAAAGCATATAAGGAACGGCTGCTGGAATTGGGTATGTCTAGTTTAATGAAGAGAAGGATGAGGGGGGACATGATAGCAGTGTTCCAATAGCTCAGGGGCTGCCATAAAGAAGAGAAAGTCAAACTATTTTCCAAAGCACCTGAAGGCAGGACAAGAAGCAATGGATGGAAACTGATCAAGGAGAGAAGCAAGCTAGAACTAAGGAGAAATTTCATGACAGTTAGAAGAATTAATCAGTGGAACAACCTGCCTCCAGAAGCAGTGAATGCTCCAACACTGGAAGTTTAAGAAGAGACTGGACAATCATTTGTCCGAAATGGTATAGGATTTCCTGCCTGAGCAGGGGGTTGGTCTAGATGACCTCCGAGGTCCCTTCCAACTTTACTACTACTACTACTACCACTACTACTACTACTACTACTACTACTACTACTATTATTATTAAAAAATAAAAATTTACAAAAATACAGACCAGGTACATATTACTGAGAATTGATTGAGCCAGGACAAGGATGTAGGCCTGCTGGGGATTTACCTTTAGCAACTAGGAGATTATATACGTGGCTGTAGCAATACTGACCCCAAATCCCAATTGTTTGCAAACAAATAGTTTATTGAATAAGTTTCCAATTATTTCAACATTATACCCCTTAAATTGATTTTTTTTTTTTGCTAAAACCATTTAGTTACAGTAAGGTATATGGTATAAATAACCATCCAAGTAAATAAATAAAATGTATAATAGGTTAAGATCCTTAAAATCTACCACTCAACTACTGTATAGGAAATATATATTTTAATTTTTGGAAAGAATACATACGTAATTATATAATTTTATACAATCCATTTTACACTATTAGAAAGTATAATATAAATCATCATCATCATAAAAACATTTAGCATGTAACTCCTGATGTGTGTAGGATTCTTTGACATCTCATCTTACCTCAAGCTTTGCCATTCTATTATCAAGGGCGTTTTTGTCTGCCGTGGGGCAGCAGTAAGATTCAAGCACCTGAATTGTATCTGCCATCCAGTCCTGAAGCTCCTTTAATCCATGAGAAAACTGTTGGTGCTCTGCTACTATTCTGTCCATTCTGGAGACCTTTTCCTTAAATTCATACAGATGTTAACATTACCAACCATTCAGATAATCTATCATTCCACTAGAGTTGAGAAAAAATCAGAAAGGGAAATCTCAGAAAACTAAGTTCAGAATGCGTAAACGGGCAAAATTAACTGCCCCTTTTTTTTTTCCTCTTTTCTGTTCCTTCAGGATTCACATATCACTTACTGCAGGGAATCCAGAACTAAAATTTGCTTGGAACTAGAATACTGTACAAGTTTGTTATATCTAATGAACGTGGCTGGGTGATTCTTTTGATTATATTTTTTAAATCCTTCTTGTATTTATAAAAATCACATGTGGCAAGAAGTTATGGATCTCAGTACAGATAATATTTTTTAAAGTTACATATGTATTGAATACGCTTGCTAATTATATAGTATGCACATTTTATTTAGTTTGATATGGATTATTTATCAGGACTGCCCCACCTATGCCAGCAGAGTAGGAATGCTGCAGATCCCATTGGTCAAGGAATTCTAGCAGGTGGAGTCCAGGAGAAGAGCCTTCTCTACTGTGGCTCCGGCCCTTTGGAACATCTTGCCCCTCCCCCGGGGTGAGATCTGCCCCCACCGTCTTGACCTTCCATAAGTGCCTGAAACTGGCTCTGCCAGCTGGCCTGGGGCCCCAATGAGGAAGTATCATGCTAGTGAGTGTTGAACCACTAGCAGATCCCACATCCCTTCACCCGCGAATCCTCTCCTATATATATGGTTTTACTTCTTTTAATGTTGTAAGCTGCCCAGAGCTGACTCATGGTGAGATGGACGACAAACAAATTTAATAAATAAAATAAAATAAACTTAAATATGAACAGAATGGTAAACTGGTGACCCACCCAAGACCTCCATTTTATAAACATTTAGGAAAACATGCATTAAATGAGCAGTGCATTCTTCTTTCTTCTGCTGGTTAGGCCTTGGATTTATTAGTTTACAAATCCACAATATTACTTTCTCACAAAATGATACCTGTCTATATTCTGTTTCTTAATATATTTCTCTTTATATAGTAATCTTTTACAGGACTATTTAATATAACTCTTTAACATGCTCTAAATGTAAAGAAACAATCCAGTATCAGTAAAATACTGCTTGCTACATCTTTCTCTAACACCTCATGTCCCCTCTCGTTGGTATGGAACTAACAATCTTGCTTTCAACCATCTTGGTTTTAAAATACAGATAAAACCCATTTCATAAACAGATCTGCAGCATTTCAGAAGGCAGCCTTTTATTGTTTCATAAAAGCACATATAGGAGCATTACCTTTGTTAGGTTGCTCAGAGCAAGATAGAGAGATGATAGCTGAGAAACTCTGTGCACAAAGTTTTTGCTGGCAGCTTGTTCTTCCCAAAGCTGCTGAGCTTTTTCTTTTAATCTGTTGAGCTGAGGCTCATTACATTTTATTTCTTCAAGAAAAGACTGCAAAGCATAAGCACATATTTGTTTAGTATGAATGCGAAAAACAAAGCAAGCAGCAAGGAAGCTAGATGGATAGGCATCAGAAAAATTATGTTAATGGATTTGGACATGCTAAGCCTTTCCTAATGATCAGTTCGACATGTGGCAATGTGCAATTGTTTCTTCAGAAGGTTGAATAAATTACTTTCCTCAAAATAGTGCTTCAGTTTCAAGCAGTTTTTCAGTAATCTAATCACAATATTTGTTAATGAAAAGTGGAATAAAATGGTCATGACATAAACATATTAATCAAGGTTATAAATATTGTGTGAAGCCTAGTCTGTTGTTATTGATGAAATTTCTTTCTCTCACACACATGCTATTTTGAGTTCCATATTTAACACTGGGATTATAAAGTCAAGAAGTTGAAATTTAGGTTTCTCAAAGTGTTAAACATGAATAACACTTCTATGCTATTGCCTAGTCATTTTTTGAATATTTTGCTTTGCCAAGAGTAAGGAATTCCTTTTGCAGAATCAAATTAAATATCCCCTTGCAGCAATGAAGACAACATCAGCACTGGATTGAATAGTCTGGTGTTCAAAAAGATTTGAACTCTGAAATGAGATTTGCTAGATTCTCCCACAGCAGATAAAATGGTCTTTAGGCATATTTTCAACTGATCATATGAATCAGAACATATAACCTAAAGAAATTTATTGGTCAAAAATATGTTTAAATAAATGGAGCAATCTTATCTTAATATTACCTGTAATTTCTGATGTTCTCTCCTTTTAGTGGGAAGGTCACGCAGATTATTATTACTACTTTGCACCATTTCTTTGGTTTTATTCAACCAGTCTTGAAGAGGTTCAGCATTTGTTTCAAAGTGTTTCATCTGTACCTTTAAATTCTAGAAAAAAATCAGGGTAGGGAGCATTCATTACTAGTCCATAATTTTGGATAAAATATTTTCACTGTACAGTTCAGTATCCAGAAGTACTATTAGATCCAGATGAGATATTTCTTTGCTTAGACCAGGGGTGTTAAACTCAATTTTACTGAGGCCCGCATCAGCATTGCAGTTGCCCTCGGGGGTGGGGGGGGCAAGGTGGGTGCAATCTACTGGGTGGGCGTGGATGGAGTGGGTGTGGCCTACTGGGTGGGTATGGCCAGCTCTACATTGTTTGTGTCAAGGGTGCCTGTGGGGGCCTGGGCAGGAGTGGAACAGATCTGAGGATCTTTGGCAGAAAGGGGTGGGACCAGGGCAAGCGCCGAGGCATGGTCCATTTCTTCATTCCTCACAAAGGGTGACACCTCCCCAGCATGCACCCAGGGGGCGGGGCCAACGCGGCAGGGGCTGGTTCCTCGCTGTTTCTAGACGGCCTTGTGGAGCCAAGACTGAATGTGTTTCAGCATAGATGGCCACCACAAAATTGTACATTGGCTCCCGTCTAGCCTGGACAAGGTCCAAGGCAGCGGGGCCATTCTCTCATTGTTTCCAGGATGGCTTTGTGGGCCACATGAAACCACTTTGCGGGCCGCATCCAGCCCCCGGGCCTTGTGTTTGACATGTCTGGCTTAGACAAAGAGAACCAAAATTCTGTACTGGCTGGCCCAAACTATTGAAACAGAATATATGTCAGACTGTCTTTAAAGAATCCAGAATCTTTAGTTAATTAAAAGATAAATTGGCTTGCCAGACATATGGAACATATCATCTCAGTATTAATTGGTTATATGGCCTTCCAGTTCTTTTGAAATATAATACAAGTTTTGGTTACTAATCTTTAAAACACAATAAAGGTTTGGGATTTCAGTATGTGTCTGCTTGGCTTTAGTAATTGTACTCAGACATTCTTCTTTGCATTTTCTGAAATGTAATTATGTTAAAAGTGACCAACAACAAAATGGCTTTAAAAACTTTATAAAAAGTCTAGATAAAAGATAAGATCCATCATTTAGGCTTAACGTAGAATTAAGCGCAAGTATATTTAGAACAGTGGTTTTCAACCTTTTTAATGCCGTGACCCCCCAACCGGTCATAAGTCGAGGACTACTCAACCGGTCGTAAGTCGAGGACTATTCAACTGGCGCAGCACTGTTTGCAGAATGGGACTTTTGGCAGGCTCAGCAGGGCAGAGACAGCCTGGACAATTCCTATTGGCCTTTGAAAGCCAATAGAATTAGACTCTATTCAAGAGAGTCTATTCTATCGGCTTTCAAAAGCCAATAGAATAAAAGGGAGTAGCACAGCTAAGGAAAAGGGGGAAAAAATGGCGGACTGCGTTATTTGGCGACCCCCGTGAAATGGTCATTCGACCCCAAATGGGGTCCCAACCCACAGGTTGAGAACCACTGATTTAGAAGGAAAAGTCAAAAATTGTTTCAACTAATTGATTTCTGTTGTAACTGATCTCATACCTCTAAAGCTGTTTCCTTTTGATGCAGAGTGGAAATAAATTTCTTCCAGTCCTCTTTAGCTGAAGCAATTTTGATGTGAATGGATTTAACTTTTTCTTTAGGTAATATAGAACTTAACAGTTCTCCTTTGGACACCACTAAATTTAATTTATGTTGACCAGTCTCAGTTTCAGATAAGAATTCCTAAGCCAAAATACACACACATATAACTAATGATAAAAATAGCAAGCAAGATGTACAAACACAACATTTGCTAAACCCAACAAATAAAAAACTATAATTTATGCTGCTTGTGTACCCTTTTATATCTAAGATGTAGAAAGTTTCTCTCCAATTATTGAAAGCTGAAAGAACATCTAACATCTAATACTTTCCATCTAAAAAGTATTTTAGTTACGTTTTTTAAGCCAATGTTCTATCAGTAGAAACCTCCAGTCTGCTTAGTTCTCTTTACTGCATTCATTAATACACATACACAAAGACAGTTTGGTTGTATCACCGTGGCACAATATGAAAAAATGTTTTGGACTTCAAGGCCAACTCTTGTCCAGAGAACACTTCAAGGCTAGCTGAGAATGGGAAAAGACAGAATGCATATACTCTGTTCCTCCCATTTGTACATTTGTACTTTGTTCATATCCAAACATAAATAAATGCTGGGTCCTCAGTGGTTCTTCAAGTATCTATTTTGTAAGTTATTAATAATATTTTATCCCTGGTCCTTAAGTACTATTCTGAATAACCATGATTCTGTAAGTGTTGATTATATATAAAGGTAACTTTTCTATGTGCTTTCTCCTCCTCGCAGCCTTGTAGGTTATTAATAACTTACTTATTTTTATTATATAATTTATTATTAATAACTTACAAGGCTATGAGGAGGACAAAGCATATAAAAAGTTATCTCTGTATATAATCAACATTTACAGAATCATGGTTATTCAGAACAGTACTTAAGGACCAGGGAAAAAATATGAATGTTTGTGGTTTGAACCAAAAGGCTCCACAAAATGTAAATAATTTTGTAACTCCGCAAAACATCGGCATGCATAATTTCAAAAATGAACCTCATCAGAGAATCCCATTTTTCACATGTTCTTTCTTGTGGAGAGAATTGTTAAGTGTTCCCACAGGTATTAGCAAGTTCCCAAACTAAAGTACAGGCAATCCTTGATGTACAACCACAGTTGAGCCCAGAATTTCTGTTGTTGAGTGAGACATTTGTTAAGTGAATTTTGTCCCATTTTGTGACCGTTCTTGTCATAACTGTTAAGTGAATCACTGCAATTGTTAAGTTAGTAGCATGGTGGATAAGTGAATCTGACTTTCCCATTGACTTTGCATGTCAGGTTACAAAAGGTGATCATATATTCCCAGGACACTCTCATAAATATGAGCCAGTTTCCAAGCATCTGAATTTTGATCACGTGACCACGGGGGTGCTGTAAATGTCGTAAGTGTAAAAAAGGTCATAAATCACTTTTTTCAGTGCCGCTGTAACTTCGAACAGTCACTAAATGAACTTTTATATGTTGAGGATTACCTGCAAATCCTAACTATGACATTTAGTAAAAACAATCCAATTTCATAAACTATACTTTGAGACTAGCTTGTTTCCAATAAACATAATTTATTTATTTATTTATTTTCAAATATTTATATGCCGCCCAATCCCAAAGGACTCAGGCTAATTAAAATTAGCCACAATTTTTCTGTATTCAGGTAACATGACAATTGAATTTGAAGAATTACCTGTATTTTCTGTATGTTAGCTGTAACATCATTGACATTTTGAGGCACATCAAAACATTTGGCAGTAGTGATTTTGGAATTGACCAGCCATTGCTGAAAATCTCTGAAGACTGTCCTGAATCTCTGCTGCAAGGCCTGCTCTTTGCTTTGGCATCCCTTTGAAGCTTGTAGACAAAGACTTCAGGAACCATGTTAGTCAAATAGAAATACAGACTGGGGTTATGTTAGGAAGAAAGAAGTAGCTACAACGTTTCACATGATATATCAATTGCTCAAGTGATGGCCTTTTAAGCAAGGGTGACGGATAATGAAAAAGTGACGTCTGACATGGGCAACAAAATGAAAATATGTTCTTTAAAAGCTGCCTATATTTCAGAGAGAGAAGAGAGGGAGAGAGAGAATAGACAGACAGACAGACAGACACATTTATTCTGCAGAGACACCTGGGGCATAAATTTATAATGCCTATGAGCACTATATTGCTTACTCCTGATTTATATGGTGATTCTCAAAAACTTTCATTAGCTTTGTAATGATCCAAGAAAAAACGTTGACAATGCTACATCAGTCTTCATCCCCATGATCATGTTGGGCCAGGGATTTTGAGAGTTGGACTTGTACTTATCTTAAGGTTATCAGATTGAAATATAAACTTATAGTGTGTTTTATATAACAGAACTATATGGGGTCTTCATGTGCTAAATCAGAACAAAATAGTGTCCCCTACATTAGCATCTGTTTTCTCAAAGAGGGATTCATTTTATTTTGTACTGGTGTAATATTTTAATGTGCTCCAAAACACATTTAAATGGTAATTACAGTATAGCAGAGCTTCACAATGTAGATGGGAATACAGGATAACCCTCTACAGGAAGATCTTGATTTACAACCTCAATTGGGACAAGAATTTCTGTTACTAAGCAAGGTGGTCATTAAGTGAGTTACACCTGATTTTACAACTTTTGTTGTGGTCATTAAGTGAATCATCACAGTCATAAAGTGAATCATGCAGGTGTTAAACAAATTCAGCTTCCTCCATTGACTTTGTCAGAAGTCAGCTGGGAAAGTTGCAAATGTTGATCATGTGAGCCTGGGATACTGCAACCATCATATATACATGCCAGTTGACAAACACCTGAATTCTGATTACTTGACCATGGAAGGTACAACAGTTGTAAGTGCAATAAGAGGTCATAAGTCACTTTTTTTAGTGCTTTGAACAGTTACTAAATGTACAGTCATAAATCAAGAACTACCTATACAGAAAATGGAAACTTACCTATTATATTCTTTAAATAACTGGGAAACCTTTGCAGAATAGCTGCTTAAATCTTTGGAAAACCGGCAAAGATCATTTAACTGAGTCTTAATATCATCATTAATAGACTCGGCCTTTGTTAGGGCATCCAGAGTTTCCTTTATAAAACAAAACCACAATCAAAAATTATGTTCATGTAGCACTGGTAGCATAAGTGCTCTCACCATTTTTATATAAACTTTTAAAAAGTCCGATAGGATAGCAAACTTCAAGGGGGTCCTTGAAGTCAAATACATGTCCCTCCCAGGAGAACTCTTGATGCCATGGGCTTAATCAAAAGAACTTTTGAGAATCGAACATTCCCACGCAAAGTAACAAGCTATTTTTCCCCCTTTGAAACCCAGCCCCCCTGACCAGTACACCAGTAGCCAAGATAGTACACCAGCAGCCAAGGTTGTTTTGAGAACACCAAAGCACAGGACAGATAACAGTTCATCTTTGGGGCACAGCAACCTTGGTGTCAGGATGGAACCGGCTGGAAGGGAATCCATTCCATCTTCGAAGACGATCCCCCTCGCTAATTCCAAAGCAGCTATAGCAAAAGCGAAAGTATGCAAAAATGTTTCCCCAAAGCGACCTCCTACCCACCTCCACCAGAATGGAAGGGGACCTGAAAAAGGGGACCTGACACAAGGTATGACATATTTTAGGGGAGGTACAGTCAGTCAAACACTTTATCTAAAAAAGCAAATTGTATATCAATTCTTAGATAAACTCCAGGTTTTTAAAAATTGGAAGTCACCTCGACAAATTTTATTGTTTTTCGCAGATAAAAATTCAGTAATGACACATATATTGAAAAATGCTTTTTAAACTGCTTTTTAACAAATAGAGTTTGATTAACCATGGATTTCCTATGGGAATGGACTTATATAGGCTACACTGATTATTTTTCATTAAATCAAGTAAACTTTTTATTGCATTTATGAATGTATTCTGGTCGACATTAGGAGGAAAAAAAATAATGCCACACTTTGTTGTGAAATAATAAATTCATGAACTGATTAATGAACTAAATGTTCAGCTGATTGATCAGTGGATCAGGATTAAAAGTTGGAGGTGGCTAGTTAGCTCTAGTAGTTAAGGCATAAGTTCTAGTCCTACAAAACAAAATCTGGCCAGGTGACTTTGGGCCAGTCACTCTTTCTCAGTACAAGCCACCTCACAGTGTTGTTATAGGAAAAATAGGAGGAAGAAGTATTAGATATATTTGCCACTTGAGTTATTTACAAAAGTAATAAAAGTAATTACAGTGGTACCTCGGTACTCATTGTTAATTGGTTCCGGGAGGCACAATGAGTATTCTAAGCGATGTGTACCAAACAATTTTTTCCCATATGGAATAACATAGTGAGTTGCAAGGAAGTCAACACCAACAATTTCTAGCTTGTGTGTCGAATACCAAACAAATGATGAGTGCTGGGACAAATTTTTCATGTCAAAATGCACTGAGTTTCAAAGCAATTGAATACCAAGGGTTTTCAAGGGTTCAATCAATCCTCTCAATCAAAAGAAAGTTAAAATAAACTCTACCCTTCTAAGCATTTTCAAAATGAAATAATAATCCTGGAATCTGTTGAATAAAAATAATAAACCACATTTTTCTTCTACTGGCCATATGTATACATGGTAAACACAGTAAAAAATTACAAATGATATTCACAATGTAAAACAATCTTGACATTCTCTTCTTGAAAATACAACACTTTAAGGAACCAATGTTTTAAATGGAATGGAAATTGTTTTAATCATATAAATTGTTTAGGAACTCATTTCATATGACATGTATTTTCCCATTTTATTTTATCATTAAAGGTTAGTTTGATACCAATGATTGTTTTTACAGGTAGTCCTCAACTTAAACCACAACTAAGCCTAAAGTATCTGTTGCCAAGCAAGGCAGTTGTTAAGTGAGTTGTGTCCCATTTTTTTTAGCTTTTTGCCATAATTGTTAAGCAAATTGCCACAATTGTTAAGTGAATCATGTTGTTAAGCGAATCTGGCTTTCCCCGTTGACTTTGCTTGTCAAAAGTCAACTGAGAATGTTACAAATGATGATCACATGACCCTGGGACTCTGCAACTATCCTAAGCACATGCCAGTTGCCAAGCACCCAAAGTTTGGTCATGTGGGGATGCTGCAACAGTCATAGTCATGGGAACTGGTCAAAAGTCACTTTTTTTCAGTATTGTTGCAACTCTGAATGGACATTAAACAAATGGCTGTCAATTGAGGATTCCTTTATAATTTTTTTCCCTCTAAGAAGAGGAAGATTTTAGTCCAATTCTGACTGGCTGGATGTAATGGTCTCGCACTTTAATTACAAAGTGACAGGATAGTATATAAAAATCTTATTTCCTTTGAACTGTAGTTTCTCTAGCAGTGTTCAACCTTCCTACAATACACCTCCTTGTGCTTCGTTTACGTTCCAAAGGAGTTTAGGGAATGTTTCTTATGGGCAGGAAGCAGGGAGAGTCAGGGCATCTGTAGAAATTGGAAAAACAGAGAGCACCCATCGCCATCGCACAAAACCAAGCAAGCTAATAGAATATATTTTGAATTACACTAAAACTTAGAAAAGATGTCTTTTTTCACCATACAAAAGACTTATTATGTACACCATTGAGGAAAGCATCCTGGAAAACTGAGTCTGCTTCTGCTAAGAGGCTCCACGTTTAGTTTTTAAAAGAGCAATGAAATGCAGTGTGAGTACACACAGGAAGCTGTGAAATAATTCCACAACATTGGTGACATCCCTGCAGTTTTATATGTAAAGGCAAGTGTCTTGAAACTTTAATGACTAATAGATGCATCTGGATTTTTGAAAACACTTGTGGATGCAGTCACAAAGTGGTTATTCTAAGAGATAGAAACAGTTATGAAGCACCCAATTTTTTCAACATGACCAAGCCAGAGTGCTCATTTCTAATTTCTCTCTTCTCTGGGAAGATGGATACAATTCCCATCAAAGTGCTGAATCTAGTAGCCACCTATTATTTTCAGGAATATCTTATAATAGCCTTTTGGGAAGCAGAGGGATTTTATTATTATTATTATTATTATTATTATTATTATTATTATTATTATTGTTGTTGTTGTTGTTGTTGTTGTTGTTATTTTGCAATAAAGATGTTACAGCTGGCACATTTTGCTTTGAAACGTTCTACTTTCTGAAACTAAAATACATACAAAAAAAGGGGGGGAGGTAGGAAACCTAGGTGGAAGAAGCACAAAGATGTATGTTATCTCCTTTGGACTCCACGCTGGAGACCCTGCAGTTATAGGCCGGTCTGGTGCTGCAATATTAACTTTTTAGTCAAGGGAGCATTTAAAGTTCTCGTTTTTCCATTTCTTGTGTCCTGTACTGTTTTTGTTTGAATGAGAACTCTCTTCTGGCCATTAGCAACTTCTCTCTCCTCCTCCTGCATCCCCCCCCCGCATCCCCCTCCCATCAAAATGTAGGACAGCCTCACAGAAAGAAAGCAGTTTACCTTTTCTCGGTGCCAGCATTCAACCAGCTCTTGGTCTGTGTGCTTACTGTCCAGAGGGGTCAGGCCTTTAGACCAGGTTGCAAGCAACGTGCTGAAACGCTGTAAGGCCTCTTCCAGAAGAACAGCCTGAGCTGCAAACTCCTGCTCTGACCAGGCCATCTGACTCTCCAGTTCCTGCAGCTTGTTTTGGGACTGGAAAGCATTCTCTTCCCACTGTTTCCAGTCGGATTGGAGGGCTTGCATTTCGGCGTCCATGTCTTTGCCTCCTTGAACGCTTGTGTTCTTTTTCACGGCAGGAGCCAGTGTTTCGATCCTGTGGAGGCGACCCTCACCAGTCTGTCTGGAATCTATCAGCTCCTGCAATGGAATATCACCATGGTAACTGAAATGGCCGGGATCCACTTCAGCCGAACAAGCCACATGCAGCATTTTTTACAGAGCTGTGAACTACTCACTCCACAACCGCTGGCAGTTTCACCAAAAGTGTGTGCAAGCTGTGTTAAAATGTAAGGAGAAAGTAAAAACAGAAGCCCAGGCAGAAACAAAACAAAGTAAAATCATGCCTGAGCGAACAACAATCAGCTTTAAAAGATACTTAGAATCCAACGGGGGGTGGGTGGGGGGAGAGTAACATTTTCTGAGAAACGCGGATTTCATTAAAATAAACAAGGCATCTGGTTGCTTTTAAAAGTTCCATCAGCTTAACTGAACAGAAGAAGCAATGCAAGATATAGCAAAAATATTTAAGCAAGTCTGTCCACTCTGTAGTATTATTATTTTAATGAGAAAAAAACTTGCTTATATTAAGCATTTTATGTAATACTTTGTTTTAAATATTAGATAAAGTGGCAACGTTGCTTCATGGCATATAAACTGGATTTGGTTTCTTCTGTATTGCTTTATAATTGCCATTTTGATCTACTTAATAATAACTGTTTACCTGCAGAGGCAGTCTTTATAAATATGATTAAACAGAACTATATGCTCAGCCAAATATAAAAAAAATATGTTGGATTTTTCTATGGATAAAGGGTTCTTTCAATCTACAGATAGTCCTCAATTTACAGCTTGCTAACCAAGGCAATTGTTAAGTGAGTCATCCCTGATTTTATGACTTTTTTTGACACGGTTGTTAAGTGAATCACATGATTGTTAAATGAAATTAACTCCCCCCTCCCCCCCCCCCCCGTTGACTTTGCTTGTCAGACCTGACTGGGAAGGTTGCAAATGACAATCACATAATCTTGGGATGCTGCAACTGTCGTAAATTCATGGCAGGTGCTAAGCAGCCAAATTTGATTATGTGACTGGTGGAATATTATGACAGTTATAAGTGCGAGGACCAATCACTTCTTTCACTGCTATTGTAATTTTGAACGATCACTAAATCAATGGTTGTAAATCAAGGACTATCTGTATATAAGATTTTTCATCTAATAGAGGGATCCCACTGGCAAAATAAAAGCATTTTTTTTTTTTTTTTTTTTTTGTAGAAGTCCCCTCTTTCTTGTTCCTGTGCAAAAGATTACTGAGAGAAAGAGAACAAAAGAATTCAGTGGCTTCTATTCTGCTGCAGGAAGATAGTCAGGGGAACTAAAAGTGCCCAAATCTAAAGAAATTAGAGGGTTTTCCATAATTAAAGCTTGTTATGCGAATGTACAAAAATTAATAACAAAACTACGAAACAATTTCTCACATTGATTTTGGCTAATTTTTTCTGTATGGCAGACAAATCTCCTGATGTGTCTGACCAGCGGTGAAGCTCTTCTTTTGCTGAATGAAGCCAATCAGAAAATTCATGCACTGCATCGAGGTGTAACAGATGGTCTTTTACAATATCTTCAGCTATTTTCATCTTTTCCTGTAAATCAAAAGGAGACACTTCAAAACTGTGTTTAAGGAAACGAAACAGTATTTTTCTTCTGCTTGATGCAATCAACCCAGATTGGTTGAATCTGAAAGTAATGTGAAGAGAGGTGGTTTGCCATCACTATTATTTTTGCCTAATTATGCTGTTGGTCAAAAATCACTAATATCATCTAGAGCAGTGATGGCGAACCTTTTAGACACTGAGTGCCCCAAAACTGCCCTGCCCCCATCCCACCCCAACCACAGGGCCATCTACCGCCTCCATGGCCCGCCACAGATCCCCCAGGCGGCATCTGCGTGCGACGGGATGCAAGGGCGGAGTCTTGTCCCTGCTACCCGGCTGCCGTGCCCTTGGCTGTGCTACTCTGTGCAGGCCATGCACAGGGGGTGGTTCTCCTCTGGGGGTGGCTGCTGGTGAGGACGGGGCTGCAGGAGAGAGAGGGCTGGGGCGATGGTGCACATGCCCACAGAGAGGGCTCTGTGTGCTGCCTCTGTCAGGTGTGCCATAGGTTCGCCACCACTGATCTAGAATTTCAAAGTTGATTTTAAAAATATTATGAACGCTGCACTTGTGCAAATAAATAACTTTCTGGTATTCATTAAGAAAAGCCTCTATTTTTAAGCTCATGGACAGTATGATTTTGAAATAGGTGCAGCTACTTAAAAAAGTTAATTCATTAAAGAAAATCCATTTAAAACAGTCATATATTCCTTTCATGGTTGTATGGACACTGGTAAGATTTCATGTAGCTTTTATCTATTGGATGAATAGTACAGAGGTGTCATGAAGTCTGAAGCACTCTTTTGAATCATTTTCAAAGAGTGCCCAGCCCTAATATCATTACTGTTGCCTCACATAATAAGACTAGCGAAACATGATTCTCTCTGTTGTAGAGAAACAAGAGATTTATTATCAATACAAGAGATTACTAATCATGCAATGTTTGAGCTTGTCTGATTAAATAAAGAAAAGCTCCCTAATCTAAACAAGGTACAATTTATACACAAGGTTTCTTTAGCTCTATTGAGTTTAACTCTAAAGTTAACCTCAAACTTCCTCCCAAGAACTCTGGGATTTTATAAAATGATGAAAGTAAATATGTAAGCACCCGTTTGCTGTTAACATCGAAGCTGTTATGGGACTGCTTGAGAAGAAGGGGAAAAAAATCAGAAAGTAAATTACAAAAAACAGCCAGGAGAGGAAAATCATATTAATTGAATTTAATATAACTTCATTTAATTTATTTAGCGGTGGTGGCACAGTGGTTAGAATGCAGTATTGCAGGCTAATTCTCCTGACTGCTAGCAGTTCGATCCTCACCGGCTCAAGATTAGCCTTCCATCCTTCTAAGGTTGGTAAAATGAGGACCCAGATTGTTGGGGACAATAGGCTGAGTCTGTAAACTGCTTATAGAGAGCTGTAAAGCACTGTGAAGTGGTATGTAAGTCTAAGTGCTATAGTGCTATTTCAAATATACATATGGTAGCCCATCTAAGAACACAATTCTGGATAGCTCACAACAATAAAACAAAAAAAAAGAATAAAAAGCAAAAGCAAAAATCTGATGGTTCAATCATTCACTTTCAATGCCTTCAACCTCCACTGACTTCCATCTCACCCCTTCCTAGAGCCTGGGGCAGAGCCAACTTTTTATGGCCGCCTAAAAAGCTAAAAGGATGGGGACTTGTTGGATCTCTTGTGCAAAACGGTTCCACATGGCAAAAAGGACCCACTTCCTAGGTCACACCGGAAGGCAACATTTAAGGGAAGGGGGGCAGAATTTGCCTACCCTATCTGATCTTGTATCATCTCAGATAAAGAGAGATGATCATGTAAATTATCTGACCTTTTGTAATGTAGAGCTTTAAATGTAATAACCAGCACCCTGAATTTTACCGATAAAGAAACTCGAATAGTGTAGCTTTACAACAATGATATAATAAGGGCAAACTATGAGGTGTACAACACTAGTGAAAGGAAGGAAGGAAGAGATTAAATAGAAAATATGTAAACACTAACTCATTACAGTCAAGGAACTTTTTATTCCTTAGCCATTCAGTCTCAGAGACTGTAATGCTTCTTTGTTCATTAGACCCTGAAAATTTTCTGAATGTATTGATAGTTTCCAGAATTGTAACCATTGTGTGGGCTAAGATATTCTCTTGCATCTTTCTTTTAAGTTGGAACTAGTAGCTTTCTAAAATGTAGTTAAATGTCATAAAAGAAATGGCATACAAATATTGGGTTTCCCTCATTATTCAATTCTCTGTTCAATCTGTCTTCTATTCTTTTCCTGTTATCTGTTCTACGCTCTCTCCCCTTCCTTTGTTATTTTTAATTGTTTTCATGACTTTGACCCTACTTGTTTCATTTTGGGTGATAGTTATGTTGGGTTTTTCCCATTTTTTTCAATGAGATCTCTAGTTCTATTTCAAATCAGAGATCAGGCCCACACTAGTTTATGTTTTACTTCAATTACAAATGACTGGATTGAATTAATAAATTCAGCTGATTTTTTTAAAGCACATTACAATTTAGTATAATGTGTGAATCCTGTCATAGATTCATTGGATCTGTTTGGTAATTCATATAATTATGTTGATCATATAATTATATTAGCATACATTTTAACCTTTGAACCTTCTTGATTAAAACTTCTCTAATTATGGGTGGCCTACATATTACAACATATTCACCTTAGCAACCGTTGCAATATTTGTGAATTGTGTTTTCAACTCCTCTTGAGCAGTTTCTCCAAAAGAATCATCCTGTGTTTTCTCGTGCAGTTCTCTGGCTTTTACTATGAGCTGGTGTAGGTCATTAGAATGTTCTTCCACTTCTGAAACAATAGCTTGGAAGCAGTCCAGCTGGGAAAATTTCTCTTTCAGGCCATTCTGAGGTTCCAAAGGCTCTTTCAATTTGTGATTTATTGAATCCAACCACTGATCCAGCTGACTTTTCTTCTCCAGGTGGCAATTCCACTGATTTATGACAAACTCCAGTAAGCTTAATATAACAGAAACACACATTGAAATCAAAATATGAAAAGTTATTAGGGAAACAAATTGAGTTTAAACATCAAGAATGTTGCAAAATGTATGTTCCAGTATGATTCTCTACTTGTAGATAAGCAAGAATAAGGACATGCTGTGAGTATGGGGGAAAGGAAGAAAAGGCTTCCCAAATGATTGAAAGGGTGGTTAATAAATTTTTCTGCATATTTTATATAAAATAGTGCCCTCCCTTCCTTCTCTTAACAACATTTCTGTTGGGGGGGGAGGAAGGCTAATACGGCCAATTCATTCTATTCAATGCTGGGTTTGAAGTGGTTCCTCCAGGAGCTCTCCATGTCTCACATTACATTTTGGGAAGGTCCTAATTTCCTCTAGTGAGGAGGAAAAAGAGGCAGGAAACTTCCTTTTATGAATTTCCCCCTTTTCATTAATCTTGGGTTCTGAGCAATATCTTTTACTTAGAGTTAATTCAGGAAATCATAAAGTCTCAATGAAGAAAAATGACCAGAATGAAGCAGCAACATAAAGGTTTTACCTTTGACAGCTGACCGAGGTGCTGACGATGCTGCCCCAGAGGTCTTTTAATCTTTGCAGCTGACTCTGAATCATTTTCTGTCCCTCTTCATTACTTGTTTTAAGGGCTTGTTCAGCTTTGCCAATGGCCATGTTCAACTTGACCTCTCCTTCCCCTTTCATTAATAGGATTTCCTAGGACACAACAGCGCCAGTTGAACACTTTTCAGAGAATACCTTAAACCATCTGGTGCATGGTTTTACCTGTTCTGCAGGTATGACAAATGGTCAAGGTTTTATCCAGATAGCTTTGTCCATTGGGAATATAGTAACCTAGATTTTGCTCCCTGTTGATTGTCCCTTAGGGGATTATTATCATAAAATTATGTAGGTATTTGTTATTATGAGAGACTTTGTAATGATCTTGAAAGAATACTTTGAGAATGGATGGGTTGTTGGGGACAAAAACTCATGGATATTTTCTTATTTGGAAATCAATATTGGATTGGCATTTTACCACTGATGATGATGATGATCACCACCATTTCTTCTTAATAATAATAATAATAATAATAATAATAATAATAATAATAATAATAATAATAGTAAAGTTGGAAGGGACCTTGGAGGTCATCTAGTCCAACCCCCTGCTCAGGCAGGAAACCCTACACCATTTCAGACAAATGGCTGTCCAGTCTCTTCTTAAAAACTTCCAGTGTTGGAGCATTTACTGCTTCTGGAGACAGGCTGTTCCACTGATTAATTGTTCTAACTGACAGGAAGTTTCTCCTTAGTTCTAGGTTGCTTCTCTCCTTGATTAGTTTCCACCCGTTGCTTCTTGTCCTGCCTTCAGGTACATGATGATATTAAAAACTCTCTGAAAATGTTCCATGTTAACTTGTATCCAAATATAACATGAATTAACAATAAAAAGTAAATATAAAGGGCAAAGTAGAAAAAAACTGATGGAATTATAATTTAAATACCTTGTTTGCTTATTTCCTGCCTTTAACTCAATGTGGTGATCCTATCCAACACACCTTCCTCCTCCTATTTTCCCCACAACTGTAACCCTGTGGGTAAATTGGGCTGAGAGAAAATGACCAGCCCAAGGTCACCCAATCAGCTTGCATGTCTGGTCCTGGCTGGTCAATCACTGACTTTGGGAAACAGTTTCAGTTTTACCTAAATTTTAGTCAAAACATTGTTAAGACAAAAGTTCTTTGATGTCAGTACTTCTATTCTGTTGCTATTTTACCTGAATTTGGAGGTGTCTTTTCTCCAAGGTCACTTTGTCCCCAAGGGTGCCCTCAGCACAGCTGAGTTTTCCTTGAACATCCTTCACCCAGGTCCACATATCCTGCAAAGCTTCCTCCAAAGTCTGGTGATCTTGGAGGGCTATCTGAGAGAGCCGCAGCTTCTCCTTTACTTCCTGGATTAAATTCTGATAAGCAGAAAACTGCTGAGAGGCCAAGCGAACCTCCATTCCGGTGCTGTAGTCTTTCTCACTTAAAATTTTTGCCTTTTGAGAGAGTTTATCAAAGGATTCTCTAAAAAATAAAATGTAAAAAGCTGTTATAAATGCATCTATAAATACATAATTATGAATACATGTGGGCAAACCATGCTATTGCAGAAAGGTATCAAAATATGGTTTAGGTATGAAAGCTAATATCTTCACACAAAAGATCAAATCACAATCATTATAATTATGAGTTTAATGTAACTTGCTAGATGTTATATTGAATTCCAGGTCCCTATTATGAGCACTGATTCTCAGGCAACTTAAATTACTATCTTGTTGTTTTATATGATGTGATTACTTGATACCAACAATATAAGCACTGTATCAGTCCGTTGTGATTAGAGGTGAATATAGCAGAAAAAAGTGGCAAGCTGAATCTGTGCTTTAAATGTGCATTGTGATGATATAAACCTTTTTCAGAGATTCTAGAAAAACGGGTATAAAAATTACATGCCTCGCTTTCAAATATATGAACTACTTTCATTTATTTCTCAATAGAACAATAAGAATTGTGCCTTATAAAATAAATTCAAATCTCTGTTATTTATTGAATTATGTAAATAATGAAGTTTGCAGAGTTGTGGCTTTCTGCTTTCAGCTGTTTCAGAGCAACTGAACTACACAAATAAAATGTAGGGTCATTGTTATAATGGTACGGCAGATAAAAAGAGAAGAATTAGTTAATAAATTATGGTTTTATACCTTGCAAGCAGAAGTTCTTCCAAAAAGGCTTCTACTTTCTGTACCTCGTCTTTCTTATCTGGGATGTGCTGTCTGTGTTCACCCAGAGCTTCTGTGTTTATTCTTTCCTTCTTTTCACGAAGCCACAAACTCCAGCTTTTACACCGGTCTTCAAAACTGTAATAAAACAAGCAAATAAAACAGTACCACTATTGTTAGATAAAATACAGGATGCAACATGCACCTACTTGATCTGTATGTATCTTAAAAATAACACCAATTTTTTGAACAACACTGACAAAGAACATACTTCTCTATAGCTGTAAGTATTCTAAAAATATGTAACAAGGATCCAAATATGGCAAAGGAAACCATGAGAATTATTGTGACTCTGGAACTTTACCAATTCTAAACTGGCACAGTGTGCAGTTATCATCACAATCAATGAAGAAACTGAAAATACTAGAATGATTGGTCCCAAAAACAGTTTTCAAGCAATTAAATCTTCGAATGATAATTATGTGAGCAGTAAAGCAGGCCCATTACACTTATATTCTTCTACTACACCCCACCAACAGCCCTCCTGTGCATTTAAGGGACAAGATGCTCTAAATAGGATTGCAGATCATACCAAGATTCTGCAAAGCAGGAGCTTCCTCTCCAATAAGCAGATGGTAAGCAGGGTGGCTAGCCAACCTTCTATGTGTTTCTGATCATGTTGAAATGAACACTCGATACTTCCTTGTTTCCACTACAGATAAATTAGGCATTTCTACTGAAAACAGTACCTTCTAAATCAAAACAAAATGCAATAATACATCTTACAGAACATTCACTCTGCCACTGTGTTGGCCATTATTCCATTTTCCCCCCAATTATATCCTAAAACTACATTTGAAGATGACCAGACAGAAATAGTAGAATAAATGTGCAGCCCTTATTGAGACTATTTTGTATTTTTGCCATTTAATTTAGGTATAGCGTAAGGCAATATATCTATATACTATATTAAAATGGATCTCAGAAACTTACCTTTCCAATTCTGCAATGCATTCTTCCAAATCTTGTTTATCTTTCAAACATTGTTTTAGAAATGCTTCAAAGTCCTGATGAGCTTTAGATATCTGTTCTTGAATACCATTCACAGACGGTTTAGGCAAATAAGTACACAGATTTTCTCCTTCCTGGCAGGCTGACTCCAGTTTAGCCTTTCCTTCATTAAAAGAGTCTAGCACTTTCTGAGTAAAACCAATACACAAATAGATAAGGGTAAAGAAAAATGGGAAGGGAAATAGATATGAAGAGAGAGCATACCTAACTTTCATCTTGTATTTAACTTTCAAAAGTACAACAAGCCAAGTACTACTTGATTTATGCATATAAGAACTTCAATCTATGGTGAATGGTAAGATATGTTGATGATATCAGAAAAATAATTGGAATAATTTACAATGGAATTTTTTTCAGACTGGACAAATGGGAAGCAAAATGGTAAATTACTTATGTATGTACAGTATGATGATTTGTGGCAGAATAAATAAATAAGAACACCCCAACAATAGGCTATCTTATAAGTCTTCTATGTTAAAGAAACATTTTTTGAATTGTATAAATGCTACTAATGTTAACATTGTAAAACTAGCTAGTACTATTATTATTTTTATGGGATGTTGATTTTACCAATACAAATATGTATTTTTATAGTACTTACACATTTGCACTTAAATTTTATATAATAACTAATAGGCCATTTGAAATTATATAGATAACTTTTATTAATGTAAACTTTTCAGTGGTAAGAACATATCTGAAAACCTAAAAAGCATTTATGATTTTGCTGTATGATTTTTTTTTCCCTGTAACTTCATGGTAGTATTGAGTCCTGGTAACTGCTTGGACCAGTCCCTGCAGTTTCTTGATAAGGTTTTGGAAAGTGGTTTGTTCTTGCTCTTTTCCTAGAGCTGAGAGAGAGTGACTGGCTGAAGGTCACCCAGTTAGCTTCCTGTTGAAGGTGGGATTAAAACTCACAGTCTCCCAGGTTCTACCTTAGTTCTTTAACCACTGCACCAAACTGTCTGTAGGTTACACCAAATATGAGAGACAGTTAAATTGTTTGACTCTTATCCAAACTCTTGGTTTGGATAAGAATTCTATGAAAAAACTATAAAAGGTCATTAATATTGCATTCTGTCTGTTGCACATCATGATATAAAATCATTGTTTGACCTTTGTTAAGATAGTGGTTTAACAACAAGCACAAAAAGAATTGCTCAATGATTTCCTAATATTATCCAGAAAAGTCTGCAAGGGACAACATGGAACTCATTCATTCCTGCAACCTTACCTGTAGTTTGTGGAGTTTTGCTTCAACAGCTTTACTGTCCCCAGATGCAATATTTATATCTTTTACTGCAATTCTCAGATTAGAATACCAGTTTTGAAACTCCTCCATAGATTCTTTTTTTTTTAAAAAAAAAAAGGAAATACCAAGCATTATCATATAATAAGGCTGATTTATATATTCCATACTTAAAATTCAACAAGAATGTAACAGTACAATGGTTCTGGACTCATGAGACCTTACAAAAGCCTATAGAAAAGATGGCAAGAGACTGCAGGTTGTACCCTTGTAAACATAACAAACAGAACAAAATGAAAATAAAAGTTGAAATGGATTATCTAATCCCTGCTAGCCTAAGTTAAGGATAGAGAAAGATGTCACAGGAAACCAGGGAGATCAAGATAATCTCAGGAATACAGAACAAGGAATAGGGAAGCCAAGAAGAGGAGCTAAGTAGCCAGGATAGAATTGTGCAATTCATATAGGAAATGAAAGCACATAGTCGGAGAAAGCAAGGAAACTTGTCCATGCACACCTTTATACACTCACACACAGAAAGCATATACTTGCAAGCATGCATAAAAAATGAGTGATGTCCCCAGTATTTGTGCTTGCCCCTATCCACATATATAATATTAGTAACTGCCAGGATACTTTTTCAAAATTACTATTGTGTCTGTGAAACCAAGCAATAGAGGACTTGGAAATATCTATAAAATATACTTTCAATAATGGAAATTAAATGAAAACCTAGCCCCCAAATGAATTCATGATGTAAATGGAAACTTTATTTTAATACTGGCATAATTGTCTTCAGCATACATTCCTGTGGGTTACATGATTCATATATTAAATTCAGTGAGAACTCAATCTGGATTTATAACTGGGAGATATATGAAAGATAATGTAAGACAAATTGTTAACTTAATTGAGTATCTGGATAAGAACAATCAAATCCCTGCTGCTTTGATATTTTTGGATGCTGAGAAAGCTTTTGATCAGTTAAATTGGCAATTTTTATTGAGAGTTGTAGAAAAAAATGAATTTTGGGGATAAATTTTTGTATGCTCTTAAGGCTATATATCAACAACAGTCAGCAAAAATTATAATTAATGGGGGATTAACAGAAGTATTTAAAATTGAAAAGGGTACAAGACAGGGATGTCCATTATCCCCATTGTTATTTGTTTTAACAATGGAGATTTTACTTATTAAAATTCATGAATCATCCATAATAAAGGGAATAAAAATAAATAGGAATGATTATAGGTTGAGAGCTTTTGCTGATGATTTGGTTGTGACATTATCTCAACCAACAGATTCGGTAAGAGATTTGGTGGAAATTATAATCCAGTAGGGGAAAGTTTCTGGTTTTAAGGTAAATAACAATAAGACCAAAATACTATCGAAAAATATGTCTATGAAAGAAAAAGATATGTTAGTTAAATTAACAGGTTTTGAAATAGTGAAAAAGGTCAAATATTTGGGAGTATATATTACAACTTCTAATGTTAAATTGTATAAAAATAATTATGAGATATTATGGGTAAAAGTGCAAAAGGATTTAAATGATTGGAAAAAATTACAGTTATCTTTGCTGGGGAGAATCTCAGCAGTTAAAATGAATGTTCTCACAAAGTTTCTTTTTTTGTTTCAAATGATACCTATTTTGAAAAAAGATGCTAACCTGGAGGAATGGCAGAAGGGTATTAATAAGTTTATTTGGGCAGGGAAGAAACCAAGAGTTAGGTTTAAGATTATACAAGATGCACAGGAAAGAGGAGGACTCAAGGCGCCTAATTTAAAATTGTATTATGATACAGTGGCTTTAACATTGATTAGTGATTGGCTTAACTTAACAAATAAAAATATTTTTTTTCTTGAGGGATGGGATTTATTATATGGATGGCATGCATATTTAATTTATAATAAAAAGGTAGATCAGGTTTTTAAATCTCATATTTTAAGAAATGCTTTATTAAGTGTCTGGAAGAAGTATTACTATCGGTTAAATTATAAAATTCCAATTTGGGGAATTCCTGGACACGCGATAGAGGGGGTATCTAGGGGAGTGAATTTGGATAGGATTTCTTATAAGGAATTACTTAGTTTGGTAGGGAAGGATTGGCAATTAAAATCTTTAGCTGACTTGAAGCAAGAAAATATTGTACACTCTTGGTTTCAGTATAATCAATTGTTAGTTAGGTGGAGTTTAGATCAAAAGGTTGGTATTACCTTAGAGGACGTGAATTTGGTAAAACAGATTAAAGATCAAACTCGAGCACATATAAAGAGAATTTATAATGTTTTAATAGAATTGGATTCTGAAACGGAGTTAGTTAAAGATTGTATAGTAAAATGGGCTTAAAATGTTCAAGAGCCGATTCTATTGGATACATGGGAGACAATTTGGGTTAGAAATGTAAAATTTATTCAAACTCAAAATTTAAGAGAAAATTTTTATAAAATGTTTTATAGGTGGCATTTGGATCCTCAAAAGTTGTCTTGTATGTATCCTAATTTACAGCCTAAATGTTGGAGATGTGGAAGCTTAGATGCAATTTATTTTCATATTTGGTGGACTTGTAGAAATATAAAAGCTTTTTGGATTAAGATTTGGTGGAGCATTCAAAAGATTTTTAAGAGAAAGATAAAGTTTACCCCACAATTATTTTTGTTAGACTTTGTTAGACTGTAGACTTTGATGTTAAAGAAATTAATTTGATGTTGAATCTTATAACAGCTGCAAGATTACTGGTGGGACAATATTGGAAGAAAGATTATTTGCCTACTATGGAGGAATGGATACTCAAGGTGTCTAATTTAGCAGAAATGGCAAAAATTTCGGCTTATTTGAAGGATTATTCACAAGAAAGATACATTTCGGTTTGGAGAAGATGGATAGATTATATTCAGAATAAATATGAGACTAAAAAGTATTATTTAGCTTATGAGTAAATTTTAGATTATTATTAATAGTTTAATAGGGTTGAATTTATATTATTTTTAGTATTATGGTTTAATTATATTATTATTTTTGTTTTTAATTTGTTAATATTTATTTTGAAAAGGAGTTAAAGTATGTTATGGATTTGATTGTTAGTATAGTTGGGTAATGTTAGTTAGATTATGATTGTTTATTTGTAACCCTGTAATCAGCTCTGGGAAGTGGGGGAGGGGGGAGGGGGTGGGAGGGATTTGGGATACATATTGTATAAAATTTTTAAAACTTTTAATAAAAAACAAATTCAGTGAGAACTCACGTAAGAAATGTTTTTCTAGGGACTCCTGTAAAGATCCCTGAGTTTTCAAACTCATCTGATTTACAGCTTCAAATTTCTTTATCAGGGAGGTTATAGTGCCTCCAAGAGTTTCCAACTCCAATGATGGATATTTGCGGCAGAGGCCATTAAGCATTTCCAGTGTAGAATCAAAATTCTTCTGCTGTTGGCGGATCTCCTTCTGTATTTTCTGAAGGAACAATGATATTATTAGAGCATTTAAATACATTAGAACATTACTTAAAACCTGTTTTATTGACTGAATATGGAGATTCTCAATCATTCAGGTCATGATGTATTTTTTCCAAAAGGCAAGTGGACTTTCTTGGTGTTTTTGTTCGAAAATGTTTTGCTTCTCATCTAAGAAGAAAAACTGAAAATGGGAGAAGTCCTTGGAATACTAACTAATAGCCAAACTTTAGCAACTACTTTTAAGAGAAATGTTGATGGATCTAAACTTGCCAAACTTCAAGATATCTAAGTCCCAATTCTTTGTGCTAAAACGTCTGGTCAGGCAAAACTGGACTAATCACTAAACATAAGTTGAATAATCTCTAGATCTGGAAAAAAAATAAAGCAGTCCAAAATACTGCATTTTCAATTAAAGAACTGTCCTGATCATGTTGCTATATCTATATGATGTGAACAGAAGAACACTTTTTCAACTGCTGTTATTTCCTCAATCTGAAAATCTAATTTTTCTTGGAGATTGAGGAAATTCATTTAGAGAAAGAAAAGCTATATTTCTTCAAAGTACATACTTTTTACTCAAAAGACAAAAATTACAGCCATGTGATCTGAGACATTTTAAATGCTTTTAACAGAACAGCATTAACTCTGACCCCACATTTTTTTTCTTCCCATTAAATGGCAATTAACCTCTAATGGATGAAGATTTGAAATAGTGGATTTGTTCACGGGGTTTATTTTAAGGGATAACAAAGTAAATGCCCCATGTTTTTATTCTAATTTGCTCAACGTCTGTTTATTAGTTTTATGCTACTTACATTGACTGTCCCAAGGTCTGATGGAACCTGACTATGAATGCAGTTTAATAGTGATTCTTCTGTATTGACAAACCAGTTTTCCATCTGAGTAACGAAGTTATATAACTGTGTCTTCTGAGAATTAAAATCTTTCAAAGTTTCTTTAGCTATATCGTACATTGCTTTGCTATGCATTATCTTCTTCTTTAAATCAGCATCTAAAAACTAGAAGTAAATATGGATACACTAAAGTAACAATCAAGACCATTCAAAAATAAATTTATAAAAGTGACAGTCATGACTGTAAGGTGTATTTGAACTGTTTTGGTGAAATACAAAAAAAAAAAAAAGACAAACCACCCTATTAAAAGAAAAAGAACAAACTTTTTTTAGGCCATTTTTAGGGCTGACTTTAAAGAAGGTTTTATAATATATTGGTAGTTATTAATAAAATATAGTGTATTTTTTTTCAGGCAACAAGTAAAATGTCTTTGATCAGGGATACAGATTTTTATAAATCTTTCTCTGCTCTGTCACATAGCATTAGATGGTTTCTCAAGCTGTAGTTTGTTATGAACTTCAGCTGTATTTTCGATAAAAAATTTGGAATGAGAAAACAAGAAAAGTTACTTTGAAACCTAGAAATTTATAGATACTTATCAATATGGCTAATCATAAACCAAGTGGAAAATCACTAGAGCTTACTCTATCTCTTTGCTATCAAACATGTATGTGAAGACACATTAAATTATGTACAAGCTGTATTGATTTCTTTACTTTTGAATTTCTTATAGAGACGTTCCGTATGTAAAAACTGCACCTTTATTTTTAAATTTCCCATTTTGCTTCCAGATTGGTATCTGAAACGGATTGTTGGAACTAAAATGGGCAGCAAATAAATTTCATAAATTTATAAATAAACTTGATTATAATACTAGAAATTATGCATATACTATATTGTATCACACAGTGTTTTTTAAAGGAAAAAAATTCACAACAAGGCCATGTATAATAGAAGAATCAAAATCAAAATGACCTAGAAAAGATTACATAATGGGTAAATTCTGCCTTTGAATATAATCTTTTAATTGGAACATTTCCTCAAATATTTTTATTGATTCAAACAATGCTTATGAAATGGATTGCTTTTATCCAGTGCTCCAAATAAATTATAGATTATAACAGTCTAACACTACTTTTGATCTAATGGGTGAACAATTTATATTTTCTTCTAATTTGGGGTTGTTGGGGAGAGTGAAATGAATGCCTGAGCTCTGCAGAACTTACATATCTGAATTCTTACAGAAATATTATATATCTATTTTGTCATCTTCCACCATTGCAGAAAAAAAGGTTCCAGAGCAAAGCCATGCCCAATGTAGGAGATGACCAGGCAGAACAGAAGGGAAGGGTCAAATGTGTCATCAGTCTCAAGTCCTTTTGTGCCCACAAGAGATCTAAGTCTGGCCCACCTTGAATTCCATTGACTCTTATCTACCTCCTATTTCCTTTGACCTTTAGTAGACCAGATTACTGTAGAGAGCATATGCTTTTTTTTTCATAGAACGCCCAGAACGGAGTTCCGGCACCTTTTTGGGATGGAACCTTGTGGGGTAGGCAAGGCAGGTTGTATGATGTGTGTGAGTTCTGGCACCTTTTTTTTTTTTTTTAGAAAAAAAGCACTGAGTAAACCTATATTTATCTGAAGTTTCTGGACTCCTGATTTCCTGGATTTGACACCCCTCCCCCCCATCAGAAAAGCCTATCTTACCAGAAGAATTGGAGGAAGTTCTTCTACATTTACCAATTCTTTAAGCTCATATATCTTTGAACTCATTTGCTCCAACTTCTCTTCTTTGTGCTTCAACTCAGACTACAAAGGAACACATGGGGGAATTAATGTCTTCATTTCTGTCATATCTTAACATTTGCCATTATTCAGGTAAGGAAAATTTAAAAGATTGCACTTGAAATATAGCAAACATAAATATTTTGTTCCTGGCACATTCTTGCTCCAACTGAAAGAAAGAGTTATACCATTCTGTGTATAGGTAGTCCTCACTTACTGACCACAATTGGGATCAGTACCTTCATTGCTAAGTTAGTTGGTTGTTAAATGAGACATCTCCTGACTGCGACTTGTGATTTTATACTCTTGGCTTCTTCATTGTCTCTGCTTGTTGGGAGCTGACTGTGAAGTGCAAAATAGCAATGAGGTGACTGTGGGATATTGCAACAGTCATAAAAACCTTACAGTTACAAAGAATCTGAGTCTCAGTTATGTTACCACAGGGACATGGCAACAGTCGTAAGTGTAAGGGCCAGTTGTAAAGTTACTTTTTCAGCCCTATTGTAACTTTGAATGGCCAGTAAATAGAGCAGTGTTACTGTTTATAATGCCTTGGTCAGAACACACTTGTTAAACTGCATCCAGTTTTAGTTGCCATGATATAAAAAAGAGGTTGAGACTCTAGAAAGAGTTCAGAAAAGAGCAACAAAGATGATTAGGGGACGGGAGGCTAAACATATAAAGAACAGTTGCACAACATTAGAATAAATATGAATTTAATTTTTTTTATCGGTATATTATCTGAAATAAAGTTATATGGATCCATTGATTTCTGAAGCACATTGTTTTCTAATTTATTACTTTGTAATATAGGTTCGAAAACATATGAAAAATGGTTGCAGGATTTTGGTTTGACTAGTCTAGAGAAAAGAAGGACTAGGGGGGACATGATAGCAGTATTCCGGTATTTGAGAGGTTGCCAGAAAGAGGAAGGGGTCAACTTATTTTCCAAAGCATCCGAAGGCAGGACAAGAAGCAATGGATGGAAATTGATCAAAGAGAGAGGCAACCTGGAATTAAGGAGAAATTTCCTGACATTTAGACAATTAATCAGTAGAATGACTTGCCTCCAGAAATTGTAAGTGCTCCAACACTGGAGGTTTTTAAGAAGAGATTGGACAACCATTTGTCTGAAACTGTATAGGGTTTCCTGACTGAGAAGGGGGTTGGACTAGAAGATTTCTCTGTTATTCTGTTATTCTGTAATATGCCACTAGATGAATTACATAATCCAGAAGTCTTCAATATGCCGCTAGTCATTAAACACATATATATATTTTACAACAAGGAGCATTTTGCTACACAAATATAAGCACATAGCTTAAAGTAGCTAAACATATTGTACTCAATTCTCCTAATTTTAACATGTGCTAAGAATTTTAAAATTGGATATAGTAAATATTCTGTATTATGGCACCTGAAATTCATCCAAGAAAATTTCAGCTCCACGACAGTTCGCCAAGTTATTTATGATGTCATTCAACTGGGAGATGGTGTTATTGCACCATCCTTCAATATTATCACGGATGGCAAGTATGTCTTCCCACAAAGTCACACTAACGCTCAACTTATCTAAGTTGTCTTCAATTTTTTCTGAAACCTGTTAAGCAATAAAAGAAACCATTTCATTTCATTCTGGTTTACTCCATTATAGCTTGTAAGCTACTCATTTCCAAAGAGCTCTGTGTAATTTACATCAAATAATAACAATATTGAAATAATAATAATAATAATCTACAAAACAAACATTCCCTAATGGCACTTCCCAACAAAGGCAGGTCCATCTTCATTGTCTCCAATGCTTTCTCAAAGAGAAATGTTATCAAGTCTCTTTGGAAGCCCAGCAAGGAGGATATCATGTCAGATGAGAGAAGCATTACTCATAATCAACTGTTCTGGGTTTAGTTTGAGTCTAGGTTTACCCATCCAGACCCTAGTAGCTTCTAGGCATTGACCAGCAAAAGGTGCAGAGATGACTACCATCTCACCCAGTGGTTTTACATAGAAGGGAAGAGAGGATCAAGCTCTGTTGGGCTCCAAAGGTGAGGGCCCTAGTGCCTCTCTCCCCCTCCATTAGCAACATGATAATTAGGCTATTACTTGATTAAAGAACACCCAATTGATGGATCTCATGAGTTGTCATTAATTTATTATTTGGTGAGGCTAGCATCTCCCACTCCTGGTCACTGGAATATTGTTTATGGTCAAACAAGGGTAGGTGGTATCATTTTCACCATATGTGAAAAAAGAAATGAGACAAAAATGAAAGAAACCTTTTTTTTCAAAATTGTTCAAATTCTTAAAATTTTATAGCACTTTAATGTAATCCAATTTCTCAACTAAACTGCTATTAAATGAAAGTCTTCAATTAACTACAAATGTGTAAATGGTACCTTAACCATGAACTGGGACATTAATAATAGAAACTACCAGGTTCATAAACAGAAACTTGTTTCTCTTAATTATGAAAAGAAAAACAAACTTATGTTAAAATTATGCCACAACATCACGAACCACACAGTATTATGTGAAATACAATAAAAAACAATTCATTTCCTAACTACTTCTACAAGAATCAACTTGCTAGTAATTATACCCACAAGATACTGATTGAAGTAGTATTGGATTAAAATCCATAGTAAAAAGAGAGAAGTTGTTTTAAAATGAGAAGACATTCAAAATGCTAAATTGTAATGTGGTTTAATTGTTTCTGCCTTAGCATGATAGGGAAACAAAATCACCATAGCTTATTCAACAAACCATAGTTAACGTCAGCTTAAGCAAGCTGCTGATACTTATAGCAATGTGTGTTATACCATAATATCTAAATTCTGTCTAAGAGAAAAGTTATTTTAGAATAAAGTACAGATTTATGATCATAGCTGGGACCAGAATTTCCATTGCTAAGCAATGCAATTATTAAGAGCCCAATTTTACTACCTTTTTGACATGATTTATTACAGTTGTTAAGCGAATCCAACTTCCCCATTTATTTTTCTTGTTGGAAGCCAGCTAGGAATCTCACAAATGGTGATCACATGACCCCCCAAGACACTGCAACTGTCGTAAGTACGTGCTGGTTACCAAGTACCAATTTTGATCACATGACCAAGGGGATGTTGTGACAGTTATAAGTGCAAGGACCAGTGATAAGTTACTTTTTCTGTGCCATTATAATTTGGAATGATTGCTAATGAAATGGTTGTAAGTCAAGGATGACCTGTATTCTGTTCCTCATAAGAAACTTTTATTTTAGTTTGTATTTTATTGGAACATTCAGCTATCCAAGCTTTATTTCAAATATATCACTTACGTCTAACCATTTGTCCACAGTACTGTCCATCTCAATTTTTATCATCCGAGCATCACAGTTTGGTATCTTTTTCAGCTCTGCAATGAGGTGTTTTCCTTTGTTAGTGAAGGCATCCAGTTCAGCCTGTCTATCATTCAGCTCGTTCCTGGCTGCTTCATGCTACAAACAGGAATGTATTATGGTTATCCATAGCATAAACAGATTCACCATCCATCCTCCCTAATTTATTTTAGACTGCAATCCTTTATTTAAAAAAAACAAAAACACCCCATGCATAGTGCAGAGATACAACGTATTTAGGACAAGTCATAAAATTCTAAGTCCATCCTATCTCACTCACTGCTCAAGAATTATTGTTAATGTTGGCTTGTAGCCACCATTGTAACTTTCAATAACAACTGAATATGGCATCATACAGAACTGGCTATAAGGTTGGAATATTGTAGGATGTGAAAAGAGCAGCCATAAGAGAATTTGAACTCAGTGAAGCTAAAGAAGGCCTAAACAGCCAGGAGAGGTCCTTCCTGTGGGAAGCCCTTGCTGTGGTCTATACCAGGGAAAAGACAGTCACATTGATTTTCATTCACCAATAGAATCGGAGCTTTGAAATAAACTGCCTTCCTGTTTGTTTGGCTTTGGAGGTCGTCTTTTTTTGTGAGCATATCTCAATTTTCACTGGAATACTTTAAATAGTTTCTCTCGTGCACGTTTCATTTTAACTAAAAACTAACCACTCATTGCAAAGAAATAAAGATCTATCTTCAAAAGTAGAGATTTAAGGAGTTGATTGTGAAACTAATATGCATTCAACAAACATTTTTGAAGACAAAGTTATTTTAACCTACCTTTGATAAGGCCCTTTGCGCATCTCCCTGGTCTTTTAGCATGGCTTTGGTCACTGTTACAGTGCGGGCATCCTCTATTGCTTTAGAAACTGCATTTTTCAGATTGTGATACTGTCTCATAATATCAAGAAGGACACAACATTGCTCCTGCCTGCAAAGGAAAGAATTACTGTGACATAGACACCAGAACTTACCTTGATGGCTGATGGTGGTTTAATAGGTAACATTTCATATGGATTATGATTTAATTCCTCTGATTCTTCCACAAGTATGAGGCATTTACTACAATCCCTATGTGGCATTAGAAAACTGAAGTATACATAGCAGGAGTTAAAGTAATGCAATTATATTACATTAAGCAATTAGCAAATTGCTTGATCTGAGTATTGCTTGCATGGCTACCTACTGCCAGATGAAAAATATAAATTTAGAACAGGAAAGGGTGTCTACTCTAGGCTTTTCCAGTATATTGTTCTCTGTTCTAGAAGTATATGCTCTCAAAGTTATGTTTATGATCCCAAAAGTAAGCATTTTCATTGATTTTACAAGAGATCTATATATTATTGCTAAAAGCTGATTGAAAGGCTGATAAACTAAGAGTTAAGCTTGACATATTGGTACATAAATAAGTAAACAACTAACTTACTTTTCTTGGATTAGTTTCTTTGTATCATCCCAAGTTGCTTCCAGACAATTAATCTCTTTGTCAATTGTTGGGGCAAAATGATTATCTTTTAAAGCAATTTGCTTTGCTTTGCTCATTAGCCATTTCAATTCATGCTGGTGAGAATTCAGTTCATCATCCAGCTGGTTGAAAATCCTTAACCTGTAAATCAAAACATTAATTATATTTTTAATTTGCTTCTGTGTCCACTATTACAAAATAAAAGTAATGTAAATATAGCACACCCATCTGTTTCATCATCTTTAAGGAAACTATGGAGGAAACTGTGGTTATATGAGTGGAATTTTTCCATAAGCCTGACTAATAACAGTTATAGCATTTCTACCAATACAACCATAATTAAAAAAAATCTATAACTATACATCACACTTTCAAACTTAAGTTTGAGAAATGCTTGAGTTAAAGAAATGTTTAATATGATCTAACAGCCTCAGTTTCAGTTGAATTAGAATATATAATTATAATATTTTTATACATAAACACTGAAATCTGAAATAGTATACTCAGATATGATACTATTTTATTAGGACTCATTAACATAGCACAAAAGGGTGTGCAAGTTGCAAAAAGCAGTGGAAAAATATTTTAATCAGGTTAAATGTATCAATAACAATATCCACAGTTCAAAATCAGTCTACATTAAATTATGGTTGAGGTAATTGGTTTGAGTTTATACATTGCACTTAGAACCAAAAATAAATAAGTTTTAAAAAGAGTATTTCCCCAGCATATCAATATTTCTTTTCATAATACAAGATTTGGGCATATAACAAACATGAGTCCAGACTTTTGCTAATATATTTATGTCTATGGAAAATATAGAGTGATAAATCATCTACTAGGATCCACAAGTAATGTAATCCCAAAGCTGTCTGAGCAAATATTGCAATCAAACTATATCATGGATGTAAGGATTACATTATATCCTTTAGCTAGGAAGAAGGTGATGAGAAATCCCTTCTAAAAATCTTGCCATGATTGCAGGGATTGGCCAGGCAATTACTAGTGTCAATATGGCTTGAAGGCACAACAATATAATATAGTAGACATTTACTGATCACAATGCATACCTATTACAAAACGTAAATTGTAACACGCAAAGCATTATGTCACAGTCATTTCTGTTCTGATTAGCTAAATCAGGATTTATACCTTAAGAGTTAACAAGATCCATAGAGTCACTGTGGGTAAGATGGGCACTCTTGAAATTTGATATATATATATAAAAAAAACAAATAAAAAGTCACTTTATATAACAAGCCATTACTGCTACCCAGCCTGACCAATATCAAGGATTATAGTTAGAACTATCTGCAACTCTTAATTGCCTGCTCTTAGCTTAGTATACAACACTAATCCAACAAATAAGAAAAAGAATCTTTGTAGGGAAAAGTGATCCAATCTATACTTCATTCCAGAATTGTTATTATTGTGCTATTATTTTTAGGCTTTACTGAAAATAGTAACAAAATATGTACATAATTTGTTTCAATCCTGGGTCTGAAGATACCTAGTCATTACAACTACTTAAATTTAGCATTGTTTAGAGGATGAGGGAAAAGAATAAAAGTAAACCTGCAAAGGAAATATAGAAATCAGTTTGGTGCAACAGTTTGGGTCCAGCATGGCAGAAACTATATAAAATGAAGTTTGACTAAGAAATAGATGCTTGCTTACTGAAACGAGTATTATAAATCCAATGCTGCTGGGGACCTGTTGTGATTTCTGTTTACCTTTGCTGGACTTCCTGAAGGTTTGGTTCCTTCAGGCCTTCCTTGTCAGCCCTTTCTTCAAGATCTTCAATTCGTTTTAAGAGATGTTCTTTACGCTCTAGGATGGATGAACGAAGAGCACTAAGGGCCTCTGCTTCACTTTGCTTAGATCCAAGCAAAGACTGAATGGATTCCAGTTCTATACCGACGTTGTCAGCAATGTTACTGCAGGAACTCCTCTGCTCAGAGTTTCCTTGTTTCAGGTGGTAGTGGGCTTTAGTAAGGGATACATCTAAACTGGCTGCTGTAGATTCCAGTTTGTTGACATCTTGAACGACATCACTTAGCTGCTTCTTCAGCATTTCTGATTTTAACTTATCTATGTTTTTTGTTGTTTCTACCTTTTGTCTCAACTGGTGAAGTACATGTGATGCAGAGATATGAAGTTCTAAAAAGGCCTTGAGATGGGGAAGAACATCCTGACGGCGGCTGATTACTTGAACAGCCTCTTGGTACAACTGGACACAGTCTTCAACCTTATTTTGGAATACACTGTGATCTTCTGGCTGAGTAAAAGAACACAACTTTTCAACATGACTCTTCAGACTCTGTAGCTCTTTGTCTTTTCCTTCCACTTCTAATTTGTGCTCCTATAAGAACAAGAGAAATGATTTTTTTTAAAAATGTGTAAGCTTTTGCTTAGTACTTAAACCTGAAAAGGACATGAGAGTTTGGAAACTGACAAGTTGCAAAGCTCACCCTTCACTAGGGTGAGACAGAATGCAAAGAAGAAAAAAAGACCTCTCTTTGTATTGCCATTGCAATTTCTGAGAAATAACCAGATGGATGGAGATGGTTCTTTGGGACGTGGGTATTTATAGATTTTTTACTGTGGGCACACTGGCACACATTAAAAATGAAATTCTGTTGCTTGCCTCTCAAAAGTATACACATATATAACACACATATAAACACGCTATATAGAACATATGTATATATCTACACCTTTACATATACACACATATAAATATTAATCACTGTGCATTTTATGAAGAAGAACCTGTGCTCTACTAAAGATGCCCCAGAGGTTATTTGCTAAATGGCTCTTATTTGTTTCATTATGAATTATTTTACCTTATTCTGACGTATAGCAGGTTGTTGATCGGTTATATTAATCTCTGAAGTTTGCTGTAGTTTACAAAGAATTGGCTTGATCCATTCAGAAAAATTGAGAAGAAGCTCATCATATTGTCTGTGTTCATCAAGCACGGACTGGAGGAAAATTATCCTAGAAGACACCAGGGTTAGTAAGTATATTCCAAGCTTTCTCCTTTTTAAAAATCTGTAAACTTAATAGTGGAGTTATTTAATTCATTAATTTAGATAATTTATATGGCCAAAGATTTTATACATGATGTTGGGCAGCCAACAATCCATCGAAAAAAGTACTAAAGCATCTAATCAGAAAATACAAAACAAAATTAAAGTAAGCATAATACAATAGCTGAGGCATTGGAACAAACAGGATATATTTTCACTGGTTCAATTCTTTTATAATGCTCATTTAGTCTGAGAATTCTAATTACAGAGTGAGTTTAAATGAAAATAAATAATTTTTGAATAAACAGACATTTCCACAGAAGCAGTTATATTGATGTGATGCATGAAAATTAAAAACACATGAAACACACGTGCGTTTTGCAACTTTAATGACTAATGTTATGTCATAAGCATTGAATTAGGTTCTAATTAATTAGATAAAATAAAAGATATTCTGTGTCAATATATGTGTGACAATGTGCATGGATATATGTTTACACACATTTTGTATGAATAGTGAAATAAAAAATGCACAAAAATCCAAACGGTGACTAAGTCCATCTTCAATGTATATAAAATTCTTACAATGAATAACTGTAATGACAATGGTAACATCCTGGCAGAGTCATTTGCACGCACACACAAACACACACACACACACACACACACACACACACACACAGACATGCCCCCCTCTAATTTATCTCATTTTATACTAGAGCATAAGATTAAACCATAGATCAGGAAAAGAAGGTGAAGAAAAGCACAGCAGACAATAGACACAGTAAATAAATAATCAATATTGCTTTCATTATTCATTTCTCCAGAGAACTTCCAGGCAATAACAAACAAAAACATCTTGAGCTATGTCCCAAGGTATATATTTTGGAAATCCGAATAATTCAGATTCTAGCTAGGATAATTCTAGCTAGGTTTACACATAATGCCAATGAGGCTTGGACTTAGCATAACGTTAGAACTAATTATTATAATGCTTGGAAAAACATCAAATTATAAATCAAACCAGAGAAATAGACCCTCAGCTGTGGTTGGAGAAGACTCTATTGCCTCTGTGACTCAAAAGAAAAAGTGGTTGAAGCTTCTTCCAAAATAAAAGAAGGAAAATTGCAGTCACTCCACATCTGGAGGGATTTATTGGTTTCCTGTATTTTCTATAAACCTGCAATGTAGGCCCATTTTTATAGACATGTAATGAAACTTATGGTGGATTTGTATTATATTAGGTCAGTCATGATGTCTGGGTCATTAAGCACTATTACATAAATACAAACCTCCTGTTAACAGTCTGAGGTAGATTTTTCCATCTTTCATCAACTTTTTCTAATTCTTTTTTAACTGATCTCAGACTTTCACTGCAACTTGCTTTAAATAGTGTCTCATTCAACTGGAATATGCTAGTATAATGCGAATCATGAGATGCAATATCCATTTTCAAATCCTGAGAAACATAAAAATATACATTAGATAAATAGCTTATATAGCATGGAAATTAAGAAACAAGTATAAAGTAACAACAATAAAAAGTCTAAAATAAGTATGATTGCATGCAAATCCTAGCCCCTAGTGTCAGGGAAGGTACTTTTGCAATGTTCAATGTGGTTGCCTGAAATTCTACAGAAGCTTGTCCAGAATTTGTTTCCTAAAACTAATATTGAAAATACACAAAGAACGTAAAAGATAGTCCAATACGAGTTTCAAAGATATCAAGTAATTTTATAAGATGTATACATGAATAAAAGATTCTACTATTTATTCCCCAATGATGGCCAATAGAAATTACAGATTTTTTTCTTAGATAAGAATTCTTACAGAAATCTTTAGGAGGACCAAGATGGTACCCGGATTGCCAGCTAAGAAAATAGGCATTTGGGTCATTTTGAAAGCTGTGCAGCTCTCTTACATATTTAAAAAAACATAACCAAGCTATCAAAAACATGGAAGCTAAATCTCTTAATTTAGGCTTCAGATTTGGGAACACTAGAATTGATCTTCCTCATTTCTCATGCACTTTTTGCATTATAATTTCTTCTTCAGTTGAAGAGAGACTTTAAGTTTTGTTTTCATGTCTCATTCAGTGAAGGAATGCTATAGCTTTATGTCCCTAGACTTGCAGTGCAAATCACTTGTTAAATTATTCACCAAATTCAATACATTGAGTTATTTTCAAGGAACGGATTATTTCATTATGTTCTGGTTTGTTTAATTTCAAATACTCAGCGGAGAGTTATTAGCATTGCTAGAGTTCCATTGCAATAAAAATGAAGGCACTATAAAATTAGGGAAACATTTGAGTTGTCAACCCGGAAATCTTACTTGAAGTAATTGTAGTTCATTTTCTACTTTAACTTTGTCAGCAGAAACATGCTGTTCTGTAGGTCTGACTGTAGTTTCACACTTCTCTAACCAAGTCAAAAAGGTAGACAAATCCTTCTCCAATCTAGTAGAATATTGTAATAAATAAATAATTCCGTTAATCCAGTGCTACTAAAATATTTTTTAAATCTGCAAAAACTTTTGTAGTTGAAGAGAACATAGGGTACTTTTTACCTCTGACATTGTACTAGATGAGTCTCTAAAGAGTCATATTTCTCTTTCACTTGTTTCACAATATTTTCATGTTTTTGCTGAAGCATGACAATATCTTGATTTGCTTTTTCTTTGTTTGTAAGTTTGCGAGAGCCAGATGCTAAAGAAGTCAGTGCTTGATTCATTCTTTCCAGATCTTGTGAGAGGTCCTGCTTAATACAAAGCAACAAAACAGAAGCGATTTAGCATCATGTTCCCAGATGCACTGATTTATAGATTACAATGCAGTAATAAAGTTACATTTAAATTTTAAGTGGTTTAATACAAGCAATTTTAGAAAGTATACATGCTTAGCTATATAATACATTATTTACCAATTTGTGAATACAATTTTTCTTAATTCAAAAATTGTCTGTAAGTGATATGTCTCATATTGTGCATATAAAAGATAGGCTTCAAAGAACTATCCAAGTGGAGCTTTTATCTTGTGCCACAACAAGCTTGTTGACCATGGAAATCTCATATTTCTTCATTTGCTAAATTCTGACTATAAACCCATTCAGAACAGTACATGTCTTTTATTTGTTGATCCTGTCAAACAAGTGACAAAAGTTGAAACAAAAAGCTACAAGTTTTTATTACCGTAAGGTCTTGGAGAGCCTTATAGGTTTCTGCTAATGAACAGGATGAGATATCAAGCTCTATCACTTTGGCTTCAGAACTGCTTAAGTCTTCTTGAATCTAAATCAGTAAATCAAAAGGAGAAGGCGAAGAGTAAGAGGAGGAAGAAAGAGGAAGAGGAGGTTACATTGCCATTTTCTATCATTTAAAACACTTGATCTTGGATTCTCCAGAGTGTATCTTATGAGTTGCAATAGTCCGTAAGGTCAATATAAGAGAGAGTAATAGTCAGTTGCTTACTGATATTTCTGTAATAACAGTTCATGCTACTCAACTGCTATTAGTTACTTATGTTAATCCTAATTATGAGAGTATAAGAATGATTTATCTTTTAAAATAATATTCTTCCATACCACTAGGATTACTGTGCTTGTTAAAAATATCAATAGCAATATCTTATGCTAAAGGCAAGGGCCAATATGGTGGAGTAATTAAGGCATCAGTTTCTAGAAACTAGTCTTGCCTTAGGCACAAAGCCAGCTGGGTAACCTTAGACTAGTCATTTTCTCTTACCCTAGGAAGGAAACAATGATAAACCACTTCTGAAGAACCTTGCCAAGAAAATTGCAGGGACTTTACCAGGCTGTGTCCAGAAATTGAATACTAGGCTAAGTGACTGAACTATGCTCAAAACTTAGGAAAATGGCAGCAGGTGTTCTGGATTGATGTCAAAATTAGAAATATTTGGCTATAGAAGGAGACAGTTTGTTCACTGAAGGGCTGGAGAGCAGTACAATAATGAGTATCTGCAGGCAACAGTGAAGCATGGTGGAGGTTCTTTGCAAATCTGGGGCTGCTGGAGTTGGAGATTTCGTCAGGATCAATGGTGTCCTTAATGCTAAGAAATACAGATACGTATCCATCATGTCATACCATCAGGGAGGTGTGTGATTGGCCCCAAATTTATTCTGCAGCAGAACAATGGCCCCAAACATAAGCCAATGCCATTAAGAACTATCTTCAGTGTAAAGAAGAACAAGAAGTCTTGGAAGTGATGGTTTGGCCCCCAAAGAGCCCTGACCTCAATATCATTGAGTCTATTTGGGATTACATGAAGAGACAAAAGGATTTGAGGCAGCCTACATTTATAGGCTGTAGATCTGTGGTTAGTTTCCCAAGATGTTTGGAACAATCTTGAAGGAACCTTGCCGAGTTCCTTCAAAAACTTTTGCATGTTTAAAATGCGTGGGTTTCAACTCCCAGAATTATTAATTCATTATATTTAAAACAATATTTAAATACAAATAGTCCTCGATTTACAATTGAGTCCAAATTTATGTTGCTAAGTGAGACATTTGTTAAGTGAATTTTGCCACATTTTGCGACTTTTCTTGCTTAAGCGAATCATTGCAGTTGTTAAATTAGTAACACAGTTGTTAAACGAATCTGGCTTTCCCATTGACTTAGTTTATAAGAAGGTTGCAAAAGGGATCACATGACCCCGAGAGATTGCAACTGTCATAAATATGAACCAGTTGCCAAGCATCCGAATTTTGAGGCTGCAACGGTCATAAGTGTGAAAAACGGTCGTAGGTCACTTTTTTCAGTGCTGTTGTAACTTTGAAAGGTCACTAAACAAACTGTTGTAAGTCAAGGACTACCTGTAGACCCTTTGTGTCTTAATATGTGGTTTAGCACTCAACTGCCACTGTGTTTTTTGAATGGCCTAGACAAAATTGATGTGTTCTACCTTTCTAAAGTTTTCCTCAAATTTTTGCTGCACCGATGCCCTTCCTGCGATGGTTCCTTCCAAATTCTGTGCGTGGTCTCTGAATTCTTCCCAGTATCTCCTAATCTGTGTCATCTTGGCTTTAATATGTGCCGATTCTCCAGAAGTAAGATACTGAGAGAAAAGTTGAGCATCTTCTTCTAGCTTTGGCATTTCGTTGTCCTTATCAGCTATTTCATTCTTAACAGCCTAAAATGTAAATAAGTGTACATAAAGAAGCCATATCATGGATTGTTCCATACATTACCCGGAAATCACTTTTGCTTCAAACAAAAAAGGGCAGTATCAATGCATACAATGATCACCTGTTATCTATCATGTTATACATTATTATTAATTCATACATTTATTACAGGATCAGGTTTAAATAGGTTACTGATAAAACATAATTATTAAACTTAGCTATTTTTCTTACAGCCATGTGTTCATTCTTCTCATATATAACAGTGAGAAAGCTTAATTTTCATTCCTTAAATGATTATGTGGTAATCAAACAATTGTGTATCATATAGCAATGTTAATGGATTTTTTTGTGGCGTACTTTGCAATTGATTAAACTTTTAGTAGACTATTAGCACTCATATGTCCATGTAGTTTGGAAGAAACACTGATTGTTAATATTCTTGTAATCAAAAATGTCTTATTTGTTCTAAAGCAGGCACAACTGATATCAATGTACTCAATTTTTTAATTTGGAACAATTGACTGTAAGTGGTTTGTTCAAAGGAATTCTTTGACTTTGCTGTAATTGTAATAAGTAATGGCTAACCTGTTGGTTTATGAAAACATCCAAATTAACATGAATTACTATTTGGATTTTTAAGCCTAATGTGCAAGAAATGAAAAGTAAAACACACAATTCAAGTAATAGTTTCTATTCTTTTGCAAATAATTAGTCCTTGCTGATTACAGCAATATGCACGCTGCTGGAAAATGAAGACTTATAATTGAATTCATTGTAACATAGAAAGTAGGCCTAGATTAACTTGTTACAAGCAGGCGTACAAAATGTGAGGTCACAGGCTACATGGGATCCACTGCTATTCTTTTTCAGTTGTTTGGGGGATAGGAAAATATTTAAGGTGTTGGGGGGAACTGGGTGACATAAGCCATGTAAAATATTCTTTTGCCCCTTTAAATTCTTGATCTCCCTCTACAAAATTAAACCCATTTTAGATCCTACCCCTGACTACTTTTGAATGCTAGCCATCAACATGCTGTAATGAAGCTTGCTGCCACTTTAGACAGTTGATTGAATTTCAGATAAGAGACAGAACCAACTTTATCAACTGAACTGGAAATTACTGGTCAAAATTTATATGTTCTACCTTTCTAAAGTTTTCCTCAAAATTATGCTGTACTTCCTGCAATGGTTCCTTCTAATTTCTGTGTATGGTCTCTGAATTCTTCCCAGTATCTCCTAATCTGTGTCATCTTGGCTTTAAAATGTGCTGATTAAATATGTGCTCAAAATGAAATAGACTACAGTGTTAGTTATAATTGCCTTTGCCAATGATATTGTAGGTTTTGTGACACTGGACAGAGATCTTTAACAAAGCTTACATTGTATTCTTCAGTGCTTATGGATCTTTGAAGGAAGCCATGATGATAAAATTATATAAAGTTAATATAAAAAATGCAAGTAATTGTGTCTAATTATTTACGACTGCCCCAAAATATGACTTTTAGAATTACTATAAACAACAAAGATACTTCGAGTGAAAGCATTCTTAATTGAAAAAAAATATATAAGATATTATGTCTTGACTTTAGCTACAACTGGAATAGGGTTTCTGTTCTCAGAAAGAGCTTCATCATCTCAGGTTGCTTCTGATCCTGAAGACTGGATTACTCTTACAAATGGTAGGATTTATGGTATTGGGACTGCAGAAGAAAGAAGAGAGTTCATAGAAATACTCTCTCCCCTTGTGATATAACCTTTATTTTTAAGATCATACCTTACAATAATGTAATATAAACTACATTATTTGTAATATATTCACATACAATGGTCATGCACGTCTTTCATTTGAATTTTATTTACTTACTTTTCAGATAAGATCATATAGTTGTAAATATATGGAGACAATTGGTATTCTTCCCTTTAAATATTTCTATGCTATTCCCCCTTTATTACTGGCATATGCTAAAGCAAAAGTGTACCTTTCCGGACATGTTTTAAAGAGAAAAGCTATTTCTAATTGCAGCTTTATAGATTAGTACAATGGAATTCATTCATGTGGATCATTTATCTTTAAAAACGTTAAGGATTCATAAAAAGCTACTCTTATTCTCAATAAGAGGTAAAGAAAAGGAGAAAACTATCAGAGAAAATGTCATTAACATGAGACAGTTCTGTGAGAACCACTTATTTTAACTTAAACCCAACAGTAGCATCCTTTCATATGAATAAACAGTAACATCCTTAAAAATATGAATAAATAATGATAGCAATTATGTCCCCACCCATCTGACAGAAGTGTTGTTATACCAACACTCCTAAATGGCTAACTACCTCTCCCCTATGCAATTTATAATCACAGTGTTAGAATGTTTTCACTCAAAAATATGATCCTAACTAGTGTAAGAAGGCCTTGATGAGGCCAGATAAAAGTGTTTGCTTGGTTATGATTATGTAAATCAACATTTTATCTTAAAATGAAATATATGCAGCCCTCTGATAAAGACTACCCTATGTAGCAACTTCTCAAAGTTATGAAGGAGCTGAAAAAGTAATTTTATGAGCAGCTCTCATACTTACAACTACATTCCCGCAATCATGTGCTTGTCATTTGCAAGCTTCACAGCTGATTTCTGACAAGCAAAGTCACTGGAGAAACCAGTGTAAAATCACAAGTCACACAGTCACATGATATCTCACTTAATGACAGCAGCAGAATTGAGGTGGTTAGTTGGCTTGGCGGTAGAGTTGCAAGTTTTGATTATACCTATTAACTGAGGACTACCTTATTCTTACTGCAAAGGCAAGCATCTTATTATACATATTACATAAAGCATTCAATATTATTAATAGTGTAGTACAACACATGTTGTGATAAAGGACACCATGCTGAACCTCAGATAATTAAGCCAAATAATGAAATCTTCCATCTGTACTTTGAGGGGCATAAGGTAGACATATCCAACATACCATATACCACTACAGGTGATGTCTTCCACTGCTGTGTCAATATCCATTCTCATCACAACCATCAATTAAAAAATAATAAAATCTAGATCTTTTTCTCTACAAATGGACTAACAGTATTTTTACTTTAAGAAGTTCTAGCAGTTTGATAGGGAAATTATAAAGAAGCTCTAGGAATATATATATATATATAAAAACTATAAAAATTAATCCTGTATGTGAAATTCACATTCTAGAAATTCTGATTAACTACACTTGTAGTTGAAATGCTTAGTAACACTCCAGAGGAAGAATAGAATCTAGTATATAATATAAAGAACTCAGAGTATTTAAAAAAGGTTTAGTTACCAATACTGAATCCAGGCATTCCTTTATTATTTCAGCATTACTTGAGAAAGTACACAAAATTATACACAATTTATCTAACATATTGGAATAAAATACTGTAACTGCAATACAGATTACAACAGAAATCATTCTACATTTTGTGAAAATATATTACCCAGGATGATATTTTGCATGTAATGAGCATCACCAAAAAAAGAATCCACTGAACTTTTCACATATACCAAAGTTTTTTTCATTTAATTTAAAACTTTAAATATGTGTATTTTATTTTAAACTCCTACAAAACCTTCTGCTTTAGTATTTTTATGTCGAAGTATATTGTTAGAAGCCTATTCCTCTGCTCTGCAGATTACTAATGGAGGGCAAAAAATAAAACAATATTTAATGCTGAATAAAATGTGAACCAATCACCTTAATTTGGTTGATTTGCACATCCAGGGAAGATGATGATATTTCCAAGGCATCCAGCGCTTTTTCTTTTTCATTGATCCAGACGGACAATGCTTCAAATTTTTTCCCAAACTGATCCCACTTGTCTTTCACCATTTCCATGGTTTTAATACTAAAATCAACCATATTTAGTGAAAAAAAATTAACACACTATTACTGTGTAACTATGCCTGTTCTCTTACATGTCCAATTTAAAGAAATTCTTACATAACGGCATGCCATTTTAAAAACCAAACCACAAAATGCCTGTTTCTAAATTTAAAATTATAGCATCCAAGGAAACTGGTTTTAATCACCCCCAGAGTGCAGGAAGTGATACCCCCCCCCATTTTCTGAGAAGAACAAAACTAGTGTGCAAAGTAGCAAATCATCTTCTGAGATATTATTTTCAAAGGTATATTTTTAGAGCAGTGTGGAAATTAACCACCTAGCAGCTACCACACGGGTGGTTTTTAAATAGCTTATTTTTAATCAAAGATTGTTATTGTTACTGTTTTAAATGTAGTATAATACAAGTAAAAAATTAACCTTTAAAGTGAGCTGAAGTTTTGATACTGACCTACATGTCTCAGTTATCATGAAACCAGGAGAAAATAGAGAAGCACTGCTTAAGATTCTGAATATATTTATATAATTCTTCATAAAATATTCTTATTTGTTTATTGGACTGATCTGCAAACTGATTATTGTAATATCCAAATCAGATATTAACTTTATAGTGTAGGTATACTTAATAGTTAGCCATAATTGTTTATTTTTGGCTCATCCTGATACATGACTCTATCCATAATGCCTCAGTATTGAAACTCGCAAGATAAGTTATAGTTTAAAACATCTCGCTTTAATTGCAATGTGTGAATACAGCCAATATTTTTGTACTATAGGTGAAAAATTGCAGTGTGTTTACCTATATGTACAGTTCTGCATATAGTTTTCCTTGAAACTATTTGTCTTCCTAATATTTTCACTCCTGAAATCTTGTTTCTCAAAATGCAAGTATTTGTTAATTTTAAACTTTAGGGAAATCTTGAAAGTTTTTATGGAACATCTAATTAGATTCCAATAACTGTAAATTATTAATTGAGAGCTGCTGAAGCTCAGCCAATGCTGATCTTTATTTCTTCAATTCCTAACAAACACTTCACTTGCGCTTCTAGTTAAAATATTACCATTTCCTTCCACTTGATCTGTTTTGAACAAACTATTATATTATGCTCTATCTCACATATTGTGCTTATACCATAAGAATGCTTCCCAATAAATTATGTGGTGTGAATTAAAAGGACTGAAATACCAAAAGAATAAATATGTCTTTCTGTATGATTGATGGTACAACTGCTATCACCCCAGTAAAGAAGATAGTTGCCTTCACTGAAGTTGGGCATTTTCAAAATTCCTTCTGCAAAATTCTACACAGTATGCAAATGCATTAGAAACCATAGAATAATACAACTGAACCATACATTTGTGCTAACTCACATCCAAAATATTTAACCAGCCAGGTAGATATGCATGCATATTTTGTTAAAATAACAACCATCTAGTTTCAGCTAACTAAATACCTGTCCTAAACTTGTAGTAAAAAGGGCCATGACCCATCCAGCTATTTAAGTATTTTAGAATGAAAAGAAGAAAAAAAAGGTCATATAATGCAGTTCAGAGGCAGGAGAAGCAATGCCTTTCTTTGCTCATTTGCAATAAAGGAGAAATAAGTTCCAAATAATTTACAAAGTAAGAGTAGGATTCATAAAAAACAATTATTCTTTTTAGAATAATTTTAAAAGGGCAGAGCAAATGGAAAGGATGAAGGAAAAAAAAATCATACGAAACCACTAGGGAGGGGGACAATTATGTTAAAGTGCAACTCCTCTCTAACACATTAACAACCTTGAATGTGATAAACTCAATTGTTTATGTGCCTTAAAGGAAAAAAAGGAATGTACAAGAATATAAATAATAAAAATGAATGTGGGAGATGGGTGGGTTTGCAAATAACTCACTGGCAAATGCTAAGAGTTTTTGTGGTCTAGAATATGAAATGTTAGAAATATATCCAATATATCCTGCTGAGGCATCAAGCAATTTTGGACAAACTATTAAATCAGCCTCATGAACTTATTTGTAAAATGGGAATAATATTGCCCTGTCGCCTAAAGTTCTGGCAAAGATGAAACAAAGTATAAAGCATTAAATTTACTCTTGCTATATTTTTTTTCCTTTCATGTACAGCTCCCACTGTAATGCTTCCTAATCTCCAGATTCTAACACCATAGAGCCTGGTGAATAAATACAAAGATACAAAGAAATAAGATAGGCATTTTATCTATCATTTGTAATAGCATGAGAAAAAGGAACAGGGCACATTTCAGGGAGAGAAAGGCACGGTTTATGTTCTCACGCACTCAGCTGAACTGTAAAGAAAAAAATATTTTAAAAAGTAGACCGATAGTAGATTTTTTTAAATGCCCCAAGGCACTTTAGGAAATGACATTATTTATCTATGCTAACCTCTATCAAATAAGTTTCTGTTTTTGTTCCTGTACTGAATATTGAAGTGCACTATTATGACCTTAGTTCTTTAGCCAATTCAAAGTATTTCTCTCATTGACAAGAATCAGGCTAAATGCATAAAAATTTGATTCACAATGGCTCCTTCACACAGCAATTATAAGGACACTTAAAGGACCAAGGATATAATTTTTCCAATTAGGGAAAGTTGTTGATGCTTTCTTTCTTTCTCAGATCTTCCACCACACTTGGTATTAAAACAGTCATTTCTGATAGATAAGTTATTATTTTATGACAGAGTTTTACAAAGTCTTTAAGACTCAACACTGCACTAATATAAGGCAAAAAAGATACATTCCTTCTGTCAGGAAACAAATGTTATGACTATTTAAGGACATACTCTTCTTCAAGGGTAGCTTCTACTTTTTTAACTTGTTCCTGCATCGACTTTGCTTGCTGCTGAAGGCTCTCTTTGCTCCTCTGACCAAGCTGTATGGCAAAAGACTTCTTGACTAGACTCTCCGCTTCCATGGCCATGGCTACGGTCTGCTTGGAAAGTTCCTATGAAAAGGAGGACATACAACTTAAACATCATTCTCAGTAATATTTCGCCAACAAGTGGTAGTTGTTATTATTATCCTTGATCACACAGTCAGACAGATGTTTAGATTGGGATTGGCATTTTTACTCATCTATCAAATCTTTCCCAAAGACCTGGGATAGGCAGAAATTGTTCTTTGATTATATTAAATGTAGCATCGCTGGATGTAAGCTGTTCCAAGTAAAGCTGCATTTTGCAATTGACTGATGATGCTTTTATCAATGTCAATAGTGTTCAAGTGGTCATCCAGATGTTTATTATGTATTATTGTTATTATTGGAATTTGCTCTATATTCTTGTAAACATGAAATACCAAAGTAGATTTTTAAAAATTACCAGTTCAAGAATATCTGATTTAAAAAGGGAAAATCCTCACTATATGTAACTTAAAGACAGTTTTGCTAAACAATACAGATTCTTTCTTTCTGTTTCAGTTTTCTTAGGACTGGGACCATTCCCAGCATGACTGTAACACTTCTCTACTGATGTTTTATATTTGTACTGCTATTAGAGCAGGGGTGTCAAATTTGCAACATTGTGACGTATTGTGACTTTTTTTCCACTGCCAGCAATGGGGTGGGCGCAGTTTCGGCATGACGCATCTGGCCCGTGGGCTGGCAGTTTGACACCCCTGTATTAGAGCCTGGTTAACTTGAACCACGTAAAGGAAAGGATCATGGAATTTGCATATCATCATTTCATTTTTGGGAAAAAGAAAATACGCATATTTTCAATCTGGGAATCTATTTATACTGTGTTCTGGTTGGCCCAGATTGAGCCTTCCTTTATTAATTTATTTACAGCATTTATATGGCTTCGCAACTCAACATAATTCTGGATGACTTATAGAAATAATCAACAATAGATGCAAAACATAAAGGGAAAGAATGCATAGCTTTAAAAGCTATGGTATATATTCATTTTAAAATTAGTGTCTTACCTGCTTGACCTTCATTCAAGACAAGGAGTCACTAATAAAATACACATTTTTTAACAAAAAGAAATATCTAAGAACCTAATATAATGCCAGATAGAACAGTAAAATTCCTCCAGGACACATACTTTTGTCTTTTCTAATTCTGATGCCAAACTCTCCAAGCTGCTAAAACTTAAGATGCGTTCAAGGGCAGAGCTTGCATGACTCAAATACTTGACAATTGTTTCTTTCTCTCTTTCAAACTGTTCCCATGTGTTTATTGTGAGCTACAAAAAAGGAAATAGACAAAGTAACAGACCAATAAAAGAAGGACAGCAAATTAATGTTCATAATTTACATGCACAAATAATGGATTTTTCTGGCTCAAGAAACTAGGCTTATTAAACATATTTACCAGAATTTACATTATCCTGTTCAAAATCTAAAATATTAAATACACAAATGAAAATCCTTGCTAGATCTAAGACGTGTGCATTCTATTAGCAAAGATTAGGAACTCCGAATGCAGGGTATGACAGCAAAGAATCTTCTGTACTGAGATGACAATCGTATGTGAATTCAATGATAAATCCTTGTAATTATCTAGGTGATAAGTGGGTTTGCCATTCCACTCATCCAATATAATTTTTTCCAAAGCTTTTCAGTCTGCTAGTAGTCCTGGTATTCTCTGGATGTCCCATGTAGTATCAAGATATGACTCCAAAAGCCTTTGTCAAATTAGCCAAGTTTGCTTGGTGTTATACCTTAGCTAGGTTTTATATACTTACAGTTCAAACAACCATTGTAAAATAACTCCTAAAGTTTAATTATTAAACTCTATTCAAAAACTGTCTGATAAATGGTTTATTACTAATATGTTTAGATTACTCCTAAGCCTTATGAATACAATAGCTGTGCAAGAGCCGTGTGTGATTCTCCTCTTTTAAACATCTGCCTTTCCTTATTTGAATAGTTCAAAGGTGCATTTTGTCCAACATTCTTTCTCACGGTAGCTAATGAATCCTATGGGAATTCCACTTTTATTTTTGCATGCAGAAAATAACATCAGCACTTTTAGAATAATTATGTTGCTTTAAGTGGGTTAATTCCCTGCTTAAATGTTTATATTATCTTGTTTATTTCATTTTATCTCAATACTTCTAGAGATTTATGTGTGCATGTGTGCAATAGCATTTATTTAAGTTTTTGATTTATTGTGGGTTTCAGAAAATTATTTTTTAAAATCATGACTTCTACTCATGAATAGGCTTTGTTGTTGTTGTTGTTAATTGCGAAGTCGTGTCCGACCCATCGCGACCCCATGGACAACGTTCCTCCAGGTCTTCCTGTCCTCTACCATCTTCTGGAGTCCATTTAACTTCACACCTACTGCTTCAGTGACCCCATCCAGCCATCTCATTCTCTGTTGTCCCCTTTGTCTATGCCTCTTTCAATATCTTAAAGTTGAGGGCCATTCACTAAGTCTGATGATACCCAATTTTGTAGTTAAATTCTAGATTAACCTAATACTTGAACTTCATAATCATATTATGCAAAATTAATAATTTCACAGAGTAAAAAGTACTGAAGACCTGGAGTCAGTCTCTATTCTTGGTTACATGGACACAACCATGCAGATCTCTTAGCAGAAATACTAAAATAGCATTATTACAGGGGATCATTTTTTTTCCTACTCTAGCCTACAGCTATATCCTGGTAGTTTCCAATTGGGATACCAACCAGGTACCCTAATTTGACCCCACACTCTCACAAGATTGGCCAGAATCTTGCATTTAAAACCTGAGCTAAGACCAAAAAAAGCTTGCCAGAAAACAGCTCATGTTAAATATAAAGCAATTAAGTCAAGCAATATTTCTTTATTTCTCTACAGAGTTACAAGTAGAATATGTACCTGCAACTGATCTCCGCGTTGTTCCATAGATTGCTGCATGCTTTCTAAGGTACTCTCCAACTTCCATAAATCTTCTTGCACAGCAGGAGACAAACCACCTTCAATTTGTAGCTCTTTGCTATGGGCAATTTGTTGTTGTACATCTTGCCTTTTTGCATGAAGCCTCTTTGACTTTTGCTAAAAACAAATATTTAAAAGTATTCTAATCAATACAGATGCATTGTCTTAATGCAGGAATAACTGCATTGTAAGTGTATACAAATGTGTTTTAGGGAAAAAGCATTAAATGATCTCTGCACATTTATTAAAGCATCAGAAAGGTCTAGTTTGTCTATAATTTTCAAAACTTTTCAAAATTACACATCTAGAACGTAGACTGGTAAAATGCTCAATTTCTTTAAAAAAAGATCACATTTGACATCTGATATTAAATTGCCATGAAGGAATACAAAAGCAAATCTGATTGAGCCTTTCTTAGGCTTTAACTGGTGTAATAAGGCTTATTTCTGTGCGGTTATTACATCTGGAAGTAAAACATCCAGCAGCCCCTTGTCAAATGACCAGATCCCTTCCTTGTAAGGTGAAGCCCAGGAGACACTGTTATTTTAGGCATCTATTTAATAAAATCATTTGGATCTGCTCAGAGGTGGACTCCAGCCAGCCAGCTTCTACCAAAATGACTGAATGCAATCATCTCTAGTTATCTAGGAAGAGCTTTAAAAAGTTGATCCTGAGGAATTAGACATGGTCCTTGGTGCGGTGTGTTCTTCCACCTAAGTTTTAGATTCATGTCCCTTCTGGTTGGTTAAGATGTCTTACGAGATGGCATCTAGTTGGGCTCAAGCAGTGGGTTGTTTTTTTTTTGTGTGGAAAGGGTTGGTTTCATTTGCCTTGAAGGAGACAACGGCCCATCTTGGATCCAACAGTACTAGTTATCTTCTCCCCAATCTCTAATCTTTCCTTTGAAAAGATGAAAAATGTTGAAAAATGATAAGTGCACAGCTTCAAAGCCTTGAAGGATCTGGAGATTCCTCATCTTTAATTTTCCATGAGGTCCTGAACAGACCTAGTATGCAGTATAAGAGTCCTCATGACTCCTGCTCAAAGAGCCATGAATTTTGCATAAATCATCCTTCTGTTCCCTCAACCAGTTAACCAAATTGACATTTAGCAGGCAATATCTTAGACTCAGAAGCTAGGTCACAAGCTTTCTGATATAGGGAGGAGGGCTGAAAGAGCATAAAGGACAGAAGTCATAAACATCCTCTGCCTCTTAAAGAACTTTTCTTTCCATACCTTGTCTATGTGTGACTACTGATAGCTTAAACCAGAAACCCCATTCTCCTTTCCTGCTCTCCACTCCAGGAGCATTTTACTCTCTTACAGTTCCTTACAGTTTCCTTCCTCAAGACCAGTCTAGCAGTTGTTAAGCTGTTGCTATAGAAATGTCAGGGAAAACCTTGATGAAAAAAGCAATCTAATGCCACAGTATTATATTAAGTATGGTCTGAGAAATATGCTATCACAAACACTATTATCATATAGTTTGTGAAGATGATGGCAGTTCCTAATTTTCCCTGTATAAATTGTGAAAAGAAGTGCCGTTTCTTATTAGAAGAATAATGACAAGAAAAGAGTGGGAAGAGAAAAGGAATAACAAAAAGGCACTTTAAAAAGGTTTATGCTCTCCTCTTTTAAAATAAATATTAAATGCTTACCTTCAGCATCTTAGTACAGAAAATTAAAATGTTCCATCTTTCCAATTCAACCTGTGTGAAAAGGGTTCTTAACTATTACCTACAGTTCAGATATTAGTCTTTGCAGCAATAATAATATATAAGGACTTGTTAAACATTCAGTGAAAGCTGATGTGTGGGTAATTGTACCTGATGATAGAGAAGGATTTGCTGGGCCTGTAACAAATTATCAACATCTAAGATTTTTTCAACTTCTGTCTGAGCTTCTTTTGAGTTTGTGATCAGTTCTTCTAATGTGCCTTTCACCTCTTCGGTGTATTGAACACAATCTCCAACCGCACCTAATGTCTTCTCAATCTGTATTCAGAAAACATATTAAAGTTCTAAAAATATTCAGTGCTAAATACATAGGACTTACGATTTAAACAGTTTGAAATGCAATACAATTATATAATCAACCAATTAATTGTGCTGTCTCTATATTATTTTCCAATTATCTGACAGTGATTAAAAAAATTCTATCTAGCTATAAATAGATTTCTCCTATTCCACTGTACTCTATTAATATTTTGTGAGTTTACTCTGTTCTACCTGACTTGCTTTCCAGGTTAATTTGGAAATTTTTTACAATTAATTGTAGAATTGGCCATAACAATAGCCAAACCTTCTTTCTCCTATTCTATGTTCCCAATACTATCTGAAAATAATGATTTTGTGCTCAAAACAACACTTTCCAAACTCAGCAAACAGTAAACACCAGCAGAACTTTTCAGAAATACAAAACTATTTAGGAAAAAAACTCTGAAAGCAAATATGAATGATTCAAAAAAGAGAAACTGACATATTGTCCATAGTGCAAGTGAATTGAGGGTGGAGAAAGGGAATCAAATGGGAGGAAGGAAAATTGCCAAAGGGGAAAATTAATATGGATTTTGGAATTTTTTTCCTCCATAGTGCACACAGCTGCTTTTGTTTTGATGCATACAGCATATTATCACTTCGACATAAAAATTTATGTGATTACGTACTTGCATCACAAGTGTGTAATCCAATATTTTCATAGGCAAACAGTATAATTTGAATAGAAAATACATTTAAGAAAAAATACATGATATATGCATCTAGGAAACATGAGTTGTGGTTCTCATGTGTTTAGGACATATACATATATGTTGAAATATAATTTCAAATGATGCATGGAAATCCAGGGAACTTATCATTAGAGACACAATTACATACATAACTGTACAATAATTAATAATTCTGATTTTTCTTAATAGTACTCAGATGCACCTAGCTATTTGAAAAACACTGATCATTGTTAAGACATCATTGTTGATTACAGTAACATTCAGACTATATTGCTAAAATACAATAGAATCCTACTGATTTTCTAAACTGAATGCATAATAGAAAAAAGGGCCACTTCTGGAGTCAACATAATGTAATTATAATATACCTCTGACAACAAGGCTAACATTTTCTTAAAGTCACTAGCAAGCACTGAAAGTTCATCCCCTTGTTTTTTTACTTCACTCTCAGAAGAAACCTCAGATAAGGCAACAAGCCTAGATTTCAACCAGATGATAATTTCTCCCTTCTTGCAGGCATCTTGCCTAAATTCCTGAAACAGAATTAATATATAAAAATTAGATGCACCAAACAAGCATTATAAAAGTAGAAGTCTAATGTAAATCGGATAGAACTGGATTTACATTAGTTTGCATGAGTAAATCTACCAAAGAATGTACGAAACATGTCAATATTTTGAAAAAGCCAATTGTGATACTAGATTACTAGGAAAAACGAGAGATATATACATGTGGATATATCACAAGCCAATATGCTCGAACATTAACATTGCTTGAGGATCCCTCTTCAAGTCACATTGTGACATCAGTGAAGAACTATTCGGTCAGAAGAATAACACAATTCCCCATGATTACAGAAATGTAGCTTTTCTGTGTAGAAATCCATGCAGGAAGTATTTCTTGATGCTGATGCTGATACTATCTGGACAACTGGCTGGCTGTATGCTGTTCTCACAGCTTGGACTACAGAGAATAAGCTGCTTGTCCACTGCATACATAGTGAGCTCTATCCTGGTATGTATTGCCTGAATAGGGTGAAGTATCTTTTATATCAGTTTTTAGAAAATAAAAATTTGAAGTTCAGTACACATTCTGTCACTATACATACTAGGTATTATTCTCTTCTGCCTGCTTTTGCGATTTTAAAAAAATGTCACTTTTTTTATACAATGCTATTCATTCAGAAACCATTACTACTAGTGCTGCAGGGTAAGAATGGGGTCTATTTTGGCAGATTGTGCCAATGTACTTTTGTGATACATTTTTTCTAGTATAAAGTATATGAAACATGTATGTACTTATCATTCTAATAACATTTATTGGTACAATCTTGTCTTGAAATAACCAGTGGGTTTTCAAAAGTTTCTGAATTATATTGTACACATTTCTTACTAAAGAGTAGAATTTCTAGCCAGTGTAACTTGATTTTATTTATCCTGGAAATTCCAGTTCTTTTTACATTTCACTATTTATATAATATTATTTATATTTGTTGTAAATTACTTGGCCTAGTTTAAAGCTTGAGAAATGCCAACTTGCACTGTCAATTTCATCCACTTCAAGTCAATATGTTAGTTTTACAAGAACACATCAGTTTCAAATCATTTTAATATACCTCTATTGATGTTTTAAACTGTTTGTATTTAGTAGTATCAGCTGAATCATTCTTAATTGTTTTAAGTTGTGTCTCCTTTGATGAAATCCAGCTTCGTAATTCAGAAAATCTGAAACATAGCCATAGAAGGATAAACAAATAGTAGGTGAACAATAGTAGGTGAACAATAGTGGGTGAATTAATCAAGGGAACTCAATAGTGGGTGAATTAATCAAGGGAACTCAAGAAGTTAGCATCTGAAGTTTCTGCATAGCAAAGGCTTTTAATCAGCTAGGGAGGAATGTTGCTTGTTCAAATGGCTGAAAATTTCAAGTGAGTCAGTTATAGCAACTTTCCAAACTAAACTAATCTAGATCCTGTACTTTTTATGTGTATTGTTCTTTGATGTTACTATTCATACAATTTAAACCTTTATATGCTTCTGACAAGCAATATTAGTATTTACAACATTAAAGGACATTGTAGTTCTAGTTCTGTATTTTATAGCCATGCCTTCGATGTAGCTGTTCATATAGTTGCTTACCTGTTCTTGTATTCTTGCCATTTATCTGGTTGATTTATTAATTTCATGTAGGTCCTGGCAACTTGAGTTTTAAGTTCACTGAGATCTTTTTGGCTACTTTCAGAGGTCATTTTAATTGGATCCCATTCTGGTAGTTTCAAACACAGTTCTTTAATCAGCTGCTGTCGTTTCTCACATTGTTGTAAAGGCCCTTTGTCACCAAAAAACATCTGACAGCATAAAAAAGGAACACTTGCTCACTCCACTGATATATTAAATTTAAAAGAACATCTCTTCCATTATTAATATGAACAGCTGTATATGAAAGCTACATACCAACACAAATAAATTTTAAAAATGTAATTTCTATCTGGTATTCAAGAACTAAATACATTCACTTTTTAAAAAAAATGTAAAAAAATGTCAAGATACTTCATCTCTGTTAAGAAAATGGCAGTGTTTTTTTAACTTTTTGATTGTGGAAAAGAATCTAAATTCCTTCAGTTTCAAAGTATCCAGAAGGCATTTTTTGTAAGCCTTATTGAGATTTTATATTGAAGATCTGTTAAAAATGTCTAGTGAACTGTCTCAATAATAATTCTATTGATCTGGGAATTTCATGGGTAGAGATTTTATATGTAGTACAACACAATGCGTGTCTCCTAAGAAGTAAGAAGCATTATTAAATCAGTATGTAAATTGTGTTAATACTGAAGATGGTGCTTTCAATCACTTAACAATAATAAACAAGAACCATAGGAAAACAACAGATCCTGAAAAGACACATCAGGATATCTGATGTTGTAATGTACTGGCAAAGAAGACAGCAACATATTATGTCAATCATATTTTCAAAATGAACTTGGTTGTACGCATGCATAATGGTTAAACCCAAAGAACCATAAGCCACTCAGAGTCACTGGTTGAGATGGATGGCTGTAGAAATCAAATAAATAAATTACAAATTTCACTGTACCAGTCTAAATGAAACATGATATTTTAATTATAATTTTTTGTGAATCTAAGCTCTTATTGTTCCAAATAACATTGCACAAATATGCTGAATAGTAATGTAGATGAAATTCTAAGATCAATATGTAATAGATCAATCGCTAACATAAAGTGTCAAATTTTATACTAAAAATATCACTCACTCATATATAATGTTTATGCTGGAATCATAGGCATAACGCCAAGCAGAAAAATTTGGAACAGGACAGCAATGTTTTCTATACTACATATTCCTTTATTTTTAAGGAGTCAAGGCAGATAACAAAATACAGAGAAAAACTCTATGGCTATTTAAGCAAAGAGGTAGAATTACCTTGTGCTCCTTAATTATTTTTTCACTGCTCTCCTTGGTCATGAGCTCATGCTGTCGATTGAGTTCAGTGTGACATTCTTGCACTGTTACTAGGAGTTTGCTTTTTTCCACTTCTATTTTTAAGCGGAGTAAATGGTATGGAGCTTCTGACTGGAGATCCTGCATCATAATTGAAAGTGGGGAAAGAAGTTGATATGAAACTCAGTCAGTTCTCTTTTTAAGAAATCGAGCACACCAACCAGCACCAAGCCAGATCATTAGTTTCAGTGGGAATAACTAAGATGCTTGAACTTCCCTGTCCCATATGAATGTGCTTTCTATGTTGTAGAGATTCATATACAGGTGGTCCTCGAATTACAAAAGTTCAATTAATGACTGTTTGAAGTTACAACGGCAGTGAAAAATGTGACCTATGACTATTTACCACCGTTGCAGTACCCCCATGGTCACATCATCAACATTCAGATGCTTGGGAACTGGTTCATATTTATGACAGTCGCAGTGTCCTAGGGTCATGTGATCCCTTTTGGTGAACTTCTGACAAACAAAAGGGGAAGCCAGATCCGCTTAACAACCGTGTTACTAATTTAACAACTGCAATGCTTCACTTAACAACTGTGGCAAGACAGATCGTTAACATGGGACAACATTTGCTTAACAAATGTCTCACTTAGCAACAGAAATTTTGGGCTCAATTGTGGTCCTAACTCGAGGACTATCTGTATGTCATTACATTTTTCGGTAATATTTTTATTTGAAATTTTAATTTATACTCCTAATATCCTCCAAGTTGTTAATCATCAAGTCATTGGGCTAAAATGAAAATGTAATATTGTCTATCAGTTTTCTCTTTTACCATAACTCAAATGGACATCACTGAGTCTATGGTGTCATTTTTTATTTTCTGAAAGTTATAAGCTTGTGTAATATAACTTTATACAATGGATAATTATATAATGTAAATAACTAGATGTTCCCTTTGTGAAACTATGCAAATGAATTATTTGTGTCTCTTAGATGATATACAGATGAAGCAGCCACAAATCAGTTACAGTAAGATTAAAACTGTAGGAATGTTTTTCTGAACAACTTCAGGGGACTAACTTTCTTTGAAAATGCAATGCAATGTTACACCATAAAGAAGAACGGGGGGAGAGGGGGAAGCTGTTCATGCATCACAAAATCACAGCAGAAATAAGAAGTTTAAAACATGAAATAAAATAATTGTGTAACCTACCCCATTATGATTAAAAATACTCTTTAAGATAAAATGACGTTTTTTCTGGTATCTTTAATTAAGAAACCAGAGTTGAGTAAACCTGTGAAAGTACATAAACTAATAGGCAAGAATTTTTCATGGTGCTTAGACAGGAATAACTGAGAATAATAAACTGCACAGGTGACTCTTCTTCCTCCGACAGAATGGATTCTGTGGCTATATACCTTATAGCCAGGAGAACTAGTCTGGTGTAGTGGTTAAAGCAACAAGACAGAAACTGGGAAACTGAATATTTTAGTTCACCTTAGGCACAAAGCCAGCTGGGTGACCTTGGGCCAGTCACTCGCTCTCAGCCCTAGGAAGCAAGCAAAGGCAGACTACTTCTGAGATCTTGCCGTGAAAACTGCTGGAACTACTCTAAGAATCAAGAGACTTGAGGGACCCCACACAGAGAAAAACAACTTATAACTAAAGCTGGTTGGCAAAACTCACCTTCCACTGCTTGTGCAATTTCCGCACAGCTTCCTGAAGGGTGTGTTGCTCTTGCTCAGGAAGGATGTCAGTAAGTTCATCACAAGCTTTCAGGAAAGCATTGAGCACCCTTTGGTCCAACTGACTGAAAAATTCCTGGTTTTGAAATTTATCACATATTTCAATGTTAATATTGTTGCTAGGGGAAGCAGAAGGTTACTAGTATAAATTTTATACTATGTACCAATACAGGAAACTTAGATTGTATGATTGAGGTTGATCTTATGACAACTGGATGCAATTTTTATCTGTGCTATTTTTTTCTTGAAAAACATGGAGGTAGGTGGGCCAGTAGGAAGAATATCAATAGCACTCAGACTTATATACCATTTCACAGTGCTTTACAACCCTCTCTAAGAGGTTTTACAGAGTCAGCATATTGCCCCCAATGATCTGGGTCCTCATTTTACCGGCTTCAGAAGAATGGAAGGCTGAATCAACCTTGAGTTGGTCAGGATCAATCCCCTGGCAGTCATCAGAATTAGTCTGCGATACTGCATTTTAACCACTGTACCACTACAGCTCTATAGGGTTAGGCTATAGCAGCATTTCTCAATATTTGTGTGACGGCGACCCCTGTCACACGAGCGTGCCGCGCATGTGCGGCGCCACCCCCATGCACGGCGCGCATGCGCGGCGCCACCCCGAGGGGAGAAATGGCGGATCGCATTGTTTGGCGACCCCCGTAAAATGGTCGATCGACCCCAAATGGGGTCACGACCCATAGGTTGGGAACCGCTGGGCTATAGGAATAGGGTTATGCTAATCCTTTAATTTCCATATGACTCCAACCCATAATGAGCACCTGCAATTTGGAAGTAGAAATTTTTTCTTATGCAGATTATGAAGGCACAAGGCTTTCAACCTAGATCAAACTAAAGCAAAGAACAGAGTGGTTAATACTACGGTTCTTAGAAGACAGAAGCTCCCTGGATGAGCACTTGGATGGAAGAATATCACAGAATATAAAGGCTTTAGTCTAAATTGGGACTTTCCAAAGATCCTGCAAGATGGCAATAAAAAAAAACAGTTCTGTATTATAGCGAAGAAAAATTTACATGGCTTTGTCCATTTAATGTGCTGATTATTGGTAATTAAATCAAATAATTAAATTTAGTTAAATGTGTACTAAAACAAAAACAAACTAACACTTGTTTTTTTGGGGGAATAATTTTTATCTCCTATTTTAACCTATACCCTTAGTATTTCCAAGTTATTTCCACCCTGTTGGCTTTTTGGCATTAGCTATAGTTGGCTAGGTGTTATTACCTACAAAGATATTTTAATTAGCAATATGAAATATAACAGAAACAGAATAAGAAGTTCTACTCACCGTATGTTTCCGGAGAAGTTCTTCAGGATTGCCTTTTTCTTTTAGACAGCATTGGGCAGTCTGGAGAACTTTTTCCAACTCTGTTCTAGATTCTTCAAATTTCTTCATCAAACGACTATTTACCTCAACATTTTTCTTCCAATCACCGGTCTTCTGCACCATATCCTTCATAAATGAAAATAGGAAAAAAAAAACCTGCAATGCTGGACAATTTGTCTTATATTTCATTTTGTGCACTAACTAAAATTATAATTTACATTTGAGGAAAAATATTATAATGTTTCTTTATTTCTGCTTTACCAAACTGAGGTCACATCTTTGGACTTTCAGTATTACAAGAAAGGAGAAATATCTTTCCATTTTCCTTCAAGATTAAGTACTATCTGATATCAACAGTACTACTGCTGACTTTGCATGCAGTCTACAATCTCTTGGGAAAGTCTTCAAACTCTGCTCCAAAGGGCTTAAATATCTGGACTTTGAGAACAACAACTCTAGTTGCTATTTCCTGTGTTTTTCTGTAACATTTTGTCTCATGAGGAGTTCTTAGGAATAAAAAAGCTTACACACTCCTTTTTATGTTTTCAGGTGCCACATATAAACAATCTTACTCCTCTGAAATTGAATCTATGTTAATGTGAATATGACCTGGAAATAATTGTAGTTATATCATCTCAACTTCTTAATTAGTGCACAAGCCAAGCTTAGATAGGATTCTAATATTTAGAATTACTAGACATCATTACTAGAACATCATTAAATAATACTTCCCTGAAAAATTAAGGGAAATAATTCTACCCTCCATAACTTCGAGTTACATTCCTTTCATCTCACCTACTCACAATAAACATTTAAGTGTAGCTTCAACAGGACATGTGATGTTAAGAGTAATAGATAGTGTTCAAGATAAGCAGAAAGGGAAAAAAACCCTTTGTATGGGGTCTGATACTGATATCAATTGTAGATCACAGGAACTCTCAAAAAATATTGGGGCTTCTAGAACAGCTATCTGTATCGCACAGGTATTTCTCTTCTTCTGTCACTGTCTCAGCAAGATCAACTTAACAGTCAGAAATTGAGTCAGGATTGTGCAAGAGAAAAAGACTTTGAACACCTCCCATACCTCATCTTTTCTCTAAAATGTATACTGCCAAGTTCCTGAAAGCCTCACTAAGACCCGATATTTTTAAGCACTGTAAGCAACCATAAGTGATTTCTATCTTAACTCGTTTCCCCCAAAACTAAATTTGTATTTTTTATTTTAACAAAAGGTTGCAATGATCCCTGAGTATCTTGTGCCTTTAGCACTGCAGACCATATTTGTATTATTCTTTCTATAATATCATTGATCAGAGGCTATTTTGAATTATTGTTATTTTAATTATTAATTATTATTATTGTTTTAATATACCTTAGTCAAATTGGCTTTGTTTCACATGTTTTTTTTTTCATGTTGGGAAATAATGTTAAAAATTTAGTGACATTACTACAGTTGAAAAAGATTACCTGAAAAGCAGCTTGAATTTCCACCATTTTCTTCTGAAGTACAGAAAAGCTGAAGTGATTTAACACTTTACTTGAAGCCAGAAGCTTTGTGATAATCTGACTATTTCTTTCAACTAATAACAAGGCTTTTTTGCAGTTTTCTTGATAAGCTACCAGATCCTTTAAAAAGATGAAAATATTAAAATAAGCATATTTTGGACAGTAAGACAAACAGAGTTGACAACTTTGAAGTGTTTCTTTCAATCCTACTTTATTTTCTATAAAAGAATACTTATTTTTTTATCTGGTATAATAATGTTACATTCCAGCAACTTAATTATTTAAAGACTATAATTCCATACCCAGATAACATTTGCTACTTTGAATGATTCTTGAGAATCAGTACTCAAGAATTAGTACTTAGCTCTGTTCTTTTAATGTGTCATTTTGGAAAAAAAGTAATTGTAGTTGTAATTGTAATCCACAAAATGCCAATGTCTATTTCCAGACTGGCAAGTGCTCCTTATAACAAGTAATTAAAACTTAACATCTTGAACAAGTACAATTTTTAAAATATTACACACCACCTTACTGGTATATTAAAATGTTTATTACTGGAATATAAATCACTTGAAAATTTGTAACTTCAGCAAAACAGCAAAAAGAAAACCAATAACTGGATTATCATTCATGAAATTATTAGTTTGAAGTGCTGTATCTAAACTAAAATTGCAGGTTCTTCAGAGGATTCAAACATTCAGGTCATATGGGTTGATTAACATGCGTCTCCACTGCATACATTGCCAAGCGGATATTTCAGATAGATAAAATTTCAGTCCACAATTGCTTACTGTCTTTGGAAGTTATCCCATAATCATATATCTCCTAGCTTCCTGAATTGCCAGAATCCCTGTTATGAGAACTTCTGCATGTTAGACATGTGTGTTGCCCCCATTCTATGCTTTCCTCTTTTCAGCTTCGGTTTAATGTAGTCCAGTAAAAGTAAATTATGTGACTTAGAAATCACTTAAAATTTTGTTTAAAGTTGAAAGTTATTCACAGATCAATTATTCATACTTTTTTTCCAAATAAATACTAAAACAAAACATATTCAGAGCATTCACGAGAAATACCTGGTGTTGCTGTTTAAAAACATGAGCAGGCTGGGCTTCAGGATCTAATATAGAAATAATTTCATTTATCTTGTCAAGAGATTCATGAAAATGTGTAATTTGTTTCTCTAATTCTTCAAGATGAGGAAGTAATTCTTGTGAATCAAACAGCACAACTGGGCAAAACTCCTTCACCTAATACCAACAGAAATATTTTAAAAACCATGTATGAAAATTTAACACAAATCTCTCACACATAGATACATAGAATGATTAGATATGATTGTGTGCATTGGTATATATGTGTGCACCTGTCTGTCTATATACATGTACATATCTATTTAATGCAAGCTAAATCTCCTCAACTATTAACACAATTACTTAATTTTATGTTGATTTTCAAATATAGGTAGTCCTCATTTAACAAACCAAATTAGGACCAGCAACTCAGCTGTTAAGTGAAATGGTCTCTAAGTAAACTTGCAACTATGCTTATGATCTTTTACTTCAGCTTTCCTTCACTTTACAGACCTGTGGAAGCTGGAAATTCAAGGATTAGTCATAAAGTTACTTTTCTATCTGTGTCATCACTGAGAGCGGTTGCTAAATGAGGCAGTAGCTAAACGAGGACCACCTGTATAGTCCTTTGGGTATATTTGCACAAATAGGATGTTTTTCTTCTGATATCCAGTGGTGATTGTATATAGCACAATGAATATCTTCCTTCTTCGTAGTTCCCACAAATTTGTTTTTTGGGGGGAATGATTGGATAAAGATTTCAGTGTATATATTGAAACTATTTGTATAATATGCCTTTTTTTCATTCCAAGGTTCGCAGCCTTGTTGTATATATCATACACGTTCAATTTCTTCTTTTTCTTTTTGTAGTCATCTTTATTTTCCCTTTTGTTTTCTCAAAAATACATGATTCATTATGTATAATTGCAGTTCTTAAAGGGGTGGGTGAGTGGCAGTAAAGATGGATAGAAAGAATAATGTCTTCCTTAAACTGATTTCATATTCACATCTGAAATAAGTTTAAGGAATACATTATTAGATAGAAGCAGTTGGAACATACTGAAAGTCTCCGGTCTAGCCCTAAAATAATTAAATACAGCAAAGAAACATAAATCAATCCCATTCTTATCTCTCTCATTAGAGCAGGGGTCCTCAACCTTAGCCACTTTAAGACTTGTGGACTTCAACTCCAAGAATTCCTCAGCCAGCAAAGGGATGTAATTTAGGATAATTTAAGAAATTACTTGAATAGTAACTACCTTGCTGAGCTGTCCTTTGATTCTTTGCATTCGTGCAAGCATTTCATTGACTTCTTCTTGTGGAATTTCCTTGGTAACCATTTGTGCTGTCCTTGTTATCATCTTGTACTGGGTTTCCATAATGAGTGCTTTTTGTTTAATATCCTGTAATATTTTTGTTCCAAATAACTATGCGTAAAAATACAAAGCTTTTAAGAAATGGAGCTCAATCTCCTATTAGTTGTGGGAGAGAAGACCGGGCCTTAAGAATTAACATCCTTTCCTTCAATTGCATTAATTAATGGCATCGCATATTAAATGCAATGTACCATAACCATTTAAGCAGCATACATATTAAGCTGCAAACTTTGAAGGTTTTTAATGCAAAATTTTTGTAAAATTATTTTATTAGAACATTCATTAGAGATTCATTTCTATGTTGCTAATTTGTTTTAAAAAATATTGAAAACAAAGTGTTGGAAGGAGATAACAATTCCATTTAAATAGTTCACACTGGAAACGCAAGGAGAGGCATATGAGTTACAGAAAACAGTCTTAAAATCACAACAGGAAAGTGGTAATAGCAGTTAAGAGAACTATGAGGATATATCCCAATGTCTTTAAAAATGCTCTTGCCCCAAAAAGCAGAAAAAAACTCTAAAGCAGCGCTACATAGAAATAAGGCTAATTAACTTGCCTCCATTTCTTGGACAAACAACTTTACGTTTAGAAAGGACACTTCTAAATGTGCGTGGATTTTCCTCTTTGCATCATCAATAAAAGCAGACAAGGCAGCCACTCCATCCAAATATTCCTTCTTTATTCTGTCTAATTCATCAGCCCGAGCATACTGCAAAAGCACAGAAAATAGATACAAGAATATAGAAGTAAGGAAGAGTCAGCAGAACATTAAGCAAAAGTTTAAATTCCATTCAACATAATTCTATGGCATTCTTTTTATGAAATATGTCTTTTTCTTTTCAGACAGAAAATGGAATGAATGATATACAAATCTTTATTTAAATTTAAAAACTAAATTACTTATTAACATAGTTCTGTGCAACAGTGGTTTGTAACTATAGGAAGAAAGCCTCCGAGGACATACTTGTTTAACTTGCATAAATAATTCTCTCCATCGTCCATTTAGCAAGAGCAATTGTTGTTTTAAATCTCTGGAAACAGTCTCATCACATGTTTCAATCAGAAAATTACCGGCATCATTCATTGCAGTATGTTGCTGAATCCATTGTGGTAAATGCCGGAAGAAATCCTAGGAAGAATATAGGTAATATTGCTGAAAAAATCCTATCCTTTATGCTAAATATTTCTTAGGAAATTAAACCACCTTTTCTGTTGTGGCCCCCTTGCTGTGGAATTTTCTCTCCACCAACGTGAAATATTTATACCTTCTCATTTGCATGGATACTCTCAGTTTACAGATGTTGGAAAAATTGTTAACTATTCTGCATTTCCTATTTATGTACACTTCAGCTTCTGCTGTTATATTGAGAAGGGACTCTTGTCCTGAAAGACACACGGCTTCTTAAAAAAAAAAAATACTTCTATTTACAGGCAAATAGGAGTAGGTATTTGGAATATAACACAAGAGTTTTTTTCCTAAGATGAGATTCCTGCCAATTTGCTTTAAAGATCCAATGCTTTAAAGTCTTGTCTGATGCTTCTGAACTTCAATTCTAAATAATTCTAATTAGCAAGGTCACTGGTGAGAAATACTGAGAGCTGACATATAGCAATATTTAGAGCAGCACGTTGCATATACCTTCCCTAAATTCTTTAAGTCTAAGATACTTCAACAATTGAATCCTCCTATATAAAAAGGTACTAAAATATGTGACATTATCAAGTGAGATTGCTTCATTTTATGCCACTGACTAGGCATGAAGACAGATTTTTTCAGTCTGCTTTTTAGCTTCTGAGCTAAAGGCTGAGGCTTGGAGAAAAGAAAGAAGTAATGGCATGCTGCTGGCCCCTTTGGCCAAATATTCTGCCTAATGAGTGCAGGAGAAAGCCTTCTCTGCCATTGCACCTCCCCTCTGGAACATCTTGTCTTCCAATGTGAGGTTGGCCCCAACCTTTCATAATGGCCTACAGAACTGGTTCTGCAATTTAGCTTTGGGCCCGTGAGGGAGCATCACAGTGAAGGTGATTGATTAACAACAGATCCCACCTCCCCTCTTGCCCCTGCTCTCCCAATCTATAATTGAATTGTAGTATGTGCTGTGGTGGCACAATGGTTAGAATGCAGGACTGCAAGCTAACTCACTGTTCACTCCAGGAGTTCGATCCTTACCGGCTCAAGGTTGACTCAGCCTTCCATCCTTCCAATTGTTGAGGGAAATACGCTGACTCTGAAAACCGCTTAGAGAGTGCTGTAAAGCACTGTGAAGCGGTATATAAGTCTAAGTGCTCTTACTATTGCTTATATTAATTGATGTTTGTGTGTGTGTATGTGTGCGCGCGCGCGTGCGTGCGCGCATGTGCATTTATCTTTTATGACTTTAAGCCACCCAGAATTACCCTGTGGTAAGATGGACAGCCATCTTTATTTATTTATAAATGTTAAAAATAAATAAATAAAATAGAGGTAGTCATATTTCAGATGTGGAAGCTCACGGGGTCATGTTGAGACATTACTGCCTCTCAGTTCAACCTGTTTCCACAGTTGTTGAATATAAATCTAACAAATACATGGTAAAGTAGTTAAGGCAACAAACATTCCTTACCTTTTTAGCATGTTCAGGCTGATTCAGCATTTTTTCAGCATCTTCAAGCCAGGCCTGCAAAATGGCGACTGTATTGCTATATCGATCCCAGTTAGAAATGACTTCTTCTAACATACTCCGAACACTTCTCACTTCAACTGACAAGTGCCTCCACTGCGTTGTTGTATCATTCATGAACTTCTTAATGTTCTCTATTTCTTCCGCTGAAATATAGCACTGAGACTTTAACATAAATCTTGGATCAAATGAAAATCCCAATATAAAATAACATTAAGAACAAGCAAGAACTAATCTTAATACAAATAATTAGTACAAGCACAGTATGTTATTTTAGTGACTCTTTTATTTAAAGACACGCAACATTGACATTACCCCTAACCATATAGCAATCGTGAGAGTACAGTGAAGCTAAATAGTAGTAACTTACTTATTGCTGATAAATGTACCATCTTTACTATTAAATGTAATCTTCAGAAGAGGAAACAAACATATATCTTTGGTCGCATTTTACACACACACACATACACAAACACCAGAATTCTCCAAGGTGATCAATATTGACCTCCAACGGTCAATGGGACTATCCAAAGAGTTGATGTTACTATTAGTAGCATTTATTAATTTTCATATAACAAACACGTAGGGATTGCTCAACAATCTGAAACTTCATGAAGGGGATTAATGAGCTGAAAAATTTGGAGACCCCCAACTTATATGCACAGATATTTAAGCATAGTAGCACCCTACTGCTGCCTTGTGCAATGTTGGGGAAACAAGGTCAACAGTGATTAAGCATTCATCTAGATTATAATGGGCATTAGTGCCTAAGTACACTGTGCATTGTATTGGGAAGTCCTTTTGGGGTCTACAAAGTCATCAAACGGTCGCTTTGCGAAGTGTATTCCCATGGGAAAAGTTCAAGGAGCTAAAACATCTGCATCTAGAACGTTTGTCATGGCTACTCCAAGTATTTTTTTCTGGTTGCCTTCACATACCATTTGTTTCACTGGTGATCCAAATGGAGGAATTATCTGTGTACAGGTAGGTTTGCAGAGATAACTGGGGTAGTTATCAAAGCAGTTGTAATGAACCTTCAGGGACACACACTGCTTTAACACTTCATAAAGTGAAGCCAATCCATTTTTCAAAGAAAGCCTTTTAAATGTTTTGACAGTCTCTAGCGTTGTTTCCCAGCCTGAGGTAAAGTATTTGTGGCCAAAATTAATAAACAAACTTTCATGTGGAAATTAGATTAATACTAAAATCAATGTTGTTACACATCATAAAAAGCTACATGAAATCTAAATATTTTTACGAAATTGGGGCATTAGTGTGACATTCAGATGTGTACTCCAGCATGGTTATAAATTCCACGTCCATAAAAAAGAACATTAGAAAATGTTTACCACGTTAGGAAAGGATCATTGCTCTGAAATGTCTTCATGTGGTTATTCATACTCTGCTCTCATACACATGGATTCCAATTTTGTCATTTTCCAAATTGCTTAGCAACGGCTGAACTTGATCTAACAATAAGAATAATGCTGAACAAATACACTTCTACTTACATGAGCCATTAGCATTGGCGTACATCTCAGCTGCTTTTTTCAAGATCTGATATGTAATTTCATACTGCTCAAAAAATTTGTTGTTTTCTATAATAGTCTGAAAAAGGAGAAGAAAAATGAAATCTACAATAAGATAAGAAAATAGCCTTTAAAAAAATATTAGTATACCTATTAAGCTTTCCTTAAAGATTCAATCTTCCAGATCTTTTTTTAACCTTTACAATATATATTAAACTTTTTAAAATTTTATCTTTCTCTTTGGGAAAAATATGTGCAAAAATACCCCTGATATTAACCTCATTGTCAGCACATCCATATTAATTATAAAAAATAGCTAAGGATTTATAGTAGAGCAAATTAATTTATGAAATCCAGTTTGGGCCAGTAATCAAAATGTTGAATTGAGGGCATGGAGACTTGCTTTGGGTAGAAAAGTGTACTGGATACAAGTTGTTTTCTTTCAGTCCTACGAAGAAGCTGCCTACAAAACTGAGGGACTTGTTGATATAGTCACCCAAAATAAAGACTGACTCAAGGACAAAATCATCATTATCATAGGGCAGCTTAAAGAGAAGCAGACCCATGATCAGTTTTGCTCATGAAGGCCAATGAAGATGTCAACAGCCACCCAGGATGCCAGGCAGAGAAACCTGAAGAATGAAATTTAGATTTTCTACATGCAACTTAGGCCTTCTATTACTACACAAGTTTCTCATACACAGTCTAATGATAATTCAGCAAGATGTATGCCTGATTGCTATGCTCCTGAGTCTGGACTACAAAATTAGATGGGAGTAAACAGTAGCAGTTTCATGCATCTCTTTGTTAATCTTACTGGTTATGCAGAGTTTTTTTTCAGACTGCTCTTTTAAACAGAGATAAGTGTATGTTTCCTTACCCTGGTGAGTTCATAGGCCTTATAAACAAGACACAAATAGTGTGACATTATTTTATGATTGTTTGTGTTTTTAAAATGTAAATATTTTAGTAAAAGATACACTAGCTAATGCAGCAGTCATTTGGCCTTATTATCAATGGCATGAACTTATAGGATGGCCTTAACACAGGGGCCTTCAAACTTGGCCCTTTTTATGACTTGTGGACTTCAACTCCCAGAATTCCTCAGCTAGGCACGCTGGGAGTTGAAGTTGGGAATTCTGGGAGTTGAAGTCACAAGTCATAAAAGGGCCAAGTTTGAAGACCCCTGTCTTAACATTATTGATTGACTCAGAATACAAATGCTCACAGAAGGAAAATTAGCCAGATTGATACAGATACAAAATAAAAAAAGTTGTTACGAAGCCAGAAAAATTAAAAAAGGAAAGAATAACTAGGGATGGGGGTGGGGGATGGTGGTAACAAATCTGCAAACCTACAAAAAGATCAGTCACTTATTCTAGTTCTATTGAACCAGTGCAATTAGTACATCCTTTCCTCATTTAGCAGCTGCATTCCATTCCAACAACTTGGTTATTAAGCAAAATGATTGCTAAGTGAACATGTGACTGAGAGAAAAAGAGATAGAGAAAACAGATGCTATGTAGATCACTGGTTGCTACAATCTTATTCAGGTAAATGAAACTTTGCTCTCATACAGTGCCCTGTGCCTGACTCTTTTTTGCCCTTCACAGGGTGGGGAGATTGCTTAAACAAGCTATCTTTCCCTGAGTTGTTTTTCTTTTCATTATAGCACTTCCTTAAAAATACCTAACCAAACGTTCATAAACTCAGCTCTTTGACTTCAATTAGTTGATCAGAATCCTCCTGCCAGCTCCCATTGCAGCCTGAAACTGACCAGATATTAATCAAGTTTCACATGGAAGGCTTTTGTTGTCAGGCAGGCAAAATTTGGTCATAAATGCAGCATTGTTTGGAAAATGGTGGGTCTTTTTTAGCAAGGTATCTATGAATGGTTGCTAAGGAAAGTAGTTGCTAAATGAGAAGTGATTGTATATGCTAGCAAATACACTGTATTGAAGAATTGACAATGACATTGTCCTCTATAGGAGAACTGGGAGAACCAGAGGAATCAGCCTAGAACAGTGGTTCTCATCCTGTGGGTCGGGACCTCATTTGGGGTCGAATGACCATTTCACGGGGGTCGCCAAACAAGGCTGTCCGCCATTTTTTCCCCTTTTCTTTGGCCACGCCCCTGGCACCCGGTGATGTATAAGTGGTTGGGGGTCACCACAACATGGGGAACTGTATTATGGGGTCACGGCATTAGAAAGATTGAGAACCACTGGCCTAGAATCACTTTGCAGCCACAAATGAACTAAATCTAATCACCCTTAATTGCCATTGACCCTTATGTAATTCTAAGTGCTGACCATTAGTTGAGAAGGTTCTTGTACATAGATTTTTAGGAATAAATTAGTTAAATTGAAACTTCATACTTTTTACGCCTCTCACATAATACCACTAGGTAATTCTTTCTCTTTTTCTTAAACCCTCATGCAAAAGCTAATCAAAGCATATGAGCATGCATCTTGGGTTCTTCTCTTCCCCAAAGTATATACAGAGTAGAGCTTTTCCCCTTCCCAAAACTCATTTAGTAGAGAAAGAAGATAGTTAGTAGCATGCAGTCTAATTTATGTAATATGTGGTTTGTCCCTAAGACCACAGGAGGGCAAGAGTTTAACCGAAGAAACAGGTTTTATATCTGTTTTGTGCACTATTAAATCATACTGACACAGATCAACATTAAAATAAATGGATATTTTAAATCAACATGTAGTATTTATTTTTAAGATCTAAACCAGTTGCAACAATAAGAAAATAAAATTAATCTTTTCTCTTGAATATGCTTGGCAAAATCTTCAAAGCCAGTTGAAGGCTGTGATACAACAATGCATATTTTGTGGCCAGTATAAGATTTATGAAGTACTTCAGCATTCATTTCTTTGAATAAACATCGTCCTGTTTGGTAACAGATTAACCTTATCTGATTTGGAAACTTTAGTAATCATAGATCATTAAACAATTTGTTATTATTCACCATGGTACTGCAGCTCCTTATAGCTCCTTATAAGTCACCTACTTATAGAATAACAGAGTTGGAGGGACCTTGAAGGTCAACTAGTTTAACCCCTCCCTGCCCAAGCAGAGACCCTACACACCATTTCTGACAGATGGCAGTCCAGTCTCTTCTTGAAAGCTTCCAGTGAAGAAGCTCCCACAACTTTTGAAGGCAATCTGTTACATTATGTCAGACAGTTCTTGAAAAATATACAACGGTTACAATTTTGCATTAAAATACCCCAAAATTAAAAAGCCAAAATATTAGTGGAAATATCTATTAGCAAAGAGGACGCAATAATGGAAAATTTATTTACTACTATACGATTAACAGGAGAATGACACAATAATATATGATTTTTAAAGGTCCAACAAGGTATTTTTTCAAACTGATTTTAAAAGGTCAAGCTCTCTACAATATCAATCATACAATTGTGAAAAGCAATCTTTCTAATTTCTCCATATGTATATTTGTGAGAAGAATATTTCTTTGCTTTATATTCTATTAAACATTTAATTTTGTACCCTGAAAGGCCAGGAGCCCATGAATTTAGCTCATGGCAGGATACAGACTGGAGCCTAATAGATTCCTGGATTTTCTTCTTTCTTTCCATTCTTATAATTACATTTTATCAGATACCGTAAAATGTTCTAGAGAATTTGAAAGGTTGCACACTCTTTTATATTGCCTTGGTTAAGACACTACCCAACTGTGTCTTTTGGAATTATATAACATGCTGCTTTATATTTACAGAAAAAAATAACAGTTGGAAGGGATCTTGGAGGTCTTCTAGTCCAACCTCGTGCTTAGGCAGGAAACCCTATACCATTTCAGATAAATGGTTGCCCAATCCCTTCTTTAAAAATTCCAGTGTTGGAGCATTCACAACTTGTGGAGGCAGGCTCTTCCACTGATTAATTGTTTTAACTATCAGGAAATTTCTCCTTAGTTCTAAGTTGCTTCTCTCCTTGGTTAATTTCCACCCGTTGCTTCTTGTCCTGCCTTCAGGCGCTTTGGAGAATAGCTTGACTCCCTCTTCTTTGTGGCAGCCCCTGAGATATTGGAACACTGCTATCATGTCCCCCCTCGTCCTTCTCTTCATTAAACTAGACAGACCCAATTCCAGCAACCATTCCTTATATGTTACCGTTTACTGTTATATTGTTAGTGTTCCATGGAACAATCATTTTTGCCAAAAATAAGGGTAATTATTTTGCCTTAAGTCAGCTATTAATTGCGACTACCATTTCAGACAAATGGTTGCCCAATTTCTTCTTAAAAACTTCCAGTGATGGGGCATTCACAACTTCTGGAAGCAAGTTGTTCCACTGTCATAAAAAAGAGCTAAGCCTAAAACTAATTGAAGATTTAAATGGTTTCAGTCCATTTAGAAGGGCAATTGAATGGACCAAGTAAGCATAAATAAACTTACTCCTAGGTAAGTTTTCAGTTCATGTTAGTTCAAGAAAGCTCAATGGAAATTGAATTGTTTAATATTCCACTACTTTCCCTAATTCAGTGATGGTGAACCTTTTAGAGACCAAGTGCCCCAAAACTGGCCCTGCCCCGCTCCACCCCCTGCCCCACCCCCATTCCACCCCCCATCCCCTGCCCCGCTTGCCCGCAGGGCCACTCACCGCCTCCAGGGCCCACCGCAGATCGCCCAGGCAGCCCAGCAGCGCTATGACGGTCCCACTCTCTGCCCGTGCCCTGCAGCATCAACTGTGCATGATGGGGTGTGAGGGCAGAGTCTTGTCTACGCTGCCTGACTGCTATGTCCTTGGCTGCCCTGCTCCGTGTGGGCCACGCTCAGGGGCAACTCTCCTTCAGGGGGGCTGATGGAGAGGAACGGGTCGTGGGGGGAGGCAAGGCTGGGGCAACGGCAGGTATGCCCACAGAGAGGGCTCCAAGTGCCATCTTTGACACCCATGCCATAGGTTCGCCACCACTGCCCTAATTTATGATAAATGGCATTCAACATATAGAGAAGTTACCATATTGGAAGACTAGGCATATCAGACATGTAACATTGCCTTTTGTCAAAGTCAAAGACCATTGGTTCAGCTAGTTAAATACTTTCTGCACGGGCTGACAGCAGCTAATTAAATTTTAATAAAAGAGTACAGGTGGACAACAATTGGGACCAGAATTCCCATTGCTAAGTAAGATGATTGTTAAGTGAGTTTTATAGTCTTCTTTGTCATGGTTATTAACCGAATCATTGCAATTAAAAAATGAATCCCAAACAAAGCTCCATCCCCTTGAATTTTGCATGTCCAAAAGCTGACTGGGAAGGATGCAAACGGCAATCACGTGATCCTGGGACACGGCAGACGTAAGTACATGCCAGTTGCCAAACATCCGAATTCTGACTACAGGGTCATAGAGATGCTGCAACCATTGTAAATGTGAGAATCGGTTGAAAGTCGCTTTTTTCATTAACTGTTGTGACACCAAGCAGTCGCTAAAAGAATAGTTATAAGTCAGGGACTAGTTGTGTTTTCCAGTTCTATTAGACGATGTTGCGGAATGAAGAAGGACCTTCTGTATGTAAAAGAAGTGCAGGTAATCCTCGAGTTAACAATCACAACCGAGCTCAAAATTTATGTTGATAAATGAAACATTTTAAAGTGATTTTTGCCCCATTGTACAACTTTTCTTGCTGCAGTTGTTAAGTGAATCGTTGCAGTTATTAAGTTAGTAACACAGTTGTTGAGTGAATTTGGATCCCCTATTGACTTTGCTTGTCAGAAGGTTGCAAAAGATGATCACGTGATCTTGGGACCCGGCAACCGTCATAAATACGATGTGAACCAGTGGCCAATCATCTGAACTCTGATCACGTGACCATGGGGATGTTGCAGTGGACGTAACTGTGAAAAATGATCATAAGTCACTTTTTTCAGTGCTGTTGTAACTTTGAATGGTCACTAGATGACTGCTGTAAGTCGAGGATTCCCTGTATTTACCATCAACTTTGAGTCCCAATCTCCAAAAGAATTAAAAGTGTGTTAAGCAAAATCCTGATCAATTCTGAAGTTACTTGTCCTACCAATCCTTCCCTAAAGGGTTCAAGTTACTCTAAGCCGAACCCTCTTCAGAGGCAATAAGAACAGAAAACACACACACACACAGACCACACAAACACTCTTCTTTAAATATTGTTGCTTAGTGATCAGCTCAGTTCTAGGGAATGTGATCCATCTGCAACGTGCTTCATGTAACATGCCTTGCCTGCATGATAAAAATATGACAGTGTGCCTTGACTCATCACGATGTGGGAAGCTTCATGCCCACCTATTTCCTTGCAGGTCTGTTCTGTTTAAAATCAATTCAGCAGTATAATTGGGAAAAACAACACTATAATATCACATTAGCTGTTTTGTGTTTTTGGTTCATATATTTTCGTTCTTAAAATTGCACATTCATAAACCAGGGTAAACTTGCCATATAATTCTGAAGAAGCAGCTCAACAGAATCTCTTCTTCCATATTTGATAATCCAGGATTTTAATTTTGATTCAGCCAGGACCAAGAGTGACAGCAAGCGGTACTTCAGTTCCAAGAACTCCATTTTCAGCAGATGGAGATCAGATGATGAGGCGACAAAATTAAACCTAGACATGAATTACCCCATCGTTAAACACAGAAACATACAATGAACATAAAATTACAATTCATGCTGCAAAGCTGTAAAGCATAAAGATATTAAGTGTTGAATTTTAATAACCAAAGTAAGCTAGTTAAGTAGGTTTATAAAGTGAAGAAAGGTATGAATTCAGTTCTAAACATGTTCACACAGAATGAAAAACATATTATATAGAGCTTGTTTTCCAGTAAATACACTGATAAGAATTGTAAACCAAAATATTTTTTATTAACCAGTGATTTCTTTCTCTCAGCTCCCATAAACATTTCCAAATGATGCTGTTTCATAATGTTTTGCTTTCTGCTAGGTGGCAAACAACAACAAACAGCTTTACTGTATTTTCAAAATCTATAGCTTATTTACTTTCAAGTATTTTTCTCAAACCAGTGTCAATGACCAGAAAAGATAATTACAGTGTGGAACACTTGTTTCCACTACTATTAAAACCCCGTTTTGAAAAACAGAGATTGATTTTAACAGAAATGAACAACATTTTATCACTGCAACATTTAAGAATGAATCCAGACTTACCTTTCAGCCATATCATCAAGCTGCTCTAACGGAATAGGGACTCCATTGACAGACTGAGCTCGGCGGATTTCCTGGAATGTCCTTTTGTACCCCTCTACATTTTTAAGCATATCCTAATTTGGAGAGTTTTTTTTTTTTTTTTTAAGAGAGAGCAAAGAGAAAAAAATAAAAGGTTCACAGCTGGCAATTTTAAGGCGTATAATTTTTAAAGCTGTACTGATGACTCAATATATGAAAACGTTTCTTCAGGCTCTCACACTTATGGGTGAGAGAAAGCATTTATAGCAGCTTGAGCTTCTTCAGAACAAAAGTGCTTTTCGAGATATTGTGCTGTGCCCTGGTAATTCTCGCTTATTATAAATCAAACGATCAGGTCATTTGCCGAAAGCATTTGGAAAACATGTTGCTTACTATCCCCAGTCAATCCATTTACCTATCAGTTCATGAACGGTATTCCACTTATTGCACAAGGCACATAGAACATACACACACAGTAATATTTCCTTCTTAAAAATCCATAGAGTCAGATCTTTTAGAGTCACTGCATCTTTCATGCATAGTGAACTCAGGAATATGGACCGACTATATTCTGTAATCCATTCTGAAGTCACTGTAGCTTCTAAATCATCTGGTAAAAAATATAAACCAGAATGAGCCTAATATCTGGGGTTTTTTTTTCTGTAGTATCTAAGCAACAGTACTTAGTGAAAGTTATTTATTAAAAAATTACTAGTAATCATCAGAAGAAATGTTCTTAATAAGAATATGCTAGGGGATGTTTTTCTACTAGTCACAATTTAATTAGACTAGCAACAAGGTGATACGAATAGGTAAATTTCTGTTTTGCACCTGCTATGATCGTGTATGAATTGACATTATACATCCATACCATGAACATTGGAGGTTTTTTTAAAAAGTTACTGTTCTCCTATCTACTGTTACTCCAGTTCCAACTGAATGCATTTAAAATTTTAAAAAATGTTATTCTCTAGTTACAATCTAGAACATTCTTTATGCATTTATTCTGAATAAAGGGTCCAGAAGACTTCTCCGCACTGCATGTGAGAGAGACATATACGTCTGTTGTTCATAGACAGTTACATAGCTGTTGCATTCATATGTCTGTGAATTTTAATTTTCTGGCTAGGGCGGGCACTCAAACAGCAAAGCACAGAACAGGAAATCAAATCCACCAATCAGCACACAGGATGTGTACCTCCCCACAACATGCAATTGGGATTAACAGGTATTTGCATTGGCAGCTATCTTCAATATATGCTTACCCATCAACCCCTTCATAGCATAAGTATGCAACAATTGCTATGCACAGTTGCAGGCAACTCTAAATCAGCCTTAAGACAGGTTAATGTTATTGTAAAAGAACTATCCTATCCTTACAATTAAAAACACTATCACTTGTCTAAGACTAATAAAATATATAAAACCATGAGGTCTAGGTCAACATGTCCAAACTTTGGAGCAAATGGATCATTAGTCAAGTACACATTTTGAGATAGTATACAATGCATTATTTATGCAACCTTCCATCAGTTTCATTTTTAAACCTCTTGTATAAGGAGCCGGAAAACAAGGAACAATATTCTATGTCTTTCCAAAAATGTATTCAGCCATATCAACAATTAATACAACTATTTATACATCTGGAAGGCTGGGGTGGCATAGCAAAGTTGATTAAAAAAGAGAAAGCATTAAAAAAGTCAACTTTCCTGCTCCTGTATTCTCATAACAGAAGTTTCTATTGGGGGGTGGTGGCTTTGCCTGTGGAGACAGTGTTTTTGTTCCATTGAGAAACAGAGGTGACACTATTCATTTCTGCAAATGAGTACTATATATCACTTCATCTGCTCATCCATTCTTTCTTCAGAGGAGGCAATCAAAGATATAAAGTAAAGGTCTCTAGAAGCAGAGGGGAAAGCAGTTTTATTTGATGTATTTTTTTTTAATACGTTATTTTTACTGAGCAATCGACAATTTGTGCCCCTTTGGGTCATTGTTTCAGAGTTATTAAATTACTTAAACAGAGAAACAAAATGACCAAGGGCAGGTAAAAAGGCATTGGTAGCAGGAGAAAGTTGCTTTCCTGCTACTTCCCATTGAGCTTCCTTCCTTCCTTCCTTCCTTCCTTCCTTCCTTCCTTCCTTCCTTCCTTCCTTCCTTCCTTCCTTCCTCTCTTTCCCTTTCCCTTTCCAGCAGGCAGGTAATTGATTGCTACTGGATAAAGGAGGGAGCAAGAGATTATAAAATTGGTTGGGACACTGTCACAGAACATTGAAAATTAAGATCATGTGATCACATGACTGAAGGAGCAGCCCATCAACAGCCAGTGGCAGTGAAGCAGCCACAATTTCCTCAAATTTCATTACCTCATGAGTAATGAAATGTCACGAGTCCTGGATTTTGGACACATTCTGTATATTAACCTGTTTGAGAAACCTTGGTTCAAAAATTGTAGCCCTGTGATGCATGGTTTTGCCAAGTTAACAATCATGACAATGAGAGTTAGTAATATATAGAAGAGGGCGGACCTATGCCAGCAGGCCTGTCGGCATCAGGAAGGCTCTGAAGGAGGTAGCTGCAGTGTGTGTGGGGGAGGGGAATCAGGAGGCTTTCTAGCAGGTGCTGTCAGGCCTGAAAACACGACGCTGCCCCTCTGCTTTCTAACCCCAAAATTCCAGAGTGAAGTTGGGCAGCCTCTCAACGTCCCTGACAAGCTGCAAATCTGCTGTAGTCTCAGCTGCTGCCCCCTTCCTTGGCTGGGTGAGGCTGGAGTGTGCAGCCTTTACTTGGGGCTGCCAGCATGGTGGCGGGCAGGAGTGCCAGGGTAACGCTCCACTTTGCAGGATGTAGCAGTCCCGCCCCAGCTATAGCGAGGAGCTGCAACTCTATCTGTGCCCTGGGGTCAAGGAGAAGGAACTGGAGGGGTGCGGTGGCTGGGCTGCCTTCTGTCCTGTTAGATTCAGGGGTTTTCTTTGATTGGGGGTGTATGGCTTGACTCTTGCCGAAATGCAAATTCCTCTCTAAGCAGAGATTAGGAGGCTGAAGGCCTCCTTCTCTGTGGCCATGCAGTTCTAAAATCGATGTGCTGCTGCTGGGGAGGAGAATCAAAATAGGGCAAAACAAGCGTAGTCCACCACGGTTTATTGATTGCAAAGTTTTCCTTGGATTTTCCTATCCGTTACTGGGCTATTAAAAATCACATTGGCAAGGTCTGTACTGAATACCTAGCTGCAAACTACTCAACCTTGTGCAATTCTGCAGGTAAGAGCATGTAGTAACAGGAGAGAGCTGCAAAAGTGATTCGTTATTTATTCTTGTCTTTAGTAGCAATAACTACGTTCTTTGATGACTTTGCTACCAACCTGCAGGCTGTGAACTTTCCTTTCTCCCTTGGGGAAAGAATTCAGAAGTGCTAGTTTATTTTTCCTGTTAATTACAGTATAACCTGTTGGTTTTTTAAGGAGCTTATGAGAAAAAGAGGTGTCTGAAAATTAAAGCATATATCGATTGAGTTGTGAGACAGGAAAGGGAAGTACATGGACTTATGCACTTCCAGTTACTGACAGGTGTGCCACTAACATTCTGACTGGACACTTGCATGCTTTCAGGACCCAAAGACTATCTTCATTCTTCATAGGGAGATATTGTGGATTAACTAAATTTTTTTGGATTCTCATTTTAAGGTGAGTATCCTGAGCTTTGGAGGTCTTTGATCTTCTTAATACATAATAATAAAATACTGAGAACTATAGGCTTAAAGGGAAGGCAGGTTAGAAAGAATGAGACCTTTTGGGGTCTTCAATTCCCTTTCTGTTAAGAGTTCCCTAATAAGGTTTGTTTTTCCTTCCTCATATCAATAAAGCTAGTTTTTCCAGAAAATATGTGAAGAGCTGTAATTAGTTATTTAACTATGGGTTTTTTTTGGCTGCGTTTTAATTTATATATAAGGTATGTTTAATTGAAGAAGGCTTGGAGAGGTAGAAGAGGCCAATATGGAGGCTGCACCTTGCCCTCCAGAACTCTGTCTCCCCTGCAAATCTCTGGAGAGGAGGAGGGGGTGGCAGGGGAACTGTGTGAGGGAAGGCTGCCCCAACAAGCCAGCATTCATACCACGCACAATTGGAAGTGGGAATTCCCTTTCGAGAAGGGCCAGCCTCCCTTGTGCAGGACCAGGGAGTGCTGCTCCTCTGCCACCTCCTCTTGCTCTCCAGAGATCTGTCAAGACAGAAGTTGGACTTGGAGAAAACTGCTTCCTGCAAACGTCCTCCACCTCCTGCTTTGCCGGGAGGGGGCACTAAGATGTCTGGGATTGGGAAAAGAACATCTCTTTAGCGTGCTATCCACATACACACAAACATTCCAAGCTTGGAGACTTGTATCCACATCTGAGCTAGCAAATTGCCAATCACGCCTGAGCTTGGGGAGAAGGCCCTCTCCTTCCTCTGTGGATAAAAGTCCCCAAACCTGGAATCTGATGTGTGTGCATGTGTGTGAGCGCATGCATCTGCTTCGCCGCTAGCAGATGGAGGCAAGGAGTTTGTGGGGCACCGAGATGTCCCCACATCAAGTTAGCCAATGTAACTTGTTCTGTTCCAACTCAGCTGTCTTAAGTCAGTTGTGTCCAATGAGTGGCATCGAGTAGGCCACACCCACCTGCTAGGCAACTGGTGTTACTCAAATATTGCCATATCCTAAAAGTGGTACAATCTCTGAAAAGGTTGAAAAGCCATTTTACTAAGAAATTGGGGCATCCTATAAATTTAATTAATAAATAAATAAATAAATAAATAAATAAATAAAATTAAATAATTATATAATTGTATATAATGCATAAGACTATAAAATTATTCAAAAGTCCCAATTTTAAACAAATGAACTGCATAACTTTAAAATAAAAATAACGCATTGGCTTAAATCAAACTGAGATACATATTCAATTGTTTAAGAGAAAAACCTAATCCAACAGCACAATTCTACAGGGTTTCATTTTGAAGTAAGTCTTTCGTAAGTGTAATAGGGCAAAAATTACATAACTGCATTTCTTCCTCTCTTCTATTGAGGATGGCTTGGAAAATACGTTTGATTTCAAGAATAAAGCATAGGTAGTTCCCACTTTTTGCTTCCTCCTGTGGCAAATGCCACAGAAATTGCCTTATCCTTCCAAAGATAAGAATGAGAGTTCTCATAGTTCTCAGCAGTTCACCACACTGACTGGATAGCCTGGAATGAATTACTAACTCAGGAGAAAACTAAGTTCAGAAATGTTTTTGTAAAATGCAACAATAAGTCAACCACAAAGTAAAAGCCATGTACTTTTTCAATACAGAGTCTTCTTTCTACTACTGTAAATCTATTTTTTTATTAATCAAATGTTTATTATGGTCATAAATCAGCAGGGCCCACTTTATTTGTTTACAGCATATCAGAAGTCATTCATACTTTCAAACCCTCATGCTCCCATACATGTAATATAATTTAGAAATAATATCATTTAACTGAAAATATACAAACTTTATGCTGTTCAAGTTTCCGATGTAACACATCTGCAGTTTCCTCATGAGATTGTTGAATGGAGATTTCTTCTCTAACAGAGGTCTCAGCCCTACAAAGCCAGGCTGCGATAGGGCCCAGAGGCGCAGGAAGAGATTTATCAAGATACAAGTGCCATTCAAAAAGCTGGAAAACAGGACATTAAGAGAACTGGAATCCCATTTCCAAGCTTTATTTTGTTCTCTAAATATGCAATAGAGCATCAAAAGAATTGCAGAAAGAAAGAGATATACTGAGAAATTTTGATTGAATTTGAAAATCGTATAACAAACATCTATTGAGTTTAATTTATGAAGTGCTGGTGAAATATGATTCAGAAGGCAAACATGCTAAATATTTATATTATATTATGAAAAATTGAATATAGTATTAAAGATGCAAAGTTGGAATTTCAATGGAAAAAGAGTATTAACTGATTGTGAAGATTATATTTAGAAAAAAATGGTATAAAATGGTTTATCATTACTATATATAATCTACTTCCAATTTCTAAAATGGACAACTTTTTAACAAATGCTGGAAAGGTCATGAAAGGTTAGATTATCATTCCATGTATGGTAGCATTCCTGTAAAATCCAGCAATTCTGAAAAATGATTCATAGTAGAACAAAACAAATATTGACAATTGAGATCTTAATTCAATCTGAGATATTCCTCTGAAATATATCAAACTAGCTTTGTTTGTGTAACAGCTGCAACAATTTTCTAGGTTACCCACTGGAAAGGTTGCTTGATTCCTTCTTTGGAAAAATGGTTAACTAAATTATGTGACTATTCCTTATTGTTCAAACTAACTTTATATTTAAAAGTCTGATAAAAGATTCAATTCTAATTAGATTCAATTCTAAACAGAATCTATTTTTAGAATATAACTTTATATGTGAATTTGCACCAAACCCCACATTTGATGTCTTTTACATATATAATTTAGATTTTTAATTTCATAAAAATTTTCATAAAAATTTTGAATATTGATTTAATCTTGTATAGTTTATAATTTTAGTTAGTGATTTATACTGTGTTAACCAGGTATTTTTAGTTTAAATCTTAAGAAGGACTTTCGACTTTTGTATTAAAAATTGACATGATATATTTCACAATAATCAATAATATTCTAAAATAGCAGTCTTTATGATATTTAAACATTTAGCTTATCCATCTATATTTCATTATTTGTATTTTGCTCATTTACTTCTTTAATATTTGGTATTTCCTTTTGCTTATGTGTTTTTTTATAAATAAGATGATAATAATAATAATAGGGCAGCTATACCTAATAACAAACCTAAACAGCTGGATTCACACAATTTAAATCAAAAATAAAGAAACCAAATACTGTTATATCGTTAGTGTTCCATGAGTCATGGAACAATCATCTTTGCTAAAAAATAAGGGTAATTATTTTGCCTTAAGTCAGCCATCAATTGCGACTACAATCTTATCAACGGAGGGGAAAAGATTCTTCAAACTTAACCAAGAGGAGATTCATGATTCTGATATAACAAAATTGAAAATGGCACAGGTCATACATTTCTACAAAAGCCTGTAACTAGCTCAGGTTCTGTGCAATGTCATTGTTGTAAATTCATCTTTGGATGCTTTCTTTATTCATCTCTTTAGAAATAAATATTAATGTGCAAGAGCTGAAAAACATACAGCAATTTTTGTTCAATTTATGAACAATCTGCTTATTTGAAAAATGCATATTTTAATATGAAATCTGAACACCCACAAACATCTGGCTTAGCTTTACACACAGGTGAAAATTGGTAGGAAGGCTGTTACGTCTTCCAAACTTACTTGAGAAGTAACTTTGTCCCAGGCTTGCTTCACCAAAGCTTGATCAAGGGAAAGTTTTCCGTCCTTTCTTAAAGACTGGATTGCACGTTCAACTTGTTTCTTCTTTGCTTCGTATTGTGCTTTGCAATGTTTGAATGACTGCAAGAACAAGGATACAGTGTTATTTATTCATCTACCAAATTTATAAGGCTGCTGTCCTCAGTGTGACTATAGCCAGCATGCAGTATTAAAAAGAGTACAAAAAACGTAAAGAATCTTTATGAAAAGAAAAATTTGTTCAAGGCTACCAATTCAAAATCTAAGTTTAGCATTCTTCAATCCATTGCCTCTTTATTTGCTGGACTAAAACTCCTTTACTTTACAGTCATTGTGACTTTTTTTGGCTGATATAGCCTTTCTCAATCACATTCTGTTCTAGGGGTTGAACTAAAAAATCAGAAATACCTGGTATTTTTCTTGTAAGCTTGCTTCCATCATTTGTGTCCTTGACAAGTCTCTTTCAAATTGTTCAATCCAAATTTTCAGATCCCTTAGCATCAGTTGATCTTTCTATGACAAATAAAAATAGCACTCAACTCACCACAAAATTGCATATATTTAACCTATAAAATTGGGATTTTTTTTAAAAAAACCTCATCTTTAAAAAGATCAAGGAATTTGAAAAAAAAACTTAGCAAAAAGCTAAGTAATATTCTGATGTAAAAAATGTATACATGGATTAAGAGACCAGATAATTTGGAATATTGAGCTTTACTATAAGATTTTGGAATTAACATAAAAAATAAAAAACTCGTGAGAAACAGATTTTAAGCACAAGAAAAAAAAATACAAGCCTGATGTCAGTTAACACTGGGACTTACAAAATAATTTAAAATGTTAAACATCCAAAATAATCGCTCTTTGAAGAATGTAGCCAGAAGTTAGTAACTAAATGTCAACACTGACAGTAATGATGTCTGCTTCTATGGATAGAATATGTCTAAAAGATGTTAATGAATGAATGACAGATGTGGAACAATTTTATCTAGCAAGATAGAAAAAGAACAGCAAGTGAAACTACAAATGACAGCCCAAGAGAAGAATTTGGAAAAGGAAATTTTACTAGATATACAAAAGAAAATGGCTGAGGTTTTAAAAAGTAAAAGGGGAATACAAATGATAAAACAAGACAATGATCTTGTCAGTGTTTTCTTATTGGATCTAGAAAAAAAGACTTGTTAAAGCCTTGAAAAAGTCTGTGTGATGGGATAAAAAAAAATGAAGAGAAATGAAATACTATTACAATATTTGATTGCATTATAGATTAAGGTTGTTACAAATAAAAGGAAATTGGTTTATTTAATCAAAGTGAAAATAAGACTTGTTTTGCAAAAACAACAACAACAACAATAATAATAAAGTTGGAAGGGACCTTGGAGGTCATCTAGTCCAACCCCCTGATCAGGCAGGAAACCCTATACCACTTCGGACAAATGGCTGTTCTGGCAGAATTGAAAAATTTATGTACTATGGATTTATTTATAAATAAGTCATAGGATATGTAATGAAGAGATAATTGTTTAATCTTATAGGGAATGAAGAGTTATTAAATTTGTTGATACTTCTCATAATGAAGATTGGAAGTCACTTCTTTATATATTTTTCTTTATTACATTCTTTCTTTTTTCTTTTCTTCCTTTTTTCTTCACTTTTGTTTTTCCATCTCTTTTCTTTCTCTAAGTTTAATTTCTATTAATTTTTATTACTGTAATTAAAATTCTCAATACAAATTATATTTTAAAAAGAGCTGATTAAAAATAGAAAAAAAATCCCCCAAAACAACTCTTTAAAATTATTTATCATCTTTCCATACTTGTGATCCCAATGAAGCCCACTGTCCCATCTCTTTCCATTTCAAACTCTTTTCCTCCTTTTTTAAAATTCCATTTTTTTTCATCCACAGCCCCAATGCTCATTAACTCAAACTAAGTTTAGATGTCCTTTAAACCTTTACTATTGCATCTGACAATTTTATTGTACATTGTAATTAAAAACATACATCTGCCTCCTGTGCATCACTTGCTGCATTATGAAGATCTGGATAATGTTTCAGAAACTGTGCTACATAGGTCATAATTGATTTTTCATCTGGTTTATCCACATCCACATCTGGGAAAAAAAATGAGGAAAAAAATTAAAACAAAATAGAGTAAAAACAAAACATAAAAACAAATACTGTCTTTGTCACGTGTGAATAAAAGAGATCAAAACATTTAGAATTTTTCAAAATTGTTTTAAATTGAACATTAAATGTTACCCTACCTTCAGGATCAAGGAGTCTTGGGATTCCCAATTCTGATTCTGCAATTGTAAAGGCCTCTTCCAAATTTTTTTTGTTAGATTGTGTTTTTGCCTTCTCCAAATCCACTAGTTCCGGACGGATAGCATTAATAACTGAATGAAAGGCAATACCACTTCTCCAGCTTTGTCCAAAATCCTTGACGTCAATTCCAGTTTGCCTTAACAATAAAAAATAACACACTACTAACTTGAACAGCCTTATTGTTGAACTTCTAGCATTATACCATTATGTTAAGATTATATTTGCAGTGCTTCTGGAATGAATAATCTTTTTGATTCAATTATCTATAATTTCTGTTTTGCTTTTAAACAAATTCTCACTTAAATATAATTTAATTTATATCTATGGAACTGCTACATGATAAATTCAGAAATTCTGCCTTTGGCACGATAACTTTCAAAGTATTTGAGAAACGTAACATTACAGCAGACGACCTAAATGGGGTAAGAAAGGAAAATCAGTGATATCCCTTGCAATTTTCCCTGAATGTGGTATATTTGATGTGCATGAATATAAACAAGCTCTGCAAATAAGTTCCTCTCAAGATTGCTCTCAAATTTAGAAACCTCTTTTATCATGCATCTAGCAGGGTCTTTTACTTCATCAAACCTAAACAATGGAATGCATTTCCTATGGAAGTGGTCTTTTACCTACTCTTTAGGAAGCGCCTTCTGTTTTTCCAGGACTTTATTATCATTTTGTAAGATTATGTGTTTTGCATTCTTGTACCTATTAGCTGCTTTGAATTTTCAGTTGAAATAAAAAAGAGGATGTAATTTGTATAGCTAAAAACATTCATTGCTCTTACACATTCACATTTAGTTTTATGTTGTTAAATTATTGTCCAATTGTCCACATGTTTCAATGTGATTACAAACTCTAATCATATATTCAGACAGTGACATGGAAACACAAGTATTCTGCTCTTCTGGAAATTAGATGTTCAGACAAAGCAGTCAATCAAAATCTCTTCCAAGTAGAATACATCAAGGAAAATCAGGCTAGGTCAGGTCATATCAAATTAAATCAGGTTTCTTCCAATATAATTTGGCACATGGAAAGAAGTGAGTGACACTTTCAGAGGAAAGATACCTCAATAGACATCAGACTCTATCTTTACACAGACCAACAAGATCCACTGTATAACCTCTAGTTCTGCCAAAAAAGTGGCCTGAATAAGGCAGAAGGGATTTAGATGAAATGTGAATTCATAAGCTAAGTCAAAGAAAGGCAGTGCATCTTCAACCTAGGAAGACACTAGAGGTGGTTTTTAAGGTTTTCCCTATAGCAGGTGCGCCAGCATCAGCTTCTTTAAGGCAGCACTAGGACCCAAGTCTGAAGATCATAACAGCAAGCAATAAAAATTTCCACCATACAAAATAAACAATTAAGATGCCATAGATAACCACAAAAATTTTCCCTTGCTGCGTCACATTAGTACATAGATGTTGTCTAAAATAATTACATGTAGTGCTCATTTAGCAACCACAATTAAGACTGGCAACTTGGTTGTTAATTGAAGTGGTTGCTAAGTGAAACCACGACTGTGCTTATAATCTTATTTCAGTTTTCCTTTGCTTTATAGACCTCCAATGTCATAAAAGCAAGGATTGGTCGCAAATTTACTTTTTCATCACTGTCATAATTGTGAACTGTCAGTAAAAAAGACAATCACTAAATGAGGATTATTTCTAGATGAACTGTACATCAGCACTGCTATGAGTTCAAGCTGTACTATAGGTAATTTAATTCTAGGAGCTCACAGTAACCTAAACTGTATAAATGTTGTGATCTAAAATATGTAAAACTGCTATTCAAAATCAAAAGTCTGTATCTGTAAAGATCAACTCAAGAACCTAAAAGGGTAAGATTACAAATTAATTTCAGCAACAGTAATTTCTTCATTTAAATTAGTTATAATTTTCTAACTCTTGTATATTGGTTTCATATGATTATCTCCTAAAATCTTAAATATAACATTGTGTATATTTTTAAAAATCTGTTTGAAATCTACAACTATGAAATTATAAATATTTTAAAAAAAATATTGTGAAACTTTCAAAAAGAACATTATATCCAATTACTGGCTAATTCTACGAATGTATTGATAAGACAAAGAGAATGCAACATCTCAAAGCAGAGGTGGAAACCACCCACCCACATACAATTCCTAGCACTTTGAGATAATGCTACCAACACTAGCTGACAAAACTCCTCATGCTGAAAAAACCAGCAGTGACAAAATTAACTCACTTTGATGACAAAAAAATGAAAGCACAATTGAAGGGGCTTAGGGATAGGAATTGCAGTAAGTGTTCTCTCTCCTCAAACTTTGTCATTTCTGTCTTAAAGTAACTTTTATTGAAGTGAAGAACTATGTTTAGGATTTCAATAGAGTAAAGTACGTAGAGACGTATTTCTTTTTCACTTTGCATTCATCTTCCTGATATAAATAATTCTATTGCACTGTTTAACCCATCATTGCTTACCTTGCTGCTGTGTACTGCACCCATTTTAGCAAAGCCTTCTTTGCATTTCCCTGGACTTTAGTAAAAACTTTCCGCTTGGAGGGTGGGCTGGCAGTCTCACAACTGACAACACTATCCACAGATGATGTACTACTGCAGAGTGACTGCAACTGTGGCAGGTTGCTGGTAAGTTCTTCTATCTGTATGTAGTAGAAAAATTTTCAGTGTATTATGGATTGTGGAAATGCTGAGGTTAGCGTTTTGTTCAACAGCTGATTAATAAGATATAAAAGAATTATAATGAAAAAGTGCAAATCAAAAATTGTTTGACAAGAACCTACATCCTCAGAAGATGTAGGGCCGATTCATATTTATCTGTCCCATCCATGGAATTGTATTAGCCAAATGACATCTACTAATAGATGAATTAGTACCTTCTCAAAACCCACCAAATTTATATGATTATTGTAATTTTGGTACTGTGCAGGCACTAGAAACAAAGTCTGAAGATCATGACAGCAAGCAATATAAACTCTCACTGAAACCATTAAACACAATTATTTGTATGTATATTCATCTGCAGAAAGCTCCAAACTGGGTTGCAATAGCAATAGCACTTAGACTTATATACCGGTTCACAGTGCTTTACAGCCCTCTCTAAGCAGTTTACAGAGTCAGCATATTGCCCCCAACAATCTGGGTCCTTATTTTACCGACCTTGAAAGGATGGAAGATTGAGTCAACCTTGAGCCGATGAGAATCGAACTGCCAAACTGTTGGCAGTCAACAGTCAGCAGAAGTAGCCTGCAATATTGCATTCTAACCACTGAGCCACCACAGTAATAAAACTGTACTCCAATTTTCTGAATTTTTCCCCCTGAAAAAGATTCTCTTCTATAGAAACAAGTTCTATTTCATTCCCATTTGTCCTTACTTATTGTTGAGAATTTATGCTTATTTCACATATATGTATTTATAAAATTTATTTATTTTACTGTTAAGGGTACTTTTACCAATAAACTTTTATTCCATCACCTTGCAGCTTTCCTCACTCACTTTAAATCCTAATCTGCAAAATTTCTATTAGAAGTTTTTTATGACTCATGAAAAACTATAGCAACTACAGAACGTACACAATCTCTTGACTCTAGGAAAAAGCCCCCCACATACATACACACATCCAATCAGAGACAAATACTCTAAATGCTTTTTTAGGGGAAAAAATCAGTTGAATGCCTATCACAGGGAATGAAATAGCAGGATTTGGAATAGTAGTATGCTGAGTATTGCCTATGACGATTTCTGACCTAAATATCCTCATATCATTTACTTATAGTAGCATATGTCCCCTGCCTAATCTTGGGAAGGGCTTAATAAATGGATTAAAAATGCCAAATCCTATCTAAACATCTGACTGACTATATGACCAACCAGAATTTGTCTTTTATTATTTTAGTAAATTACAACCTATAAAGACCTGCAAATAAGAATAGAATAACTGTAGCAAAAGAAAATGAAGATAGCAACAGATGCCTTGAGTGCAATTCCAAAACATTTGGAGCACGGCTTGAACACCATTGGCATTGACAAAATCATCACCAGTCAATTGCAAAAGGCAGCTTTACTTTTAACACCATCAAACAGCACACTATGCCTATGGCTTAGGAAGGACAGTCTAAATATCTGGCTGACCTGCGCAACCAACAATAATAACCTGTCTTTTATTATTTTTAAAAAGGGGAAATATTATACCTGGAAATACAGGATTACTGTCCACACCAAACCAAGCACAATAGATGGTCTTCCATCAGCAATATCAGTTGAATTAATGTTGACAAGCTTAATCTATTTGGGGTAAGGAGATGCAAACACATTACTATCAAGCATTAGAAAAAGCTGCAACTGGGTAGCTTGTTACAATATGGAAACATTTGTGGACATATTTATGAGCCTTAATGTAAATAACATATATTCTCAAAATCAATATTACATTTACAGTTATTCTTCAAAATTAAAAAAATGCTATAGGTATATCAAACATTTGTCAATTTATGTTTATATTTCTTAGATGGAATGAAATGTACATGAAAATAGACCATGAAAATCCTGCAAACTAGGGTAGTCCGCTCTGTAGATTAGGAAGAAAATAATATGCTGCATTGGATGTTTTTCAAACAGACCTTTAGGTATATAAACCTTTACTTCACTTGTCAATCACTAGATCCCACACATTCTTTCACTGATAAAAATTTTCTGCATCTATTTGCCAAAAATAGGAAGTCAGAACCATTTGAGCTGCAGAATGCTTTCACTCCCAAGATCAAATACGATAGAGAATTAATATAAGGAAACTAGCAAGGAGTTTCTGACAAGAACTAGTAATCTTTGCCCCAATATGTCCATCTGAAAAGATAACCTGGCAGTGTATCTGCTGTTGCACTTGTGTCAGAAGCACTGAGGCACTTCCAGGTTGAAAGGATTAGCGGTGACATCACTGTTGCCCTGGGGATGCCCAGTTGGGAGCGCCTTTCATGTTCCCAGCCTGAGCTGGAGCAAAGGATGGGAGGTCAACCCCGCCCCACGGCAACTCTCAGATCTCAAACGCAGGGTTGCTAATATCCATCCCAGCATCCTAATTGTTGAAGCCCCCCTGGCAGTGTACCTGAAGAACTACAACTACCTTTCTAGGTAACATATTTCTGCTCATTACATTCCCTACAATATGTATGTATATATACTTTTGCTCTCTATATAGAGTGTTTAAATAATATAGCTATATGTTAAAATGTTTCATTTAATTTTAGTTGAAATTTGTTATATTGTTGAATGTTTGATAAAAATGTTATACTAACCGGTGATCCTCTATACACGGACTAGCATGGAAAACAAATAAATATGTATTTAAAATCCTATATGTAGATAATATTTAGAATAAGAAGATAAAATAAAAATAAGCTTTATACAGAGTAACAAGTTAATATGAAAAGTGTTTTCTAAATTAGTGCTTCAAACTCACTATTTCCTATCATCACTTTATTGTTTTTACTGTTCTAGTTCCTGAGATTCTTATTTTAACTTTCATTTAATTTCATCCCAGCTACAGAGTAGGAAAATTATGACTGGTTAAGGCTAGTAAGTTTCTTTCAGGGTGTGTGCAAAAGAGGCAAATGGCTATACAAAACTCTGAAACTTACCCTACGTCCTTCTAGAAACTTAAGGGCAGTACCAATATTGGCCACTCCATGAATTCTCTTCAATTTTCGCCCTTGTTCACAAGGCTTAAAATATATATATATAAATAAAAAAGGTCAATTGACATTTAACAAATCACAGTATTAAAACAGATTGCAGCCGAAAAATTCATAATGTGAATACCTAAACAAACTCACTTGAAAGGAAACTCAGTGAAGAGTAGATGCCTCATATCCAAATAAATAACCCAATTTTAGAAAAAGTCATTTATCTGTTAAAACGCTTGTTCTTTTAATATTTATATTCCAAGGGAACAGAATATAAACCTACCAGTAATTTATAGAAGTCAACTGTCACTGTTTACAAGTCACAATTACCCCCCTTGTGATAACTTTCGGAAATATTGTAGTTAAACACCCCAAATCTCCAGCAAATGGGGATTAGGCACTGAAGCTAAAATTGAACAAATATGGACAGCATCAGACTAGGAAAAATTGCCTTAAACTGTACTGACGTTTTAATAAAAATAACTGCTGAAAATATATTTTATTTTGATTTGGACTAAAACCTGTTCTAGTTTTTTTAAAATGATTTTTGGAAAAATATAAAATAAATCTCTCTCAATTTTTAATGCTTCACCTTAATAAAATTAATTTGTAGTATTTTTCAATAGAAGAAAAGTAACCTCAAAACTTTATGTTTAAAATTTTTTCTACCACAAGAGGGAGTACTTTTTCTTATAAAAATAATAGAAGATGACTGAAAGTTATTTAACAAGTAGGAACCAAAGAGGTGTCTGCCATCAGAAAAAGACAATTGCACTTGGACTACAATGAATGATCCAATTTTACAATCCATATGAAAAATTGCTTGCACGTTTCATGTGGAAACCATGGATTACTGGACTATCAATCCAAGAAGTAACTGATATATTATAAAAACAACAGTAAAAAAAACAAACTTTTGCCTTCCTTTCATTAATGTATTACTAAAGATACCACATTAACAGTTTATCATTATAAATCTACTCATTTGTGTTTCAACAAAGATATGACAGGATTCAATTATTTTGGAGCAAATTACTCCTCGTGAATTTATAGTGCAAACATCACTCACATCTTAGTTGTATAGAATACCTGTTCTTCAGCCCTAATTTGCTCAATATTTCAGTAGTTTAGTTGCCAAGGTCCTGAAACAAATTCCTCTGAGCAGTGATACCATTATATCTGAACTGGTTTCTGATTCTGATTGCTCAATTGTTCTAGGACAGACTTCTCCATAACAGCACTTAGCACTCAGACATATACACCACTTCATAGTGCTTTTACATCCCTCTCTAAGAGGTTTACAGAGTCAGCATATTGCCCCAGCAATCTGGATCCTAATTTTACTGACCTTGAAGGATGGAAGGCTGAATCAACCTTGAGCCAGTCAGGATTGAACTCCTGGCAGTAGGCAGTCAGCCTGCAATACTGCTGCCTAACTACTGTGCCACCAAGGCTCCTAATAATAATGTTTCCAGCTACCTCAGAATCCCAGTTAACATGATCCATGGCCATGCAGACTGTGATTACAGGGGATTAGTTAGACTTAAGGTATGAAAGACTACTGTTGTCTGAAATCATTGTCTAAAGTGGATTTTTCTCACCTTAAGATTGTTTACTGTTCATGGGATCTGAACTTGGAAGGGCTTGTTTTAACTATGGCTTGTTTAAAAAAAAATATAGTGTCCTAGTATATAAATAACATTAAATCATATACTAAGATTTATAAATTACAGTGACTAACATCATAGAACTAAGTCAAAATGAAAACAAACATAGATTGATTTCTTAACAATATTTTCATGATGCTCTACAATGCTAATATGAAAATATTTACATTTAATATTTAATGCTTACTTTTAAATTCATTTGCTTTTTTAGCATGGGCTATGTATACTGGATGATCAGCAATCCATAAATCCATCTATTATAACAGGATCAATATTATAGAGTATGCATTATTTATTATGCACAGGGAAGAAACATTAGCATTCCAATGTTTCAGGGAAAGGCCATTATTTACAAATCATGAATAAGATCAATTAATTGAACAATACATAAGTATTTATATATAAAAATACTTACCAATTTTTGTCCCGAAAGGACCTCCAAAAGAGCAATCAATACAATTCCATCTTTAATGTCTTCAAATAGATCTTTGACTATTATGGGAGGATTGCGCTGTGAATGAAAGTAGAAAAAATTGAAGTAAAAAACCTTTAGTTACAAATGGTTCTCACATTGTACCTTCTTCAGTTTAATCATGATTTTCTACCTTTCCACTTTATCATTATCATATCAGAGGCTTTGGGTGTGAGAGAAAGTGTATTATTGAGAAAACACTGGAAAATTGGAAAGCATTCTAGAAGAATCACTTCTATAAACTTATCAAGATTCCTTTATGGCTTTACTCACCAGAAATCTTTACCTTTCTTCATTATTATTATACAGAAAATAAAAATTAGTCTAAAAAGAAATATATCCAGAAAACTTTTCCTCACGCAACAAAATGATCCCGGAGAATTCTCTTGTGTACCCTTAATATTTTCTGAGTACAGTTTTATTTTCCTTATAGCATATAAAGACACATACAGTCACTTTGCGTGAAATGAGTATCCGTTTGATGAATGAATGAATGAATGAAATAGAAAAAAGGCGCTTCAGGTATTAGTCTTCCAATATATCTTTACTTACAGTGAAAGCAATATTTCTTATATATATTCCTTCCCAAGCAACACCTGTAAGAGATTAACTAACTGTATGTCTTTATATAGCAAGAATGGTTTTTATTGGCCTAATTTTTCTCACTCAATTTTCCCCTTATTTTCTCACGTTTGGTTTGTGCATTTCCTCTTAATGCTTTTATTTTTGTTTTTATGTAGCACCTCTCTTCAACTTGTCCTTCCCAGGCAAACATTGCTGGAGTATAATTGTGGGACAAGCAATGTTTGGAAATTTCGTCATCTCTCTAACCCAGTCTTTCAAATATTGAAAACACCAAAAAGCAATACAGAGTTCTTCTACTTTAAATGTCAGCAAGTACTGCAGGACACACACATATCTGTACCACACATATTCTCTGTATCACACACATTCTATTTTAGATTTGGAATAACTTTGGAGATGCATTCCCCAGTAGGATATTATTCTACCTTAATACTTCTACCTTTTGCTCTGTGGCATAATAACTATCTGCCACAATCACAATATTGAAATATTTTTCTTACAATAATATCTAAAATAGCACAAGAATTGGTGAGAAACTAAAAGGCTGTAATGAGCAACAGTGATGCCATTTTGCAGGGAGGGGTAGCTCTGTCAAGGATAAATGAGCATGTCAGAAAAGTTACACGAAAGGAATATTATAGATGTAGCCATTGTTGTTTAATGCAGGCACTGTCTCTGTAGCCCATTGTGGCTAACCATCAATAAGAAGGGAAGGGAACTACACATGAGGCTTCATATTCAGAAAGAGTATATAGCTTTTATGTGTCTCTCTATGTGTGTTTATATGCCTGTATCTCTGTGTGTAATTGGTTAATGCCATATACTCTCATTGTTAAAGATTGACTTAAACCTTTGAATTAGAGAATAACTGCTCAGCACTGCTTATTTGTTGATTTGGGCTGTATTACAATGAACAATTTCCCAATCTTCTTGCTTTTTATTGTACCCTGGCTTGGGAACAAACTTCCAACTTCTAACAACAATGACCTCAAATTATGTTGTTGCAGCAGCAAAACAGATTCCACTTAAGAAGCAAATATTATTTTAAACCTGTCAATCTAAGACTGAAAAGTCTAGATGGAAATACGACTCTTAAAATATGAACTTTATGCATAGCTAGGCTGTAAATTTGCTTAGCTTTTCACTAGAAGGGAAAGTGCAATGGAGATGATTTTTTAAAAAGTATACTGTCCTATAACAGAAGCAAACAAACAACAGGCCCTAAATCAGAACCAAACCAACAATATGTTTTGAAACAGTACGATGTTTCCATTTTCGTATGATACATCAAGATACTTTTCTCAGCAGCAAAAAGCATGAGGCCTATGAAGAGAATGCAAGTTATTCAGCCACATTTGGCTAACAAATCAATTTTGTAAAATTCAATTTTTTACTCTATGTAATGTTCAACTTTCACTAATTCACATATATGATTAATAATAAATCATCAGTTCATATGCCCTCACCATTTATTGCACCCATTTCTCTTCTTATGTTCCAAGATGCCAAGTGATTTGACTTACCTCAGCACTTGGCTTAATTCAAGTAATGATTTCTAAATATATGCAGTATACATTTTTTCCTTTTTTTTTGCTTCTCATTAGCTAATAGCACATACCAGCCATAAAACTTTAAAAGTTTACCTCATTATTAGTATAAATCTATACCTTCTACCTTTTTAGCTGGTTCACTTCCTAGCGATTAAAGCTAGAAAGTTGGAGGTCAAATACAAGTCTCCTTTTTTAAAATGTTCAAATGACTAAATATAACAGGAGAGATATAATATTCCTGTCCTTAAGGGCCCATAAAACTAAAAATATACCCACCTCCCCTCACCAATAGGTTCATGTTTTTGTTGCAAGGTATGATACTTTCTGATACTTGCTGCCTCCATTCCATAAATTCCATAAATATAAGAGCATATGGTTGCTTATTTTGGAAATGTACGAACTGTTTCAATTCTAAAATGATTCCAAGCAGCGTGCACGAGGTGACAGAAATATAATACAAATACAACATATTATTAAAGTAATAAATCATTATTCAAAATCAGCAGTAAATCACTCATCCATCTGTGCCAAGAACCCACTATATTAAAACACTAATTATCCTCCTAAAGGACTTCTGAAACATGAGAGGTAGGAAAATGGGAATTACTTTAGCCTTGAACTGATAATCTGTCTCAAAGGAAGCAAAGCTACTCAGACCAGGCCTATTTCTTTTTGCCCCAAGATGTGTGGGGAGAAGGACTGCAGCAGTCGTTTCTTGGAGACTTAGACTTAGCCAGGATCTATCTGGGAGAGGCAGCCTTGTATATGCACAAAACATGCACTACAGGGTTTTGTACAAGCATCTCTAGCTGCATTTAAAACCACAGAGTTAGGGCAGCTCTCATATCAGCACACAAGCACAGGAGTTGCTGGATTTTGTATCACTTGAAGTGATCTTCAAGGAAAGCCCTATATTAAGTGATTTAGAGTAATCTAGATAAAACTAGCAAGAGTAATAGTGACCCTTTTCAGTGCTTCTTGTTCTAGGTGAAGCTGCAGCTGATACCCTAAACACTGCTATCCAAAGGCCTTTCTGATCATTGCTACTTTTATGTAGATCTTAAATGGGAAAGGGAAGGAGACCAAGCCTGGGATAACCATAATGGAGTACTGAAGGGCCTGATTTCTCCCCCTCAATTCCAGGCTGCTTCTCTCTTTGATTAGTTTCCATCCATTGTTTCTTGTCTTGCCTACTGGTGCTTTGGAGAATTAGTTGACCCCCTCTTCTTTGTTGCAGCCCCTCAAATACCGGAATACTGCTATCGTGTCACTCCTAGTCCTTCTTTTCGCTAGACTAGCCAAACCAATTCCTGCAACTGTTCATCATGTTTTGTCTCCAGGCCCTTATTGTCTTAGCTGCTCTTCTCTGCACTTTTTCCAAAGTCTCAACATCTTTTTTATAATGACCAAAACTGGATGCAGTATTCTAGGTATGGTTAACTAAGGATTTATAAAGCAGCACTAATATTTCACGTGATCTTGATTCTATGCCATTGTTTATACCACCAAGGATTGTATTAGCTTCTTTGGCTGCTGCTGCACACTGCTGGCCCATCCACTAGGACTCCAAGCTCCCTCTCATAGTTGCTGGTTTTGAACCAGGTTTCGCCTACTCTGTACTGTAATTTCTGTCAAAAATAATAAAATGCAATGATATTATGTAAGAAGTATTGATATTATCCCAATAACCTTAAACATATGGTTTGTGATTTTCATTTTAACACCATGATATTTTAAAATTGTATAATGAAATGTAAAATATTATTAATGATTATTTCTATGCATAATAGCGAGCATAAAAAAAGGAACAGGGAACCTTTTAAAAGGTTATTAAATTGATTCCCCACCTCTCACTGGTATTTATCAGTTTAATTAATGCTAATTCAGAAATGTTTAATAAGTAAACATGTGGAGTGTGATAACTTGGCAGTGGTGATGCTCTCAAATAACATGGTTTTAAGAGTGAGTAGGAATCAGACGGGCACATTTATTGATGAAATAAAATTAACCAGGATAATAAAAAATTTTAAAAAGCAAAAAACAAAGCTCCAAGAAGAAAGTGCATGAAAATACCAAATGCAATTCAAAGTGCAAAATATAAAAGCTGTTACATTATTATACATAAATATAAAATATTTATATAGTAAACATATTAAAATGTTATAGATAAATACTAATGGAAACTTCACTAGCAAAGAGAGACCAGGAAATTGGTCTTGGAAGCGAGGTAAAAAATTTAGAGAAAATGTCAACCCACTCTGCAGCCCTTTTAAAAAGCTAAATAGGCCATGTAACATTAGCAAAGAAACCAATACTAAATTTGCCAGGGTTGTCATGTCTTTATAACTATCTACAGTACGATACAGTCATACTTACAATTACTGTAGAACTCTGTATAATATAGACTGCTGTTTCTCAAAAGGATTGAAAGAGTAGAGAAAGATGGCCAAAGATCTCATTTTAAGAGGTAAAACAAATTCATGGAGGATATACAGGTAGTCCTTGACTTAAAACAGTTCTCTTAGTGACCATTTAAAGTTACAACAGCATTTTCACACATATGAACTTTGCAGTATCCCCATAGTCACGTGATTTATATTTGAATGCTTGACAACTAACTCACATTTATGATGGTTGCAATGTCCTGGGGGATCATGTGATCCCTTTTTGCAACTTTCTGACAAGGAAAGTCAATGGGAAAACCAGCTTCACTTAACAACTGTGTTACTAATTTAACAACTGCAGTGATTCATTTAACGAATGTTGCAAGAAAAGTCATAAAATGGGGCAAAACTCACTTAACCAATTTCTCACTTAACAACATAAATTTTGGTCTCAATTGTGGTCATAAGTTGAGGACTACCTGTATCTTAATTCTTACTCCTTTAACATCTAGATCTAATGGTATGGATGGTCCAATATTCAATGTACCCTTAATTGAGACTTTTTTATCTTAAGTTCCAATAGACATTTCCCACTGAACTCAGAATCAGAAGATGGATTTCTCCAGGTTTTATCCATAATCAATCAATTCCAGGACACCCAATACAGCCCAAAATTCAGTCCTCTATATCTGCTTTATTTAAGAACTATATTAACAATTCAGTTGGTTCTTCCCTGATGATAAAGCATAACTGTCATGGAAGATTTATGTCTCTTGTTTATCTCTTCCAAGTTCCTGTCTTATCTTTATGTTATGTTTTTTTTCCTTGGCTTCACACCTCTCATACCCTCTCCTATTTTGCTTTATGTTATGAATTCCAAATTTCTATCCTCTATTATGGATTCCAAGTATAACAAATCTGTTAGTGAGTACTAACCGTAATCTCCAACTGCTCTAAATATCCTCTAAGATCAGAGACAACATTTCTTCTGAAATGAAACCTATGAATGAACATCTTTTGGAACAATCTGCCCCTGATATATGACTGTCCTTTTAGAAAGGTAGTTAAGAATCAGCATCTTTCCATGAGTGAATTCCAGTGTAGGTGAATTGGCAATGAGGGGAGACATTAACCAAGGCAAACGCTGAAGAACCAAGATGGAACCTCTCCAGATAAGGAGAGAACTGGATATTACCCACGTGTGCTCCTCAAAAGGAAACCACAAGACAATGGTCTCCCACAGGTTTGAATGTATTCCATGAATGATCAGGTTTGAATGAACTCTATTCCCAGAGATCTTTAAAGAATGGATTCAGAGTTTAGCAGTTACAATGTCACAATGTTGTCTGTTTCTATGGATAGATTATGTCCACAATACATTAATGAAGGAATGACAAATGTGAAACAAATTTTGCCTGATATTAGAAGCAGAAACACTGGATAATAAAAAGCATAGTTTATAAGACAAAGAAATGACTAGCCAAGAGAATGATCTGGATAGGGACTTTCTACTGGAGATACAAAAGACGTTGGTTAAAGTTTGAAGATTAAATGGAAATACAAATGATAAACCAAGAGAAAAATCCAGATAACAACTTTTATTGGATTTACAAAAGAGATTGGCTGAAACCTCAAAGGAATCTTTGAGATGGGAAAAATAAAAACTGAAAAGGGAAAAAATTCTATGATAGCATCAGAATGAATTAAAGACCATGGTTGTTAGAAGTAAGAGGAAGGAAAATAAAAATGGATTATTTGACCAAGGTTAAAATAAGACATGTTTCTATAAAGCTCTGGGAACTCTTTTCAGACTTTTCATCAACACTAGGACTGAAAATTTGATGACTGATGGACTTGCATGGAGATAAGGCCTGGATAAATGCATTCCCAATTGTTTGAGTTGTTATGTATTTTAGATGGGTTGCCATTGTATTGTTTTATCTGGCTTTATGTATTATACTGATTTTCAATGGGTGGGGTATATTTTTGTTGACATTTGTATATACTGCCAAAGGTCATGGTGAGTTGGGTGGCACTGTGTGTGTGTATGTGCATGTGTGTGTGATAAATAAAATAATTGGACAGACAGGACAGACAAAAATTCTTCATGGTTCTATGGGATAAATTAATCAGAATTCCAATTTTCTGAAGATAAGATGAAATCAGTACTATGCATATACAATCTATACACCAGCCAGCAATTCCTCTTGTTGTCATTTCACATATAGCTCTGTCATGTTTAGCAATAGTAATAGTACTTAGACTTATATATTGCCCCATAGTGCTTTATATCTCTCTCTGGACAGTTTAAATGCCAGCATATTGCCACCAACAATTGGAGTCTTCATTTTACTGAACTCGGAGGGATGGAAGGCTGAGTTAACTTGGAACCCCATCAGGACTGAACTACAGACTGTGGGCAGAGTTAGCCTGCAGTACTGCATTCTAACCACTGTGCCACCAGGGCTCTTGTTCCAGGGCTATTTCTCCAAAAATATTCTCCAGAAGATTGGAAAATTATCCTGAGCCATTTTTAAAATGGAAAAATTGCCTTCACTGTTGGATTCATTCACTACATGTTCCCAGTTTCATCCCTCTAAAAAGTGAGAGTATGATTTCAATAATGATATTTGTTCTTAATCTTATTAAAAGATGAGGGAAGTATTCAATAAGCGAATGAAAATCCACAGCTTGTTTCCAATCTCTGAGCAAAGATATGGCTACTTTCAATTTCTAAGCAGGAGTGTGAGGTGTTAAAATTTCAAAAACTAAAAGCAAAATTTTGTATACTTTCTAGAAGAAAATACTATTATAATCTGATATTCTGAAAATACAAGCTGGAAAAATTCTGGTATCATTTTGTTTGCTTTTTAAAATCAACATAATTAATAATTAATCAAAACAATTACACTTTTCTAAGATTTTTTTTTAAAAAAAGAGAATAATAGTTTTGTAACACAAGTACATATAAATTTTCCTTTTCCTTTTTAGTTTCCTGTCCAGCATTATTCAGGAAACACATGTTGTAGTGATAATAGCTCTTTCTTTTGCTATACAGTTTTGGTTCTAAATCACTTCAAAAGGCAGAGCAATATTATCCATTTTATCCAGTTTTCCTTCAGAGATAATGCTCTCTTTTTACAAGTGGTAGATCTTGTTTCTGATTTACTACTTAAGCATTTTTACTATATAAAAAGCAGAATAATGTGTTACCTTGGCTAGATGTGTGTTGATCCACTTTGTGAAAGTCCGCTTTTGCACAGATTCTTGTTCATCTTAAAAAGGAAGAAAAAATGAAAAGTAATGATAAATTGGTCTTTCAGATACATTTCTCTATGTAAAGGGTCTTCAAAAATTGGCCCTTTTATGACCTGTGGACTTCAACTCCCAGAATTTCTCAGCCAGGCATGCTGGCTGAGCAATTCTGGGAGTTGAAGTCCACAAGTCATAAAAGGGCCAAGTTTGAATACCCATGCTCTATGTCTTGAGCAGACATAATCAATTTAGCTCCTTATGATGCATGTATGGTAAGAACAGAGGAAGATGGCACATGGCCCTCTGTAGTTTTTATGTCAGTACCACTACAGGTAGTCCTCAACTAATGACTGGTCACTTATAACAGTCTTTCCCAGAGCTATGTATGATTAAGTTATAATCATTGCACCTACCACTGTAGAGGCTGCAATGAGAAGAGGCTGCCCCAACATTCTGTGACTTGACATAGCTCTATGGCAGCCATTTTCTCAAACAGGGGATGTTAAAATATGTTAAAGGCTTTACTGTAAGCCTTTAAGCAAAATCACAACTGATTTAACTAAAGCTGCAGAACATTTTAGTTGGTCCTGTATCAGGCTGAATTATTTATTTTACCTTGCTTTTATTTAAGCTGAATAAACTATACCTAGGAGACTTTACCACATACTAAACAAATACCAAATACGCTGCAAAGCAGCTTATTGTATTATTTTTTTTAAAATATCAGGTAACAAGACATGAATAGGAGAAAATTATTCCAGCAACCAACAACTTGACACTGAAAGTTATTAAGCTTGAGATCTTAACATCCTGCTCAGATTTAGCTGTCATTCGTCAGAAAAGCACTTGCTGAGTTCCTCCATATAAGAAATATTGTTCTCATTCACAAGAAGCCCTATTTTGAGTTCCTTAAATAACATTTCCGTGTGTGATAATCAGCTTTTTATACACCATTTGATAGCTTCATTCCCTAGGATTGCTGGTACTTCAACTTCACTTTGAGATCAGACAAAGCTCTTTACATCCACAGGGGATGAGGCCAAGCTGATTTTCCTTGAAAAATTGGAATTTATCAGCTTATCCTCAGAATTCTGAGAAACACACTGTTTTCAAATTTTCTTTTGAGCAGAGCCAAAATAAAATTTACTTTCTGAAGCAGCTTGTTCTAATGTTACTGTCATTTTGATATAATGTCTGGAGGTTTTCCAAAACTTGGGCAATGTTATGCTATCCATCCTTAATTAACTGCTTGAAGGTCACAACAAAAATAAAGTGCATTTGAGGGAAGTATCCATCGCTTCTTTTCTCAGCAAAGTATATAAGTAGATAAAAGTAGATAAAACCAGTACAGAAAGCACGTGATTGGGACTTTGGCTAATTAAAAGGGTAAAATCATCATAACCATTTTCATTCATTCACTTCTGCAATTGTCCTCAGACTTTCCTTTCTTAAGCTCCCTATCTCTATCAAAACTGAAATCATTTGGTTATAATTTCAATAGTTAAGCCTATGCCTTACCCATGGTAGATTTTTTATGAATCTCAACTCTGATAAACATATAACTGATTCAGAGTGACTGCCTTAATGTATAATATCTCAGTGCATTCCCAGAGTTCAAAAGTCAAGTAATGAATTAAAATAAACTAACTGAACTAGGAGCATGCACAAAGAGGAAATCATCTTTGCCCCCTCCCCCAATTTATTTTTTTTTGTTTTTTCGGCAGACAATTACCATATTTAGATGTTGAATAGATACATTAAAATCTCCTTCTAGTCAAGCTTAGCTCTTTGTGTATGTAAGGACACTTCCACATACTTTTCGTGGAAACAGTATAGAAGTGATTTATTTATTTCTGGGATGTTGTTAATGTGATATTTCCTAATGGTCTCTCATCTAACTAAGTAGGTCTGGCTCTGCTTAACTTTCTGAAGTTCGCCAAAGTCGGTTGCAATGTCCACGAGTAAAATGCCTTCTATAATGGAGAACTTCTATTATAGGCAGTGCTCAACTTATAACAGTAGTAGAACTCGGAATTATGGTCATAAGTCTTCACATCATTAAGCAGGTCATCATGTGGCCACACCCAATGTTATGACCTTTTTTGCAGTAGTTGTTAAATGAATCCTTTTTTATCCAATGGGCATTTTTTGCCGGAACTGGAAATAAATGTCACAAACTGGCAAAAATCATCAGAAATTGCAGTTACGTGACCATAGGCCATTGCAAATGGCCCAAAGAGTCAGCTGATTGCCAAGTGCCCAAAATGTGATCATGTGGTTTATGTGGCCATCATAACTTCAAAATGGGTTATAAGTAGCTTTTGGGCAGGGGTCTGTTGTAACTTTGCATGATTACTAAGCAACCGGTCCTACATCAATAATTATCTGTAGAAAACACAGATTTTTTTTAGCATAGTTTTTAATGCTGTATAATTTCTGTATCCCAGTACAGATAGTTGATCCATGACCACAATTGAATCCAAAATTTATATATTGCTAAACGAGACAGTTAAGTGGATTTTGCTCCATTTTACGACTTTCCTTGCCCCAGCTGTTAAGTGAATCAATGCAGTTAAGTTCGTAATACATTTGTTAAGAGAACCTGGCTTTCTCATTGACTTTGCCTGTTAGAAGATTGCAAAAGGTGATCACATGAAAGAAGCTTCTTTCTCTTTCGGAGCATAAATAAAAAAAAACAAAAAAACCCCCTAAATTACTTTTTTTCCTGACCACACTGTATTTTCATTGACTTTGATACTTTGAAAACTGTCCTATAAACAGACTCTAAATCAGACAGAAGATTTTACCAAGGAAACCAGGGAAATTCCTTTCTAGGTGTTGCCATGACAATAAGCGTCTCTATCATTGCTTTCGTTCTTATTGCTTTTCAGCGAAGGGAGCAAGTTTCGCAGGTTTCCTTCCTGACTAATAGCACTGCATCCATAGCCTGTTCAGTTGATCAGGATCTCGATATAACTGGGCCCTGAAATACGCAGGTAAGAACTTAAAAAAATAGTTCTTGCCTTGATCCGATACCAGACCTTAATACTAGGGAGGAAAACAACAAGCCAATGAAAGGAGAATCTAGTAAATGACCCTGTCTAACAAAAATGAAACACAAGTATAAAAATTAGGTTCATATTTTATAATATTCATAATCATTTAACAAATATCTTCTATTTGAAGAATGGAATATCTAATATTAAAATAATCATAAATGCTTTATGTATAGTACATAATGTCGCACAGAATCGAGGCTTATTTTGGAAAATAATGACTGAACCAATAACTCATGTTCTGAAAACATTACACAATTATTTTCATAAGAAAAATAATTTTCTTAATTTTTTTAAACCCAATTGTAGCCCAACACTATGGTTCAATACAGATAGTCCTCAACTTACAAAAGTTCATTTAGTGACCATTCAAAGTTACAATGACACTGAAAAAAGTGACTAATGACCATTTTTCACAGTTATAACCTTTGCGGCATCCCCATGATCGTGAATCAAAATTCAGATGCTTCACAATTGGTTTATATATATGACCGTTGCTGTGTCCCAAGGTCATGTGATCACCTTTTGTGACCTTCTGACAAGCAAAGTCAAGGGGGAAACCAGATTCACTTAATAACTGGGTTACTAACATATCAACTGCGGTGATTCACCTAACAACTGAGGCAAGAAAGGTCATAAAATGGGGCAAACCTCACTTAACAAATATCTCACTGGCTCAAGGTTGACTCAGCCTTCCATCCTTCCGGGGTAGGTAAAATGAGGACCCAGATTGTTGGGGGCAATGTAAATATATATATACATTGTTTACTGGTGTACACCGCTTAGAGAGTGCTTGCACTTAAAGCGGTATATAAGTCTCATAAATAAATAAATAAAATAAATAAATAAATAAAATCTCATTTAATAACAGAAAATTTGGGCTCACTTGTGGTCGTAAGTCAAGGACTACCTGTATATCAGAGTGGAATGGTTAAAAGACATGAAACGGAAACTAAACATCAGCTGATCCAGAATGCAGTAGCACATAGGAGGCACTCCATGATGTACCCATTTAACATTGCAGCCATATGAGCTGCAATGGCCTCTCACTAGGCTTCCAGGTGCAGTTCACAGTGCTGGTTGTCCTACATGGCATGAGGCCAGTGACTTGCAGGAACACCTCTCCCCAATGGTTTCTGCCCATCCCAATAGATTCAGCAGAATGGGCATGCTCCGGGCCCCATTGCTGAAACAGAGTCACTTGGTGGGTCCCCAGAAGCATCCCTTCTCTGTTATGTGGAATAATTTCCCCTTCTCTGGCAGCCCCATGTCTGCTTGCCTTTTAGAAGGTCACAAAGATCTGGATCTTGCTCCAAGCAAGAATTATGAACCAAGATATGAATGGACTTAATGGACTTCTGTAGTGGGTTTATCAGTTATGAGACTTCAATGTATTTTTTTTCCCTGTAAAGGATTGTGACTTTGGTTCTGGTTTGTTCATTGCCTCAGTGCTTTGCTCAAAATACATAAAACTGTGCCAAGTCAGTGTTGATTTCTGACATCTGTCTGAATGAATCCCTGTAGATTTTTGGGGGGGAGATTTTGGAACTGGTTTGCTCTTGCCTTATTCCTACAGCTGAGGGAGTAATGGCCCAAGGTCATCCAGCTGGCTTCTTGTCAAAGATGGGACTAAACCGTATGGCTCCCAGTTCCCATCTCAGTGCTTTTATCATTAGACCACCTGGCTCTTAAATATACTAATATTGATGGCATTTTTACTAACTGTACAGAATATGATTGTCCCAGGAACAGTTTACTCTTTGAGATAAGATTGTAGGGTGGTGGAGCATTTTGAGTAAATTAGTTTATTTAATTTATAGTAAATCAGCACTGACTACATACATGAATATAATATTCATGCTGGTTTTACTCAGTGATTACTCTGGATATCTTCCAGCTTTCTGAAAACGAAACTTACTATGTAATATATTCACAACATAATAAAAAAATTGAGAAACTGCAAC